TCTCTTCAGCTCACGTCAATTTATCGCTCAACATCGCTGCCGCCAGTCTTGTTGGAATATTCATCCCAAGCACCAGACCAACGTAGAAACCAGTTTCAGCAACTCCGAAACCAAGAACTTGATGGAAATATATTGGCATGTAGGTGGCGAATAGAATAACTGCTGACATTTCGAAGAATGCATTTAGCCAGACGATGAGAATTACAGGGCTGGTGAAGATTTTCTGGAAAAGGAGGATCGGATTTTGAATCTTTAATATTTTTCAAAAAAAAATTGTGTCCAGAAGTTCTGTATTCAGGTTCTTATGATAATACGTTTAGAAAATCTCAAAGTACTGTTTTCTTAATTTTTTCCAAGAAAATGTAGTCTTTTACAAATTTGAAATTTGACTTGAAATTCTGGAGCTAAAATTCTTCAGGCTTGAAAACTGTAATTTTTTGTCCTAACATTTTCCAGCTACAAAATTTGATTTGAAATTTTCTGAGCTTCAATTTTTGAAGCAAATATTTATTTATGGCTAAAAATTGCCTGAAATTATTTGAGCTTGTAGAATTCTAGGTTAGAAGTGTTTGAGTTATTGTAAATATTTTAAGCTTAACTATTATCAAAACTTCAGAAATACCCCATAAATCAATTTAAAACCTGAGATCTTTAGATATTTCTGATATAAGAAATCTTCTTTTCGTGACATTCTTCAAAGGTCTCTTTATCACTATATTTTTTCCAAAAATCTGATCAATGATCTCATATCATCTACAAGATACAACTTACCAAATACGGAACTTTGGCATTTTTATCCAAATGCGCTGCTGATTTGTTCTTGTGAATCTTTCCCAATTCCTTCACCGATATTCTTTTCGTCTCCGCGGGATCTTCAATATAGAACAGAGCCCATAAAATAAACAAGAATAGCCCGACAATCGAATGAAGGTAGAAAGCCCATTTCCAGCCCAGTGAACTTTGGCAGATCTACATTTAAAAAATGATTATTAAGTTTTCTCTAGTATCACTTACCAATCCAGTGACAGAATTCGTTATCAATGATGCGATTCCTGTGAAACACGTCAAAGTGGCGATAAAAAATGCGGTTTCTTTGAGTGGCGCCCAACGAACGGTCATCAATCCAATCGCCGCAAAATCAGCAGAATATGCGAGACCCTGGATAAACCTCAAAACCAAAAAGGACATCATACTGTATTCAGCAGCCAGGGGGATTAGAGCCGTGGAAGTTAGCGAAACTAAACCAGCGATTAGGAATGGAAATTTGCCACCGAATTTTACATAGAACCAATTGATTGGGATAGTTCCGATGATTGTTCCAGCAGCCACAGCCCACATTATCCATTTTTTCTCATCGGGTGTGTAATCGTAGATACTTTGAATTGTCTGAAATTATAATTTTTTAATAATTTAAAAAAATTTTTAAAAATTCACCCCATTTTGACCTTCTCTTGTCACTGAAAAATCATCTTTCATGCAGATAAACGTGAAATTGATGACAATATAATTCGAACAAACTGAGGAGAGACAGAAGAATCCGATGGTTAGGATCAAATATCGATAATGATTCCCGCACAATGCCATATTTCTATAAATTTTTATTTGTTGTTTTGTTGAAACAGTGAAAAAAAAACAATAAAAGTAATATTTTTGACCTAATGTAACGTAACACAAGTTGTTTTTGTTGAGATTTTGGTTAGTGGCAAAAAGGGGAAGGCAGATATGAAAATCGGGTTTTGGATAGATTGATTGTGTGTGAAATAAAAGTGTTTGAAAACATACACAGAATACATAGTTATTATCATTGAAAACGGGTTGATAAGTTTTTCAGATTTTTTTTGGGAACTGTCTGGAAAGTTTTATGGTCTTGGGCATGGTTTTTGAAAAAAAAATGAAAAAAAATGAGATTTTTGGTTGTGAAATGCAGATTTCATTTGCTGAAAATTCACAAAAGAATTCTGAAATTTGTTTAAAACAATTTTAAACCTTGAGCATCTAATGTAAAATTAAAATAATATTAGCAATGATAGAAAAAAACCAGCCCCACCCAAATCCTCAAAAAAAATCCACAATCAGAAAAAAAATGTATTCATTAACCATTAAAAAAAATTTCCCAAACCCTCAATTTAAGTGAGTCTTCTAGCAACACGGAACAAATCTTGATCAGTCAAAAAATCCGATCTCGGCGATTGAAACTCGCATCGAATCATGAAACCAATAGAAGATGTTCGACAATCCTTCGATCTCCAAAGATAGAAATTCTCTTCTCGTTTTTCAAGTCGATAGGTCGTATGTGTGAAACATGATTTATGTTGTTGTGGCCAGCGAGTGATTCGATAGGCTGTACTTGCGCCAGGACACAAGATATCACAGTACGTTTTTAGTTCGCCTTCCACTGTCTCCTGAAATCGGTTTATTTTTATTCAAGGGATTACCAAGAAGAATTTTTCTCACATCATTACAGGTGTTGAATGGCACAACTCTTGGATTCTGATCATTCTCATCTTCTTTCAATTGAAGTTCACACGATGAAGCTTGACCTTCTTCATCTCCATCATGAGGTTCGCATCGGATCTCACGCCATTCTAAAAAAAATATATTTCTCTGGGAAAAAAGATATCAAAAATTCTTACGCCAATGCACAGATTCAGCAGAAACCAGAAGAACTACAGTTAGCAGAAAAAGCAGGGCTGTAGATTTCGAGAATAAAAACATTATGATAATAATAAACTTATCATAACATTATTCTTATTTATATATTTTCACTATCAAAATTGGGTCAAGCAGCAGTTAAATATGCGATCAAACATTTGTTTTTGATGATTTGGAGAAGCCGGAGATTGGAAATTCTAAAATTTATGATGGAGATATTTTAAAGGGTTGTGAATTCCGAGAGCAGATACTAAAATAGTTCCTGAACTTTTCAGAAAAAAAAAACTGACGCCATCCAAAAAAAAGTTTCAAGGAAACCGGAAACAGAGAAAAGTGTAAACAAACATTGAAATTGTGTGATAATATGCTTGTTGTTTGTTTTTTTATTGAGTGGGTGATAAATCTATGCAAATATTTGGCAGACTAAAAGTCGATTACAGTAATCATCTGGACTTTGCTCAAATTCAGAAAAACAATTTTTTGGATCCAAAATTTTCGGGAAATTTTAAAAATCACAAATTATGATTGGCAAAAAAAGAGAGGCCAGAAATTCAAATCCCACTTTTTCCAAATACGGTATTCCTCTGCGTCATTAACACCGTTTCGAGACCACCCCATTGGGCAGAGAAACAAAATCAAAGACGCACATATAGGTCTCGCAGCGACTGGCAGAAACACAGTACTTGGGAAGAATGACATTTGAATTTCCAGGCTCCGTTTTTTTGAAAATAGGGAAAAATATTTTAGAAAATGGAAACTTCTAGAATTCTGAAGTTCTATTGATTTTCAGTTCCAAATTTCACAGTACCAAACGAATAATTACCCGGAAACAAAACCCACATGACGTAATGCCCCCTTCAAAACATTCTCCCCTTTTTCCCACGATCATCACCTTCTTCCGGCGGGCCTATTATCAACAAACCACACCCAATGTATCTGAGCCAACCTATAAAAGCATACAGCTCACAAGCAAATAACACAACACATCTCCAAAATGGCACCAACTTCTTCCATATTTGCACTTCTTCTTCTTGGATTCTGTGCGGCGAAAGATTTGTCGCGATCGAAACGACAAATTCAAGTGTATTATATGTGTAATGGTGGAGTTTCGCAGTATCGTAAGAAACTTTTTTAATTTTTGAGAGAAAACATAAGTTTTCTCAAATTCCAGCTTGCATCAATAGTAACAACAACTGCAACAACAATAATTGCAACTATAATTACAACAGCTACGGCTCAAATAGTATGATTCTCCCAACATCCTTCTACAATCCATCAACCAACTGTAACTCGAATTGCAATAATTTCAACTGCAATCAATACAATGGTCAATGGATTAATGGGCAATACGTGGCATATTCAACTGGTTCGAACACTTATTCTCCATGCGCCAGTAATTGCTGCTTCAAATAACAACAATTATTATAACCCATATTTGAATTCCAATAATGTGAGTCATTTTTCTGCTGGAGTAGCAAAAAAATCCATAGCAAAAAAATTTGAGAACAGCCATAATGAGAGAAAACGAGAGAGTGAAAATTAGCGTGTGCGTGAAGAAGAGACGCGAGACGAAAAAGAGATATGACCAGATTCCGCTCACTTAAAAAAACATCTAATTCCAAGTTTTTTTTAGATTGTTGCATCTTCATCGATTTCAACAGGGACATCCACAGGATCTACAAATAATTTGCCATACGGAATGCAAGCATTTACAGGAACTTATAACAATGGAGGTGAGCCCTAGGTTTTCTAGAAAATCGTTTTCTATTTTTTTGCAGTCTATATGTGTGGTGGAACTGAGCCATCAGGTGGATCGTGTCAAGGAAACGGCGTCTGTCCATCCGGTCACAGTTGTGTCTCCGGAAACCTGTGCTGTAAATGTCCAGTTGGTGCCAGCGCTGGCATGTGTTCTTCCAACTCGGATTGTCGTGCTGGATACTCTTGCTCGCTGACCGGATATTGTTGCGCGTCACAAATCGCATCGAACACCGAATTGGTTTCGTGTGTCAATAATATGTGTATGGATGGATATTCGTGTGGAGTTGGAAATTTGTGCTATCCTCAAGGATTTTTCTAATCTGATTTTGTTGTTATTTTAAGTTTATTTTATGCAATGTTTTTATTTAAGTTTCCAAAAAAATTATTTTATTGATTATCTTTTCACGTTTCAAAACCTTAATGTAATCATTTGGACTTGGGTATTAATAGTTGTTCTAGATTTAGTCCAACTTCTCAATCTCTTGATAATTTCTTTTCGGTATTGTTTGATGATAAACATAACCGGAAAAGGATCCAGTGCCGGAAACAATGCGATGGTCACATTAACAATAGAACTCGCGTTACCCAAATCCATATCAAATAAAGTGCACGAGAAAAGAGTTATGACTGGTAGATGCATCAAAATCACAGGAATCATTGTTTGTGTGACCAGAGCGTAGTATAATTGAAAATGTAGATTTCGGATATTTTTCGACATTTTATTTGTATGACTTTTGATTGTGAAGAAACATATAATTGCACAGTATAATGTCAGAACAATTGATGAGTTTGAAATCGCAAAAATAACAATAAAACCAATGGTGTTTAACACATGAATTTGTTTAGAAGAACTATCATTTGCTGATCGATATAAATAAGGTCCGACGTAAGCAACATTTTCAACTTTCCAATCAAAACTTTCTTGCAAAACTCCTCGGATAGCATTATCAAACTGATTATCAGGATGTTCAAAGAAATAAGATGCAAATCCCCATAACAAACCGCAAAGAACTGGAATACTCATCCACAAAAATAGTTTATAACTTTGAAAAGTTTTGATCAATCTTGAGCTATAATTATTTTTTTAAATTTACAAAATAAATTAACATAAAACTAACTAACCTTGAAGCTACCAAATACCGATAGATGAATTGTAGAGCAAATAATCCCATGAAACTTCCAAAAAACGCTCCCCACATTGAAATCAATATTAGATATGTGTTTCTTGAGAAATATGCATTTTCAATATTTACGAAAACAATGAAAATTGATTCACGAGAGAGTGTCATTGGTTCGAGAATAACATCGAGAATTGAGTAGCACATTTCGAAGACCGAAATATAGATTATCAAATATTTGTATGATCCAATTTGTTTTGGCGATTTTGTTAGAACAAGTAGAATCAACAAAGAATTGGCTGACAATGAAAACATTGCAGCGATTTCCTGAATCTTGCCAACAATCGTTTTCCAAATCATGTTCAATGAGAATTAAAAAGTCGGTGGGTTGGTGGAAAACGAAAAACAATAGTACTACAGGAAATACAATAAAAATCTATATTTTAATATACATACTAATGATCAACAAACAAATTATGTGGGATTATCAAGTTTTCTCTGAATAAAATCAACATCAGGAGTTGTGAATTGATAATGTTTGACAATTAGAATAACTGAAAAAGATTTTGGTGCTGGGAACAATGCCTGGGAATCGAACCCATCAAAAAATGCTTGTTGGATTTGAAGGCAGAGTCACGTACCACTTGACCACAAAAACTTACGTGAAAACCTATTAATTTTTAAATTCATCTACTTTTTTAATAAAAATGGAATAAAGATGTTTCAATGTTCTTCATAAATCTTACTCATCATAACATCCACTTATCTCACAATGTTGTATTTTCCATTCGCGATCAAACCATCAATAAGCGTCAACTATTTTCTATCAATGTTTTCAGTCTCAAAAAATCACCTGTTTTTAGTTTGATCATTTGCTTTCTCAAAATGTTTCAACCGAATAAATCTTGTATTTCAACAAAGCCTTGGACAATTGTTATTTTCACAGATGGATTATCGATTTTTTCTTGCCCAATATATTGTCTAGCATTTTATGTGTTGATTTTTAAATGTCCCCCAATCTTCAAAAAATATCGAATACTTCTTCTTCGTCATTTAGTTTGCTGTTTTTTAATGGAATTTCATATGACTGTTATTTGGAAATTAGTTATAACTCTTCCAATCAACGCACTTTGCGCAAATTCAATTGGCTACTATTTTCCAAAATTACCTTTTTAGATTTTAGTTTTTATGATTATCATCACTGCTAAATCTGTTTTCGATCTTTCCGATTATCGATTAGAAGCTGTAAAAACAGAATCTCAGAAAACATTGATAATTAGAATTCGTTATTTTAAATACTCAACATATTTTTCTTTCCTAATTACAATGGCACTTTTATATAATTCTAATCAATCAATTACAAACGATACTGCTTACAAATTAATAGTTGAACAGGTGAAATATATTACCTAATTACCTAGGCATTTTTGTTTTTCTAGAAATTCGGAAATATTCCTGATTATGTTTGGTGTGATAATTGCATATTCTTTGATCATACTTCTATTGCAATTATTATTTTCTTCATTTCTGGAATGATTGCTGTCACATTATCATCGATTTATTGTATAATCACAGCTTTTGCATCATTTTCAGCATTGAATGAGATGAAAAAATCGCTCTCTACAAAAACGCTCGCAGTTCAAAGAAATTTTATTATCAGTTTATTGATAATGGTAAATTTTCGAATATCTTTGAATTTCCATCTGAATATTTTCAGAACGTAATACATGTCGTATTGATTGCACTGCCAATAACTGTATTTTTATCGGGATATTTTATAGAAATCTCGTCTGATCTCATGGGTAAAATTATGTTATTCGTTTTCCTAATTGTATTGTATTTTGTTACAGTTATTGGTCATATTTGTATCGCTTTGATAACTCAACATGGAACTGTGTCAACATCAGTGTTTTTGACAACAAATAAAGCTATACGACAAGTTGTTAAGCAGATTTGGAAGTGAGAACTTCTTGAAATACTTTTTGCAGTAAATAATTCTTGAACTTTGAATAAATGTATGTTTTGTGTTAGACCCCTAACTTCAAACTTTATGTGAATTCGATTCTAATTGTGAGTAGACCAGCATAAAATCTTCATTGTCAGTTTTCAAAGGTTCAACTAAATTTAATACAAGTTTGTTAAAACTAATCAGCAATAGTTTTATTTTGAAGTTTAAAAAATTGCATTATGTGTTAGTATCCGGTAGAGCCTGAACAATAATCACCAATGGTTTCTTTATCATCCGTAATATTGCGTTTCGATAATGTTTAATAATAAAAATAACTGGAAAAGGATCCAATGCTGGGAATATAGCAATAGTTACAGTGATAATAGCACTAGCATGTCCAAGATCGAAATCGAAAATTGTGAAAACAAAAAGCATTGTGACAGGAAGATGCATGAGAATTAGAGGAATCAATGTTTGAGTGACCAACGCATAAAACAATTGGAATTGTAGACTTCTAGTTTTCCTGGAAACTTTATCAGAATATATTTTTATCTGATTGTAACATTTGTGCGCAGAAACAAATATCATAACAATCGACGATGTTAAAATTAAAGACAATACAACTATTCCAATAGTATTGGGTAAATGTACATTTTTTGATGAACCATCATTATTAGGTCTATATAAATATGGTCCAATGTAGGCCACAGTGTCAACATTCCAACCGAAAGCCAAGGTTACAGTATTTCTAATCGCATCATTTTTCTCCTCATCGGGACCTTTGAGAAAGAATGATACAATTCCCCACAAGAAACCAAAAAATATAGGAATACTCATCCAAAGCAGAATTTTCCAGTTTTCAAAAGTTTTCAGTAGCGTTGATCTGAAATTTCGAGTTTAAACGAAAAAGGCTCTGAATTAGAAAGATGTTTCAAACCCGGATGCAACGCAATATCGATAAAGGAATTGAAGAACAAATAAACCCATGAAACTGCCAAAAAATGCTGCCCAAACAGAAAGTAGAATCACATTAGTTTGATATGAGAATGCTGATTTATTTATGTTGACGAGGCAAAGGTAAATTGAACCTTGAGAAATCATGATTGGCTCAATGATAACATCGATAAATGAATAACTCATTTCGAAAATCGAAATATAGATCATCAAATATTTATACGATCCGATTTGTTTTGGTGATTTTGTGAGAACTAGTAAGATGAGTATGGTATTCGCTACAAGTGAAATAATCGCAGTTATTTCTTGTAACTTGCTGACAATTGATTTCCAGCTCATTTTGAATATAAAAATGCTTTGTTTTTGATAAAGCGGTTGTATTTTGAGAATCCGGAAATTTAATTTCCTATGCAGAATACAGTAACTCTCACCGGAAAAAAACGTCTAGCCCACATTGCACTTGATCTAAATTCTGAAAATAGAACTACCATAGTCGAACATGTACAGAATATTGATGATATGAAGAATGATGTGTCATTTTGAGTAAATGGCAACCGATCTTTTTAGAACGAACTTTGACATTATTATGAACCCGCACAAAAATTTCATTTGAGAAATATGTACAATCTAAAATTGTAGCGAGACAGAAAACAAAAGTACAACAGGAAATTGAGTAGAAGAATATATTTGCATTGATCTTTATTCCAATGCTACGAAAAATTCAGCTATGAAATGGGCAAATATTATTGGAGCATTGCAAGAAACAGCAGTAATAACATCAATATCAGCTAACATTTTACTAATATTCATAGTTTATAAGAAATCACCGCAACAAATTGGTTCGTACAAATATTTGATGATTTATATTGCGATTTTCGAAATGCTATATTCCATCATCGATGTGATTCTTGAACCAGTTGTTCTTTCACAACCCGCCATATTTTTAGTTGTGGTCAATTTAGAGACAACAGTTTGTGATAGAGAAGCATGTATCTATTTGATCTGTGGTTGGGTTGCATTTTTTGGATCATTCATGGCGTTATTTATCGTACAGTTTATATATCGTTATCTGGTAGTTTCAGGGTAAATCGTTTTCTAAATTGGTACTTAGCTATGCTGTTTTTGTTTCTTTTTAGATCGATCTTGCTGAAGTCTTTCAATGATTGGCGACTGGTTCTTTGGATGTGTGGTCCTCCGCTTTGTGGTCTTTCTTGGGCCTTTATGACTTTTGCCTATTTTTATCCAGACAATCAGATCGATAATGCTATTCGAAATGTTCTTCTCGAAGATTTCGATTGGAAAGTGGAAAATGTAACATACATGGGACCATACTTATATCGAACCATGGTGGATGATAAATATCCTTATAGAACAACTCTTATTTGTATGCTAATAATGCTGACGGAAATGGTTTTATCAATATTGACGATTGTCATTTTTGCAATCAAATGCTCGTTCAAAATTCAGAATTATGTGAAGACCACCAAAAACCTATCTAAAAAATCGAATGGATTACAATACCAGTTGTTCTACGCATTGGTTATTCAAACCTTGATCCCTGTTATCCTCTTGCATCTACCAGTGTCTATTCTGTTCGTCTTAACGATTTTATCGATTGACTTAGGCCGAGCTAGTTCCCTTGTTGGTTTGACTATTGCATTTTTCCCAGCACTTGATCCGTTTCCTGTTATCTTGATTGTAAAACATTATCGATTTGCAATGATGAATGTAGTCACAACTCCTGTTGTTAATTTCATTAGAAAACGACTTGATCACCCAGTTTAAATCGAATTTTAAACGCTTAAAATAAAAATTAAAACAATTGTTCAGTTCAGAATTAGACAAAAGTATGACATAATCGTAAATTATTTGATGTTGATCTTCTGGTTCAACAAAGATACATGGAACATAAAGAATAAACAGATGTTCAAACAAACTCAGACTTCCTATAAAAGTCGTTAAAATTATTTGAAACATTGTCAATCTTTCATTTTCATAATGTCAGCTTTCCCAACTTCGATTTGCCTAATTATTGTGGCTTTTATCGTATTTTCTGAATCATGTTCAGATTCTTCAACAGCGTAAGCGTAACCTAATTGTTTCAGTTCTCAAAAGCCTTTCAAAATTTCAGATGTTCATCATGGAAAGCAAATGGTTATTGTACAAATTCATTTTATACAGATTCCGAAAGACAATCATATTGTGCAGCAACTTGTGGTTATTGTACAATTTCATCAACAACTGGTTCATCAGTTGGTTGTACTGATGCATATTCTGGTTGTTTAGTTTGGAAGAAAAATGGTTTTTGTTCAAATTCATTTTATAATCAAACTATTCGTGTTCAATATTGTCAACAAACTTGTGCACTTTGTTCAGTTTCATCTGATTCTACTACTGAAGCCACTACTGCTGCTGCTGATGATACAACTACTGCATAAATAATCAAATTTCACAAATGTATATATAAATTTATTTTCTTTTGAGATTCTGATGTTGATAGGCATAAGAACAACATCAAAAATCGAATAGAGAATTCAACAAGTTGGAATGTAGGCTTTTGATAACCATTATTTACGTTTGTTGTTTAATTGAAAAAGAGATCCTAGAAAATTTTTGTGAATGTTCTCGAATCCATTGAGAATAATTAATCAAAATTATGATGTTATGTGTTTGAAGTTAGAAAATAATTATATTGTTTTGAGAGATGCATTGGAATCATATTGTCAGTAAAATCCAAGAAATATCGGCATTGATTTCTATTTTTGGTAATGTATCACTTATCATTTTGATTGTCACAAAATCTCCAAGACAGCTCGGATCATATAAATATTTGATGATTTATATTTCAATTTTTGAAATCTTATTTTCATTGATTGATGTCATTATAAAACCTATTATCTTTTCACATGGCTCAACTTTCATCTGCGTTTCAACAAACTTCGCCCTCCGTAAGGATATTGGTATATATTTATTATCAATGTTTGGAGGATTTTTTGGTAGTTTCATGGGACTATTTGCACTCCAATTTATGTATCGATACCTCGTTGCTTGTGAATCCAAAACGCTCAAAACTTTTAATGATTCAAGAATTATTCTTTGGATGTTTCTCCCACTAATCTTCGGACTATTATATGGTTTAGTTGTTCTTTTTCTTTTCCCACCTAACGCTACAATAAATCATAATATTAAATCAAAAATGAAGGAAGAGTATAACTGGGATATTGATGAAATCGCATACATTGGTCCAAATCTCTACCAATTTTCAGAAAATGGTGAATTCCAGATGAATTTCAAGAGTTTAATTGGAATTCTTATTGTATGGACACTTGTCACCATTTCTTTCGTCACAGTTTCAATTTTCGCAATAAAATGTTATTCAAAAATGCATTCACAAATGGATGGTTCTAGAACTCTGAATCATCTTCAACATCAATTATTCTATGCATTGCTATCACAAACTTTGATCCCTTTTATTTTAATGCATCTTCCTGTTAGTATTATATTTTTTGCCACACTCTCAAATTTTGATCTTGGAAATTCCAGTTCAATTGCAGCTATTTCAATGGCCATGTTCCCAGCGTTAGATCCTCTGCCAGTTATTCTAATAATAAAAAATAATCGAAATGCGGTCGCAGATATTGTTACGACTAGTACATTAACAATAACCAGAAGAAAACGGATTGCTAAAAATAGCTCTTGAATTATGAACTTTTTTTTATTTCTCACGTGTTCAAAATTAGAAAATGATTTTTGCTTTTCTCAAAACTCTGGGGAAATTTTGAATTCAGATGATGTTAAAATTTTTAATATCAAAAGTCAGTCTCGTGAAAAATGCTTTGGAATCGTGCTATCACTCAAATCCAAGAAATTTCAGCAGTAATTTCCATTCTTGGCAAACTACTATTGATTCTTTTAATAATCACAAAATCACCAAGACAACTTGGTTCTTATAAATATCTGATGATCTATATTTCAACTTTTGAAATAATATATTCAATAGTTGATGTTATTGTTAAACCAATCATTGTTTCTCATGATTCGATTTTTATATGCATTTCTAAAAATTTCTCGCTTCCCAAAGAAATTAGTTCATATTTGATATTGATTTGGACAGGATTTTTTGGAAGTTTTTTGGGATTTTTCGAAATTCAATTTATTTATCGATATTTGGTAGCGTGTAGATCAAAAGTCCTCAACACTTTTAATGATAAACGAATTTTTCTCTGGATGATGTTTCCAGCAACTGTCGGAATATTTTGGGGGTCAATTAATAATTTTTTCTTCCGGCACAACCCAAGAATCAATCGCGATATCAAATCATTAGTGTTAGAGGAGTACAATTGGGACATTGAAAAGGTTGTTTATATTGGAGAAAATCTCTATGAGCCTTCAGAAAATGGTGGAGTCCAGATTAACAAAAAATGTTTGATTGGAATCATAATTGTTTGGACAATTATTAACATTTCAATTTTAACTGTCTCTTTCTTTGCCATCAAATGTTATTTGAAAATACACTCAGAATTCAAAGGTTCAATCAAGCTTAATCATCTTCAACATCAATTATTCTACGCATTGGTTACGCAAACATTGATTCCTTTTATTTTAATGCATCTTCCAGCTAGCATTATTTTCTTTTCTACAATGTTCAATCTAAATCTGGGAAATTCAAGTTCTATCGCAGCGATTTCCTTTGCTATTTTTCCTGCATTGGACCCACTTCCAGTAATACTCATTATCAAAAATTATCGAAATGCCGTTGCGAATGTTGTCACCACTCGTGTCTTAATGATATCTAAAAAAAAACCGTAAACCCACCATGATTTCCTGACTGTTCTATTTGTTTTTGTGATTCATTTTTGCGGATGAAACGTTTCAAATTTGATTTTAAAAATGTTAATGAGTATTTTTTATCTCTCTGTTTTTCTTTAACATTTCGGATACTCGAGTTCATTAGTTATAAATTTCGCATTATTCTCAATCCAACAACCAAAGTTCATTGAATCGTATTAGAAGTTATTTTTTGAGTGAAAACAAACAAGTTCAATATTTGTAATGGGAAAATTCATTCAAATTGAAATAAAAGTTATATACATTTGTGAAATTCATTTATTTATGCAGTAGTTGTATCATCAGCGGCAGCAGTTGTGGCTTCAGTAGTAGAATCAGATGAAACTGAACAAAGTGCACAAGTTTGTTGACAATATTGAACACGAATAGTTTGATTATAAAATGAATTTGAACAAAAACCATTTTTCTTCCAAACTAAACAACCAGAATATGCATCAGTACAACCAACTGATGAACCAGTTGTTGATGAAATTGTACAATAACCACAAGTTGCTGCACAATATGATTGTCTTTCGGAATCTGTATAAAATGAATTTGTACAATAACCATTTGCTTTCCATGATGAACATCTGTAATTTTGAAAGGTTTTTGAGAACTGAAACAATTAGGTTATGCTTACGCTGTTGAAGAATCTGAACAAGATTCAGATAATACGATAAAAGCCACAATAACAAGGAAAATCGAAGTTGGGAAAGCTGACATTTTGAAAAAGAAAGATTGACAATGTTTCAAATAGTTTTAACAGTCTTTTATAGGAAGTCTGGATTATTTGTACATCTGTAAAGTACATTTGTTTGATTTATTTTCTTTGTGTTCATCAGAAAATTGACATCAAAAGTTAAACAAATAACTCAAAAATTAGCTTAGAATATTACTGGAAAATACCTATTTCTAGAAATATCAGTTAGAGTGTTGTTGTTTTCTTGATAACGTGAATGCACGAATTGTAACAGCATTAGCAACAGCATTCCGATAATTTTTGATTATCAACATAACAGGAAGAGGATCTAATGCAGGAAAAAAAGCTATTGAGACAGCTACGAGAGAACTAGAACAACCAAGTTCGAGATTGAAGACTGTCGAACAAAGTAATATGGTGACTGGAAGATGCATTAAAATGAAAGGAATTAAAGTCTGTGTAACCAGTGCATAGAATAATTGATGTTGAAGATGATTAAGGCTCGTTGAACCTCCGAATTTCGAATTAATTCTCAAGTAGCATTTTATTGCAAAAAATGAAACAGTGAAAATTGAAATGTTGACAAAGCTCCAGATAATAACAATTGCAATCAAACTTTTCTCATTAACATGGATTTCACCATTTCCTGAAGACTCATAGAGATTTGGACCAATGTAAGCTAATTCTTCGGTATCCCAATTAAATTCCTCTTTCACTATTGACTTGATATCGTGATTGATTGTGTGATTAGGTTGAAGGAAATTATAGGTGACAGATCCCCAAAACAATCCGACAAACACTGGTAATATCATCCAGAGAATAATTCTTGAATCATTGAAAGTTTTAAGAGTTTTCGATTTGCATGCTACTAGATATCGATAAATAAATTGGAGTGCGAAAAATCCCAGAAAACTCCCAAAAAATCCACTCCAGATTGATAACAAAAATACACCAAAATCCTTGGCAAGTGAGAAGTTCGTTGAAACGCTAATTACAATCGAACCATGAGAAAATATGATTGGTCTAACAATGACGTCAAGTAATGAAAATAACATTTCAAAAACTGAAATATAAATCATCAAATATTTATAAGAACCAAGTTGCTTTGGTGATTTTGTAATTATCAGAATAATTAGTAATAGATTACCAAGAATAGAAAACAATGCCGATATTTCCTCAATTTTCAAAACAATCTCATTCCAAAGCATTTTTTCGAGACACTGCGTATAGATTTGAAATTCTATAGATTCGAACAACCCATTCAAAAATGTCTCAAGTGATTTGAGAACATGAAATCATTTTTGTTTATGTGCACTAACTTTTAGTAGACATCATTTTAATTTTATCAAAACACTCGTTATGAAAAATAATTTTTCTGCTTTGTTTGCCAAACTTTTGATGTCAATCTCAGGAAGAAACATGAAAGAAAAAGAACAAAGATCTCAAGGTGTGCAAATAATCTCGATTTCCTATAAAAGACTGTTAAAACTATTTGAAACATTGTCAATTTCTTTTTCAAAATGTCAGCTTTCCCAACTTCGATTTTCCTAGTTATCGTTTCAGTTATCGTATTATCTGAATCATGTTCAGATTCTTCGACAGCGTAAGCATAACCTATTTGTTTCAGTTCTCAAAAACTATTCAAATTTTCAGATGTTCCTCATGGAAAGCAAATGGTTATTGTACAAATTCATTTTATACAGATTCCGAAAGACAATCATATTGTGCAGCAACTTGTGGTTATTGTACAATTTCATCAACAACTGGTTCATCAGTTGGTTGTACTGATGCATATTCTGGTTGTTTAGTTTGGAAGAAAAATGGTTTTTGTTCAAATTCATTTTATAATCAAACTATTCGTGTTCAATATTGTCAACAAACTTGTGCACTTTGTTCAGTTTCATCTGATTCTACTACTGAAGCCACTACTGCTGCTGCTGATGATACAACTACTGCATAAATAATCAAATTTCACAAATGTATATAATTTTTATTTTAATTTGAATGAATATTCTCAATAATAGATTTTATTGAATTCCATAATTTTTGGTTTCAATTTTCGTCTGGGAATGTTAAAAGTGCAACACTTCCGCATCAATTTACAAAGAACAATCAGCAGATGTGCAAATAATTTCTCAATTGAAAGCGTGAATGAATCAACACAATATTCTGATTATTGTGAGACCTGAAAACTGTCTCAAAGAGGATCATAAACTGTTTTCTTTCTTCGCGTTCTTCTGCAGAAAAACAGAACTGTACTCAGTTTATCGTATGCAATGTGAACTTTAAAAATTTAATTGTTTTCGCAGCTGACAATTCCCCAGATATTTGAAGGTTATTGTCGTTACCATATTAGATTTCACTACCTCTCATGAACTGAACAACAATTCTCCAACTCTCTCAAAAAATCTGCGCTGTTATCTCAATAGCGCTAAACGCATTCCTAACATTTCTAATTTTCAAGAAATCACCCAAGAAATTAGGATCCTATAAATACTTGATGATCTATATTTCTTGGTTCGAAATTGCCTATTCAATTCTGGATGTTGTTGTTTCTCCAATCGTTTTCTCACACAACTCAATATTCTTGGTTTTCGCATCAGCGAAAGATAAATTCCTTTCAAAATTCACTTTTTCAATTCTGAACTCAGTATACTGTGGATTCTTCGGTTCTTCAATGGGAATGTTTGCTATTCATTTCATGAATAGATATTTCATAGCAACTGGGTGAGTAGAACCTTTGAAGAAAGTGGCGCCTAACCGATACAGAATTGTTTATAGATCTTTCTCTCAAACATTCAAAGGAAACCGAATTTTCCTATGGATGTTTATTCCTCCAATTTATGGAATCATTTGGGGTTCATCTCTTCATTTTCTTTGTGGTCCCAATGAAAAGCTCAACAGAGAAATCGAATATCCTCTATTAACAGCCTTTGATTTGAAAACTGAAGATATAGTTTACGTCGGTCCCTATATATACCAAAAGAATTTGAATGGAGCTTATGAAATCGATCAAAATTCGGTCATTGCTATTGCTATTATGTGGTGTCTTCTTGGCTCTTCATTTTTCGCAATAATCTACTTTGGAACTCGATGTCACATTCATATATCCAAGTTTTCAAAAACAACATCTAGTCAAGGTGTATCACTTCAATCCCAGCTATTTTTCGCATTAGTTACACAAACCATGATTCCGGTAGTTCTGATGCAAATTCCTTGTGCAATTTTGTTTACGTGCACATTTCTCAATACAAATCTTGGGCAACTAAGTGGAATATCAACGATTACAATTGCTATATTTCCAGCTATTGATCCACTTCCAACAATGCTTATTGTCAAGAATTATCGAGTTGCGATTTCAGGATTTTTTAGAAATTATAAAGTCGTGAAGGTCGAGAGAAGAGCCGGAATATGAAGTTCATAGATTTTTGTTTTTTGTTCAAACAATTCCCATGTCGAGTATAGTTAATTAGAGTTATCGAACTCAATTTGTGACATCATGATATTGTCCATATTCCGTTCATTTTGTGAAAACAAATAAAAAATTTTCTTTCAAAAACAAAAAAAAATCGGAAAAAGAAAAAAAACTGTAGGTATTCGGGCCAGATTTTTAATCAGTTCATGCTCTAACTTCAGTTACAACGTTAGAAGGAATTATTCCGAATTTTTGTGAGAAATTTTAAATTCCCTTCCCTCATTTCCCAAGTCCTAGAGTCTCTGAAAACCCCTCCTCCCAAAAAAACTCACATTTTTCACCAGAAAGATTCCCAACACTTCCCAATCCACAAAATCACAATATAAATCCAGCATTCCAATTCGCTTCGAGATACAAAATTCCACATCAATCTTCGAATTTTCTGAAAAAATTGACGAGTATTTTTCAGCCTTGAAAATCTCTCAAGCAAGTAGGCCCGGCCCGATTTCTGAATTGGAACTTGACAAAAGTGGTTTCAATTTTCTGGCCCGGGCCGATTCAGACATCTCGAAAATCAGGCCTGGCCTGGTCAAAATCTCCGAATACCCTCAAAAAACCCACCAATTTTCATCCAAAATTCGCTGTTTCAAAATTTTGCCAGAATCCCGAAATACTCTGAAAACATATTTTTTTCTAGAAGCTTTAAAATAACAAATGCCACGCCCAAAAGTTCACGTGGAAATTTATTTTTTCAATATAATTTTCAATAAAATAATTTATTCTTCATTATTAAAAATGGTGAATCACACATACTGTCTGACAGTTTCTTTGAGCAAGTAAAAAAAGGAAAAAAATCAATCAATAATCTTAAAATAAACTTTTTTGTGTGTGGGGGAAAAAAAGAAAAACGAGATCAATAAATATATGTACAGTATTAAAAAATGTAAAATTTCGAAAAAAAGGGGGTTACAAACAATAATTTTTCTCCTGAAGTTTCTTACAAGTTTTACATTTCACTTCGCAACACCAAACAAATTGACAATGACAAGGTTCATCGACAATTTCGCGAGTTGTTCGCCATCCGCGACCGCAACAAATTTGTCGACAATTCTCGCCGCATTCACGATCTTTCACATCAATCGCACAATAATTCGGCGATGTTTCCAGATAGATCAACTCATTTTTCATGGCATCTTTCGAGATGTGTTCGACGGGCTTCAAATATCGCTCACTTCTCATTTGTTGCTCATTTTTCGGAGCACTTCGTCGAACAAACATTTTCTGATCTTTTTCCGAGATTTCAACGTGTTGAGCGGCTTGATATTTTTGCAGCAGTTTGGCGGCGAACTCATCAAATTTCGGCACAACTTTCCAGCATGTTTTTGTCACACAACTTCCGCTTACTCCGTGACATTTGCATTCTTTTCGCATTGCTGAGGTTAGGATTCGACGGCCGACGCGATTGTTGTGAAGATTCATTTTGGATCTGAAAAATAATAAGATTGCGGGGCTTTTGTCACGTGGAATTCACCAAAATCTTACCTTGGCTGCTCGGAATGTTGCTTATCATATTGATCAACAAATCGCCGCCCAAATTGATTCCCAAATTTAACATTATCCGAACAACCGGACCAAATAAAATCCTTGGTTTCATAGGAATGTGGAAGCAATGTTGATGTTGATGTTGGATGATCGCCACATCCGCATTCATTGATCAAACCTTTCGAGCAGGCTTTTGAAAGTGCGTGACTGACACCGGCTGCGGAAATGGCGTAGACGTAGGCGGATTCTTTTGAAGCGACTGGAAAATTGAATATTTTTGTGTGAAACGTGGCAAAAATAACTCACTCTTCAATGGTGCAGTTCCAACACCAGGCGCATCTAACGTACAATTCCATGCCTCAGTTTTGAAAGCATTCTGACACTCATAAAGCGCTGTGCGAAGTCCACCAACCAAATATTTGATAACTTGCGGATGCTCGCGACACATTCTTCGTTGCTGCGCGCTGAGACCGGGTACTGTCGCGCAAGACATTGACGCATCATCATTCGACAACATCCTGAAAGAAAAACGGAAGTTTTCCCAGGGTAACCACCAATTTACAGGCCATAAAATGCCAACATATGGCGCATAGTTTTATGATACCCATAATTGTAATCCTTGTTTACCCCCCTTCTCGAATTGTTTTTATTAGTTTTTTTTTTGCTGAGGCTTTTGTCGGCACATTTTTATAGGTTTTTGTTGTGGTTCGTGAGGGCTAGGCGGGCGGGAAAAATAAATTAAAATCAAGGAAAATTCGGGTGGTGGGAATGGGAAAATCAAGAAAATATAAGAGACTTTGAGGTTTTGTTAGGATAAACATCTTTTGAATTAGTCGAACGAAAAAAAATGTTTTTTTTTAACATTGAAAAAAGAATTCACGAAAAATGAAAAAATGTAGAAAAAAACATTGAAGGTCAAAATTGTTTTTCGAATTTTTCAGCCAAAAATGATGACAAATCGAGATTTTTGAAGCTTCTGGGGTGATTTCTGATGAAAATAAACTACCTCATTTTTAGAAGTTTTTCGAAATTTATCAAAATTTAATTTTTTATCTTACGAAAAATCAGCAAATACTTCTGGAAAGTACATTTCAAGGTCAATTTTTATCAGAAATTACTCCAGAAGCTTCAAAAAAGCTCGATTTTTCATCATTTTTGGCTGAAAAACTTGAAAAATAAATTTTGACCTACAATGTTTTCTCCACATTTTTTTGCCTTGTCGTTCTCAGAAATTTTTTTGTAGGGGGACAGAACTTTTTAAGCACATTGTTCGAGTTCTGTCTGATCGCTGTGCGGGCACTGAAAGATTTATGCCTTGGAATTCATTTTTTCTCCGAGTCAATGAAAAAAGACCAAGTGGAAAAGAAAGACAGGACACGTACATTAACAATCATGTTTGTACCAGTACTGTACAGCATACCTCGCTGCGTGAATTGCGTTTTGTTCGTATTCTGTCTACTAGCCGCGATGAAATTTATATTGGTCTTGTCACGATCGGTTATCCCAATGATGGAGACATTAATTTTTTCATTCTCGTTTTTTTGGGATTTCATCGTTTTTCTTTCCTTTTTCAAGTTTGAATTATTAGTTTTGTTATTTTGTTGTATCAAAATAGAAGAAAATAATCAACTTAGAATTGTGAAACTAAATTCTGAATTGATTCTCGTTTTCATTGTGATTATTGTGAAATTCCACGCTTTGAAATTGTTTTTTTTCTCGATTTTCATATAACTAATTTTAAGCCGGAGCACTCGACTGCATCAACATGGAAGCCGGGCCACGTCGAAATCGATTAAATTGCTCTGCCGCTCCAACTTCAAATATTTTCTGGTTTCAAAAGTGAGTTTTTAGTTTTGGATACATTTCGAGTTATTACCGTCATTAAATTGCAGATACCTATGATTCTATCTACTTCATCAATTCATCTTCACTTCAGCAATGGATAAACAGTGCGAAACTGATGAAAATGGAACGAAGATGGTTCAATTATTTTCGAAAAGTTTCGAAATTCGCTTTGGACAAGTGCCAAAATCACAACTCCACTACATCTCACCACCGTCTAATAATTGTACGAGTAATGTCTATACTTTGTCACTGGATTTTTTAATGAATAAATTCTTAAGTTTGTACGCGTACTGTCTCTCTTTCATCGCTCTCACGTCGTCCTGCTGTACCTGCCCTGTCTTTTTTCGATACCCCATTTCTGAGAGCCTAGCAGCGTTGTGCGGGTACTGAACGATTTGTGTACGAAGACTGTACTGAACATGTGCCAATACTCCGCTTGGACGCGTTCCTGTACGAGGATAGTTCAGAACACGCACACCAAACAGACTGTCGCCGTACAAAAAAAATTCTGAGTTAACTGCTCTTTCAATAAAAATTTTTTTAAAACAGTTTTCGTTCGTGAATCAGCCCTACTCTTTTCAAAAACTCACCACCAACAATCGAGAACCGGCAACATTGATAGCAGAATGCAGATTGAAATTGGTGCAAATAAATGGGACCTTCTCATTTTTTGGTCTGAAAAGTGTTGAATTCGAGAAATCCACAGGTGAAACAAAAACAAAAACAAAACGAAAATAAAAAATAGACAAGAATGGATAAAAAAGTGGGCGGAGCTTGACAACAACAAAAAATAAAGATTGTAAAAATATATTGCACACACGCGCGGGTAGATCAAAACAAATAGATGGATTTATTATATGGATCTGTCTGTGGCGCAATTTTTGGGGATTTTGGGAAGAATTTTTGAATGAAATATAACAGAAAATAGGAGAAGTAAAAGAAGGTTTTCCCAAGGTGTGTTGGTTTTTTTTGGTTTGGTTGAATAGGCAAAAAGTGTGAGTCATTCGTCGAGAGAAAGAGGCAAATGGGAGCTTTTTTTTGTGTGTATATGTTTTTTTTTGATAAAGAAAAACATTTATACATAGTTGGTTAATTGGAAAAATGTGGTGAGAAGATTGAGTTAGGGTAACTTGTACTATGATTTTTTTTGCTAGAAAAATGGTTTTTGTTTCAACTTGTTTTTCTTGAAATTTCCAACCATTTTCAAAATTCTGACAAGAGAAATTTGACAACAGAATCAGTGGAAATCAAAAATTACAGACCAAGTTGAATACTCATAATTCAGTCAAGTTTTCTCGCCAAAACACCCATATAATCATCGACAACACTGTACTTAGTCACAAAAACTGTCTGCCTTTGGCTAATAAATCTGTTTGAATGCAACATCCAAAAAAAACGTTGTATTTGTTTACATATCCGATTTCATCGACTTTTGAACTGTTTCGGCTGACAGGGTGGCTTTCGGCAAAAGGTGACAAGTACTCTTCAAATCGTTCTTCACACCAACAAATCTGGAACAAGGGTACTTGGTGTGATAAAACATCTGGAGACTAAAAAAGGGGAAAGAAAAGTGAAAAAAAAAGAAAATTAAAAAAATGTGTGCATTTGTGCGTGGGTACTGTAGTTGACAACGCGTGTTTGCGGGCACTCATTTTTACTTTCTTTTTTTGCGCGGTTTTCCGTCAATTTTCCGGGGTTGTTGGTTAGGTTATGAAGATTTATAGTGCAAGAAAAGTGTATTTTCAGCGAAATGTTCCGAAAATATCGATATTTGCATATCGGCCATCTTCCATCGTACAATGAACAATTCCCAATCAAAAAATGACGAGAAATATTTGTTTTTTCACGTGAAAAACCGGATTGGCTGGAAAAGTGCATCCACCGTCGCTTCCTTATAAACGCCGAATTCCACTATCATTTTCTTTTCAGGTATATTTTGTTTTTTGTTGTTTTTTTTCGCGTGTTCCTCCTCCTCCTTCACGAAAAAAGCTATACATCTATCAAAAAAGATAAAATGAGATGAGAAAAATGAGACGAGTTATTTAGAACAGTTGTTCGAAATTTCATAGGGGGAGAAAAGTTCAGATCACATTCCATTTTATATTTCTTCGTCTCTTCTCGTCATGTATGTTCTCAAATCTTCGCTTTTTGTTGTTTTTGTGGTTTACCCTCCTCAAAAATTTGCTCTGTTGTTTTTTTCAATGAAAAACGTGCGATTTTTGTCCCCAAAAAATCATCGAAAATTTTGAAATTCAAAGTCGACTTATGCAAATCACCTCGGTCCATATAAAATTTCGGTGTAACCGCACTCAAATGCACCCCCGGGAAATTTTTATCAAGTTTCCAAATTCCTTGATTTTATCACCTTTTTTCTCGCGGAGCACGTGTGAGCACAAAAATTCGTATTTATTACTTAAATTTTTTTTTGTTTGTGTGATAAGCTGCTAAACTTCTTGTCATTAAAAAATATTTTTTGTGTGATTGTTTGTGATTTTTGATTCAAATAATACCGTAACCAAGTTTAAAAGTTATTTAGTACAGTACTACCAGATTACTGTATTCCGTTTCCTAGTTTTCTATTTTTCCCAGACAAAAAAACTAATTTTTCAAAAATCAAATTAATTACAAAGTTTCTGTTTCTCCCGAAAATACTAGTTTTTTTGTGAAACAAAAAAAACTATTTTTACATTTTCCAAGTCATTTTTTCTCCTTCATCTCGGAGAAAATAATGCTATCCGACAATTCTTCCGAAAATTCCAGTATTTCATTCCGTTTCCCGGCCGGCGATCAAGAATCGCGAAAATCTGTCGAATTTTCGATTTCCTCTTTGCCAAAACCGGATATGCAGAATCCTTTTAGTTTAGCACTTCATTCACCGCCAGGTTTGAGTGAAAATTTGGGAATTTGTCGAAAAAATTCAAATTTTTTATCGCCAGAACAAAAAAAAACATATTTTCATTAGGTATCATAGTTCTTTTTCCCTTTTGGTGATTATTTTCAGCCTTGTCCGGAAAGGGCAACAAAATATGTCCCAGTTTTTCACTTTTCCATTTTCATTCATTCTGTTTTTATCACAAAACAGTGAGCAAAAATGGGAAAGCCTTTGAGAAATTTGATTTTTGTCACTGGAATTTCGGATATTTACAGTGAGTTTGATTGAATTTTAGGGGATAGGAAGGTTTATGGTGTACTATGACCTAAAAAAATTAAAAATTAATTAATTTTTCACACGTGTACCAAACATACAAAAATAAAAAACCATTTCAAATTTTATTATTTCTGAGAAATGGTGAGTTCCACAGCTTCACTGTATCTAGTTCAAACTCTCTGCCAACTAACTTCTAACCTGTGTGTATTTTTTTCAAGGTTCCCCACCGATTCAAAAATCGCAAATCGGCGAAAGCGAGGAGGAAAACGGAGAAGGAGAAATGGGTTTGAACACGACAACTTTGGAAATTGCGCCAAGTCAAAAATCGTCGAATCACACAAATCGACCGCCGCCATTTGAAGTCGACGATTTGGTGTGTTTTTTTGTACTAATATTAGCAATGCAGTGAAAAAGCTGTATAAAATTCTATTCCCAGGACAGGACACAAAAAATTTAATTGAAATTCAATATGTCTAATGTTTATGTTAATGTTTTTCATCGACAAAAATACATTTTTTGGTCATCAAAATAATATTTAAATTTTTTTCAATTTCAGACCACCAAAATGAATGTGGTGGATCGAATTCGATCGAAATTCAATATTGGGAATGAGCTGGTGAGGGCCAGTTTGGCCGAGATGTTTTGCACCGGGTTTTTGGTGGTGAGTTTGAGAGTTAGGATAACTCAAGAAAAAAAGCGCGAGAAACGCGACCTACGACACTCCGCTTGTGCGCTTGCATGTTGTTTATAAAAATAAAAATAAAATACAAAATTATTGATTTTTCTTTTTTTTTCTTCACAAAGGTTAATCCTATAAAAATGAAAAAATACGCTCTGAATTCACTCCTTCTCCAAATCTCTCGAAATTCCAGTTTGGTGGTGAATGTGTAAATGCTCAATTCATCCTCTCGCAACGAAAAAACGACGAATGGGTGTGCATCGCAGTTGGTTGGGGTCTCGTGCTGATGTTCGCCGTTCTAATGGGCTCCCGAATCTCCGGAGCACATCTCAATCCGGCCGTCTCATTTTTCCAACTCACACAAGGAAAAATCAACGCCGTCCGTTTTATTCTCTTCGTGATTGCTCAAAATATCGGAGCATTTTTGGGCGCTCTTTTCACTTTTATCGTCTATTATGATGCGATAAATGCGTTTGATAAGGGCGAGAGAAGTGTGACGGGACCAACGGCGACCGCTGCCATTTTTGCCACTTATCCCGGAGCTCATTTGGGAACTTTTAATGCGATTACTGATCAGGTTTGTGAGTGGGAAATGAAAAATTAATCTTGCGTGAAAGTTCACGTGAAAAATATATTTATTATTGAATTAAAAACACGTGAGAAATAAAAAACTAGGTCAAGTGACGTGGATTTAAAAACAGTATAGGTAGCCATGTCGTCAGTCGCGATGCGTGTGAGCGACACGTTTTTAGAAATGAAAATTTGACAAATCCAATGGAAAATGTCGAGGTCAACACGCAACGCAGAGCCGCATCGCAATTGACGACATGGCTACCTATACTGTTTTTAAATCCACATCACTTGACCTAGTTTTTTAATTCTCACGTGTTTTTAATTCAATAATACGAGTTTTGTCATTTTGAAAAAAAATTGAATTTTCCGCGTTGAATTTTCCGATTTTTTCAATGTGAATTAAGAACATTCTGAAAATTCAGAGAAAATGAAAAATTGATCTTGCGTGAAAGTTCACGTGAAAAATATATTTAAGCGTTTTTGTCATTTCGAAACAAAAGTTTTGAATTTTTCATTTATGACTAGAAGATCCACGTGGAATTCTCCTGGAATATTTTTAGAAGGTTTCGTTTTTTTTTCAATGTTAATCAAGAAAATCTGAATTTTTAAACGATTTTCTGAAAACCCTAAAATTTTCAGAATAAAATATTAATACGGCCCGGAAACCCAGAAATAAAGATTATCTAAGATGAAAGATAGTCATCTCTAGATTGTCCGAATCTATATTAAAGTTGCCAAAAGGCATTCTCGATTTTATAAAGTGGCAAATTTGGAAAATTTTGAAAAATTGGGAATCAGACTTTCATGAAAATAATTTTAAAGGCCAGTTCTGTCCTCCTTAAGTCCCAGTTTTTCAAAATTTTCCAACCTTGCCACGTCATAACTCATGTTAGGAGTCCAGCTTTGCAGTTTTAGATATCGGGATCGTGATCGGCGGGTCGAAAACTACTAGAAAACATATGTTTCATTAAAAATCTCGATTGCAAGTTGAAACAGTTCCCTTGTGAAATCTCTTCTTCACCAAAATATTCAAAAATTCTTCCAGATCATTGGCACAGCTGTCCTTTGCATGGGTGTCGCTGCAATCGTCGACCGTCGCAACCGTATTCCCCCATTCCTTCAACCCGCCTGGATCGCCGCTCTTCTTTCATTCATCGGAATGGCTCTCAGCCTCAACGCCGGTTATGCAATCAATCCAGCGCGTGATTTCGGACCAAGACTCTTCACGCTGTTCGCCGGTTATGGTTGGCGTGTGTTCAGTTATCGCAACTACAAATGGTTCTGGATCCCAATTATTTGTCCAATGATTGGTGGAGTTTTAGGAGCGTGGATGTATGAGTTCTTCATCGGATTCCATATTCCTGATGATCCGGAGACCACTTATATTCATAAGATTTTGGATGATAGAAATCCAGATGGTCAATTGAGAGAGGTTCATGTTATTGAGAAGAAACCGTGAGTTTTTTGGGAAATTTAAAAGTTCAGAAATGAAAAATGAGAACTCTGAAAATTTCCAGAATAAGCGAGATCCACACTGAAGAGGAGACCATCGCCTACCGAAATATGTAGATTTTTGAGCGAAAAATAAAAAAAAAATAATAGACTCTGATCTTATCCAATGTATTTATTAGATGCATAATTTTTTAATAAATAAAATAATTGAAAATGGGGCTATCTATCTATCTACAGTAACCGCCACACTTTTCACTGAAATAACACTTGGTTTTGGAATTCTACTACTAATTGAGACCTTTTTGACAGGCTCCAGGCATAACAATTTTCTGCAAGCTTTTCGGTATTGAGAGGATAATTTATAGCAGATTACAAAGTGTGAAGTTGTGTTGAGAACATAGATCAGTAACCAGAATTTGATTAGTTGTTCGGAGATCACGCTGGAAATTCATGTTTTTGCGTGGAATCCACGTCATACTCACATTAGACCATAAACACCTTCGCTGAAACTTTGAAGAACATATAGAAGCCCGATTGGAAGTTCAGCAACAATCACAGAAATTGTGGTGAATAACACTAATTTGGATGTTTTGTCAGCGGAGTCTTGTCTAGATCTCCCTGATTTCTCCTGATCTTGTTTGGACTTCCTGATCGCTCGAATCAACATCAAAGTCATCACAATAAACAAAACAACTGGAACGTGTTTAGCAAGCACGGCATACAACATAGTTTGCACTGAAAACATATCCAAAATCATCCACGGTGTAGAAACATAGAAATATTCCAGTTTGTTAAAGCCTTTCGGATATTTATCTTCACACCCTATTGGTGGAACCCATGGTGTGCTTTTTGTATCGTAAGATAGAACCAGGGGGATACATAAGAGACCGCAGACGAAGGCATTGACGACTATTGCAATCCACCCGGTTTTAGGATTCGTGAGAAAGTTATATCGTGGGTTGAGAAGGTTACTTATAGCGTAAGCTCGGATTGTGACTAGGGACAAGGAGAGATATGTTGAGAATCTTCGGAAGAAATCAATTCCAAGCATGTGGATTTGTGAAGTGATGATTTTGAAATACGATGAGGGTTCGGCACATGACCCATATAATTCATCATAGCGAAAAAGTAGATCATAATCGTCTTTAATCTCCATTGTCATTGATAAAACATCAATTACCGACAAGCCTAATAGAACCACATTTGTTGAAGTGGTTCGCATCGATTTTTGGGCCAACACCAAGCCATGAAATAGATTGATGAAAATTGCCAGAATACACATCACTAATTCGATTTTACTGTAATAGAATTGATCGAAATTCGCAAGAGTTTCGATAAATTCGAAAAGTGTTTTTCTAGTGGAATTGGAATAGTTGGGGAAATAGGATTCAGCTGATTCATCATAGACTTGCTGCTCAGCAGAACTCATAATGTGATATGATTTATGCGGAATAAATTGAATGACTAAGGAAAAAGTGATTTTTTGGAGAGTAATTAGATTTGGCTGATTGTGTTTTCTCTGGAGGCTGGGCAGGTGTAAACATAAAGTCAAACATCGGAAGATCAGAAAAATGAAACAATTTTATTTTCAGAATGAATTTTAAACCAAAACTACTTATCGCTCAACTCATTAATCAAAATTTATCCTCCATCAGTTGTAGTATCTTCGGAAGCTGCAACAGTTGTAGTTGCAGTTGCTGCACAAAGTGCACAAGATTTTTGACAATATTGAATACGAGTTGCTTCAGTATAAAATGGATTTGTACAAAAACCATTATTTTTCCACGATGGACATGCTGCATAATTATCAGAACAACCAGTTGATGAACCAGTTGTTGTTGCGGTTACTGTACAATATCCACATGTTTTTGCACATCGTGATTGACGAGTTGCTGCCGAATAAAATGAATTTGTACAAAAACCATTTGCAGCCCACGATGTACAAGCTGATGCTGAATCCATGCATGTTTGACTGTATACAAAACATGGAATGATCAGGAGAAGAATTGAAGTTGCCAACAAGTTTGTCATTTTTCGAAATGAATGATACTTTTCCTAGTCTGGTCGATTCTTTTAAAGGAAATACTTTTATTTATTCATCTGTTCAAAAACTAAACCACATTGCGGAATTTACCAAATTACATGTGGGAGTGTTGATCTTCATTTTTTGAACGATTAATTGGCAGATGCTCAAATAGTTCTAAAATGCACATGAGATCAAACGCTTTATTTGTCGAGTTGGAATAGAAAACTTTATTTTCAAAATAATAAAAAAAATAGTTCCTTGAAGGAAAATAGTGATGAACAAAACCAGTATTTCAAAAATACAAAAACAAAAATTATGCCATTTTCTTCGCATCAGCAACTCCATCCACCTCGTCGAGTTTGCTCATCTTAACCATCCCTAATTTCAACTGGCTCATCGGCAAAGTTGAATCATCATAGGGACACGAAGCATATCTCATTGGAGAATTTCCATCATTAATCGAGGTCGCCACTGATGAATCAGATCCTCGTGCTTCCAGATATTTCTTGACCATAAATTCAACAATTTGAGATGTTTGATAAGCTCCGAATTGTGTGTCGAGGAATGTGATGAGAAGAAGACCATCAGCTCCCAGGAAGTTTTGGAGAAAATCTTGTGAGCGAGTTGGATTCATGTTTGGTTTTCTGTTGAGATTTGTTGGGATGAGCTTGTGTTTTCTGAATAGCATTTGGAAAGCGAATGTGAGGGTGGCCATAGTGGTAGCGACAGCAACGAAGATAATCCTGAAATTGGAATAAATTGGCACAAAATAAAATTCGGAGAGAAAAAAACTCACCAGAAGTAGAACATGACATAAACCTTCTCAATAATCATATTCAACATCATAATACATGACACCGTATGATTCTGAAGTTGTCCGAGAGTTCGAATTTTGAAATCGCAAAGCACGACACGTGGGAAAATGCTGCTCTCATGCTCGGCTGTTCCTTTAAACTCGACTTTGAAAAGATGCTCGAATGCCCAGAAATAATCGGTGAGGTTTAGGAAACATTTGATGATGAACATTTGAAGAACACAATTGGCGATGAATGAGAGTTTGAGGAGGAAATAATTGATTGTGGCTTGACATCCAACGAACTGAAAGAGGATTTTGAAAATTGATTTTTGGACATTCTTCAAGTTCTATACAAAAAACCCGTTCAAAAACCTACACTCTTTGTGGCTCTATGAATCCTCTCCAAAGTCTCACAAAATTCCGCACCAAACGCCTCACAGGCTTGTTTTTCTCCCGAACTTTTGCATTGTTTCTGATACAATCTCAATGATTTCTTCAAATTGATCTCTGTCCGTTTATGCATAACATTCCAGATCAAATACGGTACCACAAACAACAATGCCTGCAACATCAAAACCAACGGAACCCATCGATAATAATTGATTTGTCGTTCGCCTCGAGCAATATCAGTGATCTCTGTGCCATTTGGCACAAAATACGTGTCCTCAATGAAGCAATAATCGTGCACATAACCATCCCAACTGCCCGAGAATTCTCGAGGTGTCCAGCATTTCAAAGGTTGTCCGAAATATTGTTTGCATGAGATGGCGAGCGTTAAACCACCGATGAACATTGGTGTGAACCATGCGTTTAGAGTGTCGATTCGATCGAAGGCGAGTTGATCGGTTTGCTTGTTGAGGGATCGACGGATCTGGTCGTATAATGGGTTGAAAAACCCGATCATTCTGGAAAATAGAAGGTTGTGGTTGAAGAAAAGGCGGGTTAAATTACGGCAAATGAATTCGAAGTTTTTCGTACAGTTTCAAAGCCTAAGCTTCCCGGAGTTTGAGAAAAATGTTCGGAATTTCAGAAACTTCCTGGATTTTCAAAAAAGTTTCTATAAATAGTCTAAAGGATTCAGGAAACTTCAGGAAAAAATTTGAAGAATTTTCAGGGGCTTGAATTTTCAGAAAATGTTTCCAAAAGGATCCGTAGGATTTAGGCAAACTCAAAAATGAAAGGAAAAAAGTTCAATTGGACTATCAAAAAACTTTTGAAAAGTCCAAGAAAGTATTTTTTCACACAAAAAATTTTGATAAATTGCAAATTAATTTCAGATTTCAAAGAATTTTCAGAAAATGTTTTCAAAAGGAAAGAACGATTTGAGAAAATTCAAAAATAAATGGAGTTGTTTGAAAAATTATATTGGATTACCAGAAAGCATTTGAAGAGTTCTAGACAGAAACGAAAAAATCTGGAGCATTTTTATACTAGTCTAGATGCCACGTGGCAATTTTGCTCATTTCAAACAAAAATCGTTCATGAAAAGCCAAAAAGTCATAAAACAACAATAACAAGGGTGACAGAAAAATAATAAAAACAAGAATAATGACCCAACGAGAAGAAAAAAGGAGAAAATACGTGCAAACGAAAAAGGTCAACCGGGTAGAGTGGGACGCGTCCCGCCCTCCCCCTTTTTTTGTCTCCCGCCAATGCTCTCTCGCTCTCGATTATTATTGAATAAATAGTGTGGGTGTGAGTTGGCATATGGCGGGATTTGGTGTGAGAAATTTGGATGCACCAGAGTTTTTGGGAACAATTTTATGTATTCCGAAAATTAAAATGCGCGCGATTTTTTTCTGTAGATCAAACATTTATTGTCACACTTTTCACAGAGATCACACTTGTTTTGGTGTTTTTGGAAACCGATTTTCTTGCAAAAAAGGTTTTCACAGTTTTTCGATATTGGGAGGATAAATTATAACAGATTATTAGATGGAAGGTTGTGTTGAGCACATAAATCAAAAAGCAGAAGCGGACGAATTGCTCGGTGATTACTCTGAAATTTTATATACATATCATTCAATTTTAATGAATTCAAGAATTTACAACCAGAATCTTACATCCACCCGATTACATTATCATATAAACTTTGGAACACATACAAAATCCCGATTGGAAGTTCAGCAATAATCACAGAAATCGTGGTGAATAACACAAGTTTTGAAGTTTTATCCGGATCATCTTTTTTCGCTTTTCCAGATTTTCCCTGGTCTTTTGATGCCTTTTTAATTGCTCTAATCAAAACCAAAGTCATAACTATAAATAGAATTACTGGAACATATTTAGCTAACACCGCATCCAACATGGTGTTCATCGAAAAAGTATCAAAAATTATCCAGGGTGAAGCAATGAAAAAATACTCCAACTTCTTATAGTTCTTTGGGAATTTGTTTACACACCCTTTTGGTGGGGACCATGGATAAGATTCTATATGATACGAGAGAGCTTGAGGTATACAAAGTAGACCGCAGATTATTGAGTTAGCTAAAATGGTTAGCCATCCGGTTTTGGGTTTTGTGAGAAAATCGAATCGTGGGTTCATTATTTGACTGATGGCAAATGCTCGGATTGTGACTAGGGATAATGATAAATAGGTTGATCCTCGTCGAGAAAAATCTACAAGAATTTTAGAAAATTCTGAAATCATTATTCTGAAATACGACAAAGGTTCGGCGCTGAAAAGTTGTGGTTTATAAATTTGAGAGAATGAAAGAAAAATGCCCACCAAATATCTGGAATTTCATCAAACTGAAAAATCAACTCAAAATCTGCATACGCTCCTAAACCCATTGATAAAATATCAATCAAAGACAATCCTAACAAAACAACATTTGTTGAAGATGTTCTCATTGATTTTTGCGATAAAATGAAACTATGAAAAATATTGATCAGAATTGCCAAGATGCACGCGACAAATTCAATTTTTGTGAAAATCAAATGGTCAAAATTTGAAAGCTTGTCAATAAAATCAACAAGAAATATTTGGGTAGACTTTGGATAACCTGGGAAATAATCATCGGCTAGACTTCCCATATATTCTTGGTCCATTTTTTTACAATAGACAGAAAATATTATTTTTTTTAGTTAGAAAACAGTTATTAGATTTGGGAAATGCAATTATCTTGATCTGTTTTTCTCGAGAAACAGGTGAAAACTGAATTACAAAATATGTAAATTGAGGAAAAACAAAGAATGTCTATCCAAATTGCCACATCAAGGGTCACGTGAAATTTAAGAATGTTTTCTTGTCTTGAAAAAAATTGTGACCAATTTCTGCGATTTTTCATCGATTTTTATCCAGGAAACGTTTTTCCGAATTTTGCCAGTCGCATTTTGAAAAACAGGAATTTCCGTAAAATGTCCTTTTTCAAAAATGAAATTATCTAAAATTTAAATCTACGTAGGACAAAATCTAGCATAGTTCTGCCATCCGAATCACAATCTATGAAATTTTTTTAATCGAAAGATTGACCGGATTAGACTACGTCCATTATTTTTTTTTTGAGATTCCTAATGTACTCGAAATATGTTACAACTAAACTTTATTCGATCCTTTATCTGACTTTACTTGCATTTATATTTCTAAATTTTTATCGCCGCAATAAATCAACAGTATCCAGAGATTCCTACTATTTTACAAAGTGAGGAAATATTTTTAAAAAATTAAAAAAATTAAAAAAAAATTCTCAAAACTTTTTCCAGAGCTGAGTTAAAATATCTGGATTGCAATGGATTCTTTGATAACCATCATGTTGCAATAGATAATTATAGAAATAGTGGGCGACTAAAATTTGAACCTCAAAAAATGAGAAATGTTTCTATGGATTGTGAAAGTATTGTCAAAAGGGTTTTTGATGGTCGCGATTTCAGCAGGGGAAATAATTTGAAACGGCAGATTGCGTTTATCAGAAATGTCTATACGGTATTGAAATGACTATGAGATCAGAAGATTTTTCAAAATTCAAATTTTTCACAGGTTTATGAATTTCAAGAGATTCTTCTCTCTTCAAATTATCATCCAGATAACGTATATTGCTATTCTGTTGACAATAAAACAACAACTGGAATATTTGAGAAAATTGAGAAACTTTCTGGATGTTTACCAAACATTATCCTAAATCCTATCAGATATGATTTCGATTCTTGGGGTCATCAACAAAATCGAGCGCAATTCAAGTGTCTAGAAATGGTGATGGATCGAAAATGGGATCATGCTCTTATTTTGCAGGTTTACCATTTTATAGATTTTTTTTAGATTATCAAAATTTTTTTCTTCAGAATAATGACATGGTTTTGAAACCTGCTGAACATTTATCAGAGCTCAGCGAATTGCTGAATTATACAAATGGCATGTACTTCGAGAGCCCAAAAGAAGGTTGGTATATTAAAGATGCTGATTGGACACCTGCTGGTTTGAAACTCTTTAAAAATGGTAGTGAAATTTTATTCTCACCTGTTTCTTAAATAGAAAAAAATTCAGAATCCGGTGTGCCGCTAGATATTTTATATAAACCACTTCAAATTTGGAAAGGATTCAATGAAGTTATAGTTTCTAGAACATTTATTGAATCAATATTTGATAAGTTAAATTTGGAGAGAATTATGAATTTATTTGATCGGAAAGAGGTATTTTTATTCGGTTTCAATAGGGTAAAATCTGAATTTTTGAAGCTTTTTGGTGTTGATGAGATGTTGTTCCAAACTTTATATCGAAATTATCTTGGATTAGATGGGCAATCAATTTCGAATTGCACTAACTTTGTTCCAAACACAATTGAGAGATGGACAGATTGGATACAACAAGGAACAAATGGCACATACCATCCAGATTGTAAATCGAAATTTGAAAGACATTGGATTTGTATCATGGGAGTGGAATATTTACCAGGATTTATTGAGACCAATTTTGTGATTGGAAACAAAATTCTAGATAGTTTTGATGTGGGACCAGCGATCTGTTTGAAAGAAATGTTTCAGCAGGATAGAATTAAGAAAAAGATAACGAGGGTGGAACTTCAGAATTTTCCACAATTTCGAGAGATGGAAATAAAATACAATGGAACTTATGAGAAGAATGATTTTCGGTGTGGAGAATAGGATATTTTAAATTTGTTGTGTAGTTGTTTTTGTTGTACTCAATTTTTTTTGTTGATAAAATTCCAAAATGAAAGAATTCTGTTTATGTGTGTGAAATCAAAACCACTAACAAAAAAAACTCAATTCAAATTTATCCTCCATCAGTTGTAGTATCTTCGGAAGCTGCAACAGTTGTAGTTGCAGTTGCTGAACAAAGTGCACAAGATTTTTGACAATATTGAATACGAGTTGCTTCAGTATAAAATGGATTTGTACAAAAACCATTATTTTTCCAAGATGGACATGCTGCATAATTATCAGAACAACCAGTTGATGAACCAGTTGTTGTTGCGGTTACTGTACAATATCCACATGTTTTTGCACATCGTGATTGACGAGTTGCTGCCGAATAAAATGAATTTGTACAAAAACCATTTGCAGCCCATGATGTACAAGCTGAGGCTGAATCCATACATGTTTGACTGTATACAAAACATGGAATGATCAAGAGAAGAATTGAAGTTGCCAACAAGTTTGTCATTTTTCGAAATGAATGATACTTTTCCTAGTTTAGTCGCTTCTTTTAAAGGAAACTTTTATTTATTCAGATGCTCAAAAACTAAACCACATTGCGGAATTTACCAAATTACATGTGGGAGTGTTGATCTTCATTTTTTGAACGATTCATTTTCAGCTGATCAAACATTATGAAGTGTACCTTGGGTACTTTCAGGAACCAAAAAATTATTTATTGAGATCAAAACATACCTAACAAAAACTTCTTACTTATTACACTGAAAATCATCCTTCTCATAAGTCCCAAAATGTTTCATTTCCATTTCTCGAAATTGCGGATAGTTTTGAAGGTCATCTCTTGTTATCCTCTTCTTAATTTCATTTTTCTGGAACAGTTCTTTCAAGCAAATAACTGGTCCAACGTCATAATTCTCTAGAACCTTATTTGCTATCACAAAATTTGTATTCATAAAATCTGCCAAATATTCCACGCCCATGATACAAATCCAATGTCTTTCGAGTTTAGATTTACAAAATTCATAAAATGTTCCAGAGGTCCCTCGATTTGTCCAATCTGTCCATCGTATAATTGTATCCGGCACAAAATTAGTGCAATTTGATGTTGGTTGACCTTCCAATCCAAGATAGTTTCGATATAATGTTTGAAGCAACATCTCATCAACACCATAGAACTTCAAACAAAAATGATTGTATAGAATCAGGGATGGGGAATCTGGCCTCACGTTGGCATTTTTATTTTTTTTAATGCAGACTAGGGGCGGTGCCCCTAGGCGAAACAGTCAGAAAATCCTCAAAAATTCTAAATTTTGAAGAAAACCCTATATTTCGCAGCTAACGAGGGAAGTGTGTGACGAGTCCCCGGAGATTTTCAATGAGACCTATGTTCTTTTGGTCAGTTTTTCACGCTGATAAAGATCCTGTTTTCAGTTTTTGCTGAACGACTCTCTGAAGAGCCCAAAAATGAGCCAAAAGTTGAGAATTTCGTGAAAATCGCGTTTTTGAGAGCCCATAACTCATGTTAGAAATTATTTTTATGGGAAACGGAATGCATCACGTTGTTTAGGAGGGTCGATTTTCCAAAGTCACAAATTTTTGGTTAGTAAATCCATACTTTTTCAGAAAAACATTTTGTGGCTCAGAAAATAGGCTCAGGTCATGGATTGCACATTTGAAAAATTTTGGAAAATTTTGTCAAAATTTGTCACGAAATTCTCAACTTTTGGCTCATTTTTGGGCTCTTCAGAGAGTCGTTCAGCAAAAATTGAAAACAGGATTTTTATCAGCGTTAAAAACTGACCAAAAGAACATAGGTCTCATTGAAAATCTCCGGGGACTCGTCACACACTTCCCTCGTTAGCTGACGGGAGAAAAAAAATAATTCTTTCAAAAAAGTTACGCCTGGGAATACAAATTGTGAAGTGCAAAAATTAATCTACCTATGAAATATTTCATAGTTTGTTTTTCAAAAAAATCTGGAAGCTGATCCTATAGCTTCAAATGCAATTCAAAGCTTCATCTAATCATTTTCACAAAGTAATTTATAAACAACTTTCCTTTAACATCAATAGTAATTATGAATAAAAAACGTTACCCAATATTTTTCAATGAAGCTCAAATCTCACCTGTTAGTTTTGTCTCCCCCCCCAAACTTCAAAATAAACTAACTTGACTTGCCCGTTCCGTGAAAAGTTGTTCATCTCTTTGAATGTCCTGTCCAAACGAAAAATCATCTTGTTCGGAAGCCTGAAACTTCTACATTCTTTTCCTCAAAATTTTCGCCTATTCTTAAACTTACATCAGAAAATGACAATTGTCGATTTAATGGGACGCCTGCATTCTGTGACTGTTGTCTCTAAAAAAATAAGAAAATTAAAAATGTACCAAATCACACAAAACCAGAAAAATGATTCAGTTAAAAAAAACGTTCAATCAATAATTACTTTTCAAATGAAAAACATCTCTCTTTCTCTCTCTCTCTCTAACCCACTCTCCATTTCCCACACTCTCTCATCTACCCTGCAAAAAACAACAACAAAATAAACACGCTAAACAACGCGCACGCGGAATATCGTTGTTTTTTTTTTTGCACGACATTTTTATTTTTGGTTTTTTTCTGGTTTTTCTGGGATTTTTTTAGCGCATAAAAAGTTATTAATGGGGTGATTTGGTACATTTTTTAATTTTCTTATTTTTTTCAGAGACAACAGTTACCGAATGCAGGGATTTCATCAAATCCACAATTGTCATTTTCTGATGTAAGTTTAAGAATAGGCGAAAATTTTGAGAAAAATAATGTAGAAGTTTCAGGGTTCCGAACAAGAAGTGGTTTCGTTTGGACAGGACATTCGAAGAGATCAACAACTTTTCACGGAACGGGCAAGTCAAGTTAGTTTATTTTGAGGTTCGGGGGGGGGGGGGGGACAAAACTAACAGGTGAGATTAGAGCTTTATTGAAAAATATTGGGTAAAGTTTTTTATTCATAATTACTAGTGATGTTAAAGGAAAGTTGTTTATAAATTACTTTGTTAAAATGATTAGATGAAGCTTTGAATTGCATTTGAAGCTATATGATCAGCTTCCAGATTTTATTGAAAAACAAACCATGAAATATTTCATAGGTAGATTAATTTTTTCATATTTTTATGCACGCGATCTCCAGTTTGTTTTGAATTCAGTGGTTAGATCACGTGTTCTCGAAGGTATGATTTTCGGAAAAAAAGGGGAAAAAATCAAAAATGTCCAAAATTTCGAAAAAAATCCAGCTTCCATCGAGAAAAAAATTTCTCTGCTATTTTTTGTTCACGCGAGGCTGGGCATATGGCTTTAGGACATGTTCAAGCCATGTTAGAGCCAGGACAAGTTTAGACCATGTTCAAGGACAGGACAACATGAGGCCAGGCCAATTTCCCATGGTTTATTACAATTACCTTTCTCTGATCGAATAAATTCATAATCTCCTCCAGGTTCAATTTATCGAACATAGATTCAATGAACACTCTTGACACTATAATTTCATTGAAACCTTTCCAAACTCTCAGTGGTTTATGTAAAATAGCTTGAGAAACTTCGGCTTCCGATTTGAAAAGTTTGAGCCCGGCAGGTGTCCAATCAGCATCTTTAGGATACCAACCTTCATGTGGATCTTCGAAAAACATCGCACTTGTGTCATTTAAAAGTTCACTGAATTCTGATAAATGATCAGCTGGTTTCAAGACAAGGTCGTGATTCTGAAATGAAATATTTTGACACTTTTTACAATCTTCAGAATTACCTGGAGAAAAAGTGCATGCCTCCAAGTTCTATTCAAACTAAATTCCAGACATTTGAATTGCGCTCTACTTTGAAAACGTCCTCTTGAATTGAAATAATATCTAGTTGGATTCAGAATAACGTTTGGCAAACATTTTGAGAGAATCTGAAGATTTTCAAATATTCCAGTTGTTGAATATTTGTCAACAGAATAGCAATATGTATTGTCTGGATGATAATCCGAAGAGAGAAGCATCTCTTGAAATGCGTAACCCTTAAAAAAATTGTCGAATATTTAGTTAGTTATTGGGATTTTTTGTTAGAATACCGTGAAGACATTTCTAATGAACGCAATTGGTCGTTTCAAATGTTTTGTGGAACTGCGGCCATCAAAAACTCGTTGAGATATACTTTTACAATCCATCGCTAAATTTAAAGGATACTTTCTATTTAATTTAAGACGTCCATTCTTAATGTAATTATTCATTGAATTGGGATCATTTATAAATCCTGTGCAATTAAGATGTTTCAACTCATCTCTGGAATCAAAAAAAAGTTGAAAAGTGCCCTCAAACTTTCTCGGGGGAATTCCAAAACTTACTTTGAAAAATAATACGATTTCTTCAATGGTCTTGAATTTATCCTGAACTGAATTACTAGAAATATCACCAAATGCAGTAAAAGAATGTTATACAGACTGTAGAACATGAAGATTGAAGATCTTTGTTAGGTGCATCTATTTCATGAAAAATCTAGTTTAGGCGCGATCTCACGAATGGGGATTCAAAGATTGTAGTTCTGATATATAATAGTTGTGCTTTATTCTGCTTGTATGATGTTATCTTTTCTATTAGATTTCTTTCTAGGAATTCGTGAAACCTATGGGTCAAAAAATAACCAATCCTTTATCACTCCAAATTTTCGAAACGCTTTGCTGTAGATCAAAAAATTCTCATTTTTGAATTGAATTTCTTTTCAGCTTGTGGTAATGTTTCGATTCAAAAACCGAATAATTTGTATCTATTTTCCATCGACGAAAATTTCGATTTTCCTCAACTCTAGTGAAAATCGTGTTGCGTAGATTTTCTCAGACGATAACAGTTTTTTTCAAAGAGTGTACCCATGTATTTTGATTTGTTTCATGAGTGACGATTTTCTGTTTTATTCCGAGAGAAATATATGTATGTATTTTGCAAGAATTGTTTTAGTTTGATCAGCTGAAAATGAATCGTTCAAAAAATTAAGATCAACACTCCCACAATAATTTGTGGTTTAGTTTTTGAACAGTTGAATAAATAAAAGTATTTCCTTTAAAAGAAGCGACTAAACTAGGAAAAGTATCATTAATTTTGAAAAATGACAAACTTGTTGGCAACTTCAATTCTTCTCTTGATCATTCCATGTTTTGTATACAGTCAAACATGCATGGATTCAGCATCAGCTTGTACATCATGGGCTGCAAATGGTTTTTGTACAAATTCATTTTATTCGGCAGCAACTCGTCAATCACGATGTGCAAAAACATGTGGATATTGTACAGTAACCGCAACAACAACTGGTTCATCAACTGGTTGTTCTGATAATTATGCAGCATGTCCATCATGGAAAAATAATGGTTTTTGTACAAATCCATTTTATACTGAAGCAACTCGTATTCAATATTGTCAAAAATCTTGTGCACTTTGTTCAGCAACTGCAACTACAACTGTTGCAGCTTCTGAGGATACTACAACTGATGGAGGATAAATTTTTATTGGGTTTTGTAGTTTTGTCTAGTATCACAGAATTAAAAATGTTTTATTTTCTATCTTTCTTAATTCACGTGGAAAATTTTAATCCATTAAATCGTCATAGCAACACTTCTCACAGATATCACACTTGATTTTGGAACCGATATTGAAGCAGAAATCCCAAAGAAATTTTTAATAGTTTTTCGATATTGAAAAGATAAATTATAGCAGATTATAAAATGTGAGGTTGTGTTAACTACATAAATTAGGAAACAATATTGCACGAATTCCTCACTGATGACTCTGAAAACTTGAGAACATTTTCATCTCATTTGAACCCACTCACATCCACCCAATGTAATCTTCGGTGAAACTTCGAAATACATATAAAATTCCGACTGGAAGTTCAGCAAGAATCACCGAAACTGTAGTGAATAGAACAAGTTTTGAAGTTTTATCCCCATCATCTTTGCGAATACTTCCTGATTTTAATTTACTCTTTGAGGCATTCCGAATCGCTCTAATTAATACAAATGTCATCACTATGAATAAAACTACAGGAACATGTTTAGCCAACACCGCATCTAACATAGTTTGCATTGAGAAAAGATCAAAAATCATCCAAGATGTTTCAACATAATAGTACTCTACACTTGTATAATTTTCCGGGTATCTACTTTCACATTCTTCTGCCGGAACCCATTCATGAGTTTCTACTGCATACGAAAAAAATTGAGGAATGCACAATAATCCGCAGACAATTGAATTTGTTAAAATAGTTATCCAACCGGTTTTTGGTTTTGTGAGAAAATCAAATCTCGGGTCCAATAATTGGCTGATAGCAAAAGCTCTAATTGTGACCAAAGATAGTGATAGATACGTCGATTCTCGTCGAGAAAAATCTATCGCAATCATTTTTATTTGATTAATGATTATTGTGATGTAAGAGGCTGGTTCGTAGCTAGAGCTGAAAATGTAGTTTGTAATTCTCAAACAAGTATTCAATAAAAACTTCTTAATGAAACTTACCAAATATCTATTGGAATATCAAAGGGATTGGCCTTTACGTCTAATTTCGGTTTATAAATCTCCATCTTGCTCTCTCAACGATTTCCACACTCTTATTGATCAACTTTCGGATCTTGTCGGTGATTCAGACTCAAAATGTATTGTATCCGGAGATTTTAATCTCCCTGATGTTGACTGGTATCAAAAAACATCGGATACGCCTCAGGGAAAACTATTAATCAAATTTTGTGAAGAACACAGCTTTTCACAATATGTGGAAACAAGCACACGGGGTGCAAATATTCTAGATCTAGTCCTGTCAAACTTCTCTGTCTCGGACGTGTCCATCCTTCCTCCGGTAGGGAAATCGGATCACTCCACCATCCAATTCAAAACCTCACTTCATTTTTATCCCCCAGAGGAATCCAAAATCCTATTCCCAGACATTTCTAAAACAAATAAAACAAAACTGTTTTCTCTACTAACCGATGTTCATTGGCGTGATGTAATTGGATCTTCAACAAATTCTAACTCATTATACAACAACCTTTTAGATTTCCTTAATCACGCCTATTATACATGTGTACCATTCAAAACAAAAGTAGCTAGTCGCCTTAATTTGCCTATTTATTTACAAAACATGTTCTCGCACAAAAACTGTTTATGGGCAGAAGCAACAAAAACAAACAATACCGCAGATTTCAGGAAATATACAAAATTCAACAACAAATATCTGCAAGCACTCAAAAAGTACAATAGGAATTTAGAAGACAAATTAATAAGCGTACTTGGCACCAAAACTTTCTACAAAAATGTAAATCTGCGGTTCAAAACAAACACCAAAGACATAATTCTATTTGAAGAACACACAAAAACATCAATCACAAACAAACAAGCCATAGCAGAAAAAATTGCCGAATATTTTGCCAAAAACTTTGCCAACGGAAACCCAAACACAACCCTCCCAAGATTCTCAAACGATACTGATGTGGCTGGTAGTTTTCCCTGGGTTTATATTCACGAAGTTTTAACGGAATTCAAAAAAACAAAAAGCAATTTCACTCTAACTCCAGACGGTATTCCGTTTTCTTTTTTAAAACTCTTTCCGGATTGGATATGTGAACCACTGGCTCACATATTCAACATTTCAATGATGCATTCAAACATTCCAAATCAATGGCGAATGTCCTACATAACCCCTATTCCTAAAACTTCTGATGCAAACACAGTGGAAAACTTCCGTCCTATTAGTATTACCAGTCAGATTTGTCGTATATATGAGAGAATTATCAAACGAAAAATAGTACAACATCTGGAAAATACTAAATTTTTCACTTCTTCCCAACACGGCTTTGTAGCTGGAAAATCAACCACTACACAGTTACTTGAGTGTTTAAATTTATGGTCGGAGTCACTCGACAATAACACTCAAACAGATGTTGTTTACTTTGATTTTAGCAAAGCGTTTGATATGGTAAATTTCACAATAATTTTTGAAAAACTCTCAAATCTCGGACTAAATTCATATATTTTAAATTGGATTCGAGAATATCTGACTGGTAGAGAATTCATGGTGAAAATAAAGGACACATTTTCTAAACCTCGTCCAATTTTTTCCGGAGTGCCACAAGGGGGAGTCTTATCTCCACTCTTATTCACAATATTCGCAAACGACCTCCCCAGCTCTGTTTCATTACCAGGAGTCGTTGTGGCACAGTTTGCGGATGACGTAAAAATTTTCTCATCCATAAAAAACCGGAAGGATTCTGAAAACCTGCAGAAATCCATAAACAAAGTTGTTTCTTGGGCCGTTGAAAATAAATTGGCATTAAATGGCGATAAAACAAAAATACTTTCTATACACACAAAACCAACCAAATTTGAGTATAAAGTAATGGACACAACAATAAACAGAACATCGGTTATGAGAGATCTCGGGTTTTATATCTCTGAGAATTTGGATTTTAGTGACCACTGGACTACATTCACAAAAAAATCAAATTCCCTCTTATATCTTCTTTTCAAGTCATTCACTACCAAAAATCCAAAATTACAGTACCGACAAAAAAGATACGAAAATGTATATTTTTGAGCTCTTGTTGTCTGAAAATGATTTTACCGTCGATAAATTTTTGTTAGACATTCAAAGTTGGTCCAGAAACTTAGAAAAAAATTTGGTTGGCAAGGCTCAACTTTGAGATGTTCAATCCCTGATCTTCGATTTTCAGAAATATTCGAATTTTTTGAATTTTGAGTTTAACCCTGTAAATTTTTTGATTTAGTCGGTTTTATTCATTCTTTTGGTGTAGAAATACTTGAGTAAGTCTATTTCAAATAATTCGAAACCATAAATATACTCTTTGAAGTTTATATGAAGTCATATCCGATGTTCTAACTGGAGAGATCCAATGATGATAAATCATGCCAGAACTCATTCTAATCTTCAATATTGATGTCATTTCTTGACAAAAACACAAATTCAGACTGTCCGAAAGCATTTCCCACCAATTTCCACCTAAATTGAAGAAAATTGAATAGTTTTATCATGATCTGTCTATGGCCAGATTTATATCAACGGCGGTTTACGTGAAAAACGTGGTACTCCAAATGATTCAATATGTTGAAAAGTTTGTATTTTGCATCTAAAGACATATATTTACAAGATCGAGAACTTATTTTGATGAAAAATATGACTCACGATCTTTTTCAGAACGACAAAATCAATCAAACGAAAAACCAATGAAAAATGCATTGGTTTTCATTGAAAAATATAATTTTTGAGTTTGACGATCTATAACTGAATCAAAGTCATCGAAATAATCTAGAACAACTTTGGATAATTGTTCTAGGTGTATTGTCTTATTAATCAACAATGAAAACATTAATTTCCATAATTGGCAAACCACGTTTTTCACGTAAACCGCCGTTGATATAAATCTGGCCATAGACAGATCATGATAAAACTATTCAATTTTCTTCAATTTAGGTGGAAATTGGTGGGAAATGCTTTCGGACAGTCTGAATTTGTGTTTTTGTCAAGAAATGACATCAACATTGAAGATTAGAATGAGTTCTGGCATGATTTATCATCATTGGATCTCTCCAGTTAGAACATCGGATATGACTTCATATAAACTTCAAAGAGTATATTTATGGTTTCGAATTATTTGAAATAGACTTACTCAAGTATTTCTACATCAAAAGAATGAATAAAACCGACTAAATCAAAAAATTTACAGGGTTAAACTCAAAATTCAAAAATTCGAATATTTCTGAAAATCGAAGATCAGGGATTGAACATCTCAAAGTTGAGCCTTGCCAACCAAATTTTTTTTTCTAAGTTTCTGGACCAACTTTGAATGTCTAACAAAAATTTATCGACGGTAAAATCATTTTCAGACAACAAGAGCTCAACAACATACATTTTCGTATCTTTTTTGTCGGTACTGTATACTTATCCCTGTATAAAACACATATTCGCTCAATTCTCGAATATGGTTGCGTTGTCACTTCCCCTCCTGATAAATCCACCTCGGATATGATAGAGAAAGTGCAGCGTAATTTCACGAGAAAATTATATGGTAGAGTGACCGGTAAATTCATCAATTACCGAGATCCAGGCTATCTTACTTATGAGGAGAGGTTGGATGTGTTTGAGTTGGAGAAGTTGAGTGACAGGAGGAGAAGATTTGATCTCCGTATGCTTGAAGACATTCTTTCGGGAAAATCTAAAGTAAATTATAAACCCCTCTTTCAAATTCAGAAAACCTCATCTAGATCTCGCCTAAATCTTTTATTCAAAGTCCCCAAAAAGAAAATCCGAAAAAACTTTTTTTCCATGAGAGTAATCCCGGAGTTTATTAAAGGCATCAGACAATATTCAGATGAGTTTCTGGATACAATTACTAGAGCTTCTAACCACTGATCCGAATCTTGATAAAATTAAATTCTAAATTTTAATTTTAATTTTAATTTTAATCCTACTAAAAACAAGAGGAAATACCTTTGTGTCTCACAAATACTCAAATTAAAGCCATAAATTCATTATAAAAATTTTGTGCAAATTCCAAGATCTAGTACCACTCCAAAACAGTCAAACCAATGTGTCATTCCCTTTCTTTTTATACGGTTTCTCTTTTCTTTCTCTTTTTGTTTTTCTTTCTAACTTTCTTTTTTTCCTATTCCCAACCCCCCCCCCTCCCTATTATTATTTTCCTTTTTTTCTTCTTTCTCACCGCCATCATAATGTAAATAATTCTTAAAAATCAAACCCTACTGGTTAAATGTGATCACCGCACCCGTGATATTACTATTCATTTTATCACCTTTTTCTCACGATGTACTTTTCCTCTCATCGTAAATAAATAAATAAAAAAATAAATAAATTGAAAAATCAGTCTAAAATCTGCATACGCTCTAAAACCCACTGATAAAATATCAATCAAAGACATTCCTAACAAAACAACATTTGTTGAAGATGTTCTCATTGATTTTTGTGATAAAATGAAACTATGAAAAATATTGATCAGAATCGCAAGGATACAAAAAGAAAATTCGATTTTTGAAAAATAAAAAGTATCGAAATTCCCAAGTGTAATGATAAAATCAATCAATAATTTTTGAGTGGTATTTTGATATCCGGGAAAATAGGAATCTGCTAGAAGTTTGAATATTTCTTCTTCACTCAAATCCATTGCAAAAATTACTATGCATGTATTTCTTTTTAGTAAATTTGACTGATTTGATCGGAGTGGGCAAATTGAGTTATTTTTATTGCAGGTGGTTGATTTTTTGAATTGGGTATCAAAAAATTAATTATTAGGTGTACTTTCGGATTTTTTAAAGATATTTTTTATTTACACATCAAATTTCCTATGCAAAATAATAAAATTGAACATAAAAAATCACACAAGGAACATTTAAGTTAATGAGATCAAAACATAATTCAACTGCGCGCGAAACAGATTTTATGTGAGATTACGATCATTATCGCACTTGAAACTATTCTTGTCATAAGTCCCAAAATGCTTCATCTCCATTTCTCGAAATTGCGGATAGTTTTGAAGTTCCATTCTTGTTATCCTCTTTTTGATTTTATTCAGCTGGAACAATTCTTTCAAGCAGACAACTGGTCCAACGTCATAATTTTCTAGAAACTTGTTGCCAATCACATAACTAGTTTCAGTAAAATCTTTCAAATATTCCACTCCCATTATACAAATCCAATGTCTTTCAAACTTTGATTTACAATTTGGATGGAATTCTCCATCTGTCCCTCTGTAAATCCAATCTGTCCATCTTTCAATTGTATCTGGAACCAAATTATTGCAACTCGATGTTGGTTGACCTTCTAATCCAAGATAGTTTCGATACAATGTTTGAAGCAACATCTCATCAACACCATAGAACTTCAATAAAAAATTTGAATTAACAGAAACCTGGTGGTTCATGATACCTACCTTTCTCTGATCAAATAAATTCATAATCACCTCCAGATTCAATTTTTCAAAAATTGATTCAATAAATGTTCTAGACACTATAATTTGATCATACCCTTTCCAAATTCGAAGAGGTTTTTGTAAAATCTCCTGAGGCACTGTGGATTCTACAAAAATTCTTGCCAATTTTACTGTGATGTGATGTAGTTACCATTTTTAAAAAGCTTCAAACCGGCGGGCGTCCAATCAGCATCTTTCGCATACCATTCTTCATGGGGTTCCTCGAAAAACATAATACTTGTGTAATTCAACAGCTCACTGAGCTCTGATAAATGATCAACCGGTTTCAAAACCATGTCATGATTCTGAAATTATGTATCTAAAAAAAATTCAGAAAAATATTTATGAGACGTTATTTGTAAAAGTGAAAAAGCTGTCGGACAAAAAAAAAAGTCAAAATTTTCAAATGGGCTGAATTTTTTTTATTTGACAGGTACAGTACCCAGGACAAAATTCCACACAAAATTTTGACCTAAAAAAATTTCGGGGTACTGTATGCGCCTTTGAATGCACACAGTCAAATTTCTTAGATAAATTGGAACTTATGTTAAAGTTAAGCTTTTTTCATGATTAAAAAAGCAAAAATGATTGTTTTTACGAGAGGAAAACGATGGAAGCGTCGAAAAATCATGAAAATGAACGTGGAAAATTTTTTAAAAAATCGATTTTTTCACTTCCTTTAGGAACATTTTTCGCCCATCCAGACCGCAACCATTCGATTCCTCGTGCGATTTTACCTATATTTCGATAATAAAATCAAAAAATCATGTCGACCCCGGTAGTCTTTTTTACAACCGAAAACTTCCCATAAGCGCGCGCACCTACACACACATGTGTGCGCACACATAAATACACATAAAAAAGCGAGAAACTTTTTTTTCATCTGAAAATAAACTAAATTACGAAAAAATCATAATTTAAGATCACAGTGTGACAATAACAATGTTTTTGGATAAATTCTGAACGTATGAGTGAAGTGTTCTTTTCGCTGTAAGAAATACAAGTTTGTGTGGTTGATTTCATCCCTGGACAAACTTTTTTCAACTTTCGAGATGATATCTGTTCGATTTTCGATGTTTTTAATAATATTTTTTCGAGAAACGTGAAAAATTCGACTTTTTCCAAAAAAAATGTATAGAAATCATGTCATTTTAGTTATAGATTTTTCTGTAATTCATTGAGACTTATACATATTTCCAAACGCCGTATATTTCTTCAGAAAATAGGAGAATTATAAATTTAGCGTGGTATACACATGGAAGCTACTCTATATACCACCAAAAATTAAAATTGATAAGCATAACTTTTTTTTAGACCACAATCACTGCCTCCCCAAATCTACGTGTGTGTGGAAAAACGAAAAATGTCTGGCACGCTCTCGCAAACACACACTCTCTCGCTCACAACTTTTTACTTTTATTTCGCGAAAACAGTGCATATTAGGAGCTGATTTTTATGTGTTTTTCATCGGAACCACAATATGTGTTATACATAGTTCGAAAGAGAATTTCTTCGGCTACAAGCACATATGAAATGTTATAAATGAAACCGAGATAAAAAAATAAAAATTTCATGCAAACATGACATGGCACTGCCTCCCCAAATCTACGTGTGTGTGGAAAAACGAAAAATGTCTGGCACGCTCTCGCAAACACACACTCTCTCGCTCACAACTTTTTACTTTTATTTCGCGAAAACAGTGCATATTAGGAGCTGATTTTTATGTGTTTTTCATCGGAACCACAATATGTGTTATACATAGTTCGAAAGAGAATTTCTTCGGCTACAAGCACATATGAAATGTTATAAATGAAACCGAGATAAAAAAATAAAAATTTCATGCAAACATGACATGGTTTTTTTTTTGAATTGTGTGAAAAACGCATGTGTTTTTTGATGACCTGGCTTATTTTTTGAATATCGAATATATGTATAATCGAGTCGTAGTTTTGTTCAGAATCTCAAGGGCTTTCAGATGGTATAAATCAATATTTATGAAATTGTGAAATCATGGAGGAGTAGGGATTTTTCGTTTGTCAATTTTTAAAACGAAATTTTCATTTTCATTTGAAAAGAACTCGAATGAAGTTTACATACATTTTGAAGAGAATTTCTCGGGCTTCAAAATCATATATATTTCTATACACAAAAATGGAAATTGAAAGCACCGCTTTCGGTTGAAAACTTGTTGGGTTTGCACCAAACAAACAAACCGCGTTCAGTAGCGTTGCGAAAAACAGCGGTGAGTTTTCAACCGAAAGCGGTGCTTTCAATTTCCATTTTTGTGTATAGAAATATATATGATTTTGAAGCCCGAGAAATTCTCTTCAAAATGTATGTAAACTTCATTCGAGTTCTTTTCAAATGAAAATGAAAATTTCGTTTTAAAAATTGACAAACGAAAAATCCCTACTCCTCCATGATTTCACAATTTCATAAATATTGATTTATACCATCTGAAAGCCCTTGAGATTCTGAACAAAACTACGACTCGATTATACATATATTCGATATTCAAAAAATAAGCCAGGTCATCAAAAAACACATGCGTTTTTCACACAATTCAAAAAAACCATGTCATGTTTGCATGAAATTTTTATTTTTTTATCTCGGTTTCATTTATAACATTTCATATGTGCTTGTAGCCGAAGAAATTCTCTTTCGAACTATGTATAACACATATTGTGGTTCCGATGAAAAACACATAAAAATCAGCTCCTAATATGCACTGTTTTCGCGAAATAAAAGTAAAAAGTTGTGAGCGAGAGAGTGTGTGTTTGCGAGAGCGTGCCAGACATTTTTCGTTTTTCCACACACACGTAGATTTGGGGAGGCAGTGCACAAGTCAAAAAATTCTCTAAAATTGTTCTAAATTGTTGGAAATAATTATGTTTGAGCTATAATTTCTCATAGAATATAGGGTTCTTGGACATATATTTGGTATAAAATGTTATCTATCGATATTTAAAAAGAAATAAGATACAAAAAACAAATTTCAATGCGCTCTTGTGAGTTTAATGACACACAAATGTGTGTATGTGCGCGCGCTTATGGGAAGTTTTCGGTTGTAAAAAAGACTACCGGGGTCGACATGATTTTTTGATTTTATTATCGAAATATAGGTAAAATCGCACGAGGAATCGAATGGTTGCGGTCTGGATGGGCGAAAAATTTTCCTAAAGGAAGTGAAAAAATCGATTTTTCAAAAAAATTTTCCACGTTCATTTTCATGATTTTTCGACGCTTCCATCGTTTTCCTCTCGTAAAAACAATCATTTTTGCTTTTTTAATCACGAAAAAAAGCTTAACTTTAACATAAGTTCCGATTGATCTAAGAAATTTGACTGTGTGCATTCAAAGGCGCATACAGTACCCCCGAATTTTTAGGTCAAAATTTTGTGTGGAATTTTGTCCTGGGTACTGTAGCTGTCAAATAAAAAAATTCAGCCCATTTGAAGACCTAAAATTTTTTGTCCGAGATGCGTAGCAAACATTTTCGCTCTTACAAAAAACGTCTCTTATAACCTGCAAGAACAGTGCATGATCCCATTTTCTGCTCATAATTAATTCCGAACACTTGAGTTGTGCTCGATTCTGAAAATGACCCGAAGAATCAAATCTATATCTCGCTGGATTCACAAAAACATTCGGCAAACATCTAGAAAGTTTCTGAAGCTTCTCAAATATTCCAGTCGTTGTTCTATTGTCTACAGTATAACAATATGTGTTATTCGGATGATAAATTGTGGAGAGCATCATTTCTTGCAACTCATAAACCTGTGGGAATTTTTAAAATGTTTCATCGAGAAAATTGGAATATCCAAAATAATTACCGTGTGAACATTTCTGATAAATGCAATCGGTCGTTTCAATTTATTTTCGCTGTCAAAAATCCTGCCATCAATAACTCGCTCAACTATACTTTTACAGTCCATTTTTAAATCCAGCATATTTTCAGGTCCCATTTTCAGCCTTCCATAATTTATATATTCATTTATTGAAGTTTTTGAGTTGTTTATAAAAGCACTGCAGTTAAGGTGCTTTAATGCGCCCCTTAAATTTGATTTTTGAAACGTATTTTTTTAAGCACTCACTTCTTGAAGTAATACGATTTCGGACTATTTTCCGAATAAGATGTTCCGTATTGAAAAACAAGAATACATGTGAAATTAAAAATAAATAAAATATAGAACTTGTTATTGCTTGAACTATTCATGGGGCTAGAATGAAATCAAAAATAAAATTGTGTTTGGAGGTGGGAATAATCTATCTTCCAGCTAAAGGTCGATCTAATCTACATCTATTAAAAAACTTTACACGTTTCATTCAAAGACTTCTCCGGAAAAAATGCATTTAAAGTACTTGAACTTTACTGTAACATTTCGACGAACACTTGTTTTTCTATCAAACATTTTTCAGCCTATAAAAATGATCTGTAAGACGGGTTACCAATCCTTTACTACTTCAATTTTTCGAAACGCTTTGCTGTAGATCAAAAAATTCTCATTTTTGAATTGAATTCCTTTTCAGCTTGTGGTGATCTTTCGATTCGAAAACCGAATAATTTGTATTTTCCACCGATGAAATTTTCGATTTTCCTCAACTCTAGTGCAAAATCGTGTTGCGTAGATTTTCTCAGACGATAACAATTTTTTTTCAAAAAAAAAATTTTTTTCTGAAATTTATGGAGGTCATAAATTTCTTGCTGAAAAATCTTGCCTTGAGTGTGATAGATTTTGAAGTTTGATAATTCCGGTTAGACCAGATTATTTTCAAACTAATTAGGTTATACTAAACAATTATTTCATCTAAAAATAATTTCCTTCGCTTTGTTCGAGCTTTTTCTCGAAAGAGGATAACCGAAACTTTGACGAGGTCAAAATACATTATTTCAAATCTATCTGATAAAAAATCATAAACTACACAGAAAAATCACATTTAAAAGTACTCTTATCGTAAGTTCCATCACGTTTCATTTCCATTTCTCGAAATTGCGGATAGTTTTGAAGTTCCATTCTTGTTATCCTCTTTTTTGATTTTATTTCGCTGAAAAATTTCTTTCGAACAAACAGCTGGTCCAACATCATAAGTCTCTAGAATTTTGTTGCCAATAACAAAATTCGTTTCGAGAAAATCTGGTAAATACTCAACACCCATGATACAAATCCAATGTCTCTCAAATTTTGATTTACAAGATTTCAAATATTTCCCCTGTGAATGTTGTTCAATTGTCCAATCTCTCCATAATTCAACTGTATCCGGAACTGTATTTTTGCAATTTGAAGTTGGTTGGCCTTCCAATCCAAGATAATTCCGATATAAGGTTTGAACCAACATTTCATCAACACCATAGAACTTCAATGAAAAATTCAATATTATAAAACCATGTTGAATACATAGTACCTACCTTATCTTGATCAATCAATTTCATAATTCTCTCCAAGTTCAATTTATCAAAAATTGATTCAATAAATGTTCTTGACAAAATTACTTGATCGAAACCTTTCCAAATTCGCAGTGGTTTATATAAAATCTCTTGAGGTACGTCCGATTCTACAAAAATTCTTGAAGTCTGCCACGTTCATGTTATTTACCATTCTTGAAGAGTTTCAATCCAGCAGGTGTCCAATCAGCCATCAGGTGGATCTTCGAAAAACATGACACTTGTATAATTCAACAGCTCACTGAGTTCGGATAAATGATCAACCGGTTTCAAAACCATGTCATGATTCTACAAAAAAATTGAATTTGGAAAAAAACTTTTTTTCATGAAACCTGCAAAACGAGTACGTGATTCCATGTCCTATTCATAACCAATTCAAGACATCGAAACTGTGCTTGATTCTGAAAATGGCCAGCAGAATCAAATCTATATCTTGTGGGATTCAGAATAACATTCGGCAGACATCTAGAGAGCATCTGAAATTTCTGAAATATTCGATACTCTGTTTTATTGTCAACACTATAGCAAAATGTATTTTCAGGATGGTAGATTGTGGAGAGCATCAATTCTTGGAACTCGTAAGTCTGTAGGGATTTTTTAATTGTAATTTAGAAAATCTAAGATTTCACCGTGTAAACATTTCTGACAAAGGCAATTGGTCGTTTCAATTTATTTCCGCTGCCAAATTCCCTGCCATCTATAACACGCTCTCTTATACTTTCACAATCCATGGGCAACTTTTGCATACTTTCAGGTTCCATTTTCAGCCGCTGATAACTGGTATAATTTTTAATTGAAAAATAAGAGTTACTAAGAAGTTCACTGCAGTTCAGGTGCTTTAAAGCTTCCCTGAATTAAAATAAAAATTGCGTTTTTTAAGTTGTCAGAACGCTTACTTCTTAAAATAATATGATGTTGTCGAATTTTCCGATTTATTTTTATATAGTAGAATGAGTACCAGAAAAGAATTCAATAGAAGTACTTCACTGAAATTTTTATTCACAATTAGAAACATTTCGGATGAATTGATGCTGACGAAAACAAAAATAGGGTGTAGATGTTTTTTTTTCAGGCTTGAACTATGAATGAGATTTATGAGAATGATAATGGGGAATATAGGTTCCGAATTGTTTTTTTCTTAAAATTGTCGGCAAACACAAAAGTGGTTTGCAGATTGAGATTCTCAAATCTGATGAAGTAAAATTCTCAAAGTCTATTCCTTATTCACATTTTCAAAATCGCTCTTATTTCTGAAGTTTTAAAAAAAAATTAATTTAATTGCGTACAAGAAGATGATAGAAAAACATACATCAAAAATTTAGATTAAATTAAGATAATTGAAAAAAAATGATGTGATGTCTGGCTTCCGTCCAAACGATTCCCGAACATTCGAATTCAGAAATTTAGATCATAATTAAGATATTTCATGTGATGTTTGGCTTCCATCCAAATAAATGTTTTAAAAATTGAATTCGAAATTATTTGAGTTTCCCACCAAATCTTGAAATCTCTCAAATCCATCTCCCAGAGACAACTAAATCGATCAAAAGGGCAAAAATGTGTCACTTTTTACATAATTAATAATAAACCAGCAGCCTCCTTCTTCTAACATGTTTCCTCAAATTTCTTCTCACCCTCCAATTCACCATGAGCCCACCACCACCAACACCAACACAATATAATATATGCGAAAATATGTGTAGTCCCTCGAGGTTCTTTTATTTATCTGCACCGCCCAATCTTTTCCACTTGTTTCCACTTTTTTGCTGGTGTGGTTTTGGTGCGGAAAATGACCACCGAAGTTTCACGAGTCGGAAGATTGCGACAGTCTTTTAGGCACAAGGTGAGTATTTTCAGGTTTTGTTGGAAATTTCGAGATTTTCAGGCACAAAATGTGAGGGAAGATGTGCAGGAAAGATTGAGGAGGGCGAGAAAAGTTCCAAGATGGGTCAGGATTTTGAGAACGGTGAGCTTTTGCAAAAATTCAAAAAAAAACTTTTTTGAAAATAAAAAAAATTCCCGCGTGAGGTAGGCAGCGTGCACGCGGAGTATCGTTGTTTTATTTTTATTTTTTTGCATTTGAATTTTTTAATAGGGGTGCAGACTTCTCATTTTCGAATCAACGTTCCAATTAAACCACGATTTTTGCAGATCTACTATGAATACGGGTTAAAACACGTGTGCTTGATAACATTGCTCATATTATATCAATTCCTAGGCGCTGGAATTTTCTATTTCTGCGAAGCTGGCTACGATGAAGATAAGGAAAATACATGGAACCTAAAGTGAGTTTTTGTTTCACCAAAAAAATTTCGCAAACTTCCCCGGGGAGTAAAGTGGAAGTAATTTGTCAACTCGAACTTTTTCAACAAAAAGACAAAGAAGCTTGCAGAATCGCTGAAAATCGTACCAAATTCGTAGAAGAACTCATCGTCCCAAAACTTTTCAACAACACAAAATACCTGTTTTTTCTGTCACAAAATCAGACAGAAGAAGTGTCGACAATTCTTCACAGCCTGGTTTCGGGATATGAGAAACAGTTGGGCATTCGATATACGGATCAGAAAATTAAGTGGGATTTTTGGAATGCGATGTTGTATGCGCAGACGATTTGCACGACGATTGGATATGGACATTTGTATCCATCAACTGTGCCGGGAAGATTGTTCACGATGATTTATGCGATTTTTGGGATTCCATTAGTTTTATCGATTTTAGATGATTTGGGTGAGATTTTTTGTACCAGAAATGTTGAAGATTTTTTTCACAATCATAAAACATCTGGATTCCAGGAAAACTTCTAACCCGCTGCTTGAAAACCCCTTGGTGGCTCCTCAAATGCGGTTGCCGTCGCGCTTTCCGCTACTGCACCAAACAAACTCTTGCCGAAATCAAAAAACTGGACGACGAAGATCGGCGAGATCTCGAAATATTCGATCTCCCCATCCCCATCGCGATTTTCGTCGTAATCGCATGGATCTTCATTTGCTCGGCAACGTTTTGTATTTGGGAATCGGACTGGGATTATTTCGTCGCCTTTTATTTCTTCTTCATTTCGTTGAGTACAATTGGTTTGGGTGATATCACACCAACTCAGCCCAAATATTTGCTCATGTTATTTATTTATATCATAATTGGTCTTTCATTAGTCTCAATGTGTATTAATCTGATTCAGGCGAAATTGGAGCGAACTTATGAGGCTGGAAGAGTTATCGAAACTACGATTCTAAGTGCTGGAGGAGTTATGGTCGAGGAGAAGAAGGTTATAAGACGTGGAAGTAGTCTGGGAATATTTCGAAGTTCAAGCAGTGCTCATTCGCTATCCAGAAGAGAATCTGCAAATTCCAAAAAACATCATCAAAACAAAAATATTCAAACAGTTCTGTCATTTCCAGCAACTTGCGGGAAATCTTCGGGAAATGATAATAATAACGAGTCGCATATCTCTAAAACGATATCGCAGTCCTCGTCAAAATATCGATTTTTGCCACGTAGTTTATCGATTGATGACGTCATGCGGATGGTGGACACGGAGGATGGCGATATTTTGGTGGGTTTTATTCAAAAGTCAAGAAAAAACACAAAATTTCCAGGTTCTGACTGATTTGATTCGCGACGAGTCGACTTTGAGTGGAACGAGTTGCGATGAGACGAGTAGTAATAGCCAGATTGTTGTGATTTCCAAAAGTTTCGAGACGACTATGACTAATCCAAAGATGACAGTTCCCACCTCGCATTCGGATCCGGGTAGGAATTTGGAGCATTTTGATACCAAATTTGCATATTTTCGGTGAAAAATTGGAATTTTTGAATTTTTTTTCAAAATTCGTGAATTTTAATCACTATGTCGCTGAAAATTTCAATTTCAAACTATAATTCAAAAAAAAATTCCCCTACAGTACCCTAAATTTACAGTAACCTCCCGCCCCTCAACTTCTTCCACCATCTCCTCTTCCCATCACCCGCAATTCTCCCGCCGCCCGCCTCCCGTTCCCGAAAGCACTTTGGAGCAATTGGAAGAGCTCGAAGATCGTCTAGCGTTGAGCCACGCGTCGACACAATTGCTGGGCAATACAGTACACTTCAGATCGCGGTGAGACCCATTTTCTTTTATTTATCTGAAGTATTAACTGAATTTCAGGCTCTCGCTGATTCCCGAGCAAATTCCATCGACAGTTGAAGAGGGTTCGGAGCCAACATCTCCCCTTTCACCGGACGAAAATTCGGAAAAACACAACCAAAACAAAAAATTCCGATTTTTTCGAAGGAAATGAGTTCATTAGAAAGAAAAAATTATCAATAAATATGCAAATTTTTACAAATTGAAAAAGGAAAAAAAAGAATAAGAAAAAACTAGGTACAAAGTAAGAAGAAAAAGTGTTATTCCGCATTAACCCATTGAATAAATCGATAAAGTAGTTCACCTTTGTGGCCCATTAATTGGTTGCAATTGTCAAGGCTGAGTTGGAGCACTATTGCACCACTGATTTTCTGTAAAAAAAATTTTGAATTTTAAAAATTTGGCGCCAATTTTCCCAAACAAATAAGAACTTACATGATCTCTGAGAATCTTGATGGCATCACTTCCCAAATTCAACAAATTCGTTCGCAAATAATCCGACAATTGCTCATTTGTCCATTGTGAAACGATTGCTTTGTTGGGTTTTGGAGTGATGATTGGATCTCTGCAAAAAATTTATATAGTTAGAAATCCCAGGTTCAAAAAGCTCCAAACCACTCACGATTTAGTTCCAGATCCAGTGGTCCCATTCAAAACCGAGCCTACAGACGGGCCACTTCCCGAAGTCGATGGTCCGGGCAGATTCACAATCGGCGTGCTCAACGTCGGCCCAAAAATCCCAGTGGCTGGCGATTTTTGCTGCTGCTGTTTTTGTTGTTTCGCAGCCGCCGCCGCCGCATGTTTTGCAGCTTGTTGCTGGTGTTGCTGAAAGTGTTGTTGAGCGGCAGCCATTTGATACATATTTTGGTATTGTTGATAGGCCAAGTAGATTTGAGCCTGTTGCATTGGATTTGCCATCACCATTGCTCTGAAGAAAGGGGATTTTGGGGGAATAAACATTGGGAAAATTGATTTTGAGGGGTTTGGTTAGTAAGGTGGAAATGTTCGGGCAAACAACTTTGGAGTTAGTGTAACTCAAAAAATCTAGATCAAATTTGGCGGATTTTCAGATTTTCATAAGGCTCAATTCACGAAAAGTTCGAGTTTTTCAGCCAAAAATGATGACAAATCGATATTTTTCAAGCTTCTGGAGTAATTTCTGATTAAAATTGACTTTGGAATTCACTTTCCAGAAGGTTTTGCTGATTTTTCGTAAAACAAAAACTTTTTTTTAAATTTTGATGAATTTCGAAAAAAAATAATAAAATTAGGTAAAATACATTTTCTCAAATTTCAAGACTGAAAATGAAGGCGTTCAGCTTCAGAAAATCGAAAAACTTGGCGCGAAAATTCCTAAAATTGAATTACTGTACCAATTTCTAGTCCCCCGTCGCAAAAAAAATCATTACCTCGGATCCAAAATGTTGGGCGGTGGTAGTGGATGATGCGGTGGCGAGATGCGTGGAATCTGTGCATTCGGGGGAAGATGGTGAAATGGTGCTTGGGGAAAGACGCGTCCATGCGATGAGGGGGAAGGATGGAAGAGTGGCAAGGGTTTCGAGTATGGCATCGGTTGTGATCTAAAAATCAATCAAAAACATAGGATGGTAACTGAAAAGAAATCAAGGAGGGTGACAGTTAGTAGGGAGGGTATGCAAGACAAGATATATTTTCAACTTACGGTAACTTGGGTGTGGCGTGTAGAGTATGTGGATTAGAAGTTGATGGTCCCGAAGAAGAAGGTCCCGGTAAAGAAGATGACGAAGAGGTTGGTTTTCGATTTGGTGTTGAATTGGTGCTTGGTGGAGTTGTTTTCATTGAGATATTTGTCGGTGGGAGGGGAGTTAGAAGAAGTTTAGCGTTGGCAGCTTCTTCCATTCGTTTGATCAGACTTCTGGAAAAATATTGGGATTTTTGGAGAAAAAACGGGTAGGGGCTTCAATTTTCTCTCTTTTTATTCTCAAAATTTTCAGTATAATTTCTGATGAATGTTTCCTGTTTCAAAAAAATTCAGGTGAAATTTTCGAAAATTGGATTTTCAATTTTTCAAAATCGAAAAAAATTCAGACTTATTCCACTATCAGCGCATCACAGGGGTGAAGAATAAAAACTGTTTAAAGGGTTGGTGCTTTCCTGGTGAAAAAATCGTCTGCAAAAAGGCGTCACAGTGTTGTTTTCAAAGTTGTGTGCAAACACACACACGAAAATTCAAAAACAAGTTGTGCGCTAGAGCGCATTTACATGCTTTATTTCGTAGGTTTTAACTCGCTTGTGTTTTTGAGGAAAAACATGGGCTGAATTGATACTAGAATTTTTTCTAAAACTGGAACCTTCCAGGAGCACCTTATTCCTATCTAAACCAAGCAAAATTCCCTGGCGGAGCACCAACCCTTTAAACAATTTTGAAACCTATTTTTCACAGGGTTTGAATTTTTCTATTGAATTCTGATTTTTTCCTTATAAAAGTTTTGTTTTGAATAAATGTTCAGAATTAGATAGAAAAAAAAACATCAGAATTAGATAGAAAAATTTAAACCCCGTGAAAAATAGATTTCAAAATTTTTCAAACAGTTTTTATTCTTTATATCTGTGATTAGTATCTTTTGTTTCTATTTTTGAATTTTTCTTGGGACTATTTATAACAAAAATCAGAAATTCAGGAATTTTCATAAAAAATCCAACAGAAACTGTAAATTCATATATTTCGGGTGAAAATTCAAAAATTCTCCCTCACCTGCTATGATCCTGAAAAACCTCATCAATACTTTCAGGACTCTTCCGCTTCTCGCCAATTTTCGGAAGAGCATCAGATTTCTCCCCGGATTTCGTCTCCTTCATTTCTCGCTCCTTTTTCGCCGCCAACATTCTCTTCATCCGCCTTTTCGCAATGAAAACTTTTCTCGCCGCAATTTTATTCTTCAGTTTCCTCTTTTGCTCCACATAACTATTTCGAGTGTCTTGACATTTAAAGGGACATTCGTCAGTTTCTTCAAAGCTCAACAAATACGGACAAGCTCCAACCATTCGAAGCAAAGCCTAAGAAATTTCAAAAATTTGAATAAAAATTATCACTGGAGCGCACTTACCTTTATGAACGCGGGCATTTTTTCAGCATTATCACAAGTGGCGGCACGCAAAACCTGCGAATTGTCATTCACATTTCTCCGATATTTTGTGATGATTAATGGAGAGATGAAATTGGGTTTGCTGTCTTCGAGGGAATTTTGGAACATTTGGTGAACAGCGTGACGTTTTTGACCGGTGGCACAAATCATGATACACTGAAATTAGAAACGTAATTTTTCTGGGTTTCAAAATCGCGATTTTTCCCAAAATTCACCTTATAAATCTCCTTCAACACCTCCTTCTGCGATCCTTTCTCATAAAAATTGGGTAAAGCTTTGACCAATTTCTGATCTAAAAACGGTCCAACATCGCATTTCGAATGGACAAATAATCGTGGCACAAAATGCGCTTTATCAACGTGAGCTGGCAGGAAAACATCTTTGCCATTCGAAATTCCGGTGATCTCATGGGTGACTCGATCGAAATCGTTGTCGAGTTTTAGTTGAGCGTCGGGTTCGAAGAAGATTGGAACTTTGAATTTGTAGCTGTAGCCGCAGGGGAAGAGACGGGGATCGCTGGAAAAAATGGGATTTTGTGAATCGTGAGATATTTTTTAGAAGATCATTAATCTCATGACAGATCTTAAACCAAATTTTCAACGAAAAATCAAGTTTTCTTGAATCCTGAATTGAATTTTCAAATTATGCTGAAAAGTTTCTGGCTTCTCACAGAAAGAATGAATTTTTCGAAAGCTCAAAAATTGAATTAAAATTTAACAAAAATCATATTTTTGTTGAAATTCTCAATTTTCAGCTTAAAGGAACACCAAAAACTAAAAGGTTAACATCGCTAGGTGAAGCCGCGCATACCAAAACAGACACTTTAATACTCCTACTTTCATTCCCTATACTCACTTTTCGATGAAAAAATTCTTCTGAACTTTTAGAGGAAAAAATATTTTTCTGTGGAAAAATGAAAAAACTCGAAATCAAATTGCCACGCCTTTTACGCTAAACACCAGGCGAGCGGAATGTCGTTGTTTTCTTTTTGTTTTTTTGTTTTCGAAAAATATTTTTCGCGTTTTTCCGTTTTTTCTTTGTTTCTCATAGTAAACGACGATTTTAAATAGTAAATTCGATATTCTAGTTATCAACAAAACGTATTGATTGCAGATTGGAAGAACATTCGTGGCGAAATAAGTAATTTTGGTCGGAATCTGCGTTTTCAACCTGCAATCGCGGATTTTGATCGTTTCTCCAACACAACCTGATGATATTCAAAATAAATATGACATCCACGAACTTTGAGCGCCTACAGTTGTTTTTGAATGGTCGGAGTTCTGATAAATTCGTTTTTTTAAAACAAATAAACCGGTTTTCATCAAATTTTATTGAAAAATGACAGAAAACAGCTTTTAAAAGAGTAAATGTATAGAGTAATCGCGATCAGAACATTGATGAGCAGAATCGTCGAGGAAGAAGTGTTTTGGGTGAGTTTTGTTTGCAAAAAGGACGACTTTTGATCGAAACCGGCTTGAAATCATGAAAATCCATCAAATCTCTCCAATTCGCCTTGATTCATGACTATTCACAGAGTCTTTCTTCTACTTCTACGGTTTTCTTTGATTTTTCAGCCGTTTTCATTCATGTTTCACATTGTTGAGCCTGGAAAACAGTGATTTATGAGAATAATCTGTAATGTCTCAAAATACTCACTTTTTGGCTGAAAATCGACGAAATTCCGCATTCTTCCGTCAAAAACATGATCGAGACAGTTGGGAGAAGGATTGCCAACATCAATTTACTGAAAAATATATGATTTCATCGTTGAAAAGTGAAAAACAAGCGAAAACTCCCGAAAAAACAAAAAAATAAAAAAAATAATTTTTTTGTGTGCATTCTGCCGTGACGGTGTTTGCACATTTCGCTCTGAGTCCTCTGAGGAGGGAATTCAAACGGTTTTTTTCCCATTTTTTTATTTTGGCGCAAACTTCACCATTTTTTCAAATTTTTTTTTACTCGCTGCGAACATTTGTAAATTGACATTGATTATTTCGAGTTCTGAAGTGTTTGTTCGGATACGCTAGAGTGACTATTAGCTTTTGGTGTTCCTTTAATTTTGCTTCTGAAAATTATTTTTCCCGACTTTCAGAAATTTATCGGCTCTGCAATTTCAAGCCAAAATTGAGCCTTTTTAGAGCTCTGGCCATAATTTTTTCCCATTGAATTTTCAGAATCCGAAATTCAGATGAACATTTCGGATTTTTTCCAGAGCAAATGCTGGATTTTAGAAAATTCAAAAAAATTGACTAAAATACCCAAAAATTCAAATTTTCCCCCAAAAAACCCACGTAAAATGCATAATCATCAATTTATTGGTAAAATGCGGTCGAATCCAAACCATATTCCGATCATTTCTCAAAATCTCCGCCGCAAACAACAGCATTTTCCCGCCAATCACACAAAGATATTCAACATATCTCATTGTGCAAATATTCGTTCCCAACTCTTCAACATCCTCAAATTTCTGCACAGCTCCACAATTCTCCACCTCCACAAAATTCTCCTTTTTTTTTCTTCCAAAAACCTCTCGATACCCAAACCAATTATTAATTCGCTTATTATTTCCAATATGATGCGCCTGTTTCAATCGAATACCAATACTTTCCAAATACCCGCACGGAAATATTTGAGAACTTTGGATGTGAAATGGGTGATTGCTCATCTTAACATTGACACCATCTCCAATACTAACTGTGAAGAAATGGGGATTTAGGATGTAGTTTATGTGAGCGTAGAAGAATTCAGTGAAATCAGGCATGGCAACAGCAAGCATTGCTCCAACCTGGAAAATTTCGAAATGTTTTTGTTGAAAAAATTAGCTTGAATTACCTCCAAATTGTGTCGTTTCACAATATTATTCTTAAAAATCACAGCCGGCACCGCATTCTCCTTGACTTCTTCAAAATCCAAACTTTTACAATACTCTGAATATCTCACATCCTGATCATCAATTCTCAAATCCGAATCCTGTTCCAAAGCCCATCCAATATGATGAATCAGCGGATCAAACATATGAATGTGCACTCTTTCAGTATCCCCGTAGGAAACTTCCAACATTCCTCCGTGATTTGCCAAAACTTCGGAGAAAAACACAAATTCGGGAAACTTTTTCGATTGCATTTCGAGGAAATCGCCAACTTTGATGAATTCGAATAATTTTTGATGCATTTCATTTTTGTGCTTGGCATATGTTTCAACATCATAGACATTTTCTTTGTCCTCTTTTTTGAGATGGGCTCTTCGAAGAGCTGAGTCTAGTATTGATTTTGAATCGATAATTGCTGATGGATTTGTCCAAAATGCTTTTTCATTTGAGTTGTTGGAAATGGCGATGACTTTGAGGCGAACTCCAAAAACACACTGAAAAAAGGAAAATTTGGGATATGGAAGGGGTTTTGAGATTCAAGCTATTTTGTGTGAAATGTGAATTTCAGACCAAACATTTTGAAAAGAAAGTGAATTTTTTCCGTGAACTTTAAGGTTCTGAACTTTGAGATTCTGAAATCACGACAAAAGCTTAAGATTTCAGAGCATAAAATGCAAAAATTTTCAAATTTTAAATCACTTTTCCACCCAAAATACTCACCAAAACCCTGACAAACTTCGAGATTCCATCAACATCAATCAAGAGCACAGTATCAACAGGGCACAAGAATTCCAGCAAACTTTTCTGTGCCGTCTTATGATCCGGGAAAAGCGCATCATTCACGCATGGCAAAAGTCCACCAACTCGATTCTGTGAAAAAATGCAATTCAAAATTTCCAAGCTTCCAAAAAAACCAAGTTACCTCTAAAAACTGCATCCACTTCAATGCATCTTGATTTTCCAAACTATTCTGCTCAACATTCTCAATTTCATCATTTTTGCACATTTTCTGCAAATTGATTATAGTAGTAGCATAATAAGAAGAATATTGGAATAAGGTTTTTCTTGACGAAAAAAAAACGGTGTCTTTTTTTCTATCAAAACGCGTCAGTCTTTTGCGTTTGTTGGCGCAAATCGAAAAGGGGCGGGGAAGGGGGGAAGGAAGAAAAAAAGTGTTTTGGGAAACCAAAAGGCTGTGTAATGGAGTGTACTTATTTTGGTAGGTGAAAGTGATGGAAAAGGTATGGTAAATAAAAAGAGATAAGATTATGGGAAGGAAATTTTTGGAATGAATTTTGGAAGGAAAAAAAAGAGGACTAAAGGATGAGGGGTACTTAGTCAGAATCTAAGCACAAAATCCAGTCAGAACCAACAAAGTATTTATTTTCAGCAAAAATTTTAAAATTGCAGACAAAACCAAACGAATTTCCCTCAAGGCCTTGAAATTTTCGTGAGAAAAATCTGATAAACAACTTTTTTTTCAAGGAAAATATGGAATACATTTCGTGAAAAAATTGTATTTATAAGTACAAGTTAGTCTAGAATTATGTACAAGCCTAGATGTGTGTCTAAGCCTAACTACAGTAATATGCCTGGTTTAGATAGGCTTGGATAAACCTAATTAGGCCTAGTTGAATGCATGTTTAGACTTTTGTGTGAGCCTGATAAATTGCACAGACCTAATTTTAATTTTTTTTTAAATTTAAAAATATGTAAGCCTAATAAAGTTTAAAAAATATGTAAGCCTAACCAAAACAGAGTTTAGGCCTTATTTTTTGTCTATTGAAAGCCTAAAACCTAACTAACCCTAAGTGAGTTTGAAATTCAAAATTTTCAACTTTTCCACGTTGTTCTGTTCGCTGGAGCATATTTGCTCTATTCTCTTCAAAACTATAATGTACCTCAGAAGCACAATACAATTTTTGTCAGCATTTTCGATCAAAAATCGTAAGACCCGAGTGCAAAAAGTCATCAAACGCTGACAATTTCCTGGTTTTTTTGACGTTTTCAACGATCACGGAACTTTGAATTAGACACTTTTTCCGATACCTCTAACTAAGCATCTTTCGAACGCGCGCGTGCTCTTTTTATCGCCACAAAAAACCGCTGATAAGAATTCGAATAAAAAGCGAATTCCATCGCGAAAAATTTCTGATTAGGCATTAATTTCCAACAAAGAAGAAAATGCTCAAATTCCTAGCTCTTCTAGTTTTGAGCTTTGCTCTCTATTCAAATGCCGCCGTTTTGCCAGCATCAAGTAAGCCTAAATTTTCAGAACAAAAATAAAAACGAGGGAAACTAAACCAAAATAAAAGAGAATAAAATAAAATGATGAATCCAATTGACCAGAAGAAGAGAGTGAGAGAGTTTAGGGGGAAAATGTGTGAATTTGGGTGTGGGAAATTGACGGGTGACACCACAAAGTGCAAAACTTGACACATTTTCAGAATTCGCCACCTATACCGATTCATTCGCCAGAAACCAGATGTTGGCTTTGGCATCGGCCGCCTACGCATCTGATCCACAAAAATGTTTGACTAATAAATTTACCAATGCGCAGGTTGGTTGGGTTTCCCAGGAACTTCTGGGCCGGTTGGGTTTCCCAGGAACTTCTGGGCCAGGAAGATAGAAGGGGCTTTTTATAGGCCGAACATCCGGGCTGGATTCTGGAGAGAAAGATATAATTGGACTCTGTTAGGCTTTAGTTTCCCTGCTTTATTTTGGAATTAGGCCTAAACTAAGATCTTGGAATCTAAAGCCTGAGTTCCAGACCAAAATGTATATTTAGGCTTATCGACAGGTTAGACTCATGAAGTCAAAAACCTAGGCGTACCAAAATTTTGAACGAAATTTTTGTAATGAAAATCTAGACAATTTTTTTCTCACAAAAAAATCGTACAAAAACGAAAATCGTCCTCAAAATCAAAAAGAGCGAACGTTCTAGAACAGAAAATTGTTACACTGTGTACAGCAATTTTTCTTTTTCAAAACTCACAAAAAAATATTTCGAAATGAGGAAAAATTGGAAATGACGGAAATCAAAAAATGTTCACGTCACGTTTTCAAAACAAAATAAATAATTTGACATTTATATTTTTTTTCAAAAAATAATTTCTAGGAAACCTCAAGTTAGTCTAACTAATTACTATCACTATAGTAACACTTTCTCATCATTGCACTTTGCACGCGCGAAAAAACTAAATAACATTTCTCGAAATTTTCCAGTTGAAACGTCAAATCTATGTGAAAAATTGTGCACTTTTGAGCAACGATGTTTGCTCCGGTTACACGGCGGTTCTTCACGATGATAAGGCGATTGTTATCAGTTTCAGGTTAGACAAAAAATAGCTAGAAAATGTTTCGAAAACGCACATGTTTCAGAGGAACTCAAGGATTTTTACAATTGATTTCGGAGGCTAACAAGAGTGTTTTCGAGAGTCAAATGGCGTGGGTTTCGGGTGGAAAAGTTTCGAAATATTTCGGCGATGCTTTTACCAAAGTTTGGAATAGTGGAATGAAGGATGATTTTAATGCTTTGGTGGCTCAAAATCCAGGATACACTATTTGGGTGAGCATAAAAAACTTCAGAAAATATTCACATAGGGAATATTTTGCAAGTCGCACTTTTTTGAAAATAAAAATTACCTAGGTCTCTGGACACTCGCTTGGTGGATCTCTTGCATCTCTCGCCGCCTCATTCATCGTCGGCACAAAACTTGTCGATAGTCAAAATGTGAAATTGGTGACCTTCGGAGAGCCAAGAACTGGTAACAAACCGTATGCTTTGGCCCACGATTTGCAACTTCCATTCACTTATCGTATTACACATAACCGTGATGTTGTTCCACATATTCCAAATGAGGGATTCATGGATTATTATCACAATAAATTCGAAGTTTTCTACAAGGAATCAATGAAAGCCGGTGCAAGTTATACAGTTTGTGATGGAGATGAGGATAATAAATGCTCGAATGGTTTATGGATCACCACATCTGTCGAGGATCATTTGCATTACTTTGAACATGATATTAGCGATTGGGGAGAGAAGGGCTGCAATTAATTAATTCGTTATAAGTATTTTTTGTTCACTGATTAATAAATGCATCGAATAATTCACATGAGAACATTTATTTAACTAGCCAAAATAAAAGAGAAACCTGTCAAGTATTTACAAAAACACTTGATCATCACTTTCCACTTTTTTAGACACAAAAAACTCACATTTTTCTCGACCAAACAGCTGAAATTTCGAAATTTTCTCGAGGAAAAAACATTTTTTTTTTGAAAAAAAAATCTTCGCTTTGAGATATTTTTTGTGTGCGCTCTATCCCTTTAAACTTTTCTACAGTACCTCAATCGATATTTTTTTCGCGAAAAAAATTATTTGCTTCATTTTTTTTTTTTGTTTTTGAATTTCGCACTGAAAATCATGATTTTCAGATGAAATTCCGGTTGAAGTCGAGAAAACCGATTGAGACAAAATGGCTGGCGAAAAATTCTCGATTCAAAAGTTATCTAGAAGTTTTGTCCGTCATGTTTTTCATCTTTATTTGGGTTGTTCTGCCAATTATGTGTCTTTGGGTAAGATTTCTTTTTTTTTCAAATAAAATCTTAAATTTAAAACAAAACTTTCTCAGGTTCCGTTCTATTTGCTCAAGACAAAATGGTGGTTCCTAGTGCCAAGTTATGCAGTCTGGTTTATTTATGATTTGCGAACTCCACGACGAGGCTCAAGGCCTTGGAAATGGTTGCGCGAGCATCAATTATGGCGACATTTTGCCGATTATTTCCCGTTGAAGCTAATCAAAACCGCCGAATTATCACCGGAACGTAATTATATAATTGGCTCCCATCCACATGGAATGTTCTCGATCGGCGGCTTCACCTCAATGGCCACAACGGCAACCGGTTTTCACAAGAAATACCCGGGAATGACGCCGCATATAATGACACTAAATGGTCAATTCTATTTCCCACTTCGGCGTGAATTCGGAATGCTTCTCGGCGGTGTCGAAGTCTCCAAAGAGTCCCTCGAATATCTGCTAACTCGCAAGGAAAAAGGAAAAGTGTGCACAATTGTAGTTGGCGGAGCCATGGAAGCCCTTGAGGCCAAACCAGACACCTATATTTGCGTGCTCAAAAATCGCAAAGGTTTTTGCAAATACGCTATAATGTATGGCGCCGATTTAGTGCCAATGTATAATTTTGGAGAAAACGATTTGTATGAGCAATACGATAATCGAAAAGGAACTGTGATTCGAGAAGTTCAAGAGAAGATTTGCAAAGTTTGGGGACTCTGCCCACCATTTTTAAGAGGAAGAAGTATTCTCAATCAATATATGATCGGATTATTACCATTCCGTAAACCAATCACAAGTGTTATCGGAAAGCCTATCAGGTATTTTTTGAATTTATTGTTAGAAAAACAGATAATAAAAAATATAAAAATTTTGTAGAGTGACACAATGCGATTCTCCAACTCAAGAACAAATCGATGAATTGCATGCGAAATATTGCGAAAGTTTGTATAAATTATTCGAGGATCACAAACATCGTCATAATATTGCTTCAGATGTTCATTTAGAGTTTCAATAAATTTCTATTTTTTCGAGGAGATTTTTAGGTAAATTTTTATTTCCAGACATTTTTTCCTAGACTACTGTAGGAAATTGAAAAAATAGGCAAAACAAAACTACAAGTGTACTATGAAAAAGAACTAAAAATCATTTATTAATGCTAACAGCTCTTTTTCTGAAAATGCCAGCTGGCGCATTTATCACATTCAACAAAGTTCCTCGATAATTCTGGATAATTAACATAACTGGAAGTGGATCAATCGCTGGAAACAGAGCAGATGTGAACGCACAAATACCACCATAATATCCCAATTCGAAGTCGAAAACTGAAGCAACGAGAACAATTGTACATGGAAAATGCATAAGAGTTATTGGAATTACTGCTTGAGTTACCAAGGCGTAAAAAGTTTGAAATTGAATTCTGCTGTTTCTCTGAGAAGTCAGACTCAAAAGTGCGCGGAGCCTCAAAAACGTTCGACTTGCGAAATAAATAATGCAGACAAAAGAGATTGCCATCAATGCCAATTTGAAGGAAATCATCAACAAAGTTTCGATAACTACATGTTTTTGAAGGCCATCGTTTTGATAAAAAGTTGCGCCAATGTACACAAATTTATCCATTGGTAGATCAATTTTTTCGATTAGGACTTTTTCAGCCTCTTCGAATTTTATAGAAGGGTTCATGAATAAATAGGCCAATGTTCCCCAGATTGCACCAAGTAAAACAGGTGTCAAAAACCAGAAAATTATACGATAGTCATTGAAAGTTTCCAACTTTTTTGATCTATAAAATTGCTCGATAATACGTGGATTTTGAAGAGAGAAACACTACCTGGTAACAACGAAAAATCTGTAGATGAACTGAATTGCGAAGAGAAACATGAATGAGCCAAAAAACCCGCAATAAATACAACCCAAGATCAGCAAAACGTTCGGATCGGAAATATAATTGGTTTTTGTGAAGATAATCAAAAAAGTGGAACCGTGCGAGACAAATTGAGGTGAGATCAAAAAATCGGCCACGGAATAAATAATTTCGAGGATGGCCATATAGATCATGAAAAATCGATAAGAGCCGAGATGTTCGGGTGATTTTTTGATGATTAGGAAAATCAGAATCGCGTTGAGGAAGATCGAAGTTCCGGCGCAACATGTTTGAAGATTCGTGACAATATTTCTATTTATCATGTTTTTTTTTTCAAATGATTTTTGATGGGAAAATGATTGCTTAAAAGCTCACCAAACAGGAAATAGATTTCTAGCGTACTGTACTCAATACTGTAGGAAATTACAGAAGTGGGATGTACTTTGATAAAAAAGTCAAAGTGACAGCTAGAAAACTTTTTCAATTTTCACACTGATTTTTGTGTACCAAATGTGTACTACAGATTTTGACACGAGTCCTGCTGAATCAAAACATCTCAAATTCAATTTTTATTCATTAGACAACTCGTTTCGTGAAAATCGTTGAGGAAAATGAAGTGTACAAAAAACTTTTGTTTTTAGATGCAATATTTATTATTTTGATTGTCTCTACTGTTGAAAAAATGTTTGATGTTGATCTTCTACTGGTTTTTAAATTCATGTAAATTTAAGGAAACACGTATTAACAGTTTTTATTCTCAAAAAAGCAAAATGTGATTCAAATTGGATTGTCAAGTCGCCTTTGAATGAATTTAACAACCGGAGTTGTGACTGAACTCATCATCGCAAGACGATAATGTTTGACAATTATGATAACTGGAAATGGATCCAAAGCTGGGAACAAAGCGCAAGTTATGCTAACGATGATACTAGCTCGTCCGAAGTTGATTGACAGTATTGTTAATATGAATAAAGTTGCTACTGGTAAATGCATGAGGATTACTGGGATTAATGTTTGAGTAACCAGAGCATAAAATAACTGATATTGTAAACCATTCCATTTTCTCGAAAGATTTTTTGTTGTTTTAATATATGTGTTTATTTTAATGTAACATTTGAGTATAAAAATAATAATTGTGCCAATTGATGATGTCATTATTGTGAGCATTATAAACATGCATGTCAAAGTTTTCTCATACGTATAATGTGAAGTATCTGTTGTTTTGTATAAGTATGGTCCAATATATAAAACATGTTCCACTTTCCAATCGTGTTCTTCGATAAGAACATTTTTGATAGCAGCATCAATCTGACTATTAGAAGTAGGGAAGTATATGAAAGTCATGAAACCCCAGAAAATACCACAAATTAGCGGACCACTCATCCAAAGAGATATTCGCCAATCATTGAAAGTTTTGAGCAAGATTGAGCTGAATACATTATTCGTGATAAAACATTGAAATTAATTTAAATTTACCCCGAAAGTACCAGATATCGATAAATAAATTGTAAAACAAATACTGCCATGAATGATCCAAAAAATGCGCTCCAAAAACATAGCAAGTAAAAACATGTTTCTTTTTTGAATAATGTTGATTCGAAATTGACAATTACTAGAAATATTCCGGGTTGTGAAAGAACAAGAGGTTCTAGTAAGACATCAATAACTGAATAGGTTATTTCAAAAATTGCAATATAAATCATCAAATATTTATACGATCCAATCTGCTGAGGAGATTTTTTATGGACTAGAATTATGAGAATAATATTCGCAAATATCGAAGCGATTGCTGATATTTCTTGCGTGATGCTTATGATATCCGACCATTTCATTACTAGTTTTGAACTAGAATATCAAGTGAAAAATGAAGCTTGAAAAATAACAAGAATAGAGCTTCTGATCTAATTTCCTTTTGTACTTTTCTTTCCGATGGTAACCGAATTCCGATCGAGTTTATTTTCTCTCTTTACTACAGTAACAATGAGTTGGATAACAACTGTTAACATTTTCCAACTATCTTCATCAATTGTATCTTTAACAGCCAATGCATTTCTGATTTATTTGATAGTAGCAAAATCTCCGAAAGAAATTGGACCCTACAAGTATTTGATGATCTACATTTCAGTGGCCGAGATGTTATATTCAATAACTGACAATCTCATAAAACCTATCATTTTTTCCCATGGACCTATTCTCATAGTTGTTGTGAATTCAGAAATATCGATTTGCCCACTTAAAATATCTTATATCTTACTGTACATCTGGGGTGCATTTTTTGGAAGTTTCATGGGAATCTTCGCTCTCCAATTCTTATATCGCTATTTTGTAGCTTCAAAGTGGGTGAATTTTTTCCCCGGTGAACTTCATAATTTTTAAGTACAGTTCGCACTTACTCAAAACTTTTAAAAGTTGGAAAATCACACTGTGGATGTGTGTTCCTATATGCTACGGTGTAATATGGGGATGTTCAACAATCTTCCTTTTACCATCAGACAATCAAATGAATAATTCAATCAAAATTATGTTGTTTATTGAATTCGAATGGAAAATCGAGAATGTTGTTTATTCGGGTATATTTCTTTATCGATCAACAGAACATGAAACATTCAATCAAATTCATATTTTAAACTCTATTGCAATTTTTATAATGTTATTGATCATAATTTCATCAATAACAATTATCATAATTTGTGCGATCAAATGTTATATGAAATTAAACGACCATATGAATAATCTTTCAAAAAGAACTAATCATCTTCATTTCCAGTTGTTCTATGCATTGGTCACTCAAACACTAATTCCTATCATTTTGATGCATTTTCCAAGTTTATTGATGTTCTTTTTCAATATAATTGATAAGAACTCAAGTTTTGTGAGCACAGTTGCCAATATAACTATTGCAGTGTTCCCTGCGCTTGATCCATTTCCAGTGATGATAATTATCAAAAATTATCGAATGGCAATTTTTGGAAAACTAGCTAAACCTGTTTGGAGCACTACTCGACAAAGAACAGTTTTTGAAAATTAGAGAATCGTAGAATTGCAGGGCTTTACTGCCAGCTCTTGATCTTTGATTGAAACTTGTGGGAGCTAATCAGACTCAAACCCCTTGAGTAAAACTCTTGTTTTTGCGAACTTGATTTTGTTATTTCTGAATATCTAAAGTACACTCTGAAAATTCAGAAATTTTCCCTTCCTTACTACTAGTTTATGATATAAATTCTGTTCTCAACGATGATTTCTTCAAAAAATTTGGTGAATACGATGCAAGAATTATCATTGATAACATCTATATTGGCTAATATTTTGCTCATGTATCTAGTTTATAAAAAATCACCAAAACAAATTGGATCATACAAATATTTGATGATTTACATTGCAGTTTTCGAAATGTGTTATTCAATTCTAGATGTTCTTCTTGAACCTCTCGTTCTTTCGCATACTTCTTTATTTTTTGTCATAATTCACACTAAATCGACTTTTTTCACCAAAGAAATATGTATTTATCTGATTTCAATTTGGGGAGCATTTTTCGGATCATTCATGGCTTTTTTCGCTGTTCAATTTATATATCGATATTTTGTAGTTTCGGGGTAAGTTAACATGGATATCGACTTTTACGAAAACTTATTTACTAGATCAATTTATCTCAAAACTTTTAATGATTGGAGACTTGTTTTATGGATGACTGTTCCTTTGACAGGCGGTGTTTTTTGGGCTTTTCTAACAATATTTTGTCTTCATCCGGACAAGCAAACTGATGATGTTATACGAAACGTTGTTCTTGAAACATTTGATTTCGAAATTAAAGATATTTCATACGTTGGATCGTACTTGTACAGAACGATAAATGGTCGGGAGATCATCGATTGGACTAGTCTTACCGCAATAATTTTGATGATAATTGTTATGATATTATCGATAACAACAACTACTGTTTTTGCCACCAAATGTTTTCTAGAAATCAAAAACTATGTGAAAACTGCACAAAATTTCTCAAAAAAATTGAAAAGCCTACAAAATCAACTGTTTTACGCTCTCGTTACTCAAACTTTAATTCCCATCATTCTTATGCATCTTCCAGTCACAATTCTTATAATTTCTACAGTTTTGTCAATTGATTTAGGTCAAACCAGTGTTTTAGTTAGTATAACTATTGCACTCTTTCCCGCACTTGATCCATTCCCAGTTATATTAATTGTAAAACATTATCGATTTGCAATGATGAGTGCAGTTTCTACGCCTGTTGTTAAATTCATTCGGAAAAGACTTGATAACCCTGTATAATTTTAATAAATGTTTTATTTATCAGTTGTCAAGGCAGTAATTTCACAATATCAAAAATACAAATACATACAATGCACAAGAATCATCAAACTCTCCCTGAATTGTGAAAAATAAATTGAAATTCTCGGAAGGTGCTCATCTTCTAAATCTCAAAAATCATATTCGTACGTCTAAAGTATTTTAATTAAAAATTGTCCAATAATTGCTTTTTGGCAGTTCTTTAGAATGCACTTTTATAAATAAAGTTTTCGTTATATTTGTTTTTAATATTCATTTGTGTTAACATAACGATGCTCTCTTCAAAAAATTTTGTAAATGTAATGCAAGAAACATCAGTTATAACATCCATAATAGCTAACATTCTGGTCATATATCTAGTCTATAAAAAATCACCCAAACAAATTGGATCTTACAAATATTTGATGATTTACATTGCAGTTTTCGAAATGTGTTATTCAATTCTAGATGTTCTTCTTGAACCTCTCGTTCTTTCGCATACTTCTTTATTTTTAGTCCTAACACACACTAAATCGACTTTTTTCACAAAAGAAATATGTATTTATCTGATTTCAATTTGGGGAGCATTTTTTGGATCATTCATGGCTTTTTTCGCTGTTCAATTTATCTATCGATATTTTGTAGTTTCGGGGTGAGTTAACGTGGATATTGACTCATACGAAAACTTATTTACTAGATCAATTTATCTCAAAACTTTCAATGATTGGCGACTTGTATTATGGATGACTGTTCCTTTGACAGGCGGTGTTATTTGGGGATTCTTGACTTATTTTTGTCTTTATCCTGATGAAAACATTGACAATGCTATAAAAACATTCTTGCTGGAAAATTTCGATTGGAAAGTTGAGGATGTTTCCTATGTTGGATCCTACTTATACAGAATGAACTATGGTATTGATTTAAGAAATCTTATTGGAATGACTGCAATGTTAACAATAATGATGTTATCAATATTAACAATCATTATTTTTGCAACCAAATGTTTTCTAGAAATCAAAAACTATGTGAAAACTGCACAAAAATTCTCAAAAAAATTGAACAGCCTACAAAATCAACTGTTTTACGCTCTCGTTACTCAAACTTTAATTCCCATCATTCTTATGCATCTTCCAGTCACAATTCTTCTAATTTCTACAGTTTTGTCAATTGATTTAGGTCAAACCAGTGTTTTAGTTAGCGTAACTATTGCATTATTTCCAGCATTGGACCCATTCCCAGTTGTTTTGATTGTAAAACATTATAGATTTGCAATGATGAGTGCAGTTTCAACGCCTGTTGTTAAATTTATCCAAAGAAGACTTGATAACCCAGTTTAAAAAATAAATTTTTGTATTTGTTACCAGATATCTTTTTTTGTTTTTTTTGCATAAAAACGCTCCCAAACGATCCCATATTCCCGAAAATACTAACCTCAAAATGTCCAATTTTTCTGTTCATCCAAACATAAAAGCTTTGCATTTGCAATTAGTTTATCGTTTTTGTCGGTACCAAAATTTTAGAAATAAATTCATTGTGATCAAATTTTTCGATAAAAATATCTGGGTCACGTTTTGATTTTTACGCGATTTGTTCTTCAAAAAATTATTCATTTCTCATTTCCACTTTGCAATCTTCCTCGAGTAACAAAGTTGAAGTTAAAAATATTTATTTCCAAACAACAAAAAATGATTCAGAATTATCTTTATCTTCAAAATTTCCGAGTAAATGAAGCGAAAATCACATTCCGATAATTTTTAATGATGAACATAACTGGGAAGGGATCCAATGCAGGAAACAATGCGACTGTCATACTAACAATACTACTCGCATTTCCTAAACCAACATTGAAAAATGTGAAAATAAAGAGGATTAGAACAGGAAGATGCATAAGGATAAGAGGAATTAGAGTTTGAGTGACTAATGCATAGAACAATTGGAATTGTAGATTATTTGTTTTATTAGATTTGAGATTCGAGAATCCATTAATTTTCAGATAACATTTGATGGCGCAAACTATGATCATGATAATTGATGACATTGTTATAAATACCATTATAAGTGATCCCACCGCATTTGGAATGTGAACATGTTTTGGTGAATGATGTTCCATATTACGATACAAATATGGTCCAGCGTATGTGATATGTTCTACACTCCAGTTTAAACTTATTTCCAAAGCATCTCGAATTGCTTCATCAATCTGTTTATCGGGTAACATTAGAAAATAAGTGAGCAATCCCCAAAGTACTCCACAAAATACAGGTCCACTCATCCATAAAATAATTTTCCAACTTTGAAAACTGTTGATAAATGGTGATCTAAATTCATACAAACTCCTTATTAGATCTTTTTAAATTCAACTCACCCCGAAGCAACACAATATCTATAAACAAACTGGAGTACAAACAATCCCATAAAACTTCCAAAAAATGCACCCCATGATGCTAATAAAATACGGCAGATATTTTCGTTGAAATATGCAGTTTCGATATTGACAACAATCAGAAAAATTGATTTTGATCCATAAGAAAAACATATTGATTCTATGAGTACATCGTTGATAGAATAAAGTATTTCAAAAATTGAAATATAAATCATCAAATATTTGTATGATCCTATTTTCTTTGGTGATTTTGTGAGAACTAATAGAATAAGGATCAAGTTTGCTGATACAGAAACAATTGCTGCGATTTCTTGAAGTCGGCTGACAATTATTTTCCAACTCATGATGAGAGAGAAAGATGGAAGTATGAAAATCTAACTGTTCACTTTTTTTCGTTCATAGGAAATCGAAAAAATACGATTGCACTTATCAGATTTTCTAAATTTGGTTATACAGTAGCCTTGTTGAAAAAAGTACGGGAAATTGGATTTTTTGTCTGATTTTGAGGTTCTATTTTCAGAAAAACAAAGAATTTTATGAACTCATTGTCAGAAAGAAAAATAAATAAATGAAATGCTCTCAATATTTCCAACGTGAAAACCCTGATCAAAATAAAAATCCCTCCTCATTTCTAGCTATTTGAAATTCGTAAAATGAGTACAAAATTGATTAAAAATCTACTAATAATATGCATTGCTTCGAGCAATTGTTGTAATGCACAAATAAAATGGGGAGAATTGCCGGAATGTGGAGGAGAGGATAATCCGAAGGGCCAATTTGAATCAACGCTTTTTGCGTTTTTCATAAATCGTAATTGTGATCCGCCGATGGTGAGTTGAAATTTCTAGAAAAACGTGATAAATCTGCTATTTAGCTGCGAAAAATGGCCTATATTCTGAAGGAAATCACATGTTTTATCGAGGATTTGCAAAATTTCCGAGGCTTGGTGGCTGATACGTCAAGTGGCATTCTTTTGACGCACGCTAGAGAAGTTCCCATTAAGAAGCTTCATTACAATCTTTTCAAAAACATGGATAAAAGTCCTGGATTCCTCTCTCGTTGCGAGCACAGATTTCGTGAAGCTTTCAAATATAGTTTAATCGATAAACTCAAAAACAAACTCGATTATTACGAAAACATTCAAATTATCATTGTGAACACACCTCAGAGTCACAATTGTGATATTCAAAAAGAATTCAAGAATTTCACATTGCAATATGCGCCAAAGATGATGAATGCGAAATTGAAAGTGTTCAAGCTTATAGAGAAAAATGACAGAATCTGTTTGAAAATCAGAAAATCGTGTATAGACTTTGATGTTGATGGTAGGTGAAACCCCATTTGTCAGATTCAGATAAACCATATATTTAATTCCAGATGTTCAGAATGATGACATCAAACAGTATATCAAAAGTAGAACACTCGATTTTTACAAGCCGAAGGTCAAATCAATAACATCCAAACCTGAAGTTTCGAGCACTACTAAAATCATCGAAACCTCTACTGGAACTTCTACTTCTACAGGAACAACAGAGAAAATTATTGTTCCGGTAACAACGATAAAACCAGAAATACAAAAAACATCAGCGGAACCTTCAACAGCAACAACGAAAGTTGCTGAACCGACTGAATCAACTACCACGAAGCCTGTTGAAACTTCAGAAACGCCATCAAGCCCTCAAACAACGACTGAAAGTCCACAAACAACAGAAAAAGTTGCGGAACCGACAACAACAACGAAGCCTGAAACATCTGAAGTGCCAGCAGACCCTCAAACTTCTACTGAAAATCCGCCAACAACAGAAAAAGTTGCTGAAACGACAACAACAATGAAGCCTTCTGAAACATCTGAACTACCAGCAGACCCTCAAACTTCTACTGAAAGTCCGCCAACAACAGAACAAGTTGCTGAAACGACAACAACAATGAAGCCTGATGAAACATCTGAACTACCAGCAGACCCTCAAACTTCTACTGAAAATCCCTCGGAATTATCAGATCCATCAGACTCATCTGATTATTCTGATGACGTCATTTCTGAATCCTCCGAGTCTCCCAACCCTGAATCAAATTCGATGCTCTACTCTCTTATTCTACTCGTCATTCTTCTATTAATTGCAGTTGGACTAACTATATATATTTCAGTGAGGGTTAGAAAATTAAAGCGAAAAATCACCATTGAAACTAGGCAAATGTTATCAAGAGCTGAGTTGCCTGTTGAAATTCAAAATAATTTGAAGGATTCAAACAAGAAGGAGCAGAGTAGAAAACAAGTTTTGGTTCAATAAATTTTTTTGAATTTTTTTCTAACGTTTCCAAGGCGAAAAAAATATTGGAATTCAAAATGATATCACTTCTTATCCCCAAACCTTTTCAATATCTTACAAAAAATTAGTACATTCTCCAAAATAAAGAGAGCGCAAAGTGTCTAAAAATAATTAATGACCCTTGGGCTTGCTTCGGTTAATCACGTCATAGAAAGAATACGGTATCTCTTTTCTCATTCATTGTTTTTCTTATTTGAGAGAGAAATCAGATTTATGACACCTTTCTCTTTTATTAGTTCATCATAATCAAAAATTTTGACCAAATCAATGAAACAAATAGTGTCGAAAATGTACGAGTCGTGGAAGAAGAAACCAAAATACTGTAGACTTCTTTGATTTTTTGAATTAAAAGAGGAATTATTTGGTTTCCTAGGCCAAGGGTCACGAAATTTCAAACAAGTTGATTTTTTTGAACTATAAACATTCATATTTTGAATACTGATAATTACAAATCTCAATGTTTGATCTTCGATTTTCTCTCCGATCTCTACCGTTTACCAAAATACTCCGCCCATTTTCTCGATAATATTTTTCCAATTTATACAAATTCTTTGATTTGAAACATTTTATCATTATGCTTTCTACTATTAAATTGATTTTACTGTTATTCTGCAGTTTATACATTTCTGAAGGTAGCCGAATTTCAGCTAAAAATGATCCGATAAAGCCAGAAGATTTGGATAAATATAAATTGGATGAAAAGGATTTCGATAAAGTTCGAACAATTCACACAAATTGGTATTTTCATGCAATGAAAGCTTTAATATCACAATTATCTCTCAATTTGTTGCCTAAATTATCACCCGGTGAGGTTTTTCTATTAAAAAGGAAATCTTATCTTTAAGGTTTTTGTTTAGAAATCAAATACGAGTTTCAAAAATGTCTCTATAAAATTCATGAGATGAAGGATCTTGTTGAATCGGCGAAATGTTTGATGCAAGCGAGGGAAAAGAATATGGAATGGCGCAAAAAATCGAGGCAAGTTTGAATTTTTATCTGAGAAAACTTTATTTTTTTAGAGTTATCCTAAAACCAAAAAAATATGCCAGTAGTAAACTGCAACAAATCAACTCAATTTATCAACAAAAAATTGGAAAACTAATCAAGAAAAATCGAGTTAAAAGAAGTCTGCAAAGATTGGTTGTAGATACAGTATCCAAAAGTGATAGCAATGGATATATTGTGAAAAATATGGAAAAAATGCCAGACCTCAAGTCTACTGATTCCAAATCAACTGTTCAAAAAGTGACTGATTTATTGAAATCGTTTGTGTCCTCAACGCCAGCAAATCAAACGTGAGTAGAATTTCTGACTTCAGGTACAGTATCTATCATGTTTTGAATGTATAATAATTGCATAAAAATAACAAATTTTAATCAGAAAAACCGTCTACATAAATCATTCCGAACGTTCCGAGAACCTATCTTCTTTTTTCACTCCTTCGAAATCAAAGAAACAAAATGTGTGAAAAACACAAAGATTAGAAGATTTTCCGAATAATTCTTACAAAGGGAGATTTTTTGGAATTAAATATCAATTGAATAAACCATTTTCAGTGAAGAACCATGGTCTGAAACGTATAACGCCCTCCTAAATTTGAAAAAGAAAATGAGCCAGAGGGAAAACGAGCCAGGTGCAAGAGTTTATAATCAACGAATGTATGATCTTGTGATGGATCGAAAGCCAAAAAAATCTTCAAGTGTATTCAATGTTTTTGATAAGGTTGGTTTAGTAAATCCTAACAAAAATATACTTTTTTCACAGCCGGAAATTCCTGGAATTTTGAAAAAAGCATTTGATTTGATGTCGACTATTGATGGAACTGGGAAGAAGGCGAAGAATTCGAATTACAAATTTTTGAGATGAGAAATTATCAATACCATTCCATTACGATAACAAAATCCAAAAATTCAGTCCCCGGTTCGCTTCAATAATGCCGGATAAAAATGAGAATCGTGGAAATCTATCTCCATCAATTCTATCATTTTACAACGACGAGTCAGAAGATCAAATTCTCCCTCTTCCAAAAATTCTAGAAAGCTCTGGTCTGAAAGGGAAAGATCGGGATAATATTATTGAAGCGGTTATGGAATTTTCGGGTGCTAAAAGTATAGTAAAACATGCGATGAAGATATTAAAAGCGGTTGATCTACCAGAATTGGATTTGGCTGTTTCATCAAACGCTAAAAAAACGATGAAAATGGTGGATGAAATCAAGAAATCCTACAGTATAACACAGCGGAGAGATATGGATGACAAAGGATTTGCAATCATGACACCGAAACAAATTGAAAAAGTGATGGCTGAGCAAGGAATTGCTGGAAGAGATGATATTTTTAATGTCAAAGATTATGCGAAAAAGACATTGTTTCAAAAAACAGAAATGGTTTGGGATATGGTCAGACAAATTGCATTTGGTTCAACAGCGGTTGGTTCATTTCATATGTATGTAGAACACTTGTGAAAACTCTAATTTTCAGAAAACTGTCTCAAACTCAACTGGTCGCTTCAAACGTCAAGCAATAAATTGGGGACCCCATGTATTACAGCCAACTGTTCTGACAACCATCTTATTTTCTCCAATTTACGGACTAAATGTTCTTTCCCCAACAGTTTTATCACCCGGTCTTTTTGAACCTCTCATTCTAAACCCTTCAGTTCTTTCACCTTACGTCTTCTCACCAACTGTTGCAATTCCTTTCATTGTTTCGCCCTATCTTCTATCACCCTACGTATTTTCACCATTGATCATGGCCCCATTTATTCTAAATCCTTATGTTGTATCTCCAAATGTTTTTAATCCATATGTCTTATCACCATTGATCTTATCACCCACAGTTTTATGCCCTGATGTTGTTTCACCAATGACACTTGGTGGTGCGATTCTTTCACCTGGTGTTCTATCGCCATCAGTTCTCAGTAAATCGTATGTTATGGCTAATGTTCTATCGCCAACCTTTCTCTCTTGACTGATTTTGTTTGATTTTTTCAAAAAATACGTGTACTATTTCATGAAATATTGTTCAAATTAATTGAAACGTGAAAAAACGTGTGAAAAATTTTCATTTTCATTTTTTTTTCGCTATGAAAGTGGTTGTATTTTGTGTTGCCAAAAGTGAGTTTTTTTGAGGGAAACATTTATTTTTAAAAAATTTCAAAATTAGTGTTGTTGTTGAGATGGTCCAAATTCAGCCGATCGTTTTCCGTAATAACCATAATATCCAGGATATCCGTAGCCACCGTATCCATAATCATATCCATTACCGTAGTAGCTACCGTAATATGATGGGTAGTAGCTTGAATAACCGTAGTATTGAGCTGATGTTTCGTGAATAAGAATTGTGGCAATGATCAAGAGAATGATGAGTTTTGAGTTCATTTTTGTTTGATTTTAACTTTGTGAAAATTTCGAACTTTATATACTGCATTTCTATTTGCTCTCTAAACATATCAACCTGCCAAAAGTTCAAAAACCCTATTTATTTCCAATAAAAACGATTACTCAAAGAGTTTTCAAGTTTCAAATTCGTATATTTGGTTTTGATTTTTTCTGCACTGATACAACACGAGTTGTAACAATACTGAAAATTGTACATCGATAATCTTTGATAATTAACATAACTGGAAGAGGATCGAGAGCTGGGAATATTGCAGCAGCTATTCTCATGAGAACGCTAGAGTGACCTATATCAAAATCTAGAAGTGTGATAATATCAAGTATCAGAACTGGAAGATGCATTAAAATTAATGGTATGAGGGTTTGAACAATCAGCGCGTAAAAAAGTTGCATCTGGAAGCTGTGATGACTTTGAGACAAACTTTTGTTCACTCTGACGTAGACATTCAGCTGGATAAAGCATTTGATGGCAGAGAAAACAACAAAACTGATCGAAAATAGAACAATTATCGACATCACAACCATAGCAAACAATGCAGAAATGTCAATTTTCACACTTCCATCAAATTGTTTTTGGTATAAGTATGGTCCAATGTATACTATGTCTTCGATCTTTTTGTCGAATTCAGTTAGAAAAATATTTTTGACCGCCTCATCTACTTGTTTTGTGGGACCAATGAGGACATAAACCACAGTTCCCCAAATCAGCCCAGTTATAACTGGAATCGACATCCAGAACACAAGTCGATAATCATTGAAACTTTTGATTTTTATCGATCTACATTATTGAAGAAGTTAATCTACACAAGTATTATAACTAACCCAGTTATCACAAAATATCGATAGATGAATTGTAATGCAAATACACCCATGAACGCACCAAAAAATCCACACCAAATCGAGTTAAGGTAAAGCAAAAGTTGTCTATCAGTTGTGAGAAAGTTGTCATTTATTGAAACGACAACCAAGAAAATTGAGCCATGCGCGAATAAGAATGGGGAGATAAGGAAATCCAAAACAGAATAGACCAATTCATAAACTGAGATATACATCATCAAATATTTATAAGATCCAAGACGTTTTGGTGATTTTGTGATGATTAGAATCATTAAAACTGTGTTGAGAAACACTGAGGTGCCAGTTGAAAACAATTGTAAAAATTCGACATATTTTCTCGACTTCATATTGGACATGGCTTCGAAAAATGAATTTAGCCATTTTTGAGAAGTACATGTACCCCAGTCCCGAGCACAGGAAGCTTTTTCAATTTCCTATTGTAACCGAGCCTCTCGGTCCGAGAGTGATCTTTGACTGGACACTTGAACAGAAAACTGATTATTGATCAGTAAAAAATGGATTTTCCGAAAAAATAGAATGTTGCATGACTTTGAATTCTACGTGACCTCGATGCCTTCTTTCATTTCAGTTATTTAAATTCCAAAAAATGGAATGCCCCGCTTTCGACCTCGAAAATCAGGGTCAAGTACTTTGTTCGTAATCGCGAAACGAACAACTTTCCAGATTTTTTTATAATTTGGCCAGTATCAAATTCCACGGGTTCCCTAAAATACGAATGACGGCTGAAAATTTTGAAAAAAAATGTTTGGGGGACGAGAAAACCAACGTGGCCGATGTTCGTGTGTAGTTCTTTCGGACAACATTTATTTTTTTCTTTTTTTCTGCTTCTGTCTTCCTTTGGCCAATCTGCGTGTTTCACTAGGATATTTGTAGATTTTTCTGTTGTCAAAGTATTAGGACAGTTGTTCTTATCATTTTGAGTTGGAAAATCAAATTTGTTTCAGTGTAGATTGCAGGTGAAACATTTGTTTCCTGTTTTCATCAAATACCGAAGAAAACATCATGTTTTTGATGGAAAACTCACTGTTCAAACAAAATTGTCTAGTTTCCTCATGAAATATGTATAATGAACTCCGAAATAGCCTATTTATTTATTTATTTATTCTTCTCGTTTATTCAAACACTCCTAATTGAGTTGACAAAAAAATAAATGTTTATATTATTTTGCTTATATTTTTCGCGTTGACCTATCAAATTCCTTCAAGCGTGTAACCCGATATGAATTTTGTCATTTTGTTTAGTTTTTTCTATTTCTCCTTGTATGAAATCTACATAATATTGATTTCTCTCACTTTCTCTCAAAAAACACTATTTTATTACATCCAACACCAGTCTGCTAATCATATAAAATAGTGGGAAAATGCAAGAGACATCAGGCAAATTTATTGAAGGACAGCTGGCAAAACAACTAAGTTTTTTCCTCCAATTTCTTTTAATTTTTAGATATTTCGAATTGTCTTGCCTTTTCATTGACAAAATCCTTTTTGAAATGCATTTTTCCACTCATATTTTTAATAAAATAAAAAACATTTCCCTGAAAAGGGGCAAGAAGCCGATAAAGCTGTCTTTTTCTCTAACCACCTCTCGTCAATTTCGATTCGCTTATTCTTTCTTCCTCTTCTCTGTGTATTTCTCGAGAACAACTAATTCTTTCTCTCTCTTTTTTCTATTTCCTTCTATGTTTGGCGTGTATTTCGGCGCCAAAACGAACCTAATTAGATGAAAAAAGAAAGAAGACGAGCCCTTTACAGATAATTGACTGACACAAACAACAAAACGAAGAGGGCTCTACGAAGTCCTTCTTCGATTTTCTTCTTGCCATGATTCCTCGAAGAATACATCGCATTTTGAATGTGATTTTGGCGTGCTGCGTGGTAAGTTTTTTTTTGAAATGTTGAATTTCTCTCTTCTATTCCCTTCTCATTCTAAAAATCAATTTTCAGTTTGGTTTCCTGGTGATATTCATCAAAATCCCTTCGGCCGTTGAAAAACACGCGGATGACACAGCACCTGTGCTAACAGAAAAAGAATGGCAAGTTATAAACCAAGAAACTTCGAAAAATACCAAGATACCATATGAATCACCGGCCAACTCGACAATAGCAAATTGGAAATTCAAATCTCCAGATAGAAGTGGCTCGATAAGTGGAGCTGATATTGTGGAGAATCTAAAATTGTTGAACGAAAATTTCGATGTGTTGAATATCGATAAATTTGGAGGACTGGAGAATGTTGAGCGAGTTTTAGTTGTTCAGGTATTTAGAACTATAGTTATTTCCGTTTTTTGAAATTTTCTGTCAAGCAGAAAGAGAATGTTGCTCATAAAAAATGCAAGAGCTTGACGACAAATGAGCCAATAAAAAATGTCCTTTTAGACAAATATGAACGTTGGTTTTTTTCTAGGTTCACAATCGTCCGAATTATCTGGAAGTGATAATCGATTCAATGCGAAAAACTGTTGGCATCGAAAAAACGCTTCTCGTATTTTCGCACGATATAAATGTGGCGCCAATCAACGAAATGATACGAAACATCACATTTGCACGAGTCTATCAAATTTTCTATCCCTACAACAATCAACTGTTCCCCGATGTTTTTCCCGGGAATAATCCGAGGGATTGCAAGGAGAAGATGAGTGAAGCGGCGGCTGAAGAAGCTGGTTGTGACAATTGGAAACAACACGATAAATATGGAAATTACCGGCTCGTTCAATTGACACAAATCAAACATCATTGGTGGTGGAAGATGAATTTTGTGATTGATGGAATTGTTGAGAAATTCAAAATGCCTAATCCGTGGATTTTATTGCTTGAAGAAGATCACATGTTATCCCCAGACGCGTTGCATGTTCTAGATTTGATTGTTGATAACAAAGTGACGTGAGTTCTGCAGCAAATCAACAAAAATGCAATTAAAATTTTGCAGATATTGCCCAACTTGCGAAATCATAACACTTGGAATTTACCTGAAAACCAATAGTAAATACGGGAAAGATATCGCTAATCTTGGAGTTCATCCGTGGTATGCTAGCAAGCATAATATGGGTTGGGCGTTGCAAAAAGACACTTGGAATAAGATTAAAGGATGTGCATCGGTGAGTGTTTGGTGCTTGGAACGTCTAAGAAATCTATGAAATTATTTTCAAAAATGACCTTTTGCCACGTCATAGACTGTTTTTTCAAAGTCTCCAAAATTAATTTAAAATTCCAAGCTATTGTCTTCTTATTTTTTAGCCGATTTTCAAAAAATCTCTATTTTTGCCCAAAATAAAACACGGATGTTGTGTTTTTTTTGTTCAAAAATTGTTTTGTGCTCCCTGAAAACACCTTGCTCATGACTAATTCCCAAACCTTGCCTACGCTCTCGCCACTTTTCCAAAACACAATTTTGCTCTTTTTCAGATGTTTTGCAATTGGGATGACTACAATTGGGATTGGTCAGTGCTTCAAGTCACCGCGAAATGTTTACCCGCGAGATTTAAAACAATTTTCGCGAAAAGTCCACGTGTATTTCATATTGGTGATTGTGGTGTTCACACGCATCGGTGAGCTTTTTTTCTATAGATTTTTTTTTCTGTCAACATATTTTTTTTTTGTTTCAGATGCGAAGTTCATCGTGCACTTGAAGCAACAATTCAACTATTCGAACAAAACAAGAATGAATTATTCCCCAAGGCAATGACGGTTACAGATGTAGGCTTTTTTTTGTTTAGATGTTCTTTTTTTCGTCTCGAATTTCTAGCCATAGTTCATTGAAACAAAACTTGCAGGTCTCTAGGAGATCATTGAAACCGCCGAAAGAAAACGGTGGCTGGGGAGATCAGCGAGATCGTGATCTTTGTATGCTGAATGTCTCGCCGTTGTCCAAAATTGCCGCGTCAAATTATTCAACCGTTCTAATGCCATTGCTCAACTCAAAAGTTCGACTAGATTCAGACGACGGGTTATGAAAAAATATCGTATACAGATTGGATTGCATAATAATTTATCGAGTTTAGGTGCTATACTATCATATTTTTTTATCGAATCTCTTGCCTTCTTTTCCTGCATAATAATTCACCCGAGTGATTTGTTCTCTATTCATTTTTCTGTTTTTTTTATATCTAAACGGGTTCTGTCTATCTTCGCTTGGAAGTTGAACCTTTTCTTCTTTTCGGGTCTCTCTATTTCTGTGCTTTTCTTTTCCTCCATGAAAATAGTTTACATACGTGAATAAAAATTTATTGATTTCTCAAGATTACAATCCACCGAAAACATCGCCTAATCCACCGAGGGGGGATGAGGAGTTGGAAGCTGGGGCGGCGGTTGTGGCAGCTTGAGTGGCTGCTTCGGTTGCGGCTTGAGTGGCAGCTTCGGTTGCGGCTTGAGTGGCAGCTTCGGTTGCGGCTTGAGTCGCGGCTTCGGTTGCGGCTTGAGTGGCTGCTTCGGTTGCGGCTTCGGTGGCTGCTTGGGTGGCGGCTTCTGTTGCAGCTTGGGTTGGAGCTGCTGTTGGGGCTTCAGTTGCGGCTACAGTTGAAGCTTCTGTGGCAGATTCTCCAGCCTCACGTTTCTGTAAATCAAACTCAAATGTTATTCTGGAAAAATTTCCAGCCAACCTTTCTAGAACCAGCGGTATTGTATTCTGCAGCCAAGTCAGATTCAAGGTTTTCAATAGCTGAATTAGCTCCAAATCCAAGGAATGTTTTGTCAAGACGAAGACAGGCGACTTCGAAAACACTGACATTTTTGCTATATCCTGGTGGTGAGTTTACAAGAGCACTTCCAGTGTAGCTGAAATATAATAGTTGCAGATGCTTTTTTTAAAAAAAAATCTGAATTTCTTACGTTCGGTTTCTTTGACAAGTGAGAGTAGCTCCGGCGGTTGTTCCGAAACTAAGCAAATAACTTTGTTTGAGCTCGCTTGATGAGTTATATTTAGCGAAAAGACCGTTGACAGTTTGTCCATTTGCATCGCATGCCAACAACGCTTGAATTCTTCCTCTTCCCGATCTTATATATCTGACGGTTGGTGTGTAGAATGCCTCGTTCAAAACACCTGGATGACTTGGAAGATAGAACGCGATGTTACCGCATGGATTGCGATGATGATTATCGTAGTCGTGATCATGATCCCAACCGCCGTGGTATGGTGGGGGATATGGATATGGATATGGGTAAACAGGTGGAAGTTGTGGAGGAGCTGGATAATTTGAGCCACCAGTATTTGTTGGTGGATATGAGGCAGCCACTGTGGCGACAAGAACAGATAACACAAACATTGTTGGATGGTGTGATGTTGAGAGTGGAACATTGACGCGTTTTATAGACGGAAATGTTATGGGATGAGTAATGTTGCGATGACAACGTCAGCAACCAAATGTTGATCATCGTGAAATTTGAATAGGAAAGAAAAATATATTCTTAAGAATCGTAGAACAAGGAATGCGGAAGTTCAGGTGTTTGAAAGGAGAGAGGGAAAGATCAGGATTTTTTCACACCGTGTAATTTACTACCTTCAGGGGTGGGGAACCTGGATTGGTTTAGGGTGGTAAGACATACGCCAGGATAATATTCTGTATGTGTGCCTAACCTGGCTACCTTTGGGCCATGTTCAAGTCGGGGCAGGTTTAAGCCAGGTTACAAGGTCCGGACAGGACAATTTCCCCACGTCTGACTACCTTACACCGCTAAGACATCTCTAAACCTTGTATAGATCATTGTAGATCAAACTAATGGTCGAGATTTGACAGATGTTTCAGAAAATCTCCGGTATTTTTTTCTGATAAATCAGAAGTTGTACTAACGACATTCAGAATTGTATGAGAATCTGAATAATTTAATTTCAGACTCAAAATATAATGTTTTTTCATAATTTTTGAAATTCAGTGTCCCAATATCCAATACATTTTCCAGACTTTCCATCCAAAATTCAAAATTCTCGCACCAAAGTTTTCCAGAAAATCAAATATTCAACATTTTCTTCCCAAAACAATTGTTTTGAAACAATCATCACGACGTCGATCAAACATTTTCCCCCAAAAAATGATGAATTCCAAACAAAAATTTCGCTATAAAACTCGTTCATCAAAAATTGTTCCAACATCACAAAAAAAATGATTCAAAATCTTCTCATTTGTGCAATCGTTGCTGTTGGTGTGGTTTCCTGTGGCTACGGTTCTGTTGGTAACCCACAATATTCCAATTATGCAGTTAATTACCAACAATTCGGATTTCCACCACACTTTGATTATGATCATGGTTATGACCGTAGCAACAGACATCACAGACTTTGCAAACCGATCAAACCATTCGATTCAATCAGCTCTGCCAACTACGAATCATTGCCAAAAGTGAGCTATTATTATCAAGAAGGAATCCAAAAAGTTCTCCTCGCCTGTGACAACATCAATAGTCAAGTTCAATGGCTTGTTGCTGGTTCACCGAATGCTAATCCAACTGGATCAACTGATGCTAACAAAAATTTGGCGATTATCTCGGTCTCATCAAACAGTGGAATTGTTCTTACCTGCAATAGAAGATCAAGAAAGTGGGTTTGGAAAAAAAGGTTTTCAAAAAAATGAGTCCATTTTTTTGCAGATTCGAAGCCTACAACTACATTTCGCAAAACACTGTTCCAGTCAATTCCATCAAATGTGTTTCAGTTGACGAAGATGACATTCCTTCAGAGGTCACCAGTGTCTCAGGAATTTTCCTCCAATAACACTCACGAATTTTCCATAAAAGTTTGTACTATTTGATAATCCCTACAGAATGTTCAGAAACAAAAATGAATTGCCGATACACAATCATTCGTGATTCGATTGTCCGAGTCTGCTGTCAAAACAAAACAATTTGAAATTTTTGCGAAATGTTTGCACACTTATCACTTTTTTTTGGGGTTGGGGATTCTTTTTCTGTCATGTCAGAGAGAAAAGTACATAGTGCTAATGATGGGTCGAAATTACGTAATAACAACGGGGAAAAAAAGATATAATGATACATAGATATTTTGAGTGTGTCGATGTTGCCAAAAATAGAACTTGTCGTGATAGAAAACACTTTTCCTGATTCAGAAAATTTTTGAAAAAAAACGACCCTGGTCCGATTCCTCAGGAAGTTCAGAGAACTCTTCGAATTCCAGAGGATCGTGATTTCTTAATTAGCACAAAGTTGTTTTCTCGAAACTCATATCGAATTACCGAAAAGTTTCCCATTCACACAGAACAAAGTCAACACCAGCAAAAGCAGCAAAAAAAAACTATTTGAACTCTACCTCCATTTTTTTTGTTGCCTCCCCTGTGTACTCTTCCGCACACTCCGTCGCCGACTGCTTTTGCGGTGTACTCACGAAGCGTGCGCGCGCGCCAGCTCCGGACAAGCAGAAGAAGGAGAAGATGAAGGAGAGCAAAAAAGATAAGTGTTGTCTTTTAGGCGAGCCGGGACTCCACCCACCTTGACCCAAAACATTTTGCTGTCGCACATTTCAATTCATCCCGAATACAAAACATTTAAGAAGATTCACTAGTGCTGTGACCCCGCCGTTTTGGAGTTCAACTCGTGTCCAATAGGATCTTTTCTATATTTATTTTATATCTGGTCAGCAGTTTTTAGTGATAATGTTGAGGTGAGTTTTTAAATTATTTTTTTGAAAAACATTTTTTTCTATTCAGAAAAAAAATCATAGAACCATTTTTTTTCTAATTCACGACAGCAAGAAATGTAGGAAAACAATATAAAAGTTTTTTTCTGAAATGTGTTTTTCTGTCCAATGAAACAAAAGAATTATCTACACCATCTATTATTAGTGAAAAACTCATTTTTTTCGGAAAGCAAACAATTTTATGTCAACAAAAATGACCAGCCTATGTAGTTCTATCTTCAATATCACTGCTCGCGCCCATCATGACCCGATAGGAACACTTGACTTGACCGGATTTTGTCCCCCATGTTTTTAGCTGGCTGCCATTGTCAAGTGGTTCCTCGTGTCGTGATTTTGAATGTTAACAAATACACGTTTCTGGTTCTATGATCTAGAAAAAAGATAGTGATCTTAAAAATGATATGATTTTTTTCAGCTCACGAGTTTTGTTATCATTAACATTGGTGGCATTGATCGGCGCTGAGAACGTTGCCGAACAACAACAAAATGATCAGATTCCTGCGTGGTATCAAATGTCCAAGCCAGCAACAGGTGGATCGCAAAGAGTCGCATCCGCCGGAGGAGTTCCAGTAGCACAAGCATCTCCATCGTACTACGAACGAATTGAAGCACCGACGTACGAGACAAGAAGAGAGCAACCTGGTTATGAACGACCAGGGATTCAGACCAATCAGTACGCCAAGTGAGTTGTTTTTTAATCAGATTTATTTTAACCTCGTGGAATTTCAGCTATCCAACCTATCAAAATCGTCAACCGTATGAGAATTTGAATGCTTTGACCGCTGGCGCCTCGCTTTCAAACTTGCAACAAGCCGCTGGACGTCGTTATCCATCAAGTGTTCCAATTCAAGCAGCCGGCAATGATGTGAGTAGTAGACCGATCTTGGCTCTGCAGCCTTATCACACTTCACTCCCATCACAGCATCCAGGTCGTGTAGTTTGGTACACAAGTAGTAAACGCACCAGTCCTTATAATCATTTAGCTCTTACCACCCCACAGAGTGTTGTTGTTGTTGAGAATCATAATTCACCACCTGAACGCGTAGTTTTCATGTCACCTCAAACACGCAAACGCATTAGTGATCTGTATCAGCAGATGCGAGCGTTCTATTATTTCAACGAGTTTATCGGTTGGAATAACATGAAAAGCATTTTCTTGAATCGACTTTATCATCATCGCCGTGTTTGAGTATGTAGTCTAAGTTTGTTTGTTTCTGCATCCATCCATCCAGTATTTTACCCCCCCCCCCCCAACGAGTTAATTTACCATTTTCCCCCCGGTGTCTAACCCGACAATTTAATCATGCATTTTGTTGTGATAAATTGTTTGATCATCTTGTGTTTTATTTTTGGAAATTGCATCGAAAAAATTTCAGAATCTATCAATAAAAAATAAACACAAGATAGTCAAACATGCATGTACACTAACCATTTTTGTTAATAAACTCCCGGGCCGCCTCTTTCTATCGCTTTTGTTTTCTAGAATCAATCGGCTGTCAAACGCTATCACAAACTTTTACTCAAACGTAGACAATGGACAACAAAAATCCCAAGAGTTCTCGCTAAATCAACAACATCTCCTGAAACAACAACAACAACTTCGGAACCAATCACAACTCCAAAAATGCCGAAATCATTGAAGAGCATTTATTCCACAATTGTGCCAAAGAAGAAGGAAGAAGGGCCGACAACAACCAGAAAAGTTGTGCGAGCGAGTACGAGAGCACCGATGGCTAGAACTTTTAAACCATATGGAACTCGTAAGGGATGGAGAATGTGGAAGAAAGCTACAACAGCTCAACCTTCAACAACACAAGAATCGACGACGACTGAAGTTCCAACAACCACTCCAGAAGAGCTCTCTACAACCACAGAAGAAGTGACCACGCAAGAAATTTTGACAACTGAGGAGCCAACAACTTCTACTACAGAAGAATATACCACCTTAGCCACTAGTTCAACTACTGAAGAACCAACAACAACTGAAGAGATCACAAGCACCACTGAAAAAGAAGTGATAGTAACGACAGAAGATCTAATTGAAACTTCAACGGAGATCAGCACAACAACAACATCAACAAATGAAGAGGACGGATCAACGACGACAACAACGACGACGACACACGGACCATTAAGGTATATTTGCCGACATAGAGCGGGACCGAACGAATCGGGCCCGTTCGCCGAACGACACCTTCAAACGACACAGGGACCATTTAGGCCGATCGTCGTTGGAACGCACAGTTGGAAACCGTTGCGATTCAAAAAACCGCAAAACGTCACCGACTTGTCGACAGCGCCAAAAGGGTTGAAACTTCTTGAATATCTTTTGGTGGGCACTTTCTCTTCTTTTTTGTTTCTTTTCATTATTCACACTCTCTCTCTCTCTCGTTTATCCGGTATTGTTTTGGGGGTGAAAAAAACATGGTGGAGGGAACAACATTGTGGGGTTTGATTTTTGCAGACCCGTACTGACGCATTTGCCAGAGGACTGAAAAGAGCGTTCAAGGGCGTAAGTTTAGAGTCCTACTAGAGTTCCTAATATTTTTCCTCAACTAATTCAAACAAACAGAACTTGAAGATTGAATTTAGGGTTGAGCAAATTCTACCAGCGCACGCTTACCGATAAACAAAACGCGCTAATACTTACGTTTGCGTACACATCTACCCAAAAACACACCTATACCATCAGAAAAATCATTCAAAAATGTATCACACGCACAACTAATCCAATTTCAGCCAAACACAGAACTCTTGGCCGCAATCAAGGATGTCGTCGCAAAATTCAAGGTAAATAGAGACTTCTTCCAAATCCAAAAAGAATATTCCGAATCTATCTTCTTTCTCATTTTATTTTCAATACAAAATTCAGGCTAGCCTTGATGAAGCCGGCATCGATCAAGACGTTCGTCAAATGGGAAATCAATTGAAAAATACCTGGCAACAATTGAGGACAGGTACGCATCAACAAGGTCACTTTTTTCACGATAAGTTTATCCCCATTTCCCCACGATCTCATCACCGAAAATCCCCTTAAACACTAACTCATGCGCACTCTAACAAATATTACAGGACTTGATAGAGGAATTAATGCAGTACGTAAAAGCGCGGAAACTTCAATGAGTCACTTCCAATACGGTGCCGCTGAACGTGAACGTGAACGTCAACCACCAGTTCAACCAGTACCAATGCCAGTTCACATTCCATACCAACAACATTATCAATATCCAGTCACCGCCTCATCAAATGCTTATACCCCTGGTCATTTTTTATAATTAGTTTTCCCTTGATTTTTAACATTTTCAGTTATCAACAGATTGTTTCCCCAAAATTTCTAGAGAAAACAATATTAAAATTTTCAGGCCCGATGAACGAGCAACTAGGTAAATTGTTCGAAAAAGCCGTAGCCGATGCGGCCGAATCGAAACAACAAACTAGAAACAATCAATAAACTATTTCATCATTCCTAATTTCAAAAACAGTGAGTTAGATCTATGAATCAACAAGTTCAATCTCAATATTTTCTAGATTCTTCGATTGCAAGTCAAGCAGTCTGCCAACAGTACGTACACATTGTACATGACAATTTTTTTGTGACCAAAAGTATAAAATTTTCATTTTTCATGTGGCTTATTTTTCGTTTGATATATTTTCAGAAAAATACGATTTTCAGAGAAAATCTTTGTCCGAGAGAAGTTAGTTGAAAATGAATTGGAATGTGGAATATTTCAAAAAAAAAAAAACTATAAAAATAATAGAAAAAAAAGAAAAAAAAATAACATTCGAGGGATTTTCCTCTTTTTCCACAAGTGCTGCCTTGTGAGCAATATCTCGTCTCAAATTATACATTATTGTACAACTATACCCTCCCCCAACTTACCTGATATAATTTAACACAAATCACTGTGTTGTTTCACCCAAAACCAAACCCAAAACCCTCTAAACTAACCTGAAATGAGTTGCAGTTCCTCAAATTCATCTTGTTTTCATCATTGAAATCGGAGTGCGAAACCAATACCGGCAATACAAAATAAAATCATTTCGAGAAATGAGCTTCGAACCTGAAAAAAAAGAGATCTAGCATAACGTGAACACTTTTTTCGACAAAATAAATAAAAAATTCATTTCAAAAATGTTTTTCTTGAAATGTTCGTGTGAATTTTTGAAAAGTTTGGAAATTTCATTGTGGAAAAAAAATAAAACTCATTCCTAATTGCTTCTTCAAAAATCTACTGTTTCAAAAATTCCATAGATTTTTAAGTTTTGAAATGTTTTATTATGTCGACTATTGAACAACTCAAATTTGCCGTATTTGAAAATCCACGTGATTTATTATCGAAAAAAATAAAATTCTATTAAAAAATTCACGTGGAATTTCCTAAATTTTTGTTGGGTGGTTTGTAGAAAAGAACAAATGATCATCCAATTGGAGAAATTATTAACTTCTATAATTCATAAATTTTTTGAAACAGTGAAAAAAATAAAAACTTGTTTTTTTCAAAAATCTGAAAATGGGCCAAAATGAATAGTTTTTGAAAATAACAAAATATTGTTTCAAAAAAATTTGAATTTTCTAGTGAAACTAGAAATCTGCTGCTGGTTGAGTAAAATCTTGAATTTTTGAAAAAAATGTAATTTTGATGAATTTTTCATAATTAATGACCTTATTTCACATATTTACTATCATAATTCTCCCAATTTTCCACCAAAAAATGAATCACTCACCATTTGCAAAAAAGGGGCAGGTGTCTGATGTCCTCTCAACGTGGCAACCGACAGTTTCGTGTTTCCTTGTCTCAAACCAGCTTGTTCGAATTCGACTTGATGGAAGGCAAAGTCTTCGGGATGAAGTCGACTAATTTCAATCGGTTGTCTATAGATTTCTCCAATTTTTTGAATTTTTCGAGCCCAATCGCTTGATTTTGCAGGTCCTGGAAATAGATTATCATATGCATCTATTTTTTCTTTCACTGTATTTTTGATCGCAATATTTGAAGATTTTTAAAATTTAAATTTCTCATTCCACGTGAAACTTCAAATATTCACAGGTTTTCTAAATTTTATGAAACTTTCAAAAAAAAAACAAAAAAATCACTGTTCTAGTTTCAAGAGCTAGTTGAAAACAAATGGAATATTCAAAAAAAAACTATGAAAATAATAGAAAAATTGAAACAAAACATTCAAGGGATTTTCCTCTTATTCCACAAGTCCTGGCTTATGAGCAATATCTCGTCTCAAATTCTACATAATACAACTATACCTCAAATTTACCTGAGCTCTTTCACCCAAAACCAAACCCAAAATCCATTAAACTAACCTGAAATGAGTTCAGCAGTTGTATCGTCAAATTCATCATTTTGTTTTCATCATTGATTGAAATCGGAGTGCGAAACGAAACCAACATCTACCCACTCAATCCGAATTCTCGAGCGATCTGGAATTTCTCTGGTTCATAGAAAGCAATTTTGTTTGCTAGAAAAAAATGACAAAACACAAAAAAAAAAAAGCGAAAAAGAAAAAAAGCAAAGAAAATGCGCTCCGTTGACAAAAACATACTACTAAACAACGGGCATGACGGATTGTCGTTGTATGTTGTTTGTGGCGTGTGTGTGTGTTTTTTTTTTGAAGTTTTTTTTTCATTTTCTTAATTTTATGTGATTTTTAGAGGATTTAATCTAGAATTTCAAGTGTATCAAGCTTTGAAATTATCTCTGACAGTTTTCTTGAGTGTTTATAGCTTGTTTTATCATATTTTGTCGGTTTCTACCTTTTTCTACCCTTTCAAGTGAAAATAGATTAGATGAAGATTTATTATAACTCAGATTTTAAGCACAGTAATCAGTTGGTTTAGCACAAAGTGCATAATTATTCATAGCTGAAATACTTCCACCTGTTTGATCTCCTGTTTCACATCTATAAAAAAACAAAGAAATTTTCAATTTTCACATATTTTACGCTTACTTTGTTGAGTACATCTTTTTATCTTTGCATGAAATTGAAATACACTGTGTTACCGCCGTTGAACTTGTTGTTGGTTGTCCATCAGCAAAACAGCCATTTGTATCAGAATTTTGGAAAATGTCCAAATAATGGGTGTTTCCACTATCATCCCAAGAATAAGCCTATAGAATTCTCAACTTTTCTTTTGCTTTTGCCTTTTTTCTCACCTTAAACTTTGAACATTCAGTTGCATCGACTGTGGTTGCACATGCGTCAGATCGTTTGGCCGCGATTGTCACACAAGAAGCTGTTTCGTTGGCTGGTAGCAATGTGGAAATTGTGTCAAATTCGCTGGAACTCTCGATTCCCGATAAATAGCAGGTATTTCCTAATTTTGAACAAGCGTTTTGAGAATCATCGTAGGACATGTTATAACCAGAAACAATCTAGAAATTAGAAATTAGGGTTTCAGTTTTGAATCTCCTAGTACTTTTACAAACCTTCAAACAATATCTACGTGTTGTTGATCTTTGTATCAAAGTCCAACCCGCAGCACATGTAAGACTTGTGGAGTTACAAGTTTTTGCTGTAGTAGTTGCTGCAAGGGTTGTTGTGAGAAGAGTGGTGGATGAGATTTTAGCCGTTGTTGTAGGTTGTGTGACAGTGCTGGATGTTACTGGAACAGTAGTTGTTGTCAAGGTTGAGCTTGAAATAGATGTTGATAAAACTGTTTTAGTTGTTGTTGGACTGCTTGTCGATGTTAATTTAGAGCTGACTGTGGAAGTTTCAGCTGTAGATGTTGGTGACGAAGTTGAGCTTGGTTTAGCGGTTGAAGTTGTTGGATTGCTAGTTGATGACGGTTTAGAGCTCACTGTTGTTGTTTGAGATGAAGTAGAAGTTCCAGTGGAACTCGATTTAAATGTTGATGTTGAACTGATGGTTGATGTTGCCAGAGAGCTTGAAGAGCCAGTTGTGATAGTTGATTTTTGTGTTGTAGATTCAGTCACAGCATTCGGAATTGTTGTTGTGATAGTTGTTCCAATTGTAGTGGATACAGCTGGACAAGATCCTAATTTTCCACAAACTAATAATTCTTTTTCAATTGAATCAGTATTTGATGAATCACATCTAAAATAATTTGATGTTTCTGATGAAATAATCTATAACTTACTTGATCGAATAAACCAAATCGAGATTTTTGTTGTTGATATTTTTGTAAGCTAAAATTCCAACACAGGCTCGAACATCAGTAGTTGATCTGAAAAATAGGAATTATCATTCGAAAACTATTCGATTAGCTTACGTTTGTGGTTGATTTGAAGCTAAATGATTATTGAATAATGAATTTGTTGATCCAGATATTCCATCAGTCCAATTGAATCCCTGAATGAAAATATATTATTTTCATTTTAAATTCAATCTATGAACTTACTCTTGGTTTCTGACATTCTGGAATAGTTCCACTATTATTGAAACATTCATTTGTTCTTTTTGCTCCAACTACAATATATACACTTTCTGAATTTGTTTGATTTAATCCAGCAACAATATCTGATTGACTATATATTTGTCCTAAAATTCAAAATTATTATTTCGTTTTAGTTTTACTTATACCAATAATGTAATTGTATTCTGGATCACTATCTGGTCCAGTTAAAACAGCTCCTCCTTGATTTGCACAATAATTTTCAGCATCATTGAATGTTGTTGTTGGATGATAGAATAACTGAAAAATTGATAAATTTGAAATTATTTCGAATATTTTCACTCACATGTAAACATAATTTGATTCCATTTCTGTATGTTCCAAACCATCCATCATCACAGTTTTGACTGTCACAAGTTGAAGCCTTTGTTGTTGTTACCGGACTGGTTGTTGATGTTAGTGCAGAAGTAGTTGATTTACTTGAAGCTGTAGATGTCGGTGACAAAGTTGAGCTCGATCCAACTGTTGGTGTTGTAGAACTGCTAGTCAAAATTGTCAAAGTTTTTGAAGTTGAGGTTGGTTCAATAGTTGTAGATAATTCTGTAGATCCAATTGGTGTTGTTGACGTTTGAACTGTTGTAGAATTATTTGAAACATTTGGCTTTGTAGGAAGGAATATAGTTGTTGATTCTGCACCAGTTGTAGATCCTGTAGTAGATGTTAAAGTGTGTGTTGTTGTAGATTCAGTCACAACATTCGGAATTGTTGTTGTGATAGTTGTTCCGATTGTGGTAGATACAGCTGGACAAGATCCTAATTTTCCACAAACTAATAATTCTTTTTCAATTGAATCAGTATTTGATGAATCACATCTGAAATAATACTATGTTTCTGATGAAATAATCTATAACTTACTTGATCGAATAAACCAAATCAAGGTTTTTGTTGTTGATATTTTTGTAAGCTAAAATACCAACACAAGCTCGAACATCAGTAGTTGATCTGAAAACAGAAATTAGGATGTGAAAAGATATTTGATTAGCTCACGTTTGTGGTTGATTTGAAGCTAAATGATTATTGAATAATGAATTAGTTGATCCTGATATTCCATCAGTCCAATTGAATCCCTGAAAAATATTATTTTCATTTTTAAATTAAATCTTTCAACTCACTCTTGGTTTCTGACATTCTGGAATATTTCCACTATCAGTAAAACATTCATTTGTTCTTTTTGCTCCAACTACAATATATACACTTTCCGAATTTGTTTGATTTAAACCAGCAACAATATCTGATTGACTATATAATTGTCCTAAAAATCTAAATTATTATTTCGTTTTAGTTTTATTTATACCAATAATGTAATTGTATTCTGGATCACTATCTGGTCCAGTTAAAACAGCTCCTCCTTGATTTGCACAATAATTTTCAGCATCATTGAATGTTGTTGTTGGATGATAGAATAACTGAAAAATTGATAAATTTGGAATTATTTCGAATATTTCCACTTACATGTAAACATAATCTGATTCCATTTCTGTATGTTCCAAACCATCCATCATCACAATTTTGACTGTCACAAGTTGAAGCCGTTGTTGTAAGTGTTGTAGGACTGCTAGTTGATGATGATTTAGAGATAACTGTGGTTGATAGAGATGAGGCAGAAGTTCCTGGTGAAGATGTAGAGCTCAAACTTGATGTTGTTGTTACCGGACTGGTTGTCGATGTTTGTACAGAAGTAGTTGATTTACTTGAAGCTGTAGATGTTGGTGACAAGGTTGAGCTCGATCCAACTGTTGGTGTTGTAGAACTGCTAGTCAAAATTGTCAAAGTTTTTGAAGTTGAGGTTGGTTCAATAGTTGTAGATAATTCTGTAGATCCAATGGATGTTGTTGACGTTTGAACTGTTGTAGAATTATTCGAAACATTTGGTTTTGTAGGAAGGAATATAGTTGTTGATTCTGCACCAGTTGTAGATCCTGTAGTAGATGTTAAAGTGGTTGGTTCAGAGCTTGAACTTTGATGTGTTGTAGAAGTTACTGGGCTGCTAGTCGATGGTGATTGAGAGCTAGAACTTTGATATGTTGTGGAAGTTGCTGGGCTGCTAGTCGACGGGGATTGAGAGCTTGAACTTTGTTGAGTTGTAGAAGTTGCTGGGCTACTAGTCGACGGTGATTGAGAGCTTGAACTTTGTTGAGTTGTAGAAGTTGCTGGGCTACTAGTCGACGGTGATTGAGAGCTTGAACTTTGTTGAGTTGTAGATTCAGTCACAGCATTCGGAACTGTTGTTGTGATAGTTGTTCCAATTGTAGTGGATACAGCTGGGCATGATCCTAATTTTCCACAAACTAATAATTCTTTTTCAATTGAATCAGTATTTGATGAATCACATCTAAAAATATTATGTTTTTAATAAAACAAATATTAACTTACTTGATCGAATAAACCAAATCAAGATTTTTGTTATTAATATTTTTGTAAGCTAAAATACCAACACAAGCTCGAACATCAGTAGTTGATCTGAAAAACAGTAATTAGGATTTGAAAAGGTATTTGATTAGCTCACGTTTGTGGTTGATTTGAAGCTAAATGATTATTGAATAATGAATTTGTTGATCCTGATATTCCATCAGTCCAATTGAATCCCTGAAAATATATTATTTTCATTTTTAAATTAAATCTTTCAACTCACTCTTGGTTTCTGACATTCTGGAATAGTTCCACTATCAGTAAAACATTCATTTGTTCTTTTTGCTCCAACTACAATATATACACTTTCCGAATTTGTTTGATTTAAACCAGCAACAATATCTGATTGACTATATAATTGTCCTAAAAATCTAAATTATTATTTCGTTTTAGTTTTATTTATACCAATAATGTAATTGTATTCTGGATCACTATCTGGTCCAGTTAAAACAGCTCCTCCTTGATTTGCACAATAATTTTCAGCATCATTGAATGTTGTTGTTGGATGATAGAATAACTGAAAAATTGATAAATTTGAAATTATTTCGAATATTTTCACTCACATGTAAACATAATTTGATTCCATTTCTGTATGTTCCAAACCATCCATCATCACAATTTTGACTGTCACAAGTTGAAACTGTTGTTTTAGGACTACTAATTGCGGATGGTGTAGAGCTGAATGTGGAGCTTCCAGTTAAAGCTGTAGATGTGATTGACAAGGTTGAGCTCGATCCAAATGTTGGTGTTGTAGAGCTGCTAGTCGAAATTGTCGAAGTTCTTGGAGTCGAGGTTAGTTCAATAGTTGAGGATAATTCTGTAGATCCGATGGATGTTGTAGAAGTTTGAATTGAAATTGTTCCTGTAGACGTGTTGATAGTTGTTAACTGAGTTGTTGGAACGCTAGAAGTTGATAGTGTGCACGACTGACGTTTTCCACAAACCACCAATTTTTTGAAAACACCATCACTTGATGACATTCGATCACAACTTTAAAAATCTGATTAAAAAACATTTGTTATGTTAAAAACAAACCTTAAAGAATGAACACATTTATCAGATTGTAATGTTCGATTTGTGAAAACAAGTAATCCAGCACATGCTTGTACATCATCAGTCGATCTGAAATTTTCTTACTTTTTAGTCAAGCAGATCAATCAAACTTACGTTTCCGGTCCACTTTCAATGAAATGATTTTGGAACAAATAGTTGGATGTGCTTACTCCATCTGTCCATTCATAACCCTAAAATTAGAGATAATTTAAAATTATTAGAAAAACCAACTCACATTTGGTAATGCACATTCTGGTTTTGTTCCAGAATCAGTTGTGCAATTTTCTGTTCTTTTTACTCCAATAACCATATAAACTTTTGTATAATTTCTATGTTTATAACCAGCGAGAATAACAGGATCGGAATACGCTTGGTCTAGAGAATGATTTTTGAAAAATAACGAAATTACCAAATAAAAACTGACCCATTATATTTTCATAATCATTTTCTGTTTCTGGTCCTGATAAATCTGCATTATAACTATCAGAACAATAGTTTTGTGCTTCTGTGAAGTTTCTTGTCCATTCAAAGAAAAGCTGGAAGTTTTTTAATTTTTTAATTATAAAATAGATATCATATTGTCAACTTACTTTCAAACAATACGGTGTTCCATTTCTAGTAGTTGTAATCCATCCTTCATCACAAACAAAATCAATACATTCATTTGATTTTGTTGTTGTGGTAGTTGCCGAACTACTGGTAGATGTTGGTCCAGAGCTTACTGTAGTTGATGCAGTTGATGACGTAATTCCTGCTGATGATGTAGAGCTTAACCTTGATGTTGAAGTTGCCAGGCTACTACTCGATGATGATCCAGAGCTTACTGTAGTTGATGTTGTTCCAATTGTGGTAGATACGGCTGGACAAGATCCTAATTTTCCACATACTAATAATTCTTTTTCAATTGAATCAGTATTTGATGAATCACATCTAAAACATTACGATGTTTTCAATCAAACAATTATTAACTTACTTGATCGAATAAACCAAATCAAGATTTTTGTTGTTAATATTTTTATAAGCTAAAATACCAACACAAGCTCGAACATCAGTAGTTGATCTTAAAAACAGAAATTATCATTCGAAAAACTATTTGATTAGCTTACGTTTGTGGTTGATTTGAAGCTAAATGATTATTGAATAATGAATTTGTTGATCCTGATATTCCATCAGTCCAATTGAATCCCTGAAAAATATTATTCATTCATTTTCCAATTTAATCTATGAACTCACTCTTGGTTTCTGACATTCTGGAATAGTTCCACTATTATTGAAACATTCATTTGTTCTTTTTGCTCCAACTACAATATATACACTTTCTGAATTTGTTTGATTTAATCCAGCAACAATATCTGATTGATTATATATTTGTCCTGAAATTCAAAATGGTTTTTTTTAGTTTTAGTTTTATTTATACCAATGATGTAATTGTATTCTGGATCACTATCTGGTCCAGTTAAAACAGCTCCTCCTTGACTTGCACAGTAATTTTCAGCATCATTGAATGTTGTTGTTGGATGATAGAATAACTGAAAACTTGATAATTTTCAAATTATTTCGAATATTTCCACTTACATGTAAACATAATCTGATTCCATTTCTGGAAGTTTCAAACCATCCATCATCACAATTTTGACTGTCACAAATTGAAACTGTTGTTTTAGGACTACTAATTGCGGATGGTGTAGAGCTGAATGTGGAGCTTCCAGTTAAAGCTGTAGATGTGATTGACAAGGTTGAGCTCGATCCAAATGTTGGTGTTGTAGAGCTGCTAGTCGAAATAGTCGAAGTTCTTGGAGTCGAGGTTAGTTCAATAGTTGAGGATAATTCTGTAGATCCAATGGATGTTGTAGAAGTTTGAATTGAAATTGTTCCTGTAGACGTATTGATACTTGTTAACTGAGTTGTTGGAACGCTAGAAGTTGATACTGTGCACGACTGACGTTTTCCACAAACTACCAATTTTTTGAAAACACCATCACTTGATGACATTCGATCACAACTATAAAAATCTGATTAAAAAACATTTCTTATGTTAAAAACAAACCTTAAAGAATGAACACATTTATCAGATTGTAATGTTCGATTTGTGAAAACAAGTAATCCAGCACATGCTTGTACATCATCAGTCGATCTGAAAACTTCTTACTTTACAGTCAAGCAGTTATTCAGGGTAGTGTCTCTGGGCCAATACTTTTCATCATATTTATCAATACTGTATTTGAACTCGCAGATGATGATGTAACTATCCAAGCTTTTGCCGATGATCTCAAAATAATAGGTTCAGATCCCTTGCGAGTTCAAAGTGTAATTGATAAGATATGTGCATGGGCTAAGGATAATTCCATGGAATTAGCACCGGAAAAATCTTCTGTCATGTACTTCGGTAGGAAAAATAAGAGAGCAAATTACGTGGCTAACAACATCATAATACCGCACAAAGAACATGTTCGGGATCTCGGGGTAATAATTGACAATAACCTAACGTTTGAGAAAAATACTACCAGTATTGTTAATATCGCCAATCTTAGATCAATTCAAATTCTCCGTAACTTCCATTTTAGCACAATAAAACCCTACGCATTTCTCTTCAAAATGTATGTCCTCCCCATTCTAGAATATTGTAGCGAAGTTTACGACCCCTTCCTAACTAAAAATCTATCAAATAACCTAGAAAATCCATTACGTCAATTCACCCGTAAAGTCTTCAATCGTTGTAATATGCCATTTGAATCTTATGAGGATCGCCTCAAACAGATCAACATGGTGTCAACCCATACTCGTAGATCCAGAGCCAATATTATTCATCTTTTCAAAGCCCTTAATGGATTTTCTCACCAGCCAGAAACATTTGACTTCATCAGCTTCTCAACACTTCCACGTCACCCAGCCCGCCTAGTTTTAACTCAAAAAATGCCACAAGTCTTTTTTCTCACATACAGTTCCCAAGTGGAACTCTTTATCGCACCTCATTGAAATGAATTCTTCAGTGCAATCGTTCAGAATATTGATTAATGGTTTGAACGCATCGCTTTTATCATGAACCCTTACGGCCAGATTCTCGCACACTCTTTCTTATCTCTTTGTCAAAACCTCCAACTGACCAGGTCTCTTGCGGGATTTAGGTCTTTTAAAAATTTGGGAAGTTATTTTATTCACCCTATTTATTTTTCGATTTCATGTGAATTACCCCTTTTTTCTCTCTCCCTTTGATCTCACTATTTTTATGTGCCGGTGAATTTATAACATTCTAAATAAAAATTCAAAATTCAAAGCAGATCAATCAAACTTACGTTTCCGGTCCACTTTCAATGAAATGATTTTGGAACAAATAATTGGATGTGCTTACTCCATCTGTCCATTCATAACCCTAAAATTAGAGATAATGTGAAAATACTAGAAAAACCAACTCACATTTGGTAATGCACATTCTGGTTTTGTTCCAGAATCAGTTGTGCAATTTTCTGTTCTTTTTACTCCAATAACCATATAAACTTTTGTATAATTTCTATGTTTATAACCAGCGAGAATAACAGGATCGGAATACGCTTGGTCTAGAGAATGATTTTTGAAAAATAACGAAATTACCAAATAAAAACTGACCCATTATATTTTCATAATCATTTTCTGTTTCTGGACCTGATAAATCTGCATTATAACGATCAGAACAATAGTTTTGTGCTTCTGTGAAGTTTCTTGTCCATTCAAAGAAAAGCTGGACGTTTTTCAATTTTTTTAATTATAACAATATTTCTCATTGTTAACTTACTTTCAAACAATACGGTGTTCCATTTCTGGTAGTTGTAATCCATCCTTCATCACAAACAAAATCAATACATTCATTTGATGTTGTTGTTGTGGTAGTTGAACTTTGTTGTATCGTAGAAGTTGCTGGGCTGCTAGTCGACGGTGATTGAGAGCTAGAACTTTGATCTGTTGTGGAAGTTGTTGGGCTGCTAGTCGACGGTGATTGAGAGCTTGAACTTTGATGTGTTGTAGAAGTTGCTGGGCTGCTAGTCGACGGTGATTGAGAGCTTGAACTTTGATGTGTTGTAGAAGTTGCTGGGCTGCTAGTCGACGGTGATTGAGAGCTTGAACTTTGTTGTGTTGTAGAAGTTGCTGGGCTGCTAGTCGACGGTGATTGAGAGCTTGAACTTGGTTGTGTTGTAGAAGTTACAGGGCTGCTAGTCGACGGTGATTGAGAGCTTGAACTTTGTTGTGTTGTAGAAGTTGCTGGGCTGCTAGTCGACGGTGATTGAGAGCTAGAACTTTGTTGTGTTGTAGAAGTTGCTGGGCTGCTAGTCGACGGTGATTGAGAGCTTGAACTTTGTTGTGTTGTAGAAGTTGCTGGGCTGCTAGTCGACGGTGATTGAGAGCTTGAACTTTGTTGTGTTGTAGAAGTTGCTGGGCTGCTAGTCGACGGTGATTGAGAGCTTGAACTTTGTTGTGTTGTAGAAGTTGCTGGGCTGCTAGTCGACGGTGATTGAGAGCTTGAACTTTGTTGTGTTGTAGAAGTTGCTGGGCTGCTAGTCGACGGTGATTGAGAGCTAGAACTTTGTTGTGTTGTAGAAGTTGCTGGGCTGCTAGTGGACGGTGATTGAGAGCTTGAACTTTGATGTGTTGTAGAAGTTGCTGGGCTGCTAGTCGACGGTGATTGAGAGCTAGAACTTTGATGTGTTGTAGAAGTTGCTGGGCTGCTAGTCGACGGTGATTGAGAGCTTGAACTTTGTTGTGTTGTAGAAGTTGCTGGGCTGCTAGTCGACGGTGATTGAGAGCTTGAACTTTGATGTGTTGTAGAAGTTGCTGGGCTGCTAGTCGACGGTGATTGAGAGCTAGAACTTTGATGTGTTGTAGAAGTTGCTGGGCTGCTAGTCGACGGTGATTGAGAGCTAGAACTTTGATGTGTTGTAGAAGTTGCTGGGCTGCTAGTCGACGGTGATTGAGAGCTTGAACTTTGTTGAGTTGTAGAAGTTGCTGGGCTGCTAGTCGACGGTGATTGAGAGCTTGAACTTCGTTGTGTTGTAGAAGTTGCTGGGCTGCTAGTCGACGGTGATTGAGAGCTTGAACTTTGTTGAGTTGTAGAAGTTTCTGGGCTGCTAGTCGACGGTGATTGAGAGCTTGAACTTTGATGTGTTGTAGAAGTTGCTGGGCTGCTAGTCGACGGTGATTGAGAGCTTGAACTTTGTTGTGTTGTAGAAGTTTCTGGGCTGCTAGTCGACGGTGATTGAGAGCTTGAACTTTGTTGTGTTGTAGAAGTTGCTGGGCTGCTAGTCGACGGTGATTGAGAGCTTGAACTTTGTTGTGTTGTAGAAGTTGCTGGGCTGGTAGTCGATGGTGATTGAGAGCTTGAACTTTGTTGTGTTGTAGAAGTTGCTGGGCTGCTAGTCGACGGTGATTGAGAGCTTGAACTTTGTTGTGTAGTAAGAAAGTAGTCGATTCTGCTAGTCGACGGTGATTGTAGAGCTTGAACCTGTTGTGTTGTAGAAGTTGCTGGGCTGCTAGTCGACGGTGATTGAGAGCTTGAACTTTGATGAGTTGTAGAAGTTGCTGGGCTGCTAGTCGGCGGTGATTGAGAGCTTGAACTTTGTTGTGTTGTAGAAGTTGCTGGGCTGCTAGTCGACGGTGATTGAGAGCTAGAACTTTGTTGAGTTGTAGAAGTTGCTGGGCTGCTAGTCGACGGTGATTGAGAGCTTGAACTTTGATGTGTTGTAGAAGTTGCTGGGCTGCTAGTCGACGGTGATTGAGAGCTTGAACTTTGTTGAGTTGTAGAAGTTGCTGGGCTGCTAGTCGACGGTGATTGAGAGCTTGAACTTTGTTGAGTTGTAGAAGTTGCTGGGCTGCTAGTCGACGGTGATTGAGAGCTTGAACTTTGATGTGTTGTAGAAGTTGCTGGGCTGCTAGTCGACGGTGATTGAGAGCTAGAACTTTGATGTGTTGTAGAAGTTTCTGGGCTGCTAGTCGACGGTGATTGAGAGCTTGAACTTTGTTGAGTTGTAGAAGTTGCTGGGCTGCTAGTCGACGGTGATTGAGAGCTTGAACTTTGATGTGTTGTAGAAGTTGCTGGGCTGCTAGTCGACGGTGATTGAGAGCTTGAACTTTGTTGAGTTGTAGAAGTTGCTGGGCTGCTAGTCGACGGTGATTGAGAGCTTGAACTTTGTTGAGTTGTAGAAGTTGCTGGGCTGCTAGTCGACGGTGATTGAGAGCTTGAACTTTGATGTGTTGTAGAAGTTGCTGGGCTGCTAGTCGACGGTGATTGAGAGCTAGAACTTTGATGTGTTGTAGAAGTTGCTGGGCTGCTAGTCGACGGTGATTGAGAGCTTGAACTTTGATGTGTTGTAGAAGTTGCTGGGCTGCTAGTCGACGGTGATTGAGAGCTTGAACTTTGTTGAGTTGTAGAAGTTGCTGGGCTGCTAGTCGACGGTGATTGAGAGCTTGAACTTTGATGTGTTGTAGAAGTTGCTGGGCTGCTAGTCGACGGTGATTGAGAGCTTGAACTTTGTTGAGTTGTAGAAGTTGCTGGGCTGCTAGTCGACGGTGATTGAGAGCTTGAACTTTGATGTGTTGTAGAAGTTGCTGGGCTGCTAGTCGACGGTGATTGAGAGCTAGAACTTTGATGTGTTGTAGAAGTTGCTGGGCTGCTAGTCGACGGTGATTGAGAGCTTGAACTTTGTTGTGTTGTAGAAGTTGCTGGGCTGCTAGTCGACGGTGATTGAGAGCTTGAACTTTGATGTGTTGTAGAAGTTGCTGGGCTGCTAGTCGACGGTGATTGAGAGCATGAACTTTGATGTGTTGTAGAAGTTGCTGGGCTGCTAGTCGACGGTGATTGAGAGCTTGAACTTTGATGTGTTGTAGAAGTTGCTGGGCTGCTAGTCGACGGTGATTGAGAGCTTGAACTTTGATGTGTTGTAGAAGTTTCTGGGCTGCTAGTCGACGGTGATTGAGAGCTAGAACTTTGATGTGTTGTAGAAGTTGCTGGGCTGCTAGTCGACGGTGATTGAGAGCTTGAACTTTGTTGTGTTGTAGAAGTTTCTGGGCTGCTAGTCGACGGTGATTGAGAGCTTGAACTTTGTTGTGTTGTAGAAGTTGCTGGGCTGCTAGTCGACGGTGATTGAGAGCTAGAACTTTGATGTGTTGTAGAAGTTGCTGGGCTGCTAGTCGACGGTGATTGAGAGCTAGAACTTTGTTGTGTTGTAGAAGTTGCTGGGCTGCTAGTCGACGGTGATTGAGAGCTTGAACTTTGTTGTGTTGTAGAAGTTGCTGGGCTGCTAGTCGACGGTGATTGAGAGCTTGAACTTTGATGTGTTGTAGAAGTTGCTGGGCTGCTAGTCGACGGTGATTGAGAGCTAGAACTTTGATGTGTTGTAGAAGTTGCTGGGCTGCTAGTCGACGGTGATTGAGAGCTAGAACTTTGATGTGTTGTAGAAGTTGCTGGGCTGCTAGTCGACGGTGATTGAGAGCTTGAACTTTGATGTGTTGTAGAAGTTTCTGGGCTGCTAGTCGACGGTGATTGAGAGCTAGAACTTTGTTGAGTTGTAGAAGTTTCTGGGCTGCTAGTCGACGGTGATTGAGAGCTTGAACTTTGATGTGTTGTAGAAGTTGCTGGGCTGCTAGTCGACGGTGATTGAGAGCTAGAACTTTGATGTGTTGTAGAAGTTTCTGGGCTGCTAGTCGACGGTGATTGAGAGCTTGAACTTTGATGTGTTGTAGAAGTTGCTGGGCTGCTAGTCGACGGTGATTGAGAGCTTGAACTTTGTTGAGTTGTAGAAGTTTCTGGGCTGCTAGTCGACGGTGTTTGAGAGCTTGAACTTTGATGTGTTGTAGAAGTTGCTGGGCTGCTAGTCGACGGTGATTGAGAGCTAGAACTTTGATGTGTTGTAGAAGTTGCTGGGCTGCTAGTCGACGGTGATTGAGAGCTTGAACTTTGTTGAGTTGTAGAAGTTTCTGGGCTGCTAGTCGACGGTGATTGAGAGCTTGAACTTTGTTGTGTTGTAGAAGTTTCTGGGCTGCTAGTCGACGGTGATTGAGAGCTTGAACTTTGTTGTGTTGTAGAAGTTGCTGGGCTGCTAGTCGACGGTGATTGAGAGCTTGAACTTTGTTGTGTTGTAGAAGTTGCTGGGCTGCTAGTCGACGAAAAATTTGGCTTCGTAGGAAGGAATATAGTAGTCGATTCTGCTCCAGTTGTAGATCCTGTAGTAGATGTAAAAGTGGTTGGTTCAGAGCTTGAACTTTGATGAGTTGTAGAAGTTGCTGGGCTGCTAGTCGGCGGTGATTGAGAGCTTGAACTTTGTTGTGTTGTAGAAGTTGCTGGGCTGCTAGTCGACGGTGATTGAGAGCTAGAACTTTGTTGAGTTGTAGAAGTTGCTGGGCTGCTAGTCGACGGTGATTGAGAGCTAGAACTTTGTTGAGTTGTAGAAGTTGCTGGGCTGCTAGTCGACGGTGATTGAGAGCTTGAACTTTGTTGAGTTGTAGAAGTTGCTGGGCTGCTAGTCGACGGTGATTGAGAGCTAGAACTTTGATGTGTTGTAGAAGTTGCTGGGCTGCTAGTCGACGGTGATTGAGAGCTTGAACTTTGATGTGTTGTAGAAGTTGCTGGGCTGCTAGTCGACGGTGATTGAGAGCTTGAACTTTGTTGAGTTGTAGAAGTTGCTGGGCTGCTAGTCGACGGTGATTGAGAGCTTGAACTTTGTTGAGTTGTAGAAGTTGCTGGGCTGCTAGTCGACGGTGATTGAGAGCTTGAACTTTGATGTGTTGTAGAAGTTGCTGGGCTGCTAGTCGACGGTGATTGAGAGCTTGAACTTTGTTGTGTTGTAGAAGTTGCTGGGCTGCTAGTCGACGGTGATTGAGAGCTTGAACTTTGATGTGTTGTAGAAGTTGCTGGGCTGCTAGTCGACGGTGATTGAGAGCTTGAACTTTGTTGAGTTGTAGAAGTTGCTGGGCTGCTAGTCGACGGTGATTGAGAGCTTGAACTTTGTTGAGTTGTAGAAGTTGCTGGGCTGCTAGTCGACGGTGATTGAGAGCTTGAACTTTGATGTGTTGTAGAAGTTGCTGGGCTGCTAGTCGACGGTGATTGAGAGCTTGAACTTTGTTGTGTTGTAGAAGTTGCTGGGCTGCTAGTCGACGGTGATTGAGAGCTTGAACTTTGATGTGTTGTAGAAGTTGCTGGGCTGCTAGTCGACGGTGATTGAGAGCTTGAACTTTGTTGAGTTGTAGAAGTTGCTGGGCTGCTAGTCGACGGTGATTGAGAGCTTGAACTTTGTTGAGTTGTAGAAGTTGCTGGGCTGCTAGTCGACGGTGATTGAGAGCTTGAACTTTGATGTGTTGTAGAAGTTGCTGGGCTGCTAGTCGACGGTGATTGAGAGCTTGAACTTTGTTGAGTTGTAGAAGTTGCTGGGCTGCTAGTCGACGGTGATTGAGAGCTTGAACTTTGTTGAGTTGTAGAAGTTGCTGGGCTGCTAGTCGACGGTGATTGAGAGCTTGAACTTTGTTGAGTTGTAGAAGTTGCTGGGCTGCTAGTCGACGGTGATTGAGAGCTTGAACTTTGTTGAGTTGTAGAAGTTGCTGGGCTGCTAGTCGACGGTGATTGAGAGCTCACTGTTGTTGATTCAGAGGCTGAAGAAGTCTCTGGTGTAGACGTAGAAGTGCTGATTGTAGATTCCAGCGTGGTACTCGATGATGGTTCAGAGCTTACTGTTGTTGATTGAGTAGATAGTGTTGACCTTAGCGCACAATTTTTACATCCTTTACCAGGTTTTCCGGTTGCTCCATCTGGACCATTTGATCCCTTGTCACCTCGTTCCCCTCTATCTCCACCTTTTCCTTGGCTTCCTTTAGTTCCTTTCTCCCCAGTCTCGCCGTTTTCTCCACGAATCCCTTTCGACCCTTTGTCCCCTCGTTTTCCACTCGCACCGTCTTTACCATTCGCTCCATTTTGACCTTTGAATCCCTTCTCTCCGTTATCGCCTTTTTCACCAGCTTCTCCTTTGACCCCTTTTTCTCCTCGGTGTCCATCCATCCCATTATCTCCTCGTTCACCGATATCTCCTCTATCACCCTTCTTCCCTTTCACACCATCTACTCCTTGTTTTCCTTGATGTCCATCTCTCCCTTTGCTTCCTTGGTCTCCATCTCTCCCTGGTTCACCATCGGGACCAATAGCTCCAGGTTTTCCAGGCTTGCCTCGTTTCCCTGTTTCCCCTTTGTCTCCTTTCTCACCGTCCGTTCCATTGGTCCCAGCTTTTCCTTGATCTCCTTTCGGTCCTCGTTCTCCAGTTCGACCTCTTCTCCCATCATCTCCAATCACACCTTTCTCTCCATCCAAACCAGGATCACCTTTTTCTCCACGTTTTCCACTTTTCCCTCGTTTTCCTTTTGGCCCGGGAGGTCCTGGTGGGCCTGCAATCGGCCCCTCTCCATACTCATCTTCAAAACTATCATCATAATTCTCAGGATAGACCGGTATTTGATAAATCTGTAAACTTTCCAAGGTTTCTCAAAAATCTCAGATTCAGCAACTCACCAAATTGTTAGCTGGTTGTTGTTGTGCAGCTTGATGTTGTACTTGAGAGTTATCATAACTCGTGTTGACGCGTAATACAAAAAATAATAGTAGAAATATTAGTTGTAGCATAGCTGTCGAAATGACATTTCAATGTTTCAATGATTTCTTTTTATATGAAACGGGAGTTTTCGGAGAAATGTTTTGACAAAATCAGAGAACGTTGTGGGAGACGTGGAAAATGCAATTGTTTGTGTTTGAATTTTCTATCGCTACAAAATGCACGTATTCCAAACTACGATCAAACAGTTGAAGAGATCAGAAGATTGAATACTGTGGTTTTGAAGATTGATTCAAAGGCACGATGTGGGGGATTGAAAAACTGTTTAATTGCGCTTTTCTGATCCCAAAGTTTCCAGGTTCAGATATCTGAATACTGAATTTGAATAAACCAATTAAGACTAACTAAAGGGGAAACTTTGTGGATTACATTTTTTATACAGAAAATTTTTTTAGAACCTGGAACTTCAAGTTCTCAATGTGGTATGATCTCAATGTTTTTCCCGAATTCTGAAAAATGCCAATAAAACACATCACTTTCTTTTTCTCTAAATTCTAGGTTCACTGAAACAATGATTCCAATAAAAATTTATTCAATAAAATTTGCAATTATTATTAAGCATCAGGTGGACAATTAGTAGCATCTTGTCCAGGAAGACCATCTTTTCCTCTATCGCCTCTCGTACCAGGTGGCCCTTTTTGTCCAGTGTTTCCTTTTTCACCACTATCCCCTCGAGGTCCCGCAGCTCCCTTGTTGCCTTTGTCTCCTCGTTCTCCAGAATCTCCCGGTCTTCCAGGAGGTCCAGGTTTCCCAGTCGCTCCTCGATCTCCTGGCAATCCTCTCGGCCCCTTGTCTCCCGTATTTCCCTTCTCTCCAGCATCGCCTCTAAATCCTCGTGGTCCGTCTTCACCAGTTTTTCCACGTGGTCCCTTATCTCCTTTGTCTCCCCGATCTCCGTCTTTCCCAGTTTTTCCTTGTTCGCCGGGTTTTCCTGTTTCTCCACGATCTCCTGGTTTACCCGGGTTCCCAGCTTTACCATCCTTTCCTTGATTTCCAGGTGGCCCGGTTACTCCTTGCTCTCCTCGATCTCCTCGATCTCCACGTTCACCTTTCTTCCCGTTCTTTCCAGCACCACCATCTTTTCCAGTTTTTCCGGGTGGTCCTTCAGGTCCCTGGATTCCTTGCTCTCCTTTATCCCCTTTCTCTCCTTGTCGCCCATTATTTCCCCGATATCCTCTTGGCCCATCATTTCCATCGTCACCAACATCTCCAGCTTTTCCCGGAGGTCCTGGAGGCCCAGGAACATAGACTACTGGAAAAAAAACATTTTTGAAAATGGGCTTTCCGACAAAAAACTAACTTTCAACATCATTATCATAATAGGGATATCCTGGAATAACCATCGGAATGTTCTGTTGTTGTTGTGGAGGTGGAGCTGGGGCATTTCCGACATCTTTCACCGGCTCCGCATATTGACAATTAATTGCCACAATTTGGAGAAAAACCAAAAGCCAAAACATAGTTTTGAAAGATCACAAAATGTTTCGTTTTCTTCAGAATTTATACAATTTCGATTTATATTTTTTTTCTTCATGTTATGTTGATTTTTCGAAAAATTCAAAAACGGCACGTTTTCCAACGAAACAATTTTTTCTTGTGAGAAAGAAAACTGCTTGCTCATCAATTATTTTTTTTCTGTTACTTACCAGTAAAAAATACTCTTCAATTTTGACTCTCTTTCGAGAGAAACATTACAACAAAGTGAGCAGAAGAGAGAAAGACGGATATTAGAAATCCAGTTGTTCTCCTGCGCGGGCACAATCGAAACATTGTGCAAGATGAGGAGAGCGGCCGACAAGAATTGCTCTTTTCTCTCTCACACACATATTTTTGCCGTCTCGAAACAAGCAAAACTTTCTCGTGTGTATTTATATTTGTTTCAGAGTTTTAGTTTTTTCTGCTTCTACTTATTGTTTCAAAAAAAAACTGTTTTTATTTGTTTAGAGGGTTCAAAATATTTCTTATTTTTCATCATAGATGTACACAAATGAGTAATGTTTGTGTTCCCAAAAAAATTGAAACAAAGAATTCAGAATTGAAATTCTATATTATTATTATTTCTCATATTGTTATCAAAAAAAAAATTTGCACCACAAAAATAGTTCTGAAAACAAAAAAAAACAACAATGAGTTTATCTTTTCTCATCATCATCATCATTCATTCATATTCACATTTGTTTATTTTTGCTACACCTCAAGAGCTCGCGCGCTGTGTTCCATTGAGATAAATATATTCCAAAAAATCCTATTGATTATTAGACGATACACATATTTTCTGTTGCAGAATTTCCATTTATTTATGCGCTGCTGTTAGACGATGCCGTTCAAACAACCGCTTGGCGAGCGAGACGCTGCAAATCGAACAGCGCCTACGTTCATCAGGGTTAGTCTTGATACATATACTTTTTGTTAAATAAAACTTAAACAATTTTGAAATATTCCAGCCACTTGGTGATAAACGTGCCGTCGTCGGTGAAAAAATCGTTCTCGAATGTCAACTTGAAGGACATCCCGATCCTGCTGTAAAATGGCTGAAAGACGGGCACAATGTTTCACTCTGCCCAGATTATCAAATCGAGGAAAATGGAATGACTCATCGCCTGATCATCCCGCAAGTTCAAGCTGCTGATAATGGTCGATTCACTGCGCAAGCTGCAAATTCTGCTGGAATCAAGCAATCCACATGTATCCTGATTGTTGGCCCAGCTCCCACACCAGTGCCAGGCGCAAAATCAGCCATCGCTTCTCCTGCACCCCCTCAAACTCCAGTCGGACCATCAGCTCCGATTTTCCTGAAAGATCTTCGACATCAGCCATTGAAGCCTGGAGCAAGTGTGACTTTTGAAGCGAGAGTTATTGCAGTTCCTCAACCAACTATTCAATGGTTGAAGAATGGAAAAGAATTGCAAAATTATCGGTGAGCTTTAATTTTTAAATATTTCTCTGAACGAAAAAAAAGAAAGATCAACTTTTTTTGCAGAGCCCGTTTGGAGCATGACACACGATCTGGAATTGTGTCTCTAACAATTCCACAAATGTTCAACGACGATGTCGGCGAATACACGATCAAGGCAAACAATGTGCACGGCGAGGCGATCAGTGTTGCGCAATTGTTGCCACGTGAACAGTATGATCGATGGTTTTCCAACGAGCAAACGCGACTCACAAAAGATCGCAAGCAGGGCGTCCTTTCGCAAGCGATGCGTCCGAGTAGTGTCGCACAAAAACAAATGGCCAAGCAGGGTTATGATACAGATCAAGGAAGTGTTGACCTGGTTAGACACATTTTTCAGGGGTTCTTGGATTCAAATTGGAATAATTTTTCAGCATTGGGCGGTATCCGAGTCTGAAACTGAGCCAGAGCTATCTGCTCTGGATGCCAAAGGCTCACCGGGAACCAAACCGATTGTTCGAACTCCACTTCGTGGTCTACGATTGACAGAAGGCACTGATGCCATACTCCAAGCAAATATCGTTGGAAACCCGAAACCTAGAGTATGTTTATTGAAAATAATTTTTTTTCTAGATTCTAGAAAGAAAATGTTTCAATCTTCCAGATTCAATGGTTTTTCAACAATAAGCCTTATCAAGTATCAGGTCCACGAATCCAAATGACCTACAAAGGCTCGCTGGCCGTCTTGAAAATCTCAATGATTACCCCGGACGAGGCTGGCGAATATACAATTGTGTCTGAAAATCGATTTGGAAAAGTGAGTTGTGTGTGTGTGTGTGCGTTCGGAGAGAAATGCACTTCAATAAAGTTTGGCTGCTGTCTCTCTTTTCTTTGCTGCGCGATCGGATTTGTTTGAGAAGTAGGAGGGCGATGGATAAGAATGAAAAATCGAGACAAAGATGATAGTGTTCTTTTGTGCTTGAGATAAATTGTGAAATGGTTTTTTTGTTTCAAACTTTCCCCTTCTCTCTTTTTAACCGCTGTCAAGATTTTCAGAGAACTTCCTTTACTGATTTTGAAAATCAAAAGATCAATTTCAGCTTCAGCTTAGCTTTGATTTCACAACTTCTCTTTTCAAAACCCTATAAATTTCGAGCCATTGAGAGGGAAAAAAACGGCGAGCGGGGGAAGAAGATAAACAGCTCAGGAGCTCTCCCACCTTCTTATTCTTCCTCTCCTTCCTGCCGGGCTGCAAAAAAAGCTATAGCCATTGGGATCTATTAGTTGTTATCTTCGATATGTGAGAAGAAGATGAAGAAGAAGAAGCAAATCTTCTCTTTTGTTGTTTTTTATTTGCGCTTTTATAATTGAAACATTATCCGGTGTGTGTATTTTTTCAAGTTTTAGAACTTTTGAAGTTAGATTTTTCGAGAGTTTCTATAAGTTATTTGAGGTTTTGCATAGTAAGGTCGGAATCTATGTAGAAGTTCTAGAATTTCGCTGAAACCCAAATATTTTCTGACTTAAAGTTCCAATAACTTTTCTCAATCATACATGAAACTGGGACTCCGAATTCGGAGAGAGGGGGATTAACTTCTGGTGGATTTTTGGAGGTAGGGGGCTTAACTTTTGAAAATTTTAGGGTATTTTATGTTTTTGGGATAAAAAATCAGAAAAAAATGGTTTAGGGGGGTTAACTTTTCGAAAATTTCCCTTAACTCGAGAGTCCTCGGAGCTACTAGTTATAGATTATTTTCAGTAGTTTCAGAATCCCGCTCCAATTCTATCACTAATTTTTTTAGGTCTCAATGATTCCCAAACAAAAGTTCATTCTTCTTCTTCTTCTTGTTTTTTTTTGATTTATTTAATATTTAGCTGATCAAATCTCTTTCAAGTATATTTATCTTTCTTTTTTCTCGCACATCACTTTGATATATTAGTCAATGGGAATTTCAGAACTTCTCTCTCATTTCTCTAAAATTCATCTTCCTACCTAACAAATCGAACATCTGGCTTCACACAATAAAATCATATTTTTTGCAGGTCGAAAGTTCGGCACGCATCGAGGTCTATCCACTGAGCGTCCCCGAAGATCGACAAAGAAGAGAAGCCGCCGAACAGCAGCAGCAAAAACATCAGCAACAAATTCGAGAACAACAAGAGGTGAGATACCGATACCATGAGATATTTTATTGTTCAATTTTATTTCGACTCTATTTTGTTGCTTGATGACCATGAGGCAGTTGTTGTTTGCGAAAAATAGTGTAATGCGGGTTTAAGAAGAGTTGGTAACAATATTTTTTTGGCTAGAAAAACATCTGTGGCACTCATCAGAAATCATATTATTGGTGGTGTGAAAAACAATTCATCATCACTTCTTTTTTTTCATGACAATTTTCTATCAGTCTTGACGAAAGAAAGATAAACCCACTCAAAATCAAATCAATTGTTTTGTTGCAGCGCGAACGACAAGCGCAATACGAGGCGACTCTCGCACGTGAGAGGCAGGAGCGAGCCTCAAAAGAAGCTGAAAATCGGCGAATCAGAGAAGTAAAAACGTGCAAAAAATGGAGTTGAGTATCAATGAACTTTTTGTTTTTCCAGGAACAAGATCGTCTTCGTGCACTTTTCGAACGCGAAAAAGCCGAGCGAGAACGATTGGAAGAAGAGAGACGATTGCTTGAACAAGAAAAGTTATTGAGGCAGCAGCAGGTTTGAAATTGGCCTCTTTTCTTTATCACCCAATTTTATTTTTTTTGCAGCACCAACAACTTTTCGAGCAACAACGTCAGCAAGAAGAACATCTTCGTCGTCTTCAAAAACAACGTGAGAATCAGCAGCAGCAACAATTCTCACAGCAGCACCAACATCAACACAACTGGCAAGATCTTGTCAGTCGTCCACAATATATTCAAGAAGAACCACATTACGCGCAAATTCGACACGCGCCTTCACATCAGCAGCTATACGAACAACATCGTAGACAACAACAACAACAACCGCGGTATCAACAAAGAGAGCAGCAACTCTTTGAGCCTACCAATCATTTTAATCAGTATCAGCAGCATATTCACGAACAACATCAAACAATGCCAGTATTTAGACCAATGGTGCAGCAGCAGCAAAATCAAGCCAATGGTGGAGTCAAAGCAGCAAATGGCTCTGCCGGCAACGGAACAGTAGCAAATGGCAGCACACAACAACAACCACATAGAGGGCACGAACATGGAGCAGCACTTGTCGCAGCCCGTCCACCACAAGTTCTAGTTCACCCACAGTCTGTCGCAGCAAAGGCTTGGGAAACTGTGACGTTCAGCGCCAAAGTCGTCGGACATCCAACACCTTCTTTAACCTGGCAAAAAGCCGATGGTGCAGCAATTCAGAATGGTGGAAAATATCGAAAATCGAGACGGGACCCGATGGTAGCAGCAAATTGATTATTGAAAAAGTCGATGCGCATGATGCAGATATGTATATGCTTGTGGCTCGGAATGAAGGAGGTTCAGTTCAGAGCAGGTTCTCACTGAATGTTCTACGTGAGTTGATTTTTTTCAAAAAAAATTATTAAGTTTTTTAAAATTAAAATTTTCAATTAAAATTTTCAGAAGCCAAATCACCAGAAGCTCCCGAATTCACTGGAAAATTCCAATCCACCACCCTGTATGATGGAGATTCAGTCAAACTTTACTGTAAAGCAGCAGGTGAAGCTGTGACTTTCAAATGGTTCAAAGACAACGAACAAATCGCAAGCGGTGGAAGTTTCAAGTGAGAACAATTTTTGGAAAAAATTCAAAAAATTCAAAAAAATTTTTGCAGCATTGATTCAAAGGGAAATGAGACTACACTGTCTATAAACAATGCGACACTTGCTGAAGGTGGATGGTATCGATGTGATGCTTCCAACAAACATGGAACAACCACACTCAAAGGTCGAGTCGTAGTTCAATCAAGACAAAAATTCCAAGGACCTGCGCATCGTGAGATGATCACTTTGAGAAAAGTCGACAAAGTTGAGCGATCAAGAACACCTGTCAATCAACTTCAAGATTTGTCAGCGTCAAAAGCTCCACCAAAATTCGAGTCACAACTTCAATCACAACAATTGATCGAAGGACAAGCAATTCGATTGGAGATCAGATACTCGCCAGTAGATGATCCGAATTTGCGAATCGCTTGGCTTCAAAACGGGAAAGCCGTTCTTGCCTCATCCCGAATTCAGACATCAACTGAATTCGGAATTTCATCATTGGAAATCAATCCAGTTTCAGTTTTTGATCAAGGTGAATACACCGTAGTTGCAGTTAATCCTCTAGGTGAAGCTCGAACTTCAACAAATATTGCCGTTATTGGACACGGGTCACATCAAGCCACATCATCATCTGCTAATAACTTCGGAACATCTTATCAATCTCGGGTTCAACAAGCACCAGCCGGTGTTTATATTGATCTTCCGAATTTCCAAAGTGACTTGAGAAGTCAAGAATTGTTCGAGGGTCAACAAATTCATCTCGAAGTCAAACTTACACCAATCAATGATCCGACACTTCAAGTTGTTTGGTATTTGAATGGTAGAGAATTGATGAAAAACGATCGAGTTCATCAGAATTTCTCAAACGGATTTGCAACATTAGATATTACTGATGCCCGGAAAGAAGACAGTGGCTATTATGTAGCTAGAGCTATTAACAAATTAGGAGAAGCTGAAAATCAAGCAACCATCATCATCCATCGTAAGTTCATCTTCTGTTTCTTGAAATATTGAATCTCAAATAAATAATTTCAGCAAAAGTCGAGTTACAACAATTCGGAGGCTTCTAGACAACTTGATGTTGATGATGTTCGTGAGATTCAATATTCTCACTCATCAGTCGATCTCACTCCCAAGTTCCTATCCCAATTGAAACCATTTCACTGCGATCAAGAACTTGGTAGATCAATTTTCGAGGCGAGAATTCAACCAATCAATGATCCATCTCTCCGAGTTTCTTGGTTGAAAGATGGGCAACCACTTCCAAACGCCAATCGTATTCAAATTTTCCAAAATTTCGGAGTTGTTTCGCTCTCCTTGCATCCAACTTATCCAGAAGATAACGGAGTTTACACTTGCGTTTTGTTCAATGCTCATGGGCAAGCTCAAAGTTCAGCCGAGCTCACAACAACCTGGGTTGAAACTCTTCAACTCGATTCAAAACACACGGATAGTTTGCCAATTATTGGGTATTTGGATTCACATCAAGTTCACATTGGACCACAATCTGTTGAAAGACCTGAAGAATTCAATTCTCTCGAACCTCCAATGTTCGCAAGAGAACTGGCAACCAAGATCGAAGTTATGGAAAATGAACCAGTTCATTTTGAGGCTAGAATTCAACCAGCAAACGATGTCAAAATGACTGTTGAATGGTATCACAACGGAAAACCACTTCCAGCCGCCCACAGATTCCGACCAATGTTTGATTTCGGATATGTCGCCTTGGACTTGCTTTATGCTTATCCAGAAGATTCGGGAACCTACACTTTGGTCGCAAGGTAATTTTTGAATTCTTTTAAGAAATTCAGAAAATAGTTTAATTTCAGAAACGAATTGGGTGAAGCTCAAAGCAGTGTTGAACTTCTTGTCGGAAGTGAGAAAACCCTTTATTTGGAACCAAATCATCCAGAAGGATTGGAAAGAATCAAGGTGATTTTTAGAAAACTATCAAACACAAACATTATAATTACAACCAGTCGGACAGCATTTCTTTCCCTTACAATCTCCGTCAGTTGAGCACCAGCTGATCGGTGTGAAAACTTTGCAGCGATAACCAAGTTGCACTGGGGTTGGACAAGTTCCCGGGGGCGGGTGACAACATCTGGTGGTTTGATAGTCGAGGCAAACTGTGCCCGACGCACATTTGTCAGATTTAACGCAAGAGGATGAGAGAAATTTCACACGGCATACTGGGAGACCAACTAAAAATACACATTTTTTCTAGGGCTCTAGGAACATTTCAGAAAAAAACTTACTTTCAAAGGACATAACTCTCTTATCAGATGAAAAATCATCTCTGAGCGGTTCTCCAAGCTCTTCTGATTCCTCAGCCTCCTTGTCTTCCATACATTCTTCCCGTTCGACACCAAGAATCCGCCAATAGTCACAGAGCGGAATGAATTTGGGTTTCTGAGTCACGGGAACCTGCTCATAATAATACCTCGGATCATCCGTGTACGGCAAATTAACTCGGAAAAACACGGTGATTTTTAAGAGCGCTGAGAAAATTAGAATAGCGCGCAAAAAAGTCATTGGAATAATAATAATAATACAAATGATAATGAGTAGGCTAGATATATATTTATTTGACCATATACAAATAAATATGGGCGCAATGAAGGGTGTCATTATTTACCCAACTAAATAGTTTGTTTACGGTTCCCACCAGATTTTGGATGAATACTAGAAGTACACACTCGTATATTTTCAGGAACTTGAACAAGATCGTCGTCAAGGCATTGCTGAAGTTGAAGATCGAACTTGTGATGCCGCACCCCAAAATTCTTGAATGATATTCCGGATTTGACTTTGAATGAGCATGAAAACATTCATCTTGATTTGAGAATCACACCAATCAATGATCCAACAATGGTTATTGAATGGTTTGTGAATGGAAGACCGATTCTCACTGGAAGTCGTGTGAAAACACTCAACGAATTCGGATTCATTGCTCTCGACATCAAAGGTGCGATTTCTGAAGATACAGGATGTTATTCTGTTCGAGTTTCGAATTTGCTTGGTGAAGCCATTCGACAATGTCAAATCAATGTTTTGGCGTCAGGCCAAATTTTGGGCGAAACTCAACACGAAGAATCTCTTGGCAAAATCAACTTACCTTGAAAATCTCAACAAATACGGCAGAGTTGAAGTTGAGGAACGTGGTCCAGATGGCCCACCAGTTTTCACAGTTCCACTACAATCCGGAGTCGCTGAAGTTGAAGAGGGCGAGCCAATTCATTTGGAATGTCAAGTCAACCCGATCAATGACAACAGTTTGAAAATCACCTGGCTTCGCGATGGCCAACCAATTCCACACGGTCATCGATTCCGAACATTCTATGATTTTGGATTTGTGTCTCTCGACATTCTTGGATTCTACGCGCAAGATTCAGGAAACTACACGTGTTTGGCTCAAAACTCGCTGGGTCAAGCTGAAACGTCCACAGGAATCAGATGTGCACGTAAGTTTGCTTGCTTGCTCATCACCGTATGTAATTAAATACAATGTTGAGTTTACACAATTTTTGCGCAGGGGGCCTCCTCGCGCACTTTTCATTGTTGAATCTACAGCTTATTTCTTGCCGCCGCTTATTTTTTTTCTACTACTTCTAAATAATTAGTGAACAAGCATGAATAACTATGTGTTTGGGACAAGCTACGGTGGTCCTAAACCGCCTGATTATTATGGGAGGCGGCCTGTGAAATCTAGTATGGGTTTGGTTAATTTACCTACTTCAGCGAAAGATGCCATTTTGGGACAAGTTCAACATCCAAGAAGTTATGCAAGAATTCAAGAAATCGAAGCACCAAAACCAGCACCACAAGAAGTTCCAGATCTTCCACAACAGGTTAGTTTTTTTTCCAAAAAAAAATTATTTGAATTATAAAATTAATTCAGGCGCCAGCATTTGTGAAACAACTTGGCCCAGCTATTCAATGCATGGAAGGTGAAAACGTATATTTGGAAGCTCAAGTCACACCAACTGATGACAACACTTTGACCTATGAATGGCTAGTCAATGGTCAACCATTGATGAAAGCTCATAGATTCGTGCTATCACAAGACTTTGGATTCATCGCTTTGAATATTCTCTACTGTTATCCAGAAGATAATGGAACTTACACTTTGGTAGTTCGAAACAGTGTTGGTCAAGCAGAATCATCTGTAGATATTAATTGCGGTTTTGTTGGTGGCAACTTCACCGATTCATTCCACCCCAACTCTCTCAATCGTATTGCTGAACTTGAGACACCGATTCGTCGTGCTTCAGCTGAACCAGAAAAAGAGAAGGAGGCTCCACAAATTGTTAAGGGTCTTCCACCTACTTTTGATTCAGTTCACGAATCGCAAACTCTGCATTTGGAAGCGCAAGTTTCGCCGATTGATGATAACACACTTCGGGTAAGATTTTAAAAATTTTCTAGAGGAGAACAACTTTAACCCAATAATTTTTCAGTACGAATGGTTGTTCAACGGACAGCCACTCAAAGCCTCAAGTCGTTATCGCGTTCTCAACGATTTCGGATTTGTCAGTCTTGACATCGATTACATTATCGCTGAAGATTCCGGAAAATACACTCTTGTCGCTTATAACCGAGCTGGCAGAGCCGAGACATCCACAGAATTCCAAGTTGAGCGACTCAAATCAATTTTGTCCGATACTGCTCATCCTGAATCACTTCGTAGAATCAGAGAAATGGAACAACTTCAACCAGCAAAACCATCGGATGAAGATGCGCCGTTGCAGCCACCAGTTTTCACTCAGCCTTTGACTGGACCAACTGAACCACTTAAAGAGGGACAATCTGTTCATATGGATTGTGTTGTTCAGCCAATTAATGATCCAACTTTGAAGATCGAATGGTTCCATGATGGAAGACCATTGATGTTTGGATCAAGAATCAGAACAATTCATGATTTCGGTTATGTTGGTTTGGAATTCTTACACATTCATCCAGAAGATACTGGAACATACACTTGCAAAGCTTCAAATATCATTGGTGAAGCTACCACTGATATCACATTGAGATGCAACGCCAGAAGAAACATCTACTTGGATTCTCACCATGAATCATCTTGGCAGAAAATTCAAGAGATTGAAAACCGCGTTGATGAACGTGAACCAACTCCAGAAGTTCAATTCCAACCACCAACTTTCACTGAAGTTCTTACCGACAAGACTGATTGCGTTGAAGCCCAATCAATTCGTCTCGAATGCCGTCTCATTCCAATCAATGATCCAACAATGCGTGTTACTTGGACTAGAAATGGTCAACCTTTGCCAGAAGCTTCAAGATTTATGCCAGCCAGAAACTTTGATTATGTCAATTTGGACATTCTCGCGTTGTATGGTGAAGATTCTGGTGTCTACACTTGCAAAGCTGTTTCAGCGTTTGGAGAAGCCGCAACTTCGTGCACTGTAAAATGTGCTGCAACCAATTCTCTACTTCTCGACACAATGCATGAAAAATCGTGGAATCGTGTTCAAGAAATCGAGAATCGCGAGAAATTGGAAAGAGTTTATGAAGAAGCCGCAAAAGGTTGCACCAAGATTCACAGTTCAACTCAATCAACCAGCCGGTGAATTATACGAAGGTGTTCCGATTCATCTTGAATGCCAAGTTGAGCCAACAAATGACAATCAATTAACAGTTCAATGGTATCACAATGGTCAACCACTTGCAAATGGCCATCGCTTCAGAACCACTTATGACTTTGGTTATGCAGCTCTCGATATTCTTTACGCATTTGCTCAAGACAGCGGTGAATGGGCTTGCGTTGCTCGCAATGCAATTGGTGAAGCTCAAACAGTCACCTCTTTCAATATCGCACCAAAAGGAACAATTTATACCGACACTCAACATCCAAATAGTTGGCAGAAAATTCAACAATTGGAAGCGCCAAAAGCCGCAGCTCCAGAAAGACTCGACGCTGAACATGATGCTCCACAATTCATTGAACCTTTGGAGAGTTTGGAAAGAATCGAGTTCCAACCAGCACACTTCCATACGAAAGTTACACCACAAACTGATCCAAATTTGAGAATTCAATGGTTCAAGGATGGTCAACCACTTCAAAATAGTAACCGATTCAAGTTAACATCTGATTTCGGATATATTGCATTGGATATTGCACATACTGTTCCAGAAGACAGTGGAGTTTATTCAGTGAAAGCCAGCAATGCTAAAGGAGAAGCTCAAGTTGATGGCCAACTTACTGTTCGTGGAAATGCTTCAATCATTGGAGATACTCAACATGAGCAATCATGGCAGAAAATTCAATTGATCGAAGCTCCACGTGGACCAGGACAAGAAGCCCCAGATGTTAAACACGGGCCACCCAAGTTTGTCACCCAACTTCATAGCATCGAAGGTGTTGTTGAAGGTCAACCATCACATTTCGAAGCTCAATTCATTCCATATTCCGATCCCAAAACATCAATTCAATGGTATCTCAATGGTCAACCTTTGTCTGCTTCATCTCGCCGAATTTTGAGAAACGACTTCGGTTTGGTCTCTCTCGATCTTCAATACACCCTTGGAGAAGATGCTGGTGAATATTCAGTCGTTGTCAAAAATTCAGAAGGTGAAGATCGCACTTCAGCCAATTTGTCATGCACAACTCGAGCTGCTATCTTCGGAGACACCCAAAATGCTCAATCGTGGCAAAGAATTCAAGAGATCGAAGCTCCACGAGCACCAGGAGCTGAACCAGAAGGACCAGTCTATGAGAAACCATCTTTCATCACTGCACTTCAATCAGTTGGTGATTTGCCAGAAGGATCAGTTGCTTTGTTGGAGGCTCGTCTCATTCCAGTAAATGATCCAAATCTCAGAGTTCAATGGTTCTACAACGATCAACCATTGATGGAATCGAATTGGATCTCAACCAGTAACGACTTCGGATGTGTTTCACTCCGCATCGCACCAGTTTATGCCAGACATTCTGGTGTATATTCCTGCAAGGCTTGGAATGATCATGGAAGTGCTGTTACATCTGCCAATGTTGGAGTTCAAGGATCCGAAGGTCTTCTTCTCGACACAGCTCATCCAGTCTCTCTTCAAAAGATCAGAGAGCTTGAGGCTCTTGACAAAAATGCACGATTGGAAGCGCCAGAAAGAGAGTTCGAGAAACCACAATGGGTTCAAGGATTCGAAAACAAAGAACAAGTTGGAGAAGGTCAATCAGTTACTCTTCATGGTCTTGTTGAACCATCTGGTGATCCAAATTTGAAAATCGAATGGCTTTTGAATGGAACACCACTCATCAATGCCAACAGATTCCGTCAAGAATACGAGTTCGGAAATGCGATTCTCACAATTGTTCATGTTCTTCCACACGATTCTGGAGTCTACACATGCCGTGCGTACAATCAACAAGGAGAAGCATCAACATCAGCCAATGTTACCACTGCTGGTTACGAACGTATTTTATACGATTCTCAACATCCAGTTTCCTGGCAACGAATTCAAGAACTTGAAGCTCCAAAGATCATCGAAGAAGTTGAGGAGGTTATTCAAAAAGAGAAACCACACTTCCTCACTCAATTGGAATCTGCTGAAAATGTTCCAGAAGGTGTTGCAATTCATCTCGAAGCAACATTCCAACCAGCCAGAGATCCAGAATTGAAAGTTGTTTGGCAGAAAAATGGACAACCATTGGGAGCGTCTCAATTGGTTCAGACCAAACAAGAACTTGGCTGGGCAACCCTCGATATTTCATCAGCTAATGAAGATCATAATGGTGTTTACACTTTGACTATTTCGAATTCTGAAGGTGAAGCTGTGTCAACTGCTTCAATTCGTGTTGCTGGAACTGGCCCAATTCTTGGAGACACTCGTCATGAAGAATCATGGAAGAAAATTCAAATTCTCGAAGCTCCAAGAGAAGCTGATCCAGAAGCTCCAGCTCCAACCTATGATCATCCAGCTATTACAACTCAAATCGAAGACAAGGAATGTAGCGAAGGAGAACATGTTCGTTTCGAAGCACTCATTGTTCCGGTCAACGATCCAAGACTTCAAGTTCAATGGATCAGAAATGGTGTTCCACTTGCTCACGGTTCAAAATATGCTATTCAACAAGACTTCGGAGTTTGCACTCTTGACATCGCTTATGCCTACCCAGAAGATCAGGGAATCTATCAATTGAGAATTTGGAATCCAGAAGGTGAAGCGGTGTCTTCGGCAACATTGAAATGCCACGGAAAAGATGCGATTTTGGGAGATGTTCAACATCAAGAAAGTTGGAAGAGAATTCAAGAGATCGAAGCTCCACGACCGAAATTGGAAGAAGATGAGCCTGCACCAAAAGGTCCACCAAGATTCATTCAACAATTGGTTTCACCGGGTGAATTGGTTGAGACACAACCAGCTCATTTCGAAGCAACAATTGAGCCAGTTGATGATCCAACTTTGACAATCAGCTGGTTCTTGAATGGCCAACCAATTTCCGCTTCATCAAGAGTCAAAATGATCAATGATTTTGGATGGGTTATCATGGACATCGGACAAACCGAAACTCGTGATTCAGGAGAATGGAAATGCGTTGTGAAAAATGCATCGGGCGAAGCTTCATCAACCGCAACCATCAATGTTCAAGGAAAAGATGTGCTTCTCCTAGATTCAATTCAACCACAATCTTTGGATCGTATTCGAGAAATCGAGGCTGGCAAACCACTTCCCAGCTCCTCAACCAGATCGTGTATTCGAGGCTCCAGTCATTGTCAATCAACTTCAAGTTCAAGGAGCTTTGGAAGAAGGTGGAAGTGCTCATTTGCAAACTCAATTCACACCTGTCGCCGATCCATCCATCAAGGTCGAGTGGCTCAAGGATGGTCAACCAATTTTCCATTCCAACAGATACAAGCAGGTTCACGATTTTGGTTTTGCAGTTTTGGACATTCTTCATCTTTTGAAACACGATGCTGGAGAATATACATTCAGAGTTTCAAACGCATCTGGTGAAGCTTCAACATCTGCTAGCTTTACCGTCGATGAGAGCAGTGGACTTTTGCTCCACCCACAAAATGAGCAAAAAGCCAAGGCTGTTGAAATTTTGGAGGATAAACTTCACAGAAGACCAGAAGATGTTGAACAAGAGCTCAAAGAAGCTATTCCAGTATTTATTGAACCTTTGTCAGCACCAGTTGAAACTGAAGAAGGAGGTCGCGCACATTTCACAGCTCGTTATGAGCCAGTCAATGATAATCAATTGCAAATCCAATGGTATCATGACGGAAGACCACTTCGAACTGGAAGCAGAATCAAGACAATTAACAGTTTCGGATATGTTGTGCTCGAAATCTCGCCAACTTATCCAGAAGACAATGGTGAATACACTTGCCGTGCAGTCAACAGAGTTGGCGAAGCTGTCACTTCTACAAAATTGTCTTGCTCACCAAAAGATGGTATCATCAGTAGCACTCAATTGCCAGAGCGTATGGCGAATGCTGGAAAACGAATTGCTGAAATTGAGGCTCCGCGACCAGCTCAAGCTGATGCTCCAGATGTTAACCATGGCGCTCCAAAGTTCACCTCTGGATTGGCTGGACCACCAGAATTGCAAGAAGGACAACAAGCTCATTTGGAATGTCAAGTTACACCTGTTACTGATCCAAGATTAAAGATTGAATGGTTCCACAATGGTCAACCAGTCAATCATTCTAACCGAATGAAAGTTATTCATGATTTCGGATTTGTCGTCATGCAATTGTCACCAGCAGAACCCCAAGATTCCGGAGTTTGGACTTGCCGTGCGACAAACGATCACGGATCAGATGAAGTTTCCACTGAAATCAAAGTCGTTGGTAACAGCGGAGTTTCGTATGAATGGCAAAGTCCAGCTCAAAGAAAGGAAAGAATCACCGAGTTGGAAGACTGGATTCATCGTCCAAAAGAAGATCTCAATTTACCATCTGCCGATTATCCATCCCCATCATTCTCTCAAGAACTCACTGATCTTGGTCAACTCAATGAAGCTGATGCCACAGCATTTGTCTGTGTTTTGGAACCAATTGGTGATCCAACATTGAGAGTTCAATGGGAACACAACGGACATCCAATTCCATACTCCAACAGAATCTCGTGCACTAATGAATTCGGTGTTGCCACTTTATTGATCAAACATTTGATTGCTCAAGATGCTGGAGAATACAAATGCATTGCTACAAATGCAAAGGGAACTGCAACATCTGTTGGAAGAGTTGCTGTCGAATCAGCCACCCAAATTGATACTCCACAAATCATTCAACCATTGGTTGACAGTGTTGAAAATACTTTGGAAGGTGATTCGATTCATTTGGAATGCAGAGTTACACCAATCAATGATCCAAGACTCAAAGTTGAATGGAGAAAGAACGGACAACCATTTGCCAGATGCCAGTAGATTCAAACCAATTTCCGAATTTGGATTCGTCAGTCTCGATATTCTCTACGCTTATCCAGAAGATAATGGCGATTATGAACTTATTGCTTACAATGACAAAGGAGAAGCCAAAACTCAAACAAAGATCACAGTTGCTCCACGACCATCTCTTGATTACACTTCTCAAACCCATGGAAATCAACAAGATTCTTTGGAGTCACATTTCAAACAACATTCTCAAGCTAAACTTCAATTGACATCTCAAGATATTTACAATGAGACTGACAAACGAGCTCCAGAATTCAGAACCCAATTGCAGAATATCGGTGTTTTGGAGGGAGAATTCTGTCGATTTGAGACTCAAGTTGCTCCAATCAACGATCCATATCTCAAAGTCGAATGGTACAAAGACAAAAAACCTGTCCTTCTTGGACACCGCTTCCGATCAACTCTCGATTTCGGATTTGCTTGCCTTGATCTTCTCTACGCTCTTCCAGACGACACTGGGGAATATCATTGTGTTGCAACCAACAAGCATGGGCAAACTATGATCAGTGCTAAATTGGCTTGTCAAGGAGCATCACATGTTATCACTGACAGTCAAATGCCACAAGGATTAAGAGTCAGTAGTGTGAAGAAAGATAACGCAAGTGTCTATTGGTCTGAACAAGGAGGAGCCGCGCAACCAAAGAAGAAACAAGGTCCACAATTCACAATTCCAGTTAGAAACTTGCAAGTCACTGAAAATCAACCAGCTAGATTTGAATGTGCTGTCACTGGGTATCCAAGACCAAAGGTTACCTGGTTTATCAATGGTAATCAAGCTCTTCACGGACATCGTTACAAGCTGAACTTCGATGGTCTTCATTACTTGACAGTTAGTAACACCAGAATTTCTGATGCTGGAGAAATCGTGGCGATCGCAAGAAACAGCGAAGGTGAAACCATCTCAACTGCCACTTTGGACATCTTCCAAAAAGACGACTTCCGTCAAGCTAAACTCAAACCAACATCTTTCAAATCATCTGAGGAAATGAGACAACGTGAGATTCAATGGCAACGCGACACTCTTGGCTCGCTTGGAGATGCTTTCGATGCGGCTCCACGACCAGATGCTCAAAAATTGATGCACGTTGAGAGAGCTCGCAGTCCAATTGAGCCACTGGAAACCGAAGAACTCATCCAAAAGTTCACTCGTCCACGCGATGATCAATTCTACGATAAGTTGGCCTATGTCGAGACGCAAAAACAACAATATCGTGGAATGGAGTTGGAAAATGTGAACTTGAAGGCCGGAAAGATCGAGAAATATCAACCGCCAGTCGATGAGATGGAAAGAGTGAATTTGAAGAATGTGCCAAGCAAAGATTCCAAAGAGCATGAATGGGAGAAACCGGATTGGGCTCACGATGGAAACGCTAAACTTCAAGGTGCGAACGAAACCAAGTTCAAGAAACTTCCAACTCCACCTCCAGAGCTCGACGTGCCAGCTCGTGATCAAGTCAAACTCAAGATCGCCAAGCCAACAAGATCAAAAGATGTAAGATTTTCAGATTTAAAACTATGTATCTTATTGAATTTTTTATTATAGATCGAATCAGGAGAACGCGTCAAACTCCAGGCTGAAAAAGCAAAAGTCAAACAAATCCAACAAAAACCAGAACAACCGAAAGAAGAAGTTCCAGTGCATAAGGAACAAGTTCAACTCAAGGTACAACTAACGCTTATACTAAAAATAATCCCCCAAGCACTTCCCTAAACCCGAGCACATTTTAGCAACAACAATTACCAAAGACGGGTGCCAAAGGCGATCATTTTGTTGTGGAACGTGAAAAGGATCTCAAAGAAACTCCAGCTGTTGTGAAACCAGTTATTGAAGAGACTAGAATTAGCAATAAGGTAAGACACTCTAACTGTCCGTGTCTTTATCTGTTAACGCTTGCCGTGTTGGTGTTTATTGTATTGTGATTGTTGTCTTTTCAGGTGCATGAATCTGGAAGTCATCGACTAAAATACCAATCTTATCGTGAGCATAAAGAATCTACATCTTCCAGTGATGTTTGTTGATTTTTTTTTCATAACTTGATTTATAATTAACCTGTTGTTTAGATGTTTTTGAATGTTGAAACTTCGGATTGTTATTCGCATGTAGAAAAGTATGAGTACTCACCAAGAAGTCCACGTCGAGAAAGAATTATTGGTTTTCATATGATCAGGGCATGCCAAGCTTAAATTTTCAGATAAAAACCTAACTTTTTTATTTTCAGCCACAACCAACCAAGATTGGACAATCGAAACAAGCGCCGCCAACAATTTCCCAACAACTCAAACCGATTCAAGGAGAACTTGGCAAAGCCGCTAAATTCACCATTGATTTCAGTGGTGCTGCACCAATCAAGGTTACCTGGTTGAAGGATGGCAAGGAGATCAAGAGCACTTTTAGATCTCAGGTAAGAACTTTTCTAAATATTGAAGAGCGTTTTCAAAAAATGAAATTTTCTAGATCACCACCACACCAAATGGTTCATCCCTTCACATCGGAAGATTGGAGAACTCACACGGTGGAGAATACACCGTGCGATTGGAGAATGCTGCCGGAACTGTAGAATCGATGGCTAATTTGGCTGTGACTCCACCTGTTTCTACTGGAAAAGCTCCGGATTTCAAAACAAGACTCACTGATTTACGAATTCAACAAAATGGTCCAGCTGAATTCTCTTGTCAAATCACAGCTGATCCGAAACCAACAGTTCAATGGTTTAAAGATGGTCAACCACTTCCAAATGATGGAAGATTCGAAGCGATCGAAGAAAATGGAACATATAAATTGAAATTCGCGAACATTATTTCTACCGATGTTGGAATCTACGAAATCGTTGTTAAAAATCCAGCCGGTGAGGCCAGATGTAAAGCAAGACTCAATGTTAATCTTCAAAAAACCGGAAAAGGAGCTGAAGAGGGTCCAAGATACGAAGCTCCTCGATTCACCACACAAATCCAACCAATCGTTGTCGATGAAGGAAAAGGTTCACAATTTTCGGCGAAATATTCCGGATTCCCTGAACCAACCATCAGATGGTATCGCAATAATGAGCCAATCAAACATGCCGATGGATATGAAGTTAGTCAATCGAAGGGCGAAGCTGTCCTCAAGATCTCTGCTGCGAGAAACGAGGATGTGGCTGAATACAAAGTTGAGGCTAGCAATCCAGCTGGTAAAGCATCAAGCGTTGCCAATCTCGTTCTGACCCCAAGATCTGGTCGAATCGCAAAATCGACAATCACTCGCGGTGGATCAGCATCCACTATTGACAAACCTGCCGCAGATGCTCCACATTTCGTCGCGAAGCTTAGCGATATTTCCGCGCGTCAAGGACATACCGTGAAATTCAGCGCTGAAGTTGATGGAAGTCCAGAGCCAACAGTCACATGGCAATTCAAGGGAAAACCATTGAGCGCATCAAATAACGTTAAGGTAAGTGCTTATGAAATTTGTGAAATAAAATTTGAATTTCTATTAGATCTCGCGCGATGGCAAACGTGCAATCCTCGAGCTCGCACGTGTCACCCCAGACAGTGCCGGTGAATATCAAATCGTGATTCGCAACGACAAAGGAGCCGCAACATCGCAAGCTCGACTCACATTAAGTCAGTAGTTTATCAAATCAACGAGAAGAAACCAGCTGCTGACACAGAAAACCAAAAACAAAATTTAGCATGTTTACTTCTCAAGCAAACCAAAAAACCTTTCAAAAACCCCGGCTACCTAAACAAAATCCCAACATTTTCAAATTAACACCTTTCCCGGAACGCACCCCCCTAAATCGATATTTTCAGGTCGATAACTTCTCAAAACAAAAACCACAAACGAGTAAATCAACTGCCTAAATTTTTATTTGCTTATTATTTTTCTATTTTCCTATTTTCTAAATTTGCTGCCAAAAAACTCCCTAAACTTGATAGTATTCAATAATGGATTGCTGCCCCATTATTGTTTCATTTTTTCCATTGAGGATTGCTGCCCTCTTTGGGAGAAAAAGAGGTTTCTAGGGATTATTTGTTTTTGTATATAACCGTGTACCCCAAAATTTTCGGTCTAGTCGCATTCGAAATTTGTCTTCTCTTTCTTTCTAGTCGCATTTTTTTGTTAATAATTATTAATAAATGGTTTTTTTTAATGAAAAAAGCTCCTAAAAATTCCCAAAAAACTGACCTGCCTTCCAAATTGCCAATTCGCTCGAAAAATACAATTTTTAGTCCGATTAGAAAAAGATGAATAATAAGAAGTGACAAAAATAAAATAGGAACACGCTAAAAAAAAAAACAAATAAAAGAGTGTGAGGTCAAACTAGAAAAAAAAAGAACGCTGGTCAATAAATGTGTGTAGTCTGATCTTCATTCAAAAAAAATTATTTATTTTTACACATCTCTTTTTGAATTTCAGCAGGCGTTTTTCCTTTTGTTTCCGGCACAAATTTCCATGTGAAAAATATGAAAAACGCCAAGGCACATGTGAACATAAGAAAGGCGTATTGATGAATTATATTCTGAAAAAAAATAAAATAAATTTTCATTGTTCTAATGTCAGAAAAGAAAACTCACATTTATTGGAAGGAAAGTTAGCCCAACTATCCAATTAGACAACCAATTTGTTGTTGCTGAGACCGATGCTGCTTTTGATCTTAAAGTTGAGTCGAAAACTTCAGAGGTGAAGAACCAAGGAATTGGCCCTGGGCCAAATGCGAAAAAGCATACAAACATCAAGATGCAGAAAATGTTTGCATAACTTGCCCAAGCATATCCATCATTTGTTAGAGTCAAAGTTATCACAATTAGAATCGAGCAGAAAAACATGGCAATCAATCCGAAAAGGTGAAGTGGTTTTCTTCCGAACCTCGGATGATCGATCATAAAAAGACAAATCACTGTGGTAACCAATTTTGCGCAGCCTAAAGTATTTCAAAATTTTCTGAATCGTAGTGCTCCAATTCTTACCAAAACTTAGAGTGGCATAAAGCGGCCAGTTTCCAGTGAAACCATTTCTTTTGAAAATCAAAGTTGAATAGAAAGTGACACTGGAAATTCCACTGAATTGTTGACTCATCATCATACAAATCGAGACAATCATTGGCCAGAGATTTGGAGATTGGAAAAGTGTGAGGAAGCTAACATCGGTGTGCGGTTTTTTCGCTTCCGTTATCATGTTATTCAATTCTTCATCGACGTTTTCATGACTTCGAAGTCTGACCAAAGCACGTCGAGCACCTCCTCGATTGTGTTTATGGCTGATCAGGAACCTATTATCAAAATAAAAAATTTTGGCAAAAAAACGGAGCCCAGAAATTCAAACGACACTCTTCCCAAGTACGGTGTTTCTTTCAATCGCTGCGAGACCCATATGTGCGTCTTTGACTTTGTTTCTCTGCCCAATGGTGTGGTCTCGAAACGGTGTTAGTGACGCAGAGGAATACCGTACTTGGGGAAATTGGGATTTGAATTTCTGGATTCTCTTTTTTTGCCAAATTTTTTTACTTTGATAATAAAGTGAATTGTTTTTTCATTCAAAAAAATTTATTTTTCTCAAAACTCACTTTGGTGATTCAGCACAGAACAAAATCAAAAATGACTGCAAAATCGCAGGAATCGCGATAAATCCAAAAATCAGCGGCCATCTCTCAGGTGTCCCAAAAATATATGGAAGCCCTAAAGCTTGCGAGAAAACTATGGCAATCGAAATATTCAATTGATGAAAAGATCCACACTTCCCACGCAAGTTCGCAGGTGCAAGTTCAGTTAGATACATCGGAACAAGTCCAGATGTGATCCCACAATTCAGGCCAACACAAAATCTTCCAATAACTATGAGTGGATATAAATTCAAATACTTTGAGGTTGTGAGAAGACTAGCAGCAATAAGAGCGATGATATTATTGTAAAGGAGGGTGGATCGTCTACCAAATTTATCTGCCAAAATTCCTGATACTAAACTTCCAAGCATTCCACCAACAGAAAACATTGAAACTGCCACTGACCATATTATATCAGCTGTTTCTTTTGTTAAAATTGTTTCGAATAGTGAAAAATGTGAATCTTTGATAAACTCAATAATCAGCTAAAACTTCAGGTTTTCTTTAGTTAGATTCCGTAAATTAGTTCTTACCGGCCCGGGCGCATTTATACATCCAATTTGAAAACCATCCTGAAATGATGCTATAGCAATTGTACTGATACAAAATAATAAATAAGGTGTTAGTCGTTCCTCTTCCATGTGAATATTAAATTTATGAAATCGATATGTGAATAGATACTATCGACAGATTTGTAAATAGGAAAGATTTCAGAAATAGATTGTATAAACTTGAAACTTTTGTTTGAATGAAGAAGAAGAGGAAGAAAAGGAAGAATAGGAAAAATATGTTTTTTGAAGAAATTTTAAAGAAAAATATTATCATTGTTTGTATAATATTTCCCATTGTTATTTTTTGTATTGTTTTTTTACAGATGAAAGAAATTGAAACAGGGTTCCAAAGAATCAATCAGAACTTTGATGTGATAATTCGATCATTGTTTTGTTTCTCTTCGAAACGGATGGAAAAGTCATCATTTTCAAATGTGAACTACATTTTCTACATGATCTCTAATCTTCAAGTATAAAAAAACGTGTCATACCCTTTTCTCTCGTATTTCTTTATCAGCATTTTTTTTCCAAACGAACAAACATTTGATGATAAAACTTTCTCATTTGTATTTGTTTTAGAATGTTTTTGTCATTCTTCACTTTGATTTTCATAAATTTTTGTTATGCTGGCCCCAATAGTTGAGACAAATTACGGGAAAATCGAGGGATTTGAGTCAGATGGAGCTGAAGTGTTTCTAGCGATTCCGTATGCTAAACCACCAACTGGTGATTTACGATTCGAAAGACCTGAAGCACCAGAACCTTTTGAAGATATTTATCAAGCTACACAATATAGAAATGATTGTTCTCCACATTATCGTTTAGTTTCGCAATTTTCTGTTTATTCTGGTGAAGATTGTCTGACTTTGAATGTTATAAAACCAAAGACTGTGGTGAGTTTGTTTTTGAAAAGTCATAAACAAATAAATGTCACATGAAAAAAAATCAAAAGTAGCCAAAAGACTTCAGTTTTTTTTTTGGAAAAACTTCTAGATTCATCAAAAAAAAAATCACAATTTTTTTGCAGACTGAAAAACTTCCTGTCCTCCTGTGGATTCATGGAGGAGGTTATTCTATCGGATCAGCCAGTCAACATGGATATAAATACTTTGCTGAGCGCTATGCCTCGGAAAACGTTATTGTTGTCACAATCCAATATCGCTTAGGCTTCCTCGGATTTTTTGCAAATGATCAAGTCAGCAATCTCGGATTGTTCGATCAAGTCGCAGCTTTGGAATATGTTCATGAGAATATCGAGCATTTTGGTGGAGATCCTGAAAGAATCACTCTCTGGGGATACAGTGCTGGAGGTGCGAGTGTATCGCAACTTACTATTAGTCCATATTCTCAAGATCTTTATCAAAATGCTATTATTATGTCTGCTAGTTCGTTTGCTGGCTGGGCTACTGGTTCAACAGTTCGTGAACACTCTGAGATTCTTATGAGAGATGCAGGTTGTGATTCGATAGAATGCTTGAAGAAAAAAGATCTTCATGATTTATACGATGCTCAAGAAAAATCAGGATTCAACACTGGAACGATTGATATTTTGAAATGGGCTCCAATCATTGATGGTGATTTTTTCCCAGCTCACCCATCGGAATTACTCGAATCAGCTCCAGTGAAACCAACATTACTTGGTTTGGGAGGATAAAGAAGGGGCTTATTTCACTGTTGCGAATCAAGGAAGAGTTTTGAGTGATTTCGGTTTGACTGCTCACGATATTAAAAACTTCAATGAGCAATTTGTAATCGACACCATCAAGAACAAATTCCTCTATAATAATCGATTTGGAAAATATGAGAAATATGTTTTGGACACTCTTATCGAATATTATTTACACAGAGATCGCCCGGAACATCCAGAAGTCTCATTTTTCTTGGATAGATATAGTGAAATTGTATCCGATGTCACTTTCAATGTGCCAGAGATCAGAGAAATCCAAAAACGCGCTGAAAACAATGATCAAGTCTACGCATATCTTTTCAATCATTGTAACGATGTTCTCTGGAAAGATCACATTCCAAAAGAAACTCGTGGTTCCCTTCATGTTAATGAATATCACTATTTGTTCAATATGCCAATTCTTGGGCAAATCGATTTTTCGAAAGATCCAGAAAAGAAAATTAGAAACGATTTCATTGATTTAGTTATCAATTTTGCGAAAACAGGGTAAACCATTCTTGATAAGAAAAAAATTTAATGTACTTTGTTCCAGGAAAGCTGAAGTGAACGGAGTTCAATGGAACCCTGTGACCGCACACGAAAGTATTTCCTACTTGAACATCGGGACTGAGGGAAACACCATCAAGTCAGGACTATTTGAAGAAGCCACATATCTTTGGAACGATCTCGCTCATCAAACAGAATTCGACGCCGTTGATCCAACCCTCTCCAAATCGTCGCAACATCAGCCTAGAAACGAATTATAATAAAAACAAACATGAACATAAATAATTTAATAACATTTTTGCGAAAAAGGTGTCATATCCGTGTGTATTTTAATAATAATAATAATACAAACATATATACATTCGGTAGGCAGGCGAGCAAATAAGAAAAAATGGCATAATGACGGGGGGCCTCGTCTTGGTCAGTCTATCTCATTGTTCGAATTATGCGGAAGTTTGTTTGTGTTTATGTTGGAGTGTGCCGACGTGATCGCGCAAAGAAATGTATACTTTCACAAAACAATTATGAGCATGTTTACATGTTTGCCAGTGACGAGGTACACGTCAAACACGGAAAAGTTTTTTTGTTGTGGAAAAAAATCGCAAATTTTCATCAAATATATTAGCTTTGAAAAGCTAACGTGGTACTTTTTCTAGGCATTTAAATGATAATAAATTTGTTAATTTTCTGTTTAAAAATCCTTTCCCTGAATTTAAAAATTCAAAAAAAAATGTGATTTTTCTATAACTTTTATCAGCTTCTGAACAAAATTATATTATTGCTGGGGAAAAATGAAGAGTAAAATGTTAGAGATCTAATTTTGAAGACTTCTAAATCGCAAATTTTCATCAAAAAATATTTTTATGGGGAAAACAGTCCAAAAGCCTTTGTGTCAAAAATCAGAAAAATATTGGTTTTGAAAAGCTAACATGGAACTTTTTTCTAGGCATTCAAATGATAATAAATTTATTAATTTTTGGTCTAAAAATCATTCACTGAATTTGAAAAATGTGATTTTTCTATAACTTCTATTAGTTGCTGGAAATCGGAGAAGCTTAAAACTTTCTGAATTTTAGTGGCACATTTTTGAATTTCTAGTTTCAGCTTCAAATTTCCCAATTCCCACCTTAAAACCTTCCGAAAAGTCTCAAACCTCCATTGTTTATTTATTCCAAAAACATGGGGTCAAACAGCAAACAATAGCTAGCTCGAAACCTGTCTCAAACCTCAACCCATATCATGATCACCGCCACAATCACCTCACCAAACAAACGAAAAACCTGCTTAGCACACCCCAGCCAAAAAACCCATCTCCTAATCCTGGTGATACTACACGAGCCGATTACAATGCGCGCTTGCTCTTTTTGCGCGCACACACACCGCAAACACACACACAAGCATCTTCCGGACTTGCCGCTGGCTGTCAGAAAGGGCGGGTTGTTCTTCTTCTGTTGGCACACACACTCTCGGCCCGGTCACTTTCTCATTTCGCACACACTTGACTATTGATATATCTGGCCTCCGAGTTGCCAGATCACACACAAATAAAATATGCGTCGATTTATCCTAATTTCCACATGCTTGGTGGGTTTTTTAATGACCATTTTTGAAACTAATAAAAAACTTTCATCTTTTAAAAATTAATTTTGCTTTCCAGGTGCTTGCTCACGCTGGCATCGACATTTGTGAATACTACAAACTCATCGGCAAACTTTCCGAGCATCCCGAGTGCGCAAAACAATTCCCAACTCCCGCGCCAACCACCGAAGCACCGAAGAATCGGTTTCTGCTCGAGTTCAGCAGCGCTGATTCAGTGCACAGCCGACGCGCAAACTTGCCCACTCTCCGGGCAGGTTTGTATTCAATCCGATGGTAATAAATGCTGTCAAATCGTCACTGCAGGTAATTTATTTTTCCGAAATTTTTTATTTAAAAAAAAACTAGCAAACTTTCAGGAATCCCAGCATCTGAGATCAACAGTAAATCAGGATCTTGTCCACGTCCTTTGGGAATTTCAGTCCTTCAAGACACCACAATCGGTTGTTGGATGGACTCAAATTGCCCAGGAATTCAAAAATGTTGCGTCGAGCCAAACCCGGTCACCAATTCCGCCACGAGAATCTGCAGAGATCCAGTCGGCATCTCATCCACCAATCTCTGCTCTCTCCCCCTCGCTGTTGGATCTTGTACAGCTCCAGCCATCCGTTTCTACTATGACGCATCGTCGGGAAGATGTAATCAATTCATGTTCAGTGGATGTGGAGGAAACGCGAATAATTTCCAATCCCTGGCTTCCTGCCAAGCAACTTGCGGGCATAGCGGAGTTACCGGAACTCCAGCTTGTCCAGCTGATGCTAATGCTGGTTTGAATTGTCTTTTCGCTCACGCCGATGCTTGCAACAGTGATCGTGATTGTCTAGGAAGAGAGAACACCGTAAGTCATTTTGCTCCTTTTTCCAAATTCAATTGTTCTTTTTCTGCTCACTTTTTCCCCTTCCCTCACTTCAATAAAAAACTTAAGTTCACAAATTTCCAGGCTCAACCATCATGTTGTATGACTAGCTGTGGATACAAAATCTGCTATCAATATTAATTTTTTTTTTCAAATTTCAAATTATTTCACTCGCGCCACAGGTTTGCCTTGATTTTTGAGAAAAGTGGATTCTGATCTACTTTTCTATGAATCAAAACTCATATCTATATATATTTATTTGTTTGATGAGCTTGGAAATTTTGAAAAAGTGAGGCGGGAAAAATCGAATATCCCAACTCAACCAGTTCAAAGTCTCCTCTCATCAAAATTTCCCCCCGACTTCACATAACTAATAAATTTTTATTTGATTGAAACATAAACAAGATAATATCTCAAGAATAAACTCTTGATGATGATGATGATGATAAAACTTTTTTGGAAGCCAAACCCCAAAAATTCAATTACCCTCCGCGCAGCAGAAGCGCACAAATTTATCGAATCTTGTTTATTTCTCGTCGTTTTTTCTTCTGCTGTGGTGCCATCTACACACACACAAAATTCACCAGCGACACCTGAAAATGCTTGGCTGAAAAACAAGCAGTCCAGTCAATTTCAGATTCTCATTGGCAGATGCAAAAATTTGTCATTTTCCTTTTTTATATTTGTTTTTGGAGAAGAAGGAGGGAGGCTAAATTTCCCACAGGACACGATGTTTCAAGGTTTCATTTACACCTCGCCTCATTTGCTTGCTTCGCTGACCTTTTCCTCGTTTCAATTAATTCGCCCCTTTTGTGTTGTTGCACATTATTTGATTAAATTTGCAATTTTCCCCTTGTTTCTTCTATTTTCTTTTTTTTTCTTTATAATGTTCCTGAATAATTTCCTGAGTCAGGCGAGTAAATCATGAAGCCACTTATATTACGTAGAAAAACAAAAACACGATAATTAGACTAATATAATTGGCTCGCTAGAAAATCTGATATGAACAATCATATACCTGAAGTTAGGCCTTCTCCCTACTCCTCTTGAATCCTAGCCCGAGTCCAGGCCTGGAGTTAGGTCTAGGTAGATCTGTCTAGTATGGTCCAAACCCCAAGCCTATAAAGCTACAAAAAGCTTCATGAAGCCACTTAAATCTAACTGCAAGAAAAAAAACAAACAAGATAATTAGACCGATATAATTGGCTTGCTTTTCTCCTAACAAATCTTCTTATTGAGAAAAAAAGGACCCCGAAGAATTTTATAAACACAGAACAAAACAAAACAAAAAAAGTGGATTTGGTTCAAGAGCTGTGCACACACATATGTCAACCATCCAATTCAACCAACCACCAACAATTCTTTCGCAGTGTCTTTTTTAGTGCTCCAAAAGCACAGCAAGAAAAAACGGCGAGAAACACAAACTCTTTCTAATGTTTCCTTCCGATGCACAACAATTTCCGATTCGATTCGGATGTTCTTTTCAATCAAACATGAATCTTCTTCCGATCCTCTATTTTTTTCAAAATGTTTCTTTCAAAAAACCGTCACGGCCATCAAAAAAAAATATCCATCCAAGAAAAAGATATCAAGTTTCACTCACTCACTCACCCAAAAAAAGATCACGCCGCAATATTTCATTTTTCTGTTTAGCTGTCCGAGAAAATTCCACAGGGATTTTTATGTTTTTTCGAAAAAGTCTTGCCGAACTTTTTTGCTGCTCTGCTCACCAAAAAATGTTTAATCCGATTATGATCAAGTACAATTCAAACAAAAAAAAGAAGAAAATTTCGGTTCGGCTAAAAAAATCTCTATGGATATTTCATAAACAAATCATTTATTTTATTCGTTTTTTTTTTTCAAATGCTCCTTTTTTGTGGCTCAAAATACAATTTTCCGCGGCAAGCTTGCGGTATGCTTCTTTTCTCCTTTGCTCCAAGCAAAAAAAAACGCTCAATCTCAACTTCCTGTCATAATTATTCTCATATATTTTCATAATATTAATATCCTCTCTTCTCTCAAGTTTTTTCCCTTTTTTCAACATTCGTTTTTTTTCCACATTTCTCTGAAATAAATTCGTGTTTTCCTTCGTCTTCTTATTATTTTTTTTTCGAAAAAAAAAATGAATGAAAACAATCAAATAAAACTCTGGCACTTTACCAAGATTCGATTAATTCTAATCGAAAAATAATCATATTGTCAGCCTATTTTTGGTTGGTTGGGAAACCCTTGTGTTTTTTTTTCTCTTCTGAAACTTATTCTTCTTCTAGTGTTTTTTTTTGCTATTTTGAGAAGAACGAGTTAGATCTGTGTTGTTTTGACACACAACAACTCTCGGCGACAAAACAAATTGTTTTATTGCTCTTCGGCCTTGTTTATTTATCTGTCGTTGCTTTTTCTAGAACAAAAAAAAATAGGTACTGTAGTGTCTCCTAACGAAGCTTATCAAAATTTTTATCGGCGAAATGAAAATGTATTTTTGGAAATTTTGATAAAATTTACAATCAGGGCAGGGCGTTTATTTTGAGCTGCCCAACCTTTTTGCAAAAATTTCGAGAAAATCAGCGACAGGTTTGGATCTTTCTGCTAGAAAATGTGAAAAATCTGTAGGCTCAGGATTTTCAATTAAGAAATATCAGTTTAAAGCTTCTCAACATATGACCAGAAGTTTATCAGTTTTTATCGCCGAAAAATTTTTAAAAATCATTTTGACCTGCATTATTTTTTGTTGAAAATTTTCACTCGTGACCTATTTAATTAGGAAAATCATTTCAAACTGACCAAAAGTTTCAAGTGTAGTTTTTGATACAAACTCATCTCCATCTTGCTCTAGAGACAAAAAAACTAATTTTTCTGTGCTCCTTATAACATTTTCCGCCTTCCGGTTGACTTCTTTTTACTTCTTCTTCTATTCTCCTCTTTTTTTTGTCTTATTCTATTTTCCCTCCTACTTCTTCTTCTTTTCTTCACAAAAAAAAACTTCTGTGTCTCATTTGATGTGATTTATTGTGTCATACATGGAAACCCGAAGATTTCCTCTCGAAAGTTCGAAGCGCAAAAAAAACATTGAAAATTCATTGGACTCAAACCACTTTTTTCTTTATTCATTGGATCAACCCCGTTGTTTCGTCTAACCTAACCAACTCAAAAAAAGTTATTTTTAAAAAAAGTTTCAGATGGATGATTGGTGGTGGTGGGCATTGGTGGCGTTTTCCTCGGTTCTAGCCCTCCTTCTAACCTCATCCGCCATCTACTTTGGTGTTCGAATATGTTTCCGACACTTCGCACACGCCATCAAATATTCAGGTGAGCTTTTCGCTTTTCTTAAATTTGTTTTGTTCAAAATCACTGGTCCAAAAAATTTACATATAATTCTATTTTTATCAAATAAACTATCTAAAAATAATCTAATCTCTCCACACTTTACGTAAATATGTTTTAGGCAAAGCTTATTTCATTCTGTCATCTTTCGTAATCCGTTGTTCAGATCCTCAATCCTCGATTATAAATAATCCAGGCTTCTTCATCAGTTCAAAATTCGTGCATTTTTTGTTATTAGTTTTTCTCTCTAGTGATTTGTGTTGGAGGAATTTTCGAGCGTTTAATTAAAATTTTTGGGCAAAATTTATGGATTTTTAATCGATTTCTGTTCCATTAATTTTAACGATTATTGTTTTTTTTTTTCTCATAATGTTGGAAGAAAAATCATTTTTTGTTGTTTTTTTGGGGGGAAAAAATATTTTCTGAAATTTTTTAGTTCAACAATTTTTTGCCTACAGTTAAAAATTTTAATTTTGAAGTTCTGAAATTCTGAAAACCAAGTTTTTTGATTTTGATTCCAATTGGTAAAAAATTTTCAAAACTTACACTTACAGTAATCAAAATTTTTTTGATCTACTAATTTTATAGAAGAATCTATAAAGTTTTGTAATTTTGACTACAGTAACCTTAATTTTTGATCTACGATAGCCTTATGATCTATGAAAGCCTTACTCTCTGCACAAAAATTTTTTTCAAATATTGTTAATTTTTACTGGATAAAATTTTGAGATCTTCACTCATCCAGAAATCTACAGCACCCCCAATTTTTGAGCTACTCAAAAATAACGAAAATTGTTATGATCTACAATTTTTAGTTTTAAAAATAGCCCAGCTTCCACTTTTTTTGACAGAATACAAATAAACAAAAATCTCACAAGATTTTTCTGCACAACAAAAAAATCCGAGCAAAAAAACATATATATTAATCAAAAGTATAAGGTTGGAAGAAAAAGCAAAAGCAAAAAGGCCAGCATGAAAAATTGATGATTTATGAATTTCAATATGTAGTTTCTTCACACCATTAATCTTCTCATTTTTTCATTTGTCTTGGGTGGTTTTTGTCGTCGTCGTCGCCTTTTTGGCTGGCGCGAAAAAGAAAAGAAAAAAGAACACTTCTGAATAGACGAATTACTCTTGTTTTCCTAGCAATTTCTATTCCAATTTTTCTATTTTTATTTCTTCTGTGCAGAAAGCATCCTCCCAAAAAAACGGAGCCGGAACTCGTTTTGAATAGCCATCTAATTGACAGTTCTGACTGAATCTTCCATTTCTTCTCGCTCGAAATTCTCTCAGAGTCAGAAAAATCAACAAAAAAGTCCCAGTGGAGCTTTATTATTCATTATTTTTCTCGTTCGTTCGTTCGTGCGATTCGATTCGATTCGGCAGAAAAAAAATTATAGCTATAAAATCTCTTCTAGAATTTTTCCGGATTATTTTTAAAAATGTCGAGATACTGGAGAAGAATTAGCAAACCAGGTATATAATTCTTTAAAGAAATTCTGAATTTTTGAAATTATTTTCAAATTTCTTTTTTGCAGAAGTTCCAACATCAGTGCCAGAAATCAAAGTCAGCGTTCCACAAAGCACATCAACACTATCAATCAGCAGTAAGTTCTTGGTTTTTGTGTTTTCCCCTTGACAACAACAAAATCAACTTTCCCACATACATATGTTCACAACCTCTCAAAATCATCACCCACCAAGGAAAAAAATGCTCTTTTTTCTAAAATAAAAGAGAAAAAATCTTATTGTTTTTGCTCTCTATTCATACACATCTATGTATAACATATCATTAACAAGTTTGAGAGCTCGCGAGCGCGCGCGAAAAAAAAGAAAAAGCTTGTGAGCAGCAAGCACACCGGTTCATTAGCCAACAATTTTCTTTTTTTTTGTGTTGCTGTCGCGCGGCTCATCTCGTTTTCAGAGTGCCAAATTCCTTTTGATTTTTTCTCTTCTCTTTTTTTGTGCTAACAAAAATAGAATAAATATAATGATAGCCCCCTGTAACCAACCATGAAAAACAATTAGTTTTATTCAAGAAAAAGTGCGTTTCTATTTTTGTCAGTCTTTTTTCTTTTTTGCTTTCTTCTTCATGAAGAGAAAAAATAGAAAAATACGTCAGGTTTTTCCCAAGAACATACAATTTTTCCTTATCAATCAACCCCATTTATTCATATTTGCACAAAGAATTTCCATCATTTTTCTTGGAAAAAACCAAGTTTCCAATCTTCATTTTTTCTAGAGATGAATGGCACGTATCGTGCTCGAGTTCTTAGTCGAAATGGTTGCTCGCCACCGTGGATGGATAGGAATTATGAGACATCTACAAGATCATCGCCATGCACAAGTCCAGCAGTAGCTTCTACGTAAGTTCAGCACAAATCTAGGAATTTGATTGATTCTTCCAAAATGTTGGTGTGTAAATGCGCTCTGCTGATAAAGGTGCTTTTCCCAGACTCAAAAAAATAGAGAAATATATTTTTGATCTACTTTCGAGAAGCTTAGAGACGAAGTACTTATTTGTTATAAAAAAATGCTTCAGAGAAAGTTTTTTTGAAAAATATTATTTTTAGGAATTTTTTACTGATCGATATATGTGAAAAATAGCACAACCCTTTATTCCCCTTGAAGTTAACATGACATCACCCAAAAAATAAAAGTCCATCCTTCCAAAAACATCTCAAAACACCCAATTATCCCCCGCAATTACTCTTCATCATTTGGAGCAAAAAAATTGGGAAAAATCTCTAAGAGCAAAGATTTTCGACCACCTTTTTTTCAGATCAAGCAGGAGAAATATTTCCAGCTTCTCCCAATATATTTTTCCTCATCATCTTATTTTTTCTTCTCCCAGTAAAGTAATCCATTAATCCAATATGAGTAATAGGATTCTTCTTTTATATGTGTATATTCGACAAAAAAATTTGGTTGATGATACACAAAGAAGAAAAGTGTGAAAACATTTCTTTTTCTCCAGCTCATGAATATTTATGTTAGGCTAACTTTTTCTCTAACGAGATATTAGGTCATTATGTTTTTCCAAGTTTATGGGATTCTCAACTTTTTCTTCAAGCTTTTTTGCTTTTTGTGATCCAGATGCTCTCTCAATTCTCCCAAAGATTATTCCATGGTCCAAAAGGTTACCACTCAAAAATCCATATATTTTAGAGCAATAGGTGTGTATAGATATATATCATATTTCGGAGCTCACACAAAGCCGCTTTCCTCTGTCCCCTTTTCTTTTTTCACTTTTTGTTTTGTTTGGAGATTTTTTTTTAAAACGGAAATTCATTTCCCTTCATTTTTTCCGTGGCAAGAGATCGGACATCTGGCAACATACATTCGTTATATTTTTGTTTTAAGAAAAAAACTGCACTTTTTGACATAACTCATTTTCTGATCTACATTTTTTCGGGACCAACGGTCTCTCATAAAAAAAGCATAAAGTTTCATCTCTTCTTCGAAATTATTAGAAAACCCATAAAACCCGGGGAAGTGATAAAATAGAAGAAGAAGACACATGTCTGTTTTCAACTAACATACACCAAACTTTTTTATTATATCTTGTCACGATAATTATTCTCTTCTTGTTTTGTTGCCATCTTCCCCCATTTTAACTTGCAGAATGATGACTTCGCTCCATATTTCGAGCTCAATACAATCGTGAGTTGTCCAATTTCTTCCGTTTTTTTCTCCATTTCTAATAGGAATTAGGAGAGCGAAAAGGCTAAAAGATTACCTTCTTTTATGCAAAAAAAAACGCATCTAATTAGACTCATTCTTTTCTTTCGATTTTCCCCTTTTCAAATAGAACTATCAGGATAAAAAACCAGGGTTTATATATATATTTTTTTTTTCTGAAAGGGATAAGATATAACAGACGTTATTCTTAATATTGGAAATGGCTCTGTACAAAATGACACATGATGGCCAATAAATTGGGAATCGATTTTTTTAAAAAGTACCACCCTTAAAAGTATATTCCACATAATAACTCGACCTGAAACTGATTCTCTAATTTAGGGTAACTCGGTTTATGTGAGAGGGTCGAAAGCTTCAAATGGTCGTAACTAGGCTTAAACTCAATATTTTTTGATGAGTAAAAAAGCATTTTGCTCGTCTCGGTGAGCTCTTGTTTGTTGAGTGAAGACCCAAAAACAAAAATCACTCTCAACTTCTATCCACAAACACCCCATTTTGAAAATCTTTTCAGAGGCATTAGTGCACTCTCTAACCGCAAAAATAAGATTCGCCGTGATTTTTTAGGTAGGTATCGATCAAAATAAAAATTTTAAACCTTGGCCCAAGTCGAGTTTTATGGCCCTGAAAAGATTTGATCTATTCCGCGCGCACACACGCGCGCGCACATGTGTGTGTGCATGTGTGTGGGTTACTGTAGTTTTTTTTATTTTTTATTTTTCATCTTTTTTGTTCAAAAATTGTCAGATACTGTTTTTTGAGAAATATGAGGTTCTAAGCTAACGATTTGCAGCTAGAATTTTGACTGAAAATCGAAAATTTCAAAATTTTCAGCTGGAAAATGCTAAAAATGGGCTAAAATTTGAAAATTTTGATTTTGGTCTCAAATTTTCAGAAATGCTTAGGGTAGTTCAGAAAAACATCTGAAATTTGAAATTTCAGCATTTTCAGCCTGATAAAGCTGAAATTAGGCTGAAAATGTGATGAAAATCAAACATTTTGATTTTGGTCTCAAATTTTCAGAAATGCTTAGGGTAGTTGAGAAAAACATCTGAAATTTGAAATTTCAGCATCTTCAGCCTGATAAAGCTGAAATTAGGCTGAAAAAAGGGGTAAAAATCCAACATTTTGATTTTTATCACAAACTAGGGGCTGTTAGCCCCCAGGCGGAACAATAGTCTTCTAATTTATTTCAGTTTCACTTTTTTCTGTGATTATTGTCACTTTTCTGTGGAAAATTCTGTGGAAACTGGAAGAGCTTCCAGATTTACAAATTTTTGAAAGAAAAAAAATTGATCAAAAAATATCATTTTCTTTAGACAATACTCATTAGATGCTCACTAAATGAAAAAAAAATCGGCCCGAGTTTTCTCGAAAAAAAAATCAGCCCGAGATTTTCCAAAAAAAAAATCGGCCCGAGTTTTTTCAAAAAAAATCGGCCCGAGTTTTCTCAAAAAAAAATCGAGTTTTCTCAAAAAAAAATCCGAGTTTTTTCGTTGGATGAAAAAAAATCGGCCCGAGTTTTCTCGAAAAAAAAATCAGCCCGAGATTTTCCAAAAAAAAAATCGGCCCGAGTTTTCTCGAAAAAAAAATCGGCCCGAGTTTTCTCGAAAAAAAAATCGGCCCGAGTTTTCTCGAAAAAAAAAATCAGCCCGAGTTATTTCAAAAAAAAATCGGCCCGAGTTTTCTCGAAAAAAAAATCAGCCCGAGTTATTTCAAAAAAAAATCAGCCCGAGTTTTTTCAAAAAAAAATCGGCCCGAGTTTTCTCGAAAAAAAAATCAGCCCGAGTTATTTCAAAAAAAAATCAGCCCGAGTTTTTCAAAAAAAATCAGCCCGAGTTATTTCAAAAAAAAATCAGCCCGAGTTTTCTCGAAAAAAAAATCAGCCCGAGTTTTCTCGAAAAAAAAATCAGCCCGAGTTATTTCAAAAAAAAATCGGCCCGAGTTTTTCTCGAAAAAAAAATCAGCCCGAGTTATTTCAAAAAAAAATCAGCCCGAGTTATTTCAAAAAAAAAATCAGCCCGAGTTATTTCAAAAAAAAATCAGGCCCGAGTTATTTCAAAAAAAAAATCAGCCCGAGTTTTCTCGAAAAAAAAATCAGCCCGAGTTTTCTCGAAAAAAAAATCAGCCCGAGTTATTTCAAAAAAAAATCAGCCCGAGTTATTTCAAAAAAAAATCAGCCCGAGTTATTTCAAAAAAAAATCAGCCCGAGTTATTTCAAAAAAAAATCAGCCGAGTTTTCTCGAAAAAAAAATCAGCCCGAGTTATTTCAAAAAAAAATCAGCCCGAGTTATTTCAAAAAAAAATCAGCCCGAGTTATTTCAAAAAAAAATCAGCCCGAGTTATTTCAAAAAAAAATCAGCCCGAGTTTTCTCGAAAAAAAAATCAGCCCGAGTTTTTCAAAAAAAATCGGCCCGAGTTTTTCTCGAAAAAAAATCAGCCCGAGTTTTCTCGAAAAAAAAATCAGCCCGAGTTATTTCAAAAAAAAATCGGCCCGAGTTTTCTCGAAAAAAAATCAGCCCGAGTTATTTCAAAAAAAAATCAGCCCGAGTTTTCTCGAAAAAAAAATCAGCCCGAGTTATTTCAAAAAAAAATCAGCCCGAGTTTTCTCGAAAAAAAAATCAGCCCGAGTTATTTCAAAAAAAAATCGGCCCGAGTTTTCTCGAAAAAAAAATCAGCCCGAGATTTTTCCAAAAAAAAATCAGCCCGAGTTTTCTCGAAAAAAAAAATCAGCCCGAGTTATTTCAAAAAAAAATCAGCCCGAGTTATTTCAAAAAAAAATCAGCCCGAGTTTTCTCGAAAAAAAAATCAGCCCGAGTTTTTTCAAAAAAAATCGGCCCGAGTTTTTTCTCGAAAAAAAATCAGCCCGAGTTTTCTCGAAAAAAAATCAGCCCGAGTTATTTCAAAAAAAAATCGGCCCGAGTTTTTCTCGAAAAAAAAATCAGCCCGAGTTATTTCAAAAAAAAATCAGCCCGAGTTTTCTCGAAAAAAAAATCAGCCCGAGTTATTTCAAAAAAAAATCAGCCCGAGTTTTCTCGAAAAAAAAAATCAGCCGAGTTATTTCAAAAAAAAATCGGCCCGAGTTTTCTCGAAAAAAAAATCAGCCCGAGATTTTCCAAAAAAAAATCAGCCCGAGTTTTCTCGAAAAAAAAATCAGCCCGAGTTATTTCAAAAAAAAATCAGCCCGAGTTTTCTCGAAAAAAAAAATCAGCCCGAGTTATTTCAAAAAAAAATCGGCCCGAGTTTTCTCGAAAAAAAAATCAGCCCGAGATTTTCCAAAAAAAAAATCGGCCCGAGTTTTCTCGAAAAAAAAATCGTCCCGAGTTATTTCAAAAAAAATCGGCCCGAGTTTTCTCGAAAAAAAAAATCAGCCCGAGTTATTTCAAAAAAAAATCGGCCCGAGTTTTCTCGAAAAAAAAATCGTCCCGAGTTATTTCAAATAAAAATCGGCCCGAGTTTTCTCGAAAAAAAAATCAGCCCGAGTTATTTCAAAAAAAAATCGGCCCGAGTTTTCTCGAAAAAAAAATCAGCCCGAGATTTTCCAAAAAAAAATCGGCCCGGATTTTCTCGAAAAAAAATCGTCCCGAGTTATTTCAAAAAAAAATCGGCCCGAGTTTTTTCAAAAAAAAATCAGCCCGAGTTATTTCAAAAAAAAATCGGCCCGAGTTTTCTCGAAAAAAAAAATCAGCCCGAGTTATTTCAAAAAAAAATCGGCCCGAGTTTTCTCGAAAAAAAATCGGCCCGAGATTTTCAAAAAAAAAAAATCGGCCCGAGTTTTCTCAAAAAAAAAATCGTCCCGAGTTATTTCAAAAAAAAATCGGCCCGAGTTTTCTCAAAAAAAAAATCGGCCCGAGTTTTTTTCAAAAAAAAATCGGCCCGAGTTTTCTCAAAAAAAAAATCGTCCCGAGTTATTTCAAAAAAAAATCGGCCCGAGTTTTCTCAAAAAAAAAATCAGCCCGAGTCATTTCAAAAAAAAATCGGCCCGAGTTTTCTCAAAAAAAAAATCGTCCCGAGTTTTTTCAAAAAAAAATCGGCCCGAGTTTTCTCGAAAAAAAATCGGCCCGAGATTTTCCAAAAAAAAAATCGTCCCGAGTTATTTCAAAAAAAAATCGGGCCGATTTTTTCATCCAACGAAAAAAACTCGGATTTTTTTTTTGAGAAAACTCGGATTTTTTGAGAAAACTCGGGCCGATTTTTTGGAAAATCTCGGGCTGATTTTTTCGAAAAACTCGGGCCGATTTTTTCAGCTCGGGCCGTTTTTTTCGAAAACTCGGGCCGATTTTTTTGGAAAATCTCGGGCTGATTTTTTTTTGAGAAAACTCGGATTTGAGAAAACTCGGGCCGATTTTTTGAAAAACTCGGGCCGATTTTTTTGGAAAATCTCGGGCTGATTTTTTCGAGAACTCGGGCCGATTTTTTTCATTTAGTGAGCATCTAATGAGTATTGTCTAAAGAAAATGATATTTTTTGATCAATTTTTTTTTTCTTTCAAAAATTTGTAAATCTGGAAGCTCTTCCAGTTTCCACAGAATTTTCCACAGAAAAGTGACAATAATCACAGAAAAAAGTGAAACTGAAATAAATTAGAAGACTATTGTTCCGCCTGAGGCTAACAGCCCCTAGTTTGTGATAAAAATCAAAATGTTGGATTTTTACCCCTTTTTCAGCCTAATTTCAGCTTTATCAGGCTGAAGATGCTGAAATTTCAAATTTCAGATGTTTTTCTCAACTACCCTAAGCATTTCTGAAAATTTGAGACCAAAATCAAAATGTTTGATTTTCATCACATTTTCAGCCTAATTCAGCTTTATCAGGCTGAAAATGCTGAAATTTCAAATTTCAGATGTTTTTCTGAACTACCCTAAGCATTTCTGAAAATTTGAGACCAAAATCAAAATTTTCAAATTTTAGCCCATTTTAGCATTTTCCAGCTGAAAATTTTGAAATTTTCGATTTTCAGTCAAAATTCTAGCTGCAAATCGTTAGCTTAGAACCTCATATTTCTCAAAAAACAGTATCTGACAATTTTTGAACAAAAAAGATGAAAAATAAAAAATAAAAAAAACTACAGTAACCCACACACATGCACACACACATGTGCGCGCGCGTGTGTGCGCGCGGAATAGATCAAATCTTTTCAGGGCCATAAAACTCGACTTGGGCCAAGGTTTAAAATTTTTATTTTGATCGATACCTACCTAAAAAATCACGGCGAATCTTATTTTTGCGGTTAGAGAGTGCACTAATGCCTCTGAAAAGATTTTCAAAATGGGGTGTTTGTGGATAGAAGTTGAGAGTGATTTTTGTTTTTGGGTCTTCACTCAACAAACAAGAGCTCACCGAGACGAGCAAAATGCTTTTTTACTCATCAAAAAATATTGAGTTTAAGCCTAGTTACGACCATTTGAAGCTTTCGACCCTCTCACATAAACCGAGTTACCCTAAATTAGAGAATCAGTTTCAGGTCGAGTTATTATGTGGAATATACTTTTTAAGGGTGGTACTTTTTAAAAAAATCGATTCCCAATTTATTGGCCACCATGTGTCATTTTGTACAGAGCTATGTGTGGAAATTTCCTTTCTTACAAATAATGTCTGATAAAATCTTCCAGAGTTCCTTTTTTAAAAAATAAAATCATAATTTTTGCAGATCTGAAAGCTGCGACATTCTGAACGAAGATCCACGTTCTGCATCAATGAAGAATTCAATGTTCCTATTCAGCCTTGATGGAAATCTAAATAATGAGACATGTGATGACGTGAGTAAAACAAATTTTTGAGTACATTTATTAACAAAAGTATCCTATTTCCACATGTTTATTTTATTTAATCTCATTTTATTCTACTCTTTTTTTCATTTTCAGATGGAGGATATCGATGAGCGTTCTGTGATGCACTATGAGTTAGGCTTCTATGATAAAACTGACGGTGATTGTATCAGAGGAACATTGACTTTTGCGTTACGATACGATTTTATTCATCGTGTATTAATGTTGCATGTTTTGCGAGCCAATCATCTTCCAGTCGAAGACAAAGGAAGTACTGTAGATCCATATGTCAAGATGTACCTTCTCCCAGAACGTCGGAATCATTGTAAAACTAGAATCTGCAAGAAAACCAATGACCCAGAATTCAATGAGATGTTTTCATTTGACGTGCCATTCTCGAACCTTCCCAATAGAATGCTTCAATTCACCGTGTATGATTTCGACAGATTTACACGTCATGGTCTGATTGGAAATGTTATCATGCGCGATCTTTTCGATAAATCCGATCTCTACTCTTGGACCGAATATACAATGCACATCGTTGCCAGTCAAGAGAAAAACGATTTCGGAGATTTGTTATTATACCTCTCTTATTCTAGTGTTGACCAAAAACTGTCCATCAATGTGGCCAAGGCTTATAATTTGAGACCAATGGATATCACCGGAGCATCGGATCCATACGTAAAAATTGAGCAAATCTATCGAGGGAAACGAGTCAAGTTACGCAAGTCTTCAACAAAACGAGCAAACTTGAATCCCGTTTATCATGAAACCCTGGATTTTGAAATTCCGCTTGGTCAAATCGCTGAAACCAACATGCTAGTTCAAGTGATGGATTGGGATAGGTTAGTACAACTTTTCTAGAATTTCAAAAAAGAAAAAACAATTCCAGAATCGGTAAAGACGATCTGCTCGGCTGCTGCATTCTAGGAAAAGACAGCCCCACCGTCGAAGGAAAAACCCAATGGGAGAATTGCCTGCTTAGCTCTCCCACAATCTTCTCAACCAAAAGACAAACCAAAACCGGTTGGTCAATGGCATAGTATTCTTCCCGAGGTGCCCGATCAATTCCGTGATATTCCCAAAAGCCAAAAAATGATAGGAAAAACGCTGTTTGTATAAAATAATGGTAATAACAATTATAATAGTGTAATTTCCCTGCGCATCTCTGTGATTTTCAACGTGTAAAATTAATAATAAAATAATTTATTTGATCATTCAATGAGCCGTTCTTCGGTGATTTCTTCAAGTTCTATTGCAAAATTAGGGTTCAAACCTTCCTGCATAATTTCAGCAGCTAATTTTGTGGATACCTCTTCAATGAGTTTTTCGTCTCCTGGAACTTCTTCAACTTCAGAGCTCAAATCTTCAGATGTATCTTCAACAACAGGTTCCTCTTCATTTGCAAGTTTCTCAACAACTTCTTCACCAGTTTCAAGTTCCACCTTAACATCCTTCCTTCGATTTATTCCACCGAATGACCGCACCAAAATTTGTTGTTGCTACCGGCTTTGTTTTATACAAATACGCTCCAATGCACAAAACAATAATCATAGCGTAAACAAGGAATCCGAAAACAATTGAGGAAATTCTGATGGATCGATCAGTTTTCGACAAATAAACATTTGAAGAGTGAATTGATAATTGATAAGCTGTTCCCATATTATATCTGAGATCTCTGACCATCGCATTAACAATTTCACTGTGAATTTCATCTCGATAATTTTCGCTATCCTTGGCAACAACTACTAACTGAAAATCGAAATTTTTTGAAACTTTGAAATCAAAATACAACCTCATAGATAAAATCGGTTGCAACTTTATCAACGAGTTCCAAAGAAACCATGTGTGTTTCAGCGTAGCCCATATCAGTCAAAAGTTTTGCAGTTCTCAATAAAGCATCGGTATAGTGAAAACCTGACGCGTGGAAAATCGCCTTTGGCTCCTGGAAATTTTTTTCAAAAGAGTCTTTTCAAATATGTCATACCACAGATCTCACAGCAGTGTCCAAAAGGTTTGAAGGGTTCCAAACATTGTGGTTTCGGGCAAGTTCCAACATGTTTACAGATAAGTGACAACGTCTGAGAAATACATATATATCAATTTCCTTCCCTTTCCAAGAAATCATTTTCTCGAGATGATGAAGAAAGAACAAAAAAATTAGTCAAACTCTATGTACCAAAAAGAAAATCTCGAGAGTTTTGATAAATATTGTCCGCTCTTAACATACAAATAGACATACAACACACACACAGAAATTCCCGTGACACTGATTGACTTTTTGGATTTCTGTGCTCAATTTTCATTTTCATTCTCATTTAGACAAAGAATGTATTTTGTTGTTTTGTTGGAAGGCGGATTTTTGGTGGTAAAGCGAGAAAAAGTTCGGGCAAAATTTGAGATTGCGTGAGATTTTCGTTGCAAAAACAAAAGGACATTTCATGTCTGATATGTGAAAAACGGAGGATTTTTTGATTAAATTTTCCGCGCTGCCCTCGTATTTATTTAGAGAAATGAGTGAGTGCAAACTGTGGAGGATAAGATTCTGATCGGATATGTATCATTTTTGTGTTCTTCGGTTTTTTTTCTTTGATTGAGGGAATAACAATTTTTGATTAGAAGAACTTGCAGGAAAACTTGATAGAGCCGGAAAAATTTTCTCATTTCCTTTAGTTTTTTTTTTGCGAGATTAAATTTATTTTGAAATCAAAACTACACTTAAAACATCGCATGACCTGGTTTATTATTTTTGAATTTGTTAATTTGGAAGACTTTTAAGGTTTTGAAGATTCTCAAGTTTTCTATTATTCTTAAAATTAAAATTTTGATTTTTTTTGTTGAAAAAACTTCGCGTGACTTTTTCATAACTTTCTGGAAAAATTGTTTTTCTGAAAGCTTACAAGAGTCCCTAAAGCTCATTTTTTCAAAGTTTGATTTTCTAGAATTTTGTTTATAAACATCGCGTGACCTATCTAATTTTAATTTCCAGAATTTGTTTACTTCAAACCCCACGTGCCTCTGTTTGTTTTATTGTTTTCACGAGATTTTAATTCACATGTCCTTCTAGGGATTTTTTCAATGATTAGAATTTAAGTTAAGATATTTTTGTTTATCAGAAAAATTCTTTGAAAATGCAAAATCAGAATTTCAAAGATCACAAATCTGAGTTTTAATTGGAATTCTTCAAAATTTCGCTTATCAGAAAAACCACATCTTGTTTTTCAAAAGCTTATAAAAATCCTCAAAGTTCATTTTTCAAGCAATGAACTTTTCTGGAACTATTTTTTGTCTCAAGCTGACCTAGAAGTTCAGGTTTCACTCACTCACTCCTAATAACATCTCAATTTCCAAGTTCTCATTTTTCAGAAAACTCAAAAACATATCACGTGTATCTGAAACCTATCCCATCCGCCCAGAAAAAAACTAAACTCCCCACCTCATTTCTCGAATTCTCATTAATCAATCCCTCAATTGGCGCGTTATCCAAGTTGGCGTCATTTTGAATAACAATCGGATTTTCCGCCAGCTCTCTTTGTATATTTCCATCATCATTCTCTTTTCCCCAAGTGTTGGGTGGGATCAAAAATTGAAATTGTCCCTCCATACATTGAATAACTCGGGACATTGATTGAGTTGTCATGTTCTGCAAAATAGAAATTTTTCTCCAAAAAAGTTCCCTTCCAGATATTTTTCGTAGATTGTTTTTCATTATGATTCATTAGGGCTGGCCAAAAAAAATCCGATGAGAAAAAAAAATCTAATAAGATGTCTCATGTTTTTGTTTCGGTATTATTTTGGCGTGTGACAAACACAATTATTCTATTTTTTCAACTCGAACATTTCTCTTCGCCTGATTTTTGTTTTGTCTATTTTTTCTTTTCCACCTAGTAACCCGATACATTATGAAATTCTTGTTAATTGGCAACTTTCTTGTGAAATTTCTGAGAACTTCTGTGTGTTTGGAATAAAATTCCACCCTCGCACCAAATTGTGCTTACACAAACTTTCTTGTCGAAAAAAAAATTGCTGACAAAAAAAATTGTTGCGCCGCATTGTCGAATGAATAAAATATGAAGTTTTTTTTGCGAGCTGGACAATATTGGGTTACTAATTGGGATGTTTGACACATGATACGTCTACATTTCATTCATAGCATAGCCGAACAAAAAAATTTCGCAGGTTCGTCGTGTGAAACAAACACACCCCTCAAGTATTTTTTGCCTCTTTTTTTTTGAAGTTTCTCCATTACGATGGTCTAGTTGATTTTTCTATGTTTTTAGGTTTTTGTTTTTGCTTCGATTTCTCATGAATAAATCTCGTTCCTCCTCCTTCTTGCCTCTTTAATTTCCTGGTTGAGAACCACAAAAAGTTATTTTTTTTTGTTTAACACAAAACCTAAATTGATTAGTCTACAGAAACTGTGAGGCAATTTAGGAAACTTCAAAATTTGCCGCCAATAAATAAGCTTAAATGCACCGTAACCCTAGTTATCAGAAATTTACAGATTTTCCTCTAAGCTCTACCCAAAAAAATATTTTTTGGCAAACCCAATCAATCATGTGCCCAGCAAAAAAAACACATGTGTTCCTTTGAAACATTATTTTATAAGTATTCCATTGGTCATTGATCGGTTTCGCGGAGAAAAATAACAATAGCTGATATTTGATATTTATCTCAGTCAGTTGGCACTTTCAAGAAAAACTTCCAAAACGTTTTCCCATTTTTATTTTTTCAAAAAAAAAACTTAATACTATGTTAGAGTTTAATTTCTGATCTTCCCAACCATGAATTAATTATAGGAGTTACATTTTGTTCAACTTTTATTTTTTTTCAATTCTTTGTTTGTTGCGAAAAAAAAGTTTAATTAAATCTTCCCAAACAAAAAAAAACGTTCTATGAAAGGAATAAACAAAAAATCTCGACCATGTGACCGTTGGATTTAATTTTAGATTTTTAGAGCTGCAAAATCCAATTTAAAAGGGAAACCAGAAACATTTTTGCTGCCTCTAGATGTTGCAAAAAAGTGTCTTCTCCAGAGGCCCCCAGAAACAAATTTCATTTCAACTCAATTTACATACAAGTGTTTCTTGGTCACCTTTTTCATCAAAGTTCTATCGAAGTTTCAGCTTCAGCTAGAAAAATTTCAAGATCAAAAGACCGCGAGAAAAAACGTCTGGATATATTTTGACGCCAAGTCATTATTATTTTTCATTAGATTCTTTCTTTCTTCTCTCATTTTTCTGCTGCAATATTTTCGAAAAAATTCTGGCTGCAAAAATTGGAGTTTGGTTCAACCAACCAACACCTACATAATTGTCAAAAGACATTTCAAATCTACTTAACCTCAAAATTCCAAAAAAAAAAAAGAATTCTCGAACTCCACAAAAAAAAAGATTTTTGATTGCCTTCAGGGCAATTTGGCTTTTGAACAAACTTGGAAAATTTGCTGGCAGATGGAGAAAAAATGTCAAAGAGTTTTCATTTTGTTTTATGTTATTTCATGTCCAGACAGACACTATGTGTAGCAGAAAAATTTGTCTCTTCAAACTTTCTTCCGTGTTTCGTATTGAGCTAATAAATGTGTAGAAAAAAATAGAATTCAGGAGAAAAGGGCGAATGCGGGTCTCGTGGGGATTGTCAATTTCTGAAAGAGAGAGAGAGCGTCTCGCACCTAATTTTCAGTTGACCGGAAAACTTTTTCTGAAACTTTTTTTTTCTTATTGTATAGTTGGGTTTTCGGAACTTCTGAATTCACTGCAACGTCATTCAAAAATGTCAAAACCTTTGAAAAGTTCAATTCTCATTCGAGACCTATTTTCAGCTAGAAACAATGAGATTTCAAAATTTTTCAATCATCAAAAATTTTTCTTTGAAAAAAATATGATGATTTTTTTTAGTTTTTGGAACCATAGTCCAGGTTTTCCAAAATTTGCCAGTATTTTAAAAAATCTGTGCCACGTCATGTCTATTTTTCTAGTTTGTCTAATTTGCAAGATGTGGTTCAGAAGGTAATTATAAAATAAATAGAATCCTTAAAAATCTCTGCCACGTCATAACTACTTTTGCAATTTACAAAAACATTTCAAATGGAAAATCCTTTAAAAAATCTTCTAAAAATAGCTCTCACGTGCTCATCAATCATGTTTTCCGGTCGGTCATTGCCAAATAAACTAATTTCAAACTTTTGTTGGTCAACAACACCCTTTTCTCCGGGCCGTAAGAAAACAGCAAAACATATCTAGTCTATGCTCTGATCCTCCAAAAGTTCAAAGATATATCATATTCCGTCTCTATGTATTGTACATTTACAAGACAAACAATTCGAGATTTACCGCCGCTGCTCTTTTTTTTTTCTCATCATCCACAGACACATTTATATATTTGTCGGCTGACTGACTGACTGGCTGCCTGGCTTATTTAGCACCCGCGCCTGTCAAACTTTCGCTGATTCTTGTTAAATTGAACTTTCATCATTCTTCTTCGTTTTTTCTTAATGAACTCTAGCTGTAATTTGACTCTGGTCCCCTCCTCCTTAAAAAAACTCCTATTTATGTATGTCGTAAGAAAAAAAAATTCTGTGAGCTCATCAACACGTGTCGTTTCAGGGAAAAAATTAACATTTCTCTCGTGAAAAACAACAAATTCTTGAACCCCGTATTGTAAATACATATAAAGTTGTCATTTTCAGCAAATGATTCTGACGTGTAGTTTGTTCTGACTACACATATTCCACTGGAAAATCACGTTTCTAGAAATGTATTATTTCTTTATTGTTAGAAAAAATTTTAAAAGAATTCAAAAAATTCAATTTTTCCATGTTTTATGCATTCGGAAAAAACATGTTCTATCAATATTTTTTTTGTTAGTTTTTCTTCAACTTTTGATCTATCTCTCAAGAATCCTCAGGTTTCCAAAAGAATTTTTTTGTAAAAAGTATCATGTTTTAAAAAAGGTTCAAAGGTAAAAAGATTATCTATTTTTCTGATCCACCCCTTTTCATTGTATACACATTTAATCCAATTCCCATCTTGATTCAATTATAGAATCTCATTCATTTTGTGGTGCCACCATTATTTTTAGAAACCCAAAAGATCACCTCCCTGTGTTGCAAAATACCCAGAACTACACAGAATTTTAAATGATTCATCCTGATTAGCCAAATTTCACTTTTCTATATGTTTGCTCACTGAACCGATGTTTTTTGCGTGTGACTCTCACATACACAAATAAAAGGGGACACTTTTTTCGTTTTGTTTTTTTTGTTGTTGCTTTTTTAATCTTACAGAGCTAACAAAAAAAAAATAATGAGAAATCTCTGTTTTGCAAGCAAACGACAAAAAAAACATCACATTTTCCCATTTTGTCCAAAGTTCACCGCCATCTTCATGTAGAAAATAATTCAATTCTTTGTCAATCCCACAAAAATGTTTTACAACTTCCGAAAAGAAAACTTTTTCGCATATTCAATGAAGTAGCTCCATCCTCTTTTCTTCTCTTATAAAAAATTCGAACTTCATCATTTTGTCCCTTTTCTTCCACATTTTTTTTCGTCGGCCGGCTCCATTTTCAATACGTTTAAACTTTCATTGTAGTTAGAAGAGGAGATGTTTTGCTGATTTGTTTCCGAAACCCTCACACAACAATTTCTGATCATGGAAGATAATGGATCTATCGAATATGAGATGTCATGGTGTTTCGAGCCACAACACAACTTCTATGCCGAGTAAGTCAAATATTTCAAAAACTTCCATTTGATTTTTATTCTAGCATCTTTGCCCCAGTGGTTCGAGGATTCCTAACACTAATATGTGTAATATTGGGAACAATTTGCAATATTCAAGGAATAAGCAGTGTTCATAAGTTGCACATCGATAAAAACCGAGGGGCAGTTCTGGCAGTTTCAATGATGTCTTTGGCATTCTGGGATACATTATTGCTTGTGAAGCGCATTATTGTATTATTGTGTGGGAGCATTATTTCCAAGAAACGAGTGGATTCGTGTGATAACACCATTTACTCATGGATTTGCACATGTTGCAAATACCGCATCGGTAAGTGAACTTGTGAAAAATTATTTTCTAGAAATCTCCTCATCTTTAATTCAGAATACCCAAAAAAATCAGAATTTTCAGATTTGGTGTGTGGTTGTAATCACAATTCAAAGATTCATGGCAACTCGTGATCCATTCCAAACCAACAGGCGAATCCCCGTCAACTCATTCATTCCGCACCGAAAAACGTCGCATCTCATTTTTCTTCTGCAAATCCAACGGACGATTATTCGGAAAATCACTCATCGTTTCACTTTTGGCTATCATTTGCAATTTACCCACATTTGCAGAAATGAAAACGAAACCCTGCTTCAGTATTAGCCAAAATCGCACAATGATTGGAGCAGTTGCATCACCATTGCGACACAACTTTGTTTATCTAATCGTTCGAACAGTGCTTCGTATACTTTTCGTTTCGATTGGCCCGAATGTTTTCATTTTTGTGGTGACTATTTTAACAGTGAATATTCTACGAGTTTCCAACAAATCACGAAGAAAACTATTTCGAATGAATCAAAGTTTGATCGAACAATACGCGTCTCGTGAAAACAATCAAACCTTGCTAGCCCTGATGATTGCGGTGAAGTTTTTAGTGTTAAGAGGACTGGTGTTTGCGGTAAGATCTCCACTAAATTGGAATCCAACAATAAACAATTTGCAGATCGACCTATTTGAAGTAATAATTGGATTCAACGATCCAAATTTTCCATTACTCAATCAATTCATGAGCTACGCCGTTGATATCAGTAATTTATTTGTTATAATAAATTCAGCGACAAATTGTATGATGTATCTCAAAGGTGCGCAATGGCTAGATTCAAAGTTTAACGATCGGCAAACTATCAAGAGAAAAAAGACGATTTGTGAGGAAGGGTGAGTTATTCTATCAGGGCTTAGAGTTCACAAAAAAAGCTTTTAGGCAACTTCTTGGTGACCGTCTCACAATTCTTTGCACCTCTTGGGACAAAGTGATGAAAAATACGGGAGGTGAACTTGGAACTCGAATAGCTTGGAACATGTTGCGAAAACATCCAACAATGTTGAATTTGAAAAATGATGAGCCGGAAAAAGTCTCGCTTCTAAATGGGTCTTGCAAACGAAGTATTGATCATGTGAAATTGAAAGAGATTGGCAATCGGATAACCGCATTTATCTACGAGCTTTTGGATTTGATGAAAAATTCGCAAACCGAAGATGTGATAACTTGTCGAATTCGTCGTGTTGGCGCAGTTCATTATGATAGGAAGATCAATTTTAAAACATCACTTTTCAAAGAGTTCAAGAACACGATTCTTTGCGCTGTGGCTGATTGTGAATATGATACTCCTGAGGTAAAGATTTTTCAGAGAGAGAAGCTATTAAGCTCAAAATATCCTGGTTTTTTTTTGTAGGAACGCGATCTCGCTATTGAATCTTGGAACATTTTCACCTCATTCATCATCAAAGAAATGAAAATGGGCACTTGGGTGATGAATGATAATGTTCATCAGGTGCCATAAAATCATTATTTTTCCCAATATATTTGGTCTTGTTTTTGCGGGTTGTTCATAAATATTTTTTGCTAACTTCTAAATCTTCTGACCCAGACTCACCCTTCCATAATACTCAAATCGATTCACATAGGCTCGCGCATCGAGTTCGACTTGAGCAACACCTTCTTCCGGGAATATCACTTTGTCCTGAAAAAAATTGAATAGAAATCTTTGTTGTAGCTAGGTTTAATAGGTCAAACTTACTTTTTTCGATGGAACTTTGTTCATGTGCAGAAAAACCTTCTCACTCTCCTGCCAACTTATTGGATCGAAAAATGAGGGTGGAAGTGGAGGTTGAAATCGCACGGTTTCGGAGAAATCATCGCCGCTTTGCCAAGTTTCTCTGTCTCCAAGAGCGACTGGATCGTTGAAGATGATTAGGCCATTGTCGGGGAGTCTGATTTCGGAGGCCTGGAAGATGTTGAGGTTTTTGGGGATTTTTCAAAACGTGTCAGCAAGCCTTGCAAAACTCAAATCGGAATTAGAAAATTCAACTTTTCCGAACTTGAACAACTCACCACAGCGAAAAAAAATTATTTTTTTGTACACAAAAAATTCGTTGCGGAAATTCAAAAAAAAAATAGGCGGAGTTTTCCACGTGCAACCCCTGGCAGCGTCTTTCTGCAATATTATTGCATGTGCGCACGGTTTTTGTGTGTTCTTCCCTTTTGTTTTTTGTTTTTTCCTTTGTGTGTGCAAACACTTTCTGTTTTGCGCACCGTACCACACGGAAACAGAAAAAATAATTTTTTTTCGCTGTGCTCACTTCATTTTTCAATTTTCAACCTTGTCAGCTAATCCGAAAAATATAAAAATCCAGAAATGATTGAAATGTTTAAAATATTTGAAAAATCACGTGAACCTTAATTTTTTTTGAAAAAAAACGTGTCCAAAAATTGTTTATTTTTTTGCGAAATGAATTTTCAAATGCCACGTGGATTTTATCTCAAATGCTAAAAAACAACTACTTGATTGATTCAAAAATACTCGAATTTGAATTTTCAAAGTTTATCTCAAATGCCACGTGGCATTTACCAACTCATTCTCAGGAAAAAAATGCGCAAAAGAAGAAAAAGAAAAGAAAAGATGATAAAAAAATAAGAAAATTAGAATAAACCGTGGAATACAAAAAAGCAAGGCAGTAGGAGAGAGAGAGAGAAAGGGGGAGAGAGAGAGAGAAAGAGAGATAAACAGTTCTTATAAGAGTAAAGATATATTTTAGTTTGACCTAGTTAGATGATTTTTTTGTAGTTTGGTGTAGTGTAGATGTGTTTTTGTGAATATTTATTGTTGGAATTTAATTTTTTATAGAAGATCATAACTTTTTGGGTGATAAATATCTCACTGAATCCATTTTTGGTGAATTGTTTTTTAGAATTCTATGATTTTTGGTATTTTAAATGTCAGAAGTTTTTTTTTTTTAAATAAAAGTATTTTTAATATTCTGGTGACTTTTTGTCAGACTCTGAATCACCTGACCTTCAATTTTCAATCATCATCTGACTATTCCAGAAAAAAACACGTGGCCCAAACAAACCAACCTCCAAAACCTGATCAATATAAACAACCGCATAACCGGCAGTGCTGTCAAATTCCACAATATCGTGTTTCGACGGTATCAAGCCCTGCAGCCAATTTTCCTTATTCGTCAAAAAATTGCGCTGCTTGAAAATATAGTCAAGAGCATTAATCGGGGCTGCTCCAAAACCTATCACCAACAATAAAATAGCTCTCGAGAAAAAATAATTCATCACAATATGTGAAAAGGGTTTAGTGGGAATGTAGTGGGAAGTTTGTTCGATACAATATAATAATATGTTTGGAAAATTTGTTGATGATGAAGGAAGGAAGGAAGGAAATTTGGGGAATGATGGAACAGTTGAAATATGATAGGTTAGTTGACGGAAAAAAAGTGTGTGGAAGGGAAATAATAAATAAATTAATAAACTAGCGATTAATTGTTTATGGAGCTTCTCCTCGGGGAACCTCAATCAATCATCATTGAATGGTACCAAAGTGTGCCATTGTGCCACCGATCTTCTCGGCGTTCCCAACATATCATTCCATTGTTTGAGAGCGACGCCCGATGCGCATGTACCAATGAGGACCTGAAAACAAAACAAAAGTGCATAATAGGATTAGACTTCATGTTTTTCTCTGGCGCTGAAAATGTTCTTTGATCAATCATTCTCTCACCTGCCCGATTCGCTCATTTGATCCAACTCGATCATAATCCGACACTGTTACGTGTAGATGTACTCGCTGCATTTTCTCAGGAGTTACATCGAAACTAAAACTCTCATTATAATAGGGATTCAGCGTTTTCATCTTGATTGTCGTCTTTTTCTTCTCCAGTCGTTTTGTGCCCATCATCAGATAGATTTTTACGTATGGATCTGACAATCCTAACACGTCCATTTTCTTCAAATTCTTACACTCCATCACAACCACCGATAGCTTGTTTTTGTTTGGCACATATCTGAGAGCTAGGCAAACTTCACCCAGTCGATTTTCTGGGGGACTCTCAATCAAATCTGTTCTCTCAATCGTTGACGCCAAATCAATACTTCCCAATGGTATCGAAATCTGCCCGATTTGATCGTGTTTTCCAAATCTGTCAAAATCAAACACATTGAGCACCAAAGTTTGTCCACCAATCTCATTGAATGGGATCTGTAAGAAAAAAGAACATCAATCATTTTGAAGGGCGAGAAGAGTGACAACCCAAACTTACTTTGAATGTGAAGCTCTCGTTGAACACCGGATTCAGCGATTTTCTTTGCACTTTGGTTTGAAACTTCTTCTTCTTCTCGGGCAATAGAAATAGTTTCACATAGGGATCGGAAGTTCCACCCAAATCCATGGCTGGCAACTCTTCGGCTTGAATAATCAAACATGTCAACGCGTTCTTGTCAAAATCATAATCTATTTTGTACTGAAGTCGACCGAGAAACTTTTTCTCCTTGTCCTCATCTTTCTTCTTTGAAACTGACATGCTGGAAAAAAAACGGAAGCGTCTAGACACAATCTATGAATAACAACTAATTTTTTTCTCGATTTTAACACATTTTTTCTCCTCTCCTGAAGCAAGAGCGAGAAAAATCTCGAAAAGAACAAGAAAATCGAATATTAATAATTCATCTAGTCATATTCATGTGTATATGCTTATATAAAATATTCAGAGAGAGCAAAAAAAAAGTACACACACTTTTATGAATATCTCGCTGCTGCTGCTCTCGAAAAAAAAATGCTTTTTTGACATTTGACTAGATTATCCGGCAAAAATCCCAAAAATAAACATTGACAAAGAGTTTCCAATTCAATCGGAGGGAAATTTAATAAATTTGAGAATGAGAGCACAGTGGGAACATGGTGCTCAATGGTGCTCAATAGAAATCGGGTTGTCTTGTTCTAAGCCGAAGCCGAAAACTTAGGCTTGGGCTTAACCTAAGGGGCGCTCAAAAAAAGAGTTTTGGGCTCTTCGCTGAAAATTGTAATAGCCCCAGGCAAGCCTAAGCTCTAGGTTAAGCCTAATTGTAAGCCTCTCAAGATTTCACCTGAACTTCCCAAGTGCGTGGCAAAATCAGCTTTTGATCTACCCTAAAAAACGTTTGGGGACCAAAAAAAATAGAAAAAAAAGACATGTATATTTTTCCAGACACTTACTCGTTTTGCCTCCAAGCAACCAACCAAAAAGTAAACAAGAAAAAAAGAAATTGAGATCTAGATGGGTTTCTTCGCCTAGCCTTCAGCTCCTACAATCCAGCCTAGTCTAATCCTAGCCACCTAAGCAATGCAAAATAAATATCTCTAGTTTGCACCCAATCTCGGACCACCCGTAAAACGAATCATCGCCCGCCCTCCCAAAAAGAAGAAAAAACAAAACAACAAGAAGACGAGTGGCAGAAAAAAAACGCAACAACGACGAAAAGCTCACCGAAAAAAAAACACATACATATATGGAACGAGGGACTGGAAAATTGCGAGAGTGCGCAGAAGAGCAGAAGAATCGATATCAAGTTGGTTGGGGGAGAAAGATGTGTGGAAGATATCGTAGAATGAGGAGAGTGAATAAAAAAAGTGCTCGCGAATTTCAGAATTATTGAATTGAATTCATTTCGGGCTGGTATCGTGTAGAAGTTGTTGGCGAAAACAACAAAATTAATTAGAGGATGGCCACCCGGAAAAATAGAAGAAGCCACAAAAAAAGATGGATGAGAATTAAAAAGAAGTCGAAACCCAGAGAAAAAATAGTAATTTTATTTATTTTTTTTTTTGAAAAAGAAGAAAACGAGAAGCGGAAATTGGATTATGTAAATGTATTGATGATGTTAACTGGAAAATGAAATTGGTATAGATATGTCAGAAAAAAATTAGGAACGCAGAGCACGAAATGAGCATTTTTTGAAAAGTTGAAATTTTATTCGACGTGGATTTTTCAGCCGGAAAACCAGGTGAATAATTTTTTTAAAGATCAAAAATTGTGAATTCAGAGATTTTTTCGAGATTATGGCTAAAAATGCCACGTGAATTTTGATCTGAGAATTCTTAACTAGCTGCAATTCTGCGAAGTGCCACGTAGAATCATTGATCAAATTATTCCACGTGGCTGCGCAATTTTCTATTATCAACGTCAAAGTGGCTGGCACCGAAATGAGAAAATAAATTCAAAAACCCGTTTTCGCGGGGATACCGTACACACAAGCACGCCCCTTTTTTCGCTGCGAGATATCGCAGTTGGGTAAATCGGTGCGCCTTTATTTCAATCGATTTTTTTTTGTTTTTTACGCAAAACCGGCGTTTAACTTGGAAACGTCGAGTATTACTAGCTATTTATCGATGATTTAGGCAGCATACGACATCTGGAGAAAGAAGGTAAGATTTTTCAGTCGAATTTCCATTGAAAAATCATGATTTTCAGGATTTCCGCCAAAATCAACCGGATCTTCGCCAATTTCGCCGAAAATCAACCGGATTTCATCGATATGTTCAACAAAAGCTGCAAGAGCAAACTCTTCCAGGTTCAGGTGAGAATGTTCATTTGAATTTTCATGAAAATGTGAAGATTTTCAGGTTTAACAGCAACAACTTCGGGAATTTCGCCGTTATTTCGCTCAAAATTTGCCTTTTTAATAATTACCTGATTATCAACGAAAATAAAATGTTTATGATATATAATTGATCAACTAAAACGGAAAGTACGCGAAATTCACATAAGAATAAACAAAAATTACTTTTATCTTCGAATTTTATTGTTTTCCTCGATTTTTGATGATGGTTTGAGGAAGTTGAAACTATTGCAGCTGTTGCTAAGCATGCCAATGAACTTCGGCATGTGTTCGGTGGAATCCGGTTAATTTTCGGCGAAATTGGCGAAGATCCGGTTGATTTTGGCGGAAATCCTGAAAATCATGATTTTTCAATGGAAATTCGACTGAAAAATCTTACCTTCTTTCTCCAGATGTCGTATGCTGCCTAAATCATCGATAAATAGCTAGTAATACTCGGCGTTCCCAAGTTAAACGCCGGTTTTGCGTAAAAAACAAAAAAAAATCGATTGAAATAAAGGCGCACCGATTTACCCAACTGCGATATCTCGCAGCGAAAAGAGGGGCGTGCTTGTGTGTACGGTATCCCCGCGAAAACGGGTTTTTGAATTTATTTTCTCATTTCGGTGCCAGCCACTTTGACGTTGATAATAACGAGAATAAAAATTGTGAAACTGAAAATTCTGAATAATAATAATTTCTGCGCTCTCAATTTTTTTTAATCGTGAGAAAATTCGAACAACTTTTTTGATACGACTATTATCATGAAAATTACCATAATTTTTCTTGGAATAAATTTTCAAAAAACTTTCAAAGCTCAAAAATCGAAGAAAAAAAGTTGGTCTTCTCAAATTGCCATCTATTTTTCATGAGAAATAAATCTCTGAACTAGCTAGGCTCCCAAAAAAATTGCGTTCGTTGCCGGGACAAAAAAATAGATATTTATATGAAAACTCAATGGCCTATGAATAATTCGAGAATTTTTTCCATTTTTTTTTTGAAAAATAACAACAAAACCCTCTTCTGTCAGCTGAGAGAAGAACTCATTTTTGCGCTATTCATACTCGAAAAAAAGGGCTCAAAAAGAAATTGTGCGTTTTTTCTTTTTTTTTCTTCTTGTGCTCATTTTTTTCGAGTTCTTTGTTGTTCGTAGGTCAATAAATCAGGAATTTCTCTAGAAGAAAATTTTGCTGAAAATTTATGGCAAGGAACAAAAACAATGGGCAGAAAATTACACAGCCACAAAAAAAAAATATAAATTTTTTCGTGTTGTTTTTCACATTTCTTTGAATCTGTATAGTAATCGAATTGGATATATATTCAAAAAAAAAAGAGAGAAAATATATAATCATGGGCTGGGGCCCCGCCCGGCCGGAAAAAAATGAGTTACTTCGGAAATAATAAAAATTTTGTTTTTTTTTCGTCCGTCGAGTTGAAAAAAACTTTGTAAAATGAGAATGTGAAAGGGAATACTCCCTGAGAAAAGGGCAGAAGCATTTTTCAAGACGGGCGAAAAAAATTGGTGAATGAAGAAAAAATGCATGAATAAATATATGTACACTTCAAAAATGCGCAGCACTTTCAGAAAATCGAGAGAAAATATTTATTTATTGAGGGGGGATGTGCGAATTTATGGCAGGAAATTCTGGATCTCAAAACATCGATCAAAAATTATAATTTAATTTGGATAATTTGGGTTGAAAAAATTTCAACAAAATCTAGTTTATCAAATTGCAGTAGATCAAAATTTGTGCCACGTGGATTTCTCAAATTGAATTCAACAAAAATTCTCGAGAAAAAATCACTGATGTGGATTTTGTCCGAAAAAAACATAGAAAATTAAATTTCTCGCGTGACCCAAAAAAAACACGTAGGAAAAAATCACATTTTCCAAATCCGCTCATTTCTAAAATGTGAGTTTGAAATTTCTGGGAAATTTTTGAAAATTTGAAACTTGGTTACATTTTTGAACAGCTCTTCAAGTATATTCCAGCATTTCAATTCCTGAACAAAAACTGGCGTTTATAAAAAATATGCGAGTTGCACCAGCGCCCAGAAAAAAATCGCGATCGTCGCGGTTATCGATAATAAATCAAGCAGACTAAACTACAGTCATGCTTTGGATACTGTACAATGTTATGCGAAGATTCAAGGCTACACGTTTCTACTATTCAATGATTCAAGTTACGATTGTCGACATAAAGATGTGGGTTTGGTTTGGGAACTTTTTGAAAATTTGACACTTGGCTTACAGATACATTTTTGTGTAGCTTAGAATCAATGTTTTTCTTAAGTTCAAAAACTTCCAGCATTTCTTCCGTCGTCACTGTGTCGTCTCCAAAACCGCCATCAATTACGACTTTACCGTTTTCATCGACGCCGACATCGGCGTAGTCAATCCGAATCGTCGAATCGAAGAGTTTCTCGACGACTCGAAAGATCTCATTTTCTACGATCGATTTTGGAATTGGGAAGTTGCAATGGGTTCGTATATTGTGAGAAATACAAGTTTTGCGAGGGAAGCGTTGATGGATTTTGCGAATTATGATTTAAATCTTCCGAAAAGTTTCTATGGAAATGATAATGGAATTATTAATGTAATGGTTTGAACGCATCGCTTTTAATGGTTTGAACGCATCGTTAATGGTTTGAACGCATCGCTTTTATCATGAACCCTTACGGCCAGATTCTCGCACACTCTTTCTTATCTCTTTGTCAAAACCTCCAACTGACCAGGTCTCTTGCGGGATTTAGGTCTTTTAAAAATTTGGGAAGTTATTTTATTCACCCTATTTATTTTTCGATTTCATGTGAATTACCCCTTTTTTCTCTCTCCCTTTGATCTCACTATTTTTATGTGCCGGTGAATTTATAACATTCTAAATAAAAATTCAAATTCAAATGTTAGTTTTCAGCCAATTTTTTTTTAATTAATTTTTATTCTAATATTTTCAGCGGTTCCTGGTTAAACTACTCTTCCCAAATGCTCAAATAGCTATGAACGATTGCGAAAAAATGTTCAACAAATCCGAAAACTTCAACGATGTTTCCATATTCGAAGCATGTTTCAGAACTATTCTCGGAGCATCTCAAGATTTCGGAAAAGTTCGGATAATTCGAAAAGGCCATGGTTGGGTCAGAGATCATTGGCTGGATAATTCGAAATGGAATCCAGATCTTGATTTTATGCTGCATGATTGGAAAGAGGGAAATCTCAACGAGACTCCGGAGAATGTAAAACTTGCTGCGGGTAGTAACGGAGGCTGGTATAATCCACTAGCTGGCCCGATAGATCTAGATAAATGTGGACCTTTGAATTCAACCTGGGAATATGATCCAAGATTGATTGCGGATAAATCGGAAATGCAGGAAAACCACAGGAATTATGAAATTTATGTGAACTCGAACTACATCCAAACTTTGGCGAAGATGGAGGAGCTCAAAAATCGTCCTGTTTCAGTTAATTAATGAGTTTTTTTTGAAGTTATCCTAAATCCCCCGAAAAAAACTTACGAAAACATTTTTAGTCGTTTAGTTTTCTGAAAAAAAAATGTATTTTCGCGAGAAAAAAAGAGATCAGCGGATAAAAACTGAAAAAAATAAGAGAAAAATAAAGATAGATGTTGTATCTACATAATTGCTAATTAGAAATGGGAAAAAAGAAAGCTTTTTCGAAAATAAAACGGAAATGTTGATACATTTTTTAGAAAATGTCAAATGCTGACAATGTTTTTTCTCGAGGCGAGCAGTATTTTCAAAAAGTCACCCAATAATTATTTGGGGCTCACTCGACAGAAAAAAATCCATTTTCGCCTTCTCTGAAAAAAACGGACGGAGCCCGCGAAATGTCACATAAGAGCCATGCAAATTGATTACTCCGTTTCCCCTTTTTTTCGAAATGTGTATAAAGTGGGGGAAAACAACTAATTGATGTATGGGGGGGGAATTAATTTGAGCGGCTCATTTCATTGGAAAAGCTGGACAAATAAAGTTCTTGGAACATTCATATTCACGGAAAAAAACGGCGCAAAAAATAAAATTTCAAAAAAAAAGGGAATGTTTTTGTGGAAGAAAATAAAAAAGAGGAAGAAATGTACAGACAGTGGAGCAAAAAAATTGAAATACAAAAAAAAATAAGAGGGCGCGATAATTATTCAACTCGAGTATATTAGTCTATACAGCAGAAGAAGATGAAGAAGCGGAGAGAAAATAAATAAATGAGCAAAAATATTGAGAAACGAAAGAGGTGGAGCTTTTTTTTCCAGCTATAATTTCTTCTTCTCAAATATATTTTCACATAATAACGATAATAAATATCCCGTTTCTGTTTGCGTTTTTGACAAAACATTGTTTCAAAAACGATGTTGAGATCCGGAAGATGAAGAAACGTCGAAATTCGCAGTTGTCAGAGTTGTATCATTTGATGAAGAAGCATCGGAAAGTCGATCCGATGTTCGAACTGATAACTGTGAAGATCTTCCACTTGAGATCGATTCGTTAGATCTTTCGATTTCTTGAAATTGATTGATTCGATTTCGAACCATTCCCGAGTTTTTGCTGCGAATTACAGCCACTGACGGGCGAGCGTCGAAGAAATCTTGACGTCTTGGAAGACTCTGAAAAACTTTTTAAAATTTTATTATTTTCAATGTTTGCTCAAAAAAACAAACCTTTGGCTCTTTCGCACTTTTCAAAATACTCGAATATTTTCCAAATTCGAAATATTCGCAACTTCTCGGCGACATTCCGCCCTCATTTCCGCTTAAAATATGAGAGGGCGCGGAAAGCGGCACGGAAGATTGCTGATGATACGTTTGTTGGCCATGTCGAGGCGGTTCGCGGAGTGAGATCAATGATTGAGGTTGATGGGTCAATGGTGACTGTAAAATTTCAGAATTTCAAGGATTTCGTAATTTTTATGACGTTTATTGAAGAATTTCGTATTTTGAATACAAAATTCTAGAGAAAAAATAAATACAATTTCCACGTGAATCTGTATTATTGAAATTTTTTTTGCAAAAAAAATGAATACAATTTCGACGTGACCTATGACGTGGCAATTGCCCTCCCATTTATAGAAGAAACAAAATTCATTTTGAATTTCAAAAAAAAAAACTATGAAAATTTCGAAATACAATTTTGAATACGTCAATTTTTAACCTGAAATGTAAATATTCCGGAATTCGAAATATGTCTATGACGTGGCAATTTGATAAACACTTTTTTGAGAAAATTTGAGAAAACTCACCCTTTTCATAATCGGCATTTGGGGCAATTTGAATTGCGCCATAGCGGGTGGCGGTGGTGTCTTTTCCAGATTCACCAAGCTTCGAACAGGAAGTTTGGGCGAGAATGGATCCGAAACTCGTGGATTCGCCGGCGGTGTTGGTGGTCTTCGAGCAACCACATCAATTGCGGCCTTCGATGTTTGTGGTGTCAACATTGGTGGCGAATGCGGTGGAACTGGAGGTGGCGGCGGAGGTGAGGATTCCGAAACCGACGGCGAATCATCCAGAATCTGCTTTATCACCAGTGGTGAAAGCGTTGTTCTTGGCGTGACCGACGTCGAGGTGGTGATAATTGGTGGCGAATTATTGATCTGTGCCACGTGTCTCATAACTGGCGAGAGAATCGGATTTGTGTCGTTGGCTTTGGAGTAGGAGAGACGAGCTCTTGATTGACGTCTGGCGATGACCGGTGAGTCCTCGATGACGACTTTTGAATAAACACAAACATGACCATTCTCATGGGATTTTGGGGAAGTCTGGAAATATTAATATTAGTTTTGGTGATTTTTAGAAAACACAAAATTCTTACCATTCCCATATCAAAAACCATCGGCGACGTCGCCATATCACACATCTTCTTGACTTCACCAAGCGCTTTATTTGTCGCCTTATCTTCCCGATCTTCATCTTCAATACTAGGATTCGAATCAGCTTTCGCAATCGATCCATTAAGAACCATCATACTCTCAGTGCTCACTGTTTTTTGTTGATGGCGCCGTTTCTCCTTCAAATTCGCTTTCCTATTCCGTGCCTCCATCGCCTTCTGCTCCAACAATTTCTTCGATCTTGTCAAACTATCATCATCATCTTCTTCCGTTTCACTATTTATCATACTATTCTCCTTCTCAGCTCCACCATTGACAGTCGTATAAATAGTTGCTCTTCTTTGCGGCAATCCACCAGCCACTGTGTTCGGGCGATTTCTTCGAAGTCCATTGTTGACAGGAGCAGTGTGTCGACGATTTCTATTCGATTTTCTGCCATTCGTCACGCTTGACAGGTTCTCCGAAGGTTTCACATTTCCCATATATTCGGACATCAAGAACTCATTCACACTAATCTTCTCGTTGGACAATCTTGTATTCTGCTCGCTCGCAGAAACTCTCCTCAATGGCTCGAAAACTTTGTCAAGTTTCGGGCGCGCATTCGAAGACGTTGAATTCGTATTTCCTCTTCTCGATTGCTGACTTCTCGATTGTCTTCCCGACGCTGTTGAACTCTTCGAATTATTTCGCGCAACTCGCCTCGTCTCATCAATCGATGATGTTGTCGTATCCTCATTCACAATCACTTCAACAGCTCGCGCTGGGCTTGGACTCTTCACACGCTGCTTCACAAATCGATGACGAATGTCGCGAAAACTCGGCAAGAATGAGGAGGATCGTTTCTGCTTATCCTTCTTTCTTCCGGATAAAATAATTTTATGCACAGGTTCGGAATCTCTTCTCGAGAAGCTTGGGGTAGGCGAGGTTGATTCTTTTCTTGATGTTGAGGGAAGAGGTGTGGCTGTTGATGAAGGGCCATCAGATCTACTCATACTTGGCATCGCACTAGAACTTCTCACCATTGCGCTACTAACGATATAGGGATCACGACGAACGCATATGAGATTGGCCTAGAAAAAAATTATTTTTGAGAAGAAAAAAGGGGGAAGTCTTACATTGGTGATCAAAATCTTGACTGCTGAAACATGCACATCCATATCCTGCTTCTTTCTGGCAAGCATATCATCTTGGGAGAATCGTCTTCCTTGAATACTGCTATTCTTCTTTGGGTTATGAATTCGATCGCCGAAAACACTTCCAACAAGAACCACAGCCAGGTTATCGATTGACATTTTGTGTTTGTCAGATTGTCTTGAGATCTGCAAAGTTTCAGATTTTTATAGATTTTGGAAGGAAAAGAAAAAAGCGTTCTCCTACCAAAACAAGTTGTCTCATTACATAACCAAGAGTTGAAGAATGAATATCAGAAAGCAGGGGTTCTGGTCGTTCCTTGGATTCAAAAAACAAATCGGCCATCTCTTCGGTATCCAAAACATATTGTCCGGATATTTTGGCCAATCTTCCGCGCTTCAAAAGTCGATCGCGAAATTCCTCGGAATCCAGCAGTGGCGGTTTCAAATCGCGCAAAAATCGCTTGACCATTGTGCAAACATCGATAACAGTGTAGTCGCTGGGAATATCACAAATTCCTCGATAGATATTCTTCACTTCTGCTCGACTCAATCTCGCCGAATTTCCCTCTTTTCGAAAAATCCCATCAACTTCCATTCCGAATTCGGAAATCATGTTGAATGCGTGGACAAGGAAGCGTGGCACTTCTTTTAGCCGAATTCTCGTCCAACCACTTCCAACATTCACATCTAGTACAATATTTGTTGCGGCGACCTGAAAAAAAAGTTTATTTATTTATTTGTTTATTCATCTAAAGATGTATCTATTTATCAACAAAAAAAGTGTGACGTCACCTCGCCCAAAGTGTATCTCAGTTTGGTGCCACTGGAACTTGCCACATTGTCCAGCGACATTTTTCGACACGCCATACTGGCGCTCACGATTCGAAAATCGTTACAATCGTTCATCGCAAATAAATTATCTGAAATCCAAGAAATTTGTTAGTTGTTTTTCGTCTAATAAGCAAAACCGTGGTCAAGGTAAAACAAGAAAAGCGAAAATATATCTTACAAGTGATCCTTACAAGAAAATTAATAGCTGCGAGGAAGAAGAAAAAGTCGAGGTTCAACCTTGAAGTACGTTTTTTTTGAAATTAGAACAAAAAGGGAAAAAACAGCCGGAAACAAGTTTATTATTAGTATTATGAGGATTATATCTAACTTGGCGCGTAAACTTGATTTTTGATGTTAATCGGGGGAATTTATTTTTTTTGAAAAAAAAAAGATTTTGGGCGTCTGAAATTCGTGTTCACAAGGGCAAAAAATTAGGCAAAATGCGAAACACAAAACATTTTTTTGTGATTTTACAAGAATAGAAATATTTGGATGACGCATAAAAATTATCGAAAAAAAGCATTTCGTGTGAAAATTTATCACATCAAAATAATAAACAATTTGAATGTTTATACCGATTTCGTATCAAATTTATTTTTAGCCACCAGCCACTGTAATCAGAGCAAAACAAAATAGATTTTTGAACATTGGGACGCGAGAAAAGTTTCATGCATAAAATTATTGCAAAAAAAAAATCGGGGCAAAAGTTGTTTCGTTCAACAATTTTTCTTGTTGTATGAAAACAAACAGTGTGGAAAATATGGCCTGGAAAATAACAAACTTGAGAAAGAGACTGAATAAATAGGGAGAGCACAACTGTGATTCACAATTAGTCATCATCAATTGCTCTTTTCTCTTGTTTCTTAACGCGAAACCGTCAAAAATTGAAAAAGAGAATGTGCTGTGCAAAAAAATAAAAGTAAAAATGGAAGCGCGCCCCATTGATGACAGTAACCTCTCAAAGACGCACAACGAAAAAACGTGGTCTTCACGCGAAATTGGAAAAATTTTGCTGGTCTAGTTTTTTTTTTGTTTCAAAATTTGAACTTGAACGATAGCACAAAAGAACACAATTGTTTCAACAAAGAAAATTTTCAAATTTTATTACTTTTCCTTTTGATAAAAAATACATGCTGTTATCTTGACGCCTCGCTATAAAACAGACTATATAAACAGAAAACTCGCTCTCATTTTTTTCAAAAAAAAAATAATAAAAAATAGAATATAGATCGTTGAAGGGGGAGAAAAAATCATTGGACCAACCAAGCGCGCCGGAAGTCTCTGAGCAACAGGCGTTCTTTTGTGAGCATGGGAGAAGCAAAGCAAAGTGAAAATAGCTAGAGAGAAATGAAAAATAGACTGAACTCGGACATATGTGTTTGCAATAAAAAAACCTATTTATCCGAAAAAAAAGAGCGTCTGGTTTAGCATGGTGGTGGTAAATAGGGAGAAGATACACACAAAATAAATAATTTTGGCGATGCCGCCCTTTTCAAATGGTGTGCGATAGGGCGCGCTTGCCACATTTCTTGTGTCCTTGTTTTCGTTTTTTTTTGTTCACCAAGAAATCGGAGAACAATGTTTTTGTGAGAAAAACGAAAAAGATGAAAATTTATTGTTTTCAAAAAATATATAAATAAAAAACATCGACTTATTGACGTGGTGGCCTGAAAAATGTTGATTTTTAATTTTGAAAAAAAAACCATTTCTGAAAAAATCTCACGGTGGTGGTGGTGGCAAAAGAGCCTTCTCAGCTGGCGAAAGCGAATCAATAACTCGACGAATAGCATCGTGACGTTGTTGGAAGCTCAAACTACGATCACGATGAAGCGATCGGAATTGTTGTTGAGTTTCAGCGGAAAGTCTTTCGAAGCCTGGTGGAAGTGGAATCTTGTCATGAATCTCATCGGGAAGATTCACCAAGATTTGATCGATTTTCTCGTGTTTTTGCAATTCGGAAAGCGATGAATCGGCGTGAACAGCTTCGAGTTCAGCGAGGGTGGCTTTTGGCAAGACTGCGGCAAGATGTGGTGGCACTGGCTGGAAACATCACACTTTTGCACTACAAGTAAGTACATCTAATCAATCCAAAAATGCTGGGGTCTAGCAAGAATTTTTTCAAAGCTCTCCGGAAACTAACCGGCATTCCTGGTGGTGGTTGTGGTCTGGCAATGACAGCCGCTGTCAATGTGACAAGTACCAAAATGCAACTTTTCTGCATCTCCGAATTCACCGCTTCAATCCCGCCCCAACGACCTTCAACTCCTTTTATATCAATCATCTCGTGACCCCAGAGTGCGAAAAAAAAACAACATTCAGCTCCTCCTCCCCAGCTTCGTGATGCGCAGCGATGTAGATCTTTTGTACCAACTGATATGATTGATAAGGAAGATGATCAAGGGAACGGCAAGTTAAAGATCTACATCATCATGATCTTCTATTGATACATAATCAGCACAAAATATATTGTAGTTTCTTAAAGTGACATATTTTTTTTCATAGCTAGCCATTTTTTCTCATCAAAAACCAAAAAGTGCTCACGAAAAGTAAACACGATTTTTATTGTATTGTTATTATTAATTGTTTATTTGTTGATGTGAAGTACATACAATTTGTGAAAAAATTTGGAAAAAAACAAGATACATAAGTGAGAAAACGTATTCTCCAACCAACCGGGGGAAAATGCGAATTTGATATCATTTTTTGGGGGGAGGGGGGAGAAATTTGGAAAGACCTTAACAGATTTTCAGGAAATGTTTTGAAATTTTGGAGAGAGAGAGAGACAATGAGAAAATACTGAAAAAAAGACATTTGAGCGTGGAAGAATTGCAAAAAGTTTGGGGGAAAAAAAGAAATTCAGTTTGGAGAAACAACACAACCCGTATGCACAATCAGTGAGCATTATCACATTGAAAACAGGTTTCGTGAAGAAGGATATTATTGATTTTTGTCAAATATGTCATATTCTAGTTCGTGTTGGCGGTCGTGCCGAATCGTCGCCCTCTATTTGAATGTGTGGCACTGTTGGTGGTGATGACGTGGATTGATTTGGCGTATCTTCTCTGGACGGTGGACCACCTTCCCATTCGCCAGATTCGAGTTCTCGCAAAGGCGGCACAGAGCTGAAAGGAATAGAATTTTCGAATGTTTCAGATTAATGAAAAATTACGCAAAAACCCCAGGAACCTTTTACAAAAAAGCTACTCCTATAAGGAAAAATTTGAAAAAACAAGAAGAGAACACTGCATTTCACTAGCAAGAGGTTAGCCATTCGAGAAAACGCGAAGATACATACGACCGAAAATTTACCTAGATTCTCCATTCCAAAAAACTGAAGTTCAAGCTTTTGCCTTCGAATCTAAAGGCGCTAACAAACTCTAGTTTTTGTTCAAAATAAATTTGACCTACCGTTGCCATTGCGGTGCCTGCTGCTCACTCCATGATACACTTCTAGCTACAGGCGGAGGATCGAGAGTTAGTCGATTGTGCGATTCATTGAGAGCTGTGAACGATGAGCCAACTGGAATTGTGGATGGTGTAGTTGCACCATTCGCGTTGGAATTGAGGAGGCGCTCGAGATTCGCTAGACGACTATTGATTTGCTCGATCACACCCAATCTTTCACCAATCACATCGAATTTGCTCTTCATTTCAGTTCGGATATTTGAAAGAGAACTCCATTCCTGGAAAATTATTTAAAGATAAGTTTTAAAACAAAATTGTATGCTAAAGGTGCAATACACTTGTAAAAATTAAAATTTTCTCCTCAAAACTCACCCGATCTTTTTTATCGATTCCCCAACTTGTTCGAGATAGCGCATCTTCATCGACTGTCTGACGTTTCTGGAAGAAAAAAACCCTGATCGCTCTAATCTTCCTCAAAACTCACCATGAGTGGAGGTCGTTTTTGCTTGGCTCTCGGACTCTTGACAAACGATGTCGTTCCACCTCCATTCGTCTCATCCACCATCGAATGCAGCGAGGAGATTCGATTGATGTCGCTCGACTTTTTCAAGCCTTTCTCGATATCAGCAAACATTGGACTTGGGAAAATCCGGGGGCCGTGTCGTTCCCTCATTCGGAACAATAACTTGCGAATCGGATGATCGGTGGGAAGTGTGAGCTTCTCGTTCTTCCGCTTCGCGTCCAGCTCTTTTTCTCGCTTCACATCCGCAACTTTTCGGAATTTCATACGATGTGTCAAATTATAAGTGAGAGTCATGTTTCTAGCGAACGAATTTGCGAATGCTTTATAGAACTCCAAAACATCCATCAATTTATCCTTCTTAATCATATGAAGATCAGAATACGTCAACGCTCGAACATTAGCCGCAGATTGACCCGTAGACCCGTTATTCTTCCAGAATTCATCACCAAAAACATCACCTCTGCCAAGGATCGCAACAACTTCTTCATCTTGTATAACTTCTAAAGATCCAGAGACTACAAACCACAACGCATCTACAGATTCTCCAGTGTGATATAAAAGATCGCCAGGTGCGGCATGGTTTAGTTCCAAAAACATCGCTAAAGATCGGAGACATCCATCAGAAGCGAGTCGGAAACAACTATGTTCATTGAAAACCTTTCGATTCAGATGAACACATATATCCGCTTTCATGTCTTTTGGACAATATCCGAGAACTTTTGAGGTGTCAATTCCCTTTGTCATCGCCCAAGTTGACACCACATAATCCATCACCCGCTCAGCAAGTTCTTTCGGAATTTCTTGAAGTTTGATGAACTCTCGAACATTACTAATCATCTCATGGTACCTGAAAAAATTTAAAAAATTTTTTGGAAACAAGTTCTGACGTCACTTACCTGACAGTGCTCGATGTCATCTGCTGGATAATCGTGGTCATGTGTCCGAAAATTGCAGCATACAACAAGGCAGAGATAATCATCATACACACCCCGAATATTTTTTCGTTATCAGTGTTGCTTGCGATGTTACCAAATCCAACAGTAGACATGCAACTCATTGTGTAATACAGGGCTGAAAATTTTAAAATGGGTTTCAGGACCACTGGAGCTCTGATCCACTTACATGAAATATAGCTAGATGTTCTCGTTGGTCCCCCGATCACTGGACAACCTTGTTGAAGTGGCGATGGATTCTCATCCCTGCTAAACGGCTGCTTCAAATCATGTGATAGTTTCCATAGCCATCCTTCAGGTAGAGATGGATTACAATATCTCAATTTCACTTCCATCTCTCCTATGAAATACCAAACACACGCCAGCCAATGTGCCACAATCACATATGCACAAAGTAATAATAGCAGAGTCGCAGCTCCATATTCCAGATAATTATCCAATTTTCGCGCAACCCTTCCCAACCTGAGAAGCCGCACAACTTTCAACGCCGAAAACAGACTTCCTATCCGCTCGTCATTTTTCTTGAACATATAAATGATATCATAGGGAAGACACGAGAGAAGATCGATGAGAAACCATGATTTGAAATAATTCTGCCTAATAATCGAGGGTTCGATGACGACTTCGCCACCGGGGCCAACAAATGTTGTGTGGAAGTTGAGCAAAATGTCGGCGAAAAATATGACATCGACTATGGAATCCATCAAAGCCACGGGATCTATTGCAGTACTGTTTTTGACTGATGTGTGGAAGGTGAACTTTTTCTCCAGGCTGAAAATAATTCCACAGAATTTTTAAAAAAATTCTGAAAAAAACATACCTCTGCTTGAAAGCTATATTAAAAGGAACCATAAAAGCTGTATAAAACGTCAACGCCAAAATCGACCAATCCCAAATCGTCTTGAAAGATGAGTAATGCAAAATGATATGCGGTGATGTTTTCGGTGTCTCCTGTCGATATTGTGGCAGCATATCACCGCCTAGATTCATCACCTGGAAATCAATCAAAAATTAGATTTTGTTGAAGATCTCACATCCTGAGATGAATTAGCTTGATATATTTTTCAACTAAAACAAAAAACCTAGTGACTTTTGTGGTTGAGTGAGTGATCAGTGTGCGCTCGTAATCATTTGGTGCTTCTTTCTGTCAGGTGGTGAAAGTGAATGAGGGGTTGCGAAACATGCGAAAGGGGTTTGAAGCTGCAGCTAGAAGCGGGTAGTTTCAGAGTTTTTGGGAGTCTGGGTTGGTTTTTTTTATACAAAGACACATATTTCAACATTTATCAAAGTTAGTTTCTGTTAGTCATGAAAAATAATCAGAGTTTTAGAATATTTTGGAATGGAACTTTTTTTTGAAATTCAAATTTTATTGTTAGTAAATACGAACAGCAGACAAATGTTTTTAAATTTGAAAACTAAGATTTATCCCAAGGGCTTGGCAAGCGTTTATCTTTAGAAAAACTCTGAAATTTGCCACGTCATCACGAGGTTTTGGGAATTGTGCCAGGTTCTTTTTTGAAAATAAATTTTGAAAAAATCGATTGATTTCGTTTTGATGGAATTTTTTTTTCAAATAAAAAAATGATCAGATTTTTTTTCATTAATTTTTTTTGTTAATTTTCATCATCCCAGATCCTTCAAATCCTCTGAAACTTTTCCCAAACATGCAACAAAAATTCAACAAAAAAGAGCACAAAAACGCATGCAACTCAACTCACAAAGCGATGCTCGTTCCAATTTCCATTGCACTAAAACAATACAATCAACATTCAAATGAAACATATATTTGTTTCGATAAAATTTAGGGGAGGTGGGGAGGGATTTCAAGATTTCTGATGTGATGCCTACATATTTGTTCATCCATGCCTGACGCTAATACATTTCGGAAATTTGAATGACGTGGGAGAGGAGGAAGAAGAAGGAGAAAAATCACAACATCACCAATAAATAGAACACAAGTCACTAGGCGGCTATCATCATCACAGGCAAATAAGGTAGTCGGGAGGGGCAAACGCTCTTTTTAATGAAACTTAATACGAAAGGGTTTTGAGATCTCGTATTGATCTTTGAGTTGAGTGGTGCGTGATTTAAAAAGAGCGTTTAACAGAAAGAAGCGTCAAGATTCTCAACCTTGATAACCTGATTGAAGTTACTCGTCGTTGTTCCCGCAGCCTTGTGTAGATCTTTTGTCTCGATTTGATTGAATTGTTGTTTTGATTTGGCGATCCGTGCGATTTGTAATATCCTTGACAAGCCTAAAAATATCATTAAAAATTTTCCGATTCTAGAAACTTTTCATCAACTTCCAAGAACTCATATCTATTTTTAATTTTTTTTTCTCCAAACGTGGGAATTTTCCCCCTCTTTAAAAATTCTCACCCTTGTTATTCTCATCATCCAGCGGTTGTTTGAGCGGAGTTATATCCTTGAATTGACATAAATACAGGACCACTGAATCTTTGTCGTTTTTGATTGGCGCAAGATGAACGAGAAGCCAGATTGGAGTTTTGTTCTTCTTGCATAGCCCGATTTCAGCTTGCTCGGTTCGCGCGTTGTCAAGAGCCTCTTGCATTTTTCGAAGACTGCCGGTTTCGCCATGCTCACCGTGCATAAATGCGAGTCTGGAAAAATTTTTTTTTGAAATTCAAAATTTTCTTATGGAAATTTTTAGAACCCGGAAAAAGTACACATAATTTGAAACACGTGGGAAAAACTAATTTGTTAAGCGGAAAATCTAATCATGCACTCTTAAAACGTTCTGTGATCATGATAAGAACTTTGAACTTCTAAAATATTCTCAAAGACTGGAGAAGTTGTCATTTGAAGTTTGGTTTGATGGATCCAGAATTTTTTTTTGAAGAATATTTTAAGAGGTAGAACATTTTGTGATTCAGAGAAGCTGGGTTAAAAAAAAACATATTTATTGACATTTTCCTGCTTTTGAATTATTGTGAAATTTAATTTCGAAATTCAAAACGTCCAAAAAAGCTAGGATTCTAAAAAATTAATGAATAAAATCTGCCACAAATGTAATGTATACAAGACTTCAAAATCCCCTTTTCAAAACTCACGAGCAAGGTTTCTGCATAATCTCAGCTCTCGTATATCCCACCAATTTCGAAAATCCATCATTGCAATAAACTATCGGATAATCGACAACTTGCGCGTTCGCCAAAATGAATGAGGTGTCTGGAATTCGAGAGTTTTCCAGGGTTTTCAGAAGAAAAAGACACTTACCGGCATTATTGCAGCGTCGTATAACATTTTCAAGAAACGTATTTTGTGGCGCGACAAGTCCACGTTTTCCAACCGGCATCTTGTTTCAGCTTTTCCAAAAAATAAAATCACAACACGAAGAAAAAAACTGGATAGCACTATTTCAGGATCCGATCGATTCGATGGTCCATTCGATCTGCAATAAAATATTTGAGTTACTTATCATTTCAAAAACGGAAGGGAAGAAGGAAAGACGGCAAAAAACGAGAGCAGGATGTTAATATTATCGCGTGTAAAAAATATGAAGAGAAAGTGAGTCGATTTCGTTTCCAAGTGAAACATGAATGAATGAATGAGAAATGAGAGCGACGGCCGAAAAAGCAGAAGAAGGGAAAAAATATCGGGGGAGCTCACAAGCTCAAATATATATTATGTGCTGCCAATGAGGAGTTTGAAATCGGGGGGTTTTCGTTCGCCGCCGCCGCGTGGGGCATGTATGAATTTTTGATTGCTAGGCAATTTTTTGCGGAAACAAAAAATAGCTGGCAGATTTTGAGAAGAGCAAAAATAGTATAAAAATTCATCAAAAATCAACAGAGTTTCTGGAAATTATTTAAAAAAAAACCAAAATGTTTCGCTACCTGAAGGTGGGATAAAAATCGATAATAATCAACGCGAGAGAATTAGAGAAAAAATATTTTTTGATCTATCAGTAAATTTTTTTGGAAAAATTGGAGGTCTACGATTTTTTTAAAACATGGTTTCAAAATGGTTTCAGATTCTGAACAAATTCTCAAAAAAAAAACACTTTCTCGAATTTTTTCGTCACGAATTGAATAAAAAAAGAGGTGGATCATAAAAGTGCTATATTCCGAAAAGTTCAAAAACCATTAAAAAAAATTTATTCACCACTTTCCATTTCAATTTTTCTTCCGTTCTAAAAACACTGGAAAAGGTGAGGAAAACTATAAAGCCACAAACAATGAGAAAAAAAATCCTGGGGTGGGACCACTAATCGATTTTCGTTAGTGTTGGTTGGAACACACAAAAATAGTTGAATTATTCAAGTTTTTTTTTGCTTGTTTGTTTTTTTTTTTGGGATTTTGGAGGCCTGCCTGCCTGCCTCATACATAAAAAATAAAACATGGTTGGTTGGAAAACGGGCGGGGACATCAAAAATTTATAGGAAAACAATTTGGTGAGTTTTTTTTTTGGCTGCTTTTTGGGTGATCAAAGCCCCGGTGGGCGCCCAAATTTGCACTTCGTGTTTGTTAGGGTTCCGAATAATAAAAAAAATACATAGGTATGTGTGTGTGAGATTTTATATATGTAAAAACAAGGTGGAGAAATAAATATATGAAAAGAGGAAATATTGATCCACAAAAATTAAAGCTAATCGGATTTCCTCCAAAAATAAAAATACGTCAAAATATTTGTGCACGATAAATCAAAAGAAAAGTTATTTATCGTCCATTTCCAGACATTCATTTTATATACTCCCGTTTGCTACAAAAAAAGAGAATAAAAAAATATTCAGGAAAAAAATGTAGTGTGAAGAAGAAACGGCTGGGATAAAAAATCATGAAAAAAAATCTGGAACTTCAGATAAATTCCCGGGTAAAATACGTTTCAAATAAAATTTGATGATCTAAATTTCCGAATCAAAATCGAAATTTAAAGGAAGACTTCGTGTAGGCTGAAAATTTGTGAACCCTGTCAAAAACACAACAAAAAGAAACCCGTGTCAAAAAGCTGAAAAGTTGTTCTCAATATGTAATTCAAGAGCTTCACTCGCTCTCTGTCTTCTCCATATTTTCTTTGCATACGAAAAAAAAGTAGCTCGATTCTTTTTTTCATTCATTCAAGTATGAAAACGAAAAGGAAACGATTATCGTCTATGAGAAGTTTGTGAAAAAAATACGAAACCAACAAAAAATGATGGAAGCAAAACAAAAAGGCAACAAAAGAGTTCGAACTAATTGTGTTGGCTGATTAGATTATTCTTGGTTAGAGCCACCTTTTTTCAACAGAAAAATGAACAGAAAAAATCGAAAAAATTCTTGAGTTTCAGAAAACTATCAGATCGGACGATTTTAAAGATTTTTTTCAAGTTCAAAACTTTGGTTTCTTGGAAAAATCTGAACTTCAAGAATCTTTTTTTCCACAAAATTTGATCACGAAAAATCCTGATCCAAAAAAATTCATCAGAATTTTTCAAAAGCTTCTAGAATTTCAGAGAGCTTGGGATAAGGTTCCAAGAACAAGGTTCTAAAAATTTCAGATTTCTTAATTTTGGAAAATCTGAAGCCTTTGAGGAAATTCAAAATTGATTTTGTACCTCTTGTGTTCTAAACATTTCCGTAGATCAGAATCATCGGACTTCGGAAAATCAAAAGGTTCTAGAATTCCAGAGAGCTTGGGATAAGGTTCCAAGAACAAGGTTCTAAAAATTTCAGATTTCTTAATTTTGGAAAATCTGAAGCCTTTGAGGAAATTCAAAATTGATTTTGTAGATCTTGTGTTCTGAAAATTTTTGAACATCAGAATCATCGGACTTCGGAAAACCGAAGTCCAGCTCAAAAATTGAATCTAAAAAAAATTCCCCGAAAAAAATTCGATTCGATTCGGTTCACGAGTGAAAGATAAATGACATCTCTTCTGAATTTTTTATTTTTCCTCGTTTTTTCTCTGCCAAAAAACGCCATATTTTGGAACTATAACTTTAAAAGTAATTATTTCCTGTCTAAGACAAAAGTTTTTTTCGAAAAAAATAGTTTTTGAGAACAGAAGAGGGAAAAAACTATTTTGAAAAAATTGAGAGCTAGAAGAAGCTAGCTCTGAAAATTTGCTCCACCACAATAACAACAAGAAAACAATCATTTTCTTCTTCTTCTGCTTTCTTTGGTCTGCCAATAGGTGAATGAACTCCCCTCAAAAAAAGAGAAAATGTGGAGAAAAACACAAGAAAGCAGAAGAAAAAAATACTATAAGCCACCAAAACCATTTGAAATAAAAAAAACGACGGGGGCTCTAATTAGTTCGATCTGGAGGCAGAAAATGGACGAATGGATGGATGGGCGAAGGAAGAGTGAGTAGTAGAAAATGAGTGGTGGAAGAACGAAAAAAAGAAGAAAGATTGTTTTTTTTTCGCATTGGCTCCTCCATTTACTATGAAAAAATGAAGAACATATTTATTTTTTATATAAATATTCATATTCGTGAATAATATTTGGAGCAAATAAGGATGATGTTAACAGAAATCACTGATAGACCGGATATTTTTCATTATTCTTTAGATTTCCTGGAAAACCATTTGAATGGTTACTTGAGAATCTTGAAATTGCGAGAGATCTTGATTCCTGAAATTCTGGTAGACCAGAATTCACATTAGGAATTTCAGGAAATATTGAAGTTTCCGTGGATCAGCCCTTCTCAATTCAAAAAGTTGATCTCAAGTCTCACGAAGATCAGATTCTGATCATCGTAATTTTAGCAAAACCCCCATATTTAATTATAGGCTACAACTCGTAGATCAAAGAAATTTCGTAGTTTGAGCTCGGGATGAATCAAAGGGATTTTTTCCCGATTTTCAAACATGGAATTCAAAAAAATCTTGACGTCAAAAATTTGCAGCCACCCATCAAAAAAAACAACTAGCACCACCTCATAAAAAATATGGCCACCCCAAAACGAAAAATAAGTGAGTCACAAGGCAAATTTCACATTTTCATCCCTTTTGCTCGCGCCTCTCTAATAAAACATCCCATCCCCATCACATAACACATAATCCTCACACATTTTGCCTCGCCTGGTGTTCGCAAAAAAAATTGGGCACGAAAAAAGTACTGTGAAAAATTGTTTAAAATTTCGTGAAACTCAATTCTAGAAATGTTAGGCCTAATATTAGGGAGTCGGAATTTAACTTCAGAAAAATGAACCTTCAGAAAATTCCAGATTCCAAAAGTGTGGATCAAAAATAGGGTTCAGAAGTTTATTTTTTACTAGATCAAAAGATCCAGGGAGACTTTTAGTAAACTTCTAAGAACTTGAATTTGAGAAGATCTTGATTCATGAAAAACTGAATTCTGAGAAGATCTATGTTCCAAAAAAATTCAAAAGACTATAAAAAAATTACGAAAAAAAGACAAGCAAATGCAAAAAAAAACTTTGCCACGAACAACAAAACAAAACGCAACTAATTCCCGGTCGCTTCTCTTTTTCTTTTAGTTTTTTTTTGAAAATTACAAGAAGACGCAAAAAACAATATGATGAAGACGAAGAAAAAAAAAGAATGAGTTTTGTTGGCTGGCTGGCTGGCTGGCCAAAACGAGAAATGAACGAGTCTCTTTGCGATCAGCTGAAATTTAAAACTTTTTGTCTTCTTCTTCTTCTTTTTCGGTTTTAGTTATTTAGCCGGCTGTTTAGTTTAGTTTAGTTTTTTGTTCTTCGTTCAGACACGGTCTCAGAAAATAATTAGTTCCAAGAGACAATTTTTTTGTCTTCTGGTGAAAAAAAAATGATAAGATAAGTGCATTTCGAAAAAACACACACATACAAAATCGATTCCTGAGTAGAATCTCCATGGTGCGCACCTGGTAACCAAAATGTGTCTGACTGAGATTTTTCGGGGAGCACAAAAAAAAACGTTCTGCAATTAATTTGAAGGAAATTGGCGGGAAATTGTCTAGATCATTTGCAGATGTGAGAGAGAAAAAAGTTCCGAAAAAAATTGAGAGGAAATTGAGGGGAAGAGATTTTACGGTGATACTTCCGGTCAGAGATTTTCAGGTGTTCTTGGAGATTTTTCCGTAGATCAATTTTCAGTTTTCACAAAATTGGGTAGATCAGCAAATTAAAAAAAAATCTAAAACCTTTTTCCATAAATCAAAAAAATTAGAAAAAGTTTACAAAACTTCTATAAACAAAAATTTTCAGCACTTTTAAGTCACTCATTTTTTTGAAAAAAATAAATAAAATACGCCTTCTCATTCCACCTGGCTAATATTTTAAAGTACAAAAAATTTCAAAACGCAGAAAATCTTTGCCAGGTATATCTCAGGCTTATCCGCTTATGTTAGCATAGCTCAGAAATGCACACCACTCACTGCTTCTCTCAATCTCTCTTCCCTATCGCATTGCCAAAAATGAGTTAGTTTGTCTGGTCATTTTTCACCTCATCATCGATTTTCAGCTTTTTCCCCCGTGTTGTGGTCACCTGGCAACCATGGATATAGAGAGACTCACTCATATTTCTCTCCTATTTCTGGTGTGAGGAGAGTATATATATATATATATGTTCACATATTTTCCATCTATACGGATACGGAACATAATTTTTTTTAGCTAGCGCAGGGGTTCCTAGAAGTTCTATCTTCCTCTCTCAGAAATATAAAATACAAAAGTCAGATGTGTCGAATTTCAAAAGAAAAAGTATACTTCCGATCACAAGCTTTTTCTTTCTTCGAAGAAACTAAAGACGAAGGATGGAGAAAGAAAACGAAAAAAAAACAATGAAATTAGGTGTAGAGGTAATGAGAAAGAAGAAATGAAAAAGTGCATTTTTTATTGTGTTTTTCGTCTTTCGCGGAAAAAAATCTTTTGAGCAAAAAAAAATCTTTGAAAAAAAAGTTAGCTTCCCCTCAGAGATTCGCTGGCCAGCTCGCCACCAGGTGGGGAGGCTGGCTGACCTGGAAACCACATGGAAACCATGTCGCCCGGTTTTTTTTGCTGGCAAGGTGGCCGGGCTCTGGCTAGGTCACGGCCAGACGGCTACCACGTGGTGGCCACTTCGCCGCGTCAAAATGAATTTTCATGAAAATGTCTGAAAAACTTGTAAATTGAGGCATTTTCGAAAATATTGGCTCATTTTCTGTTTTTTCGCAGCACTTGAAACCTTAGAAAGTGAAAAAACAGTAGAAAATGCAGTGTTTTGAGTACAAACCACTGTCTTGCCAGCTTTCCAGAATTTCAAACACACAGGCCACGTCGCCGGAAAACTCAAGGCGACCTGGCGGCCATGCGGTTTCCAGGTGGCTGCAGCGATCTGGTGGCGAGCTGGCCAGCGAATCTCTGAGCCATGCCGGGAATCGAACCCGGGCCGCGTGGGTGAAAACCACGAATCCTAACCACTAGACCACATGGGAGGACGAGAAAGCGAGAGCGGAATTGCTGTGAAGTTTTCGATGCTAAAAATTGATTACAACTATGAAAATAGAATGAAAAGCTGGAAATGATAATCAAATAAAAAATAAGATGTCACGTTTTCAATTTTTATTTTTCAAAATTTTCATTTTCAAAAAAAATGGCACGTGGTTGAGAAAACCAAAGTTTCCAGGTGTTGAGTTTCGAAAATTGATACTTCGAAAAAAAACGGAATTCAATTTTTGAATAAATGCCACGTGGGTTTGGGGAGAATGAATAGTTTATTCTAGATGTATTATATTTTCAACATTTAAACTTAGGAAATCCACGTGGAAAATAAAATGCTTTATTTTTCATGTGGATTTCAACTAAAAATAATTCTTAGAAAAAATATTTCTGATGTTTCAAAGTGGACTTCTGTCCTCAAATTTTTAAATTTGGAAAATTCAGAGATTTGTCAAAATTTATACGTTTCAAATCAGAACGTGGATTTTTTTGAAGCTTCCACGTGGATTTTTTTGAAGCTGAACAATGAATTTTTTCAAAATTCATTTTTTTTTCAAAAATTTCCAAATTTCTTGAACCAAAAATTCTGAGGCTACAAATTTAAAAAGTTTTTAGATCTATGAAAAAAAAACAATTTTAGGAGCTGTGCTCAAAATTTTCTGAAAAGCCTAGAAACTCGTGTGAATCTCCCAAACAAAATCCACGTGGCCAGCCAGCCTCAAAAAAAGGTCAACCAACAACTTTCCAGCAAGAAACAAAAAGGCAATCTAACATCAAAAAAAGAGTTCGCCAGGAAGTCCATTGTCTTCCACAACAATCATTCAGTGTCTCCGCCAAAAAAAAGTTCAACCACAAAAAATAATATATAAAAAATTGCTTTCGATTCGGAATCGCATCTCAATTGTTTATACAATTTCTTTCGCCTCCCAATGTTTTGTGGTCGTTTCTTAAGTGAATTAGGAGACGGACTATTTTTTATTTATAGAGAGAAGCGTGAAAAATAAGGAGCAGAAGAACATTCATTTCAAGTTGTTTTTGTTGATCAAAAAAACATATAAATTAATAATAATAACATCAACGTGGTCGACAATGAAGAGGAGAACGAAGAACCTGCAAAAACATACAGTGTGAAACGTAGAAGTTCCGGGAGATTTAGAACTAGATCAGTTAAAACAATCAGGCTTACCCGTATTACGATATCGCCAATTATAAGAAGAGGAAGAAGAAACTGAATATGTATTATACTGTAATCTTTTCGCAATATAAGAAGACGCATATTCGCGAGATCCAAACGGCGAAGCATAACAATCTTCACTATTACATTTATCAGTGGCACAAAAACACCAATGCTCCGTAATATCATATTGTTCAAAATCGCGTGGAAGATATTCGCCAACATCTGACGGTCGAGAATGTGAACCTAGGCCAAGATGAAGATGTTGATCATCGGTCAGAAAACTGGCGGAACAACCACGACCGACACCGAGCACTTTTGTATAACCGGTTTGTTTGTGGGTGCCATTTAGAAAGAAGACGAAGCATGTTGAATGGCAGTTTTGATAGAGATCGGAGATATAATCACGAGCTGAACATTCTGCGTCGCTGGCTGAGATGTCGTAGTTTCGTTTTAGAAAAAAGTGACGCCATTGCTGAAAAATTTTTTGAGAGTTTCGAGTTACAAATGTAGGTTTGGGTAAAATTTTGAGGTTTGATCATGAATCAAATTTCAGAATTTGAAAATTTTTCGAACTTGTGAGGTATGATCTTTAAAATTTCATGAAACTTTGTTTTTCGAATAAAAAATATGTAATCGATAAAATTTCTGATTTTCAGTCGTTAGAAATTTCAAGAATAATTATACATCAATTTTTTTTATTCTTGAATTTGTGTGAAATTTTTTTGACTGTTATGATTTGTATTTGTGAAGATTCAAGTTTTTTTTAATGTTAATTCTGCCCAAAAAATAATTTTTTAGGCTTGAATGTTTTGAAAATTCAAGTTCTTGAATAATTACAAAATTTTTCAGATTAAAAATTTCTGAATTTTTTTATTTCTGAGTTAAATTTAACGCAAAAATTTCGAGTTGAGGAATTTCAATTTTTTCTAATTTTTTCTCCAAACTTCTTAATTAAAAAAAAAAATTATCTTTTGAAACACCTCTCAAAATGAATATTTTTTGCAAAAGCATCTGATCATTTTATTATTCTAATCCAACTCCAGAATGCAAATTTTCTGGCTTCCCAAATTATTTTCAGAATTTTCTAGTCAGAATCACAAATATTCATTTTCGAAATTCGTTTTCAACCTCGAAGAAACAACTCACCCAAACAATAAAATCATTAGCACACGAATAGCATTTGATCGCCTCAACTCCACTATTTCGACCCAAAATCACACAAAAAATCGATAAAATGCACACCAAATTCAAGAGGCCCAAGAGCATTGGAGCATGTCAGACCAAAGGAGGACCTGCAGAACAAAAAACACTTTTAAACTTTATGAAAATCTAGAGGACACTAGATACTTCAAATAAAAAATGTCAAGATCAGGCGAGATAAACTTTCGAAAAATGGAAAAAAAGGAAAAAGTGTAGGGCAAAAAAGTCGAGGAGAAAATTGTTTTGTTTATTCTTATTTTTTGATAGCAATTATGTGGGAGATTTGCACTTTTAGGGAGATTTTGTGATGTTCAAAAAAAGGAAAACTGAACAAACGACCTAGAAAACCATCTGAAAAAATAGTCCCCACTTCAAAATCTAAACCATGACTCAGTAAAAATAATTTCAAACCACTTTTGGATAAAAAGCAAAGCACTTTTCATCGGATAGAGATATATGCAAAAAAAAATCCTCACATTTTAGCGATGTGTTCATTGCCCCTCATCTTTCATGTACTACTTACTTGACACGCACATGTCATGATTTGCTTTTTTCTCACCCACCCCTATTTTTATGAGTTGGGACACACACAAAAAAGCGAAGAGCAGCAACTGAAATCTTATTATCTACGAAAAAGTGCACGATTTTTTGCTGGATAAAATTTTGGAGCAACTAAAAACAAAACAAAAAGTCGCGTTTTTCGGAACACACAAACTAATTTTTGGGATCTGAAGGGAGAGAGGATTTTTGTCTAACGAATCGTGAATTGTGAATTGAACACTAGAATTTGGCTGGGGAGAAAAAAGAAGAGGAGAATTTGGGGCTGGAAAAAACAATAGGCTTTTAGGTTTAGGCTTCAGCAAAACTTCTAGGATTAAAAAATCACAAAACTTTGAAAATACAAAATGATTCTCTAAATATTTTCTGCGGAAAAATCAGGGGTTCTAAAAAATAATTTCAAAACAAAAAATAACGCCGTGTGTGAGAAATCTGGGATTAAAAATAAATAAATGAATTATTTTTGAAAATGTTGAAAATCTCGTCTAATCCAGGATTTAAATATTTTTGAAGCTAAAACTTTTTTTGAAATCTTGGATGAGATTATGAGTTGGAATTTGAAATATTGGAATTACGAGACTTCTGGAAATACAACATCTCATAAATTTCAGAATTTGAGAGTGATAAAAAATCTGCAATGCGTTTTTTTCTGAAAATCCCCAAGCACCAAAACACACGTTTTTTTTCTACAAAAAAGAAGCACTTCAAAATAAGTCTAGCTGAAAATATCCTTGCAAAATATCCAAGAAGTCCAGAAAAACTATACAAGATTAGTCTATGAAAAGTGACTATGAGAAAATGAAAAAAAAAAGAAAACCCGATTATAGAAATACACGATTAAAATAACAATAGTTGTTTACTTCAGCTTGGAACAGCAATACTTGAAAAATAAATAAATAAATTTTTGACCATTATTTTGGGCTAATATATTTTTTGATGAAATAATTAACAGAATGGCGTAGCCTAGGAGATATGATGATAAATTCAGTGCACATCACTGAACTTCTTTGGTAAAAAACAAGGGTGACTAAAGTAAAACATCACAATTTTTATACATTTTATAATAGATGGGTGTTTGAGACATTGAGCAGAAAACGAAGAAAGGATTATCATCGTGGCAAAAGGAAAGGACGAAAATTCCTGTGTTTTTTTGTTCGCGCCGTTTTTCGATTAAAATTATAACGAGGAGGAGTCGACTCTAATTTATGCACTTTTCCAGAAACATTTCTAATTTTTGAGAATTTGGTCTGAAATTTTAGTCGAACCTATGAACTTTCAGAGCTCTGAATTTTTAAATATTTTAGCTTCTAACATTTGGGCCAAGATAACAATACAGTAATTTTAGACACTAGAAAAATCAGATCTACAAAAAGAGTTTTCGAAGCTCCGAAACTTGCCTCACAGTAACTTTTCAGAAGCTAGAAAAAAATTCAAAACCAAAACCACACCGAAACTAGGCTTTTTCAAAACCACTACGAATGAAGCAAAAAAATCGGAAATGCATGAAAAAAGTGCGGCGACGGCAACTAAACGGAAACATTTTCGCCTATTTTCTTCTCAAAAAAGGGTGCGATTTTCTGGGACCACGGAGAAAAAAAACAAAACAAAACAAAACAAAACCGACACCATCATCAAAATCGAATTATGTTGTTCGCCCCCTGAAAAACTGGGAAGGAAGAAGAAAGGGGAGTGGAAGATGATGGGGTAATGATATTATTTTATTTTGGTGTTGGAGGATGAGATGGGGTTAGTTAGTATTTTGGGAGCGAAAATGGGGGAGAATGTGAGCAAAATGGGATTATTTGAAATATTACTGGCTTTGCTCCTTTTTGAGAAGCGGAAAAGGTTTGCCGACAATAACTTTTTCGCTTGTTTATATTTATTATGAAGGAAAAATGAGACCTGGGGGAAATTATGGGAAGAGTTTTGGAAAAAGGGGAAAGTTGGCCACGTGGAAAAAAATTGGAGCATAATTTCTAGAAAAAATTCCACGTGGCATTCGTGAGCTCTTTTTTTGTAGAAAATTCATGGGCTTAGGTGTTCGCGTGATAATTTTTTTCACCAAAAAAACTTGAAATAAAATTTTGGGGTAGGTCAAAAATAAACATTTCGTGACAATTTTCTATCGCTGGAAGCTAGAAGCTAGAGCCACGTGTATTTTTTTTATATAAAATTCAAAAATCCACGTGGATTTTGTGTGCCAGAATTAAGATTCGATTGAAAATCCACGTGGCAAAAAAGTACAGTTGAAAAACCTCAAAAATTTAAAATTGAAAAAAAATTTCACGTAGAATTCTCGAAGCCATTTGACAAACTTGAATAATAGAAAAAATTGTAATTTTTCCACGTGGCAAAGTGAGGCAAAAAGTTGCTCAAAATAAATTCCAGATTCTCTAGAAAACCCAGATTTTTGATTCACATGTGTTTTGTTTTTTTCTAGAATTTCACAAAAAAAAAAACAAATTTCATGAAAAATATGTTTTTCCGCTTCACATCATCATCATCATATCTCTTCTCTTTTTGCCTTCAAAAGTCACTCGGAAATTCAATAAAATATTCCGACATATGTATTTATGACAAGAATTTCATAAATACATATCAACACCGAAAAAATGAAGAAGAAGAGGTTCCGAATGGAACTGGATAAAATGGAAAAATGACTTTTTTTTGAGGAGAAAAATTGAATCGAAAAAAAATAGTAGGGCGGGGAGAAGAAAGTGCTCTGTGAGCACACACACACACGCACAAATTGATGTTGAAACTTTTGTGCAAAACTTGCCGGATATCATCCTTTTAAAGAGGAGCTCCGCATGGAGAAGGGATAAAATTTTATGGTCTCTGATACTTTTTTTGAGAGAATTAAAAAAATTCATTGAGAATCCCGAATGAGATTTTTGAGATAAAGAGCATCTTGGGTGAGCCCACGTGGAAAATGAAGTGTTCGAAATCCACGTGGATATTTTTTGAAAAAAAAATTTCAAGTTCAAATTTAATTAGATTAATTTTTTTTTCAACAAAAGTTCAGAATCTCTGAATTTGACACGAGATGAAATAAACTTTTATGGTCTCTGAATTTTCCAAAAAAAATTCATTGAAATTCCAAAAATCCACCCCAAGAAAAAATGAAGGCTAAGTAAAACACTTTTTTTTTCGTCGGAACACACGAGAACAATAGAAAAAAAGGACCAAAAAAAGATTTTTACACATTTTTCATGTTTTTTTCTCGCGCGGTGCTCCAAAAAAAGCAACTTCTCATAAATCTTCTTATTGGCGCCCGAGAAAAAAATAACAACAAAATTTTTAATGAAAAAAATTGTGTGTTGGGGTGGGGTGTCTATATAATTTAGTTTCGGCGGGGTGAAAACTCGATTCTATATTTTCGATGAGAAAAAAAAGTGGGAGAGAAAATATAGAAACGAATCCCGTTGGGAATCGGAACCCTGCCTGCCTGAATTGACATTTATACGAACATGTGAAAATATTTGGTCATATTTGGCCGTTTTTCGTATAAGACTATGTATGTTTTCGGAGATTTTTTGTGTTGTTTTTTGGCTCAAAAAAGGGATAAAGCGGGAGGAAATAGAGATCAAGAAATGTGATGTTTTTGGTGGAAGAATAATAATCATAGCATGTTTTTTTTTTGAAAAACAAAACCACGTGGCAAAATTTATGATTTCTTCAGAAATCCACATGACTACACAGTGTGCACAAAAAAAACTTCAGATTTTGCGAGAGCAGAATTTCAAAATGCCACGTCGAAAATTTTGATTGGAAAAATCTGGAGACTGAAAAAGAAATTCTACAATTCATAATTTTAGTCCAAAACTCCACCTATCAAAAATTTCTTTCTAAAAAAAATTTGTGCAGCTCAAAGACCACTGCGAATCCCACGGTCCAATAGTCAAATTAATAATTCTCAACCAATCGAAAAACAATAACTTCTTCTCAAATATACTATCTTTGTCGAAAACAAAAATTTTTCATTTTTTTGAGGCGAAAAAGGTGGGCAAAACAATCGGGTCGTCAGTACATTTCGTGAGAAAATATAATAATGAATAGTATTGTGTGGAGGAAATTAAAAATATAAATTTTGTTTTGAGTCGCCTTCTGACAAGCCTCTCTAAAAGTAATACTTGCTGTTTGCCCCTAAATTACTACTATCGAAAATGATTTATTAATGTGACACATAAAATATCAACTGGAAAAGGAGAAAGCTAGGAAGGGGGAACGAAAGAAAGAGACTAGAGAGATTCTAAAACACAAAGTGAGGATAATTAATTGTAATCGAGCATGCGGAACGGGACCTTTTTAGGAATTAGTAGAGTGAACAAAATTGGGCTCTGAAGTCTTATTTTTGAGCGAAAACATTCTAGAATCAGCCAAAATGGATCAATTTTCAAAACAAAGCACGATTTCACTACTGAGAAGCTTAGATTTGAGGAAACAACACAAAAAAAGAGCACCTGTTCATAATTTTGCGCTCGAGACAAAGGACAAATTACGCAGAGAGCAAATTGGAGGGGAGGAAAACTGGTAGGTGATTATGATGAATGTGATGAGATTCGAGCGACACCTGCCAACAAAATTAGTTCGCACTTTTTTTCGAAATTCTATTCCAAAAAAATATAATAAAGTGGGAACAGAAAGGTGGATTTTCCGAGAAAAAATATATAAAAAATGATGACATGATGACTTTACAACTGTTCCAACTGGCAGATGGACAAGGGAAACATCGAGATTTTCGTGTTTCAAAAAAAAACAGAGATACATGTTTTGTGGAATAGGAAGTAAAATTTTGAAGCTCAAAAGTCTACGTGGAAAAAATTAGAAGTCAATTTTTGCTTTAAAATTTGATACTTCATTATTTCTAAAAGTGATAGAAATTTCTACCAATCCACGTGGATAATTTTTGAAATTAAATTTTTTATTCCTAGAGAGTTATAATAAATCCACATGAAATTCCTCTACCAGCATAACTATCAATAAAATATCTGGAGAAAACCCAGGTAAACAACAACCCTACAAATTCACCTGCCTAGACAAAATTCGTATGAAAGAAAATGTTAAGCCTCTCAAAAACAACAAAAATCTTGTCATTCACCAATCAAATGCACACAATTATCAAAAAAGATGTATCTACACCTGTTACATCTTTTTCGATTCGACAAGTGTTAAATGATTTGTGTAAGATTGTTTGGATTAAAATAAAATAATTTCTTGACGAAGCAACGAGAAAAAATATATAACCTAGTGGGTCTGCTTGATATCAAATTACAAATGGAAATCTATACATATCAACATCCCTTTTTTATTTCAAAAAAAGGAAGAAAAAAACAAAGCTTACTTTCCGACTTTTTGAGTTTCCTCTTTCTTCTTATTTTCCATCAAACTCAAATCCTTCGCATTTTTCAGAGCTCTCGCAACTTTCAATCGTTTCTCATTCGAAGCTGGATTCTTCACACAATCCTCTTTCGATCCACGTCTAATCTTTTTCGATGATCCACTTTGACCTCGCAACAATGTTGTGGCTCGAATTCGATCATTCACATTAGTCTCAATCGGATATTTTTCATTGTTGATTGGTTGTTTTGCTGATCCTGATGATTGTTGAGCTTCTTCTTCATTCACTGTTTCAACACAAGTGGCTTCGGTTTTTAGATTGTATTTGCTGCGCAGATATTCGTTGGATTCTTTGAGTTTCTCCAAATTGTCGGCTGTCTTTTTAGCAATCTCATCGTCTGGAAAAAATTCAAAAATTTTCGCAATTTTTTCCCTCTGAACTCACTCTTCTTAACCATCTCATTTGTCTGCTCCTCTTTCTCTCTACTCATTTCCATCGTTGGCGCAGGCACCAAATACTTTGAAAGGAAAGTGTTCTCCTCGGCTTGCGGTTTATTCACCGGCCCATATTTTCGCGGTGATTCGAGTTTCACTGGCTCCGCGACTGCTGATTTCAATGGATCCGTCTTTTTATCATCTTTCGGTTTCTCAACAGGTTTTGAGGGCACTTCTTTCGGCTTTTCTGGTGCTAGGACTTTCGATACATCTGAAAAAAATCATAGTTCAAGTTTTTGCAACTTCCGAAAAAATTCCTACTCTTTTTGTCCAGTTCTTTCGGTTTTTCCACAGGCTTTGGGGCAGGCTTTTCAGGTGTCAATTTCTTGTCCGCCTCTTTTGGTTTCTCCACAGCCTTTGGAATGGGATCCTTGGGCTTTTCAGGTGTCACATCTATAACTTTCGGCGGAACTGAAAATACAATTTTTCTAGAATTTCATTTAAAAAACCTTTAAAAAAACTAACCCTTCTTATCCAGCTCTTTTGGTTTCTCCGCGGGTTTATTATTGATAGTTTCCTTCTCCTTTCACAATCAAAGGTTTTGAAGGAGCTGAAATTTGCATATTTTCTAGTGCTGGAACGTGTAACAATAAACTCACTTTTCTTCAAAACCTCCTTCTCACTCAATTTCACTTTCGATGGATTTTTCGATAGCTCGCCTTTCTTCGATCCCTCCATTTTCATCGCTTTTTTCTCCTTTTTCGAACGACCTTTCGACTTGTCGATCTTCTTTGATTTTTTCGATTGGTTAGCATCTTTTTTGATTCCGATGTTAATTTTTACTGAAATTAGAATTAGTTTAATTATAAGTATATCACAGCTAAATAAAATCTGAGCTAAAAAAGAAAAAAAAATGAATAAAACACTTCCCCCTCTTTTGTCTGCAAACACCGCTGCATACCGTATCGGCGGTAACAGAAAAAATTTAGCTGTGTAATTTTTTTTTTGAATTTTTAGCCCAATCAACTCACCGTTTTTCATTACAAAAGCCTTATAAAATGAGGAGATTTCATGACGTATTTTTTCGTATGCAAAAATGGGTCACGTGGAAAATCAAAAGGTTCGTAAAACTGGAACTATGCTCTGATTTTTATTAGAAGTTGCAGATCTGATGATCACATTTCGATAAGGTTTGTGAATCGCAATCATAACTACTGTAGATATCAATCCATGAATACTGACAACAAGTGTTATTATATTATTTGCAACTTGGTTATGATAACTATTCAACATTGAATAAATAATATAAAACATTGGTATGAGCAATATCCCAACAGCTATAGAAACTTGAATACATAGTGATAGAAAAAACATTTTCTGAAGTTGTCTAGTTTGTCGAGAGATACTCGTTGTAGTCAAGAAATAATATAACATACTGAATACGAAAAAAGCATCTTGACTGAATTGACAAATCATCATTGCAGATACACAAATCATAGTGGTTTTTGTATTGGGATCAATCACATAAAATGTGGGATCATCTATGATATAATCTGGGATATGTGGTACTATTTGTTTGATATAAAGTTTCGCCGAAACCTGATCGGGTTTCTCATAAACTGCTGGTACAAAGAAGATCAAGGCAAACAAAAAGTTAAGCCCCAAATAAATGTACCGTTTGATATGCCAAGCAGTAGTTTTCGAATAACATTTGACGATCAGCGAGCTGTAGCGATTCTCAAAACATAATAAAACAGAACAAGCGGTCAAGCCGAGACTCGCCGCACCAAACCAAGTTTGCACTGCATTACTCACACCCAATTTTTGAAATAATCCAAAAGCAATTCCTCCAGGAGCCGGGATCGTAAGATATGGGATGAGTAGAATAGTTAGGGTAAAATCCAAAAATGCTCCAAAGAATAATAAACTGAAGAGACACATTTTAACAGATTTCATTTTTGTTGGAGTTTTCATTAGAACACAATAGGCTCCGAGGGTATGAGCAGGTAATTCGATTGCGATTAGCGCGTGAGATCCATAGATTAGAAAATCAGGAGATTCATAAAAAGAGAATGAAGACATCTATTGAGAGAAATAATAATCTAATAAGTTGATTAGGCAGGAAATTTGCACGCCGTGTATGTGTGCAGACGAAAATCTAATCATAAGTAATTCGGGTAATAACATTCATAGAATAATGAGAACCATAACACAATATTGTGATAGAAATATTTCTGGACCAAGAAATGGATTCACCTTCTCTGATCATGAGCATAGTTCATTGTCAGATCGGATCAGAAAAACACATGTACTTCGAAAGAATTTCAGCTGTTTTCTAGAAAAATTGAGCTCCGATTAATTAAATTGTTTCCTTTCCAAGAAAATAGCGTTTATTATTTATCTGACTTTGGCAATGAGCTCGAGTTTACAACAATACTTCAATGAGCAATTCGCAAAATGCTCTGCTGAATCAATTTTGGCACGTGAGAATTTCATGTCCTGGACAGCTCATGCGTTAACCTTGATCGCATTTCCACTCAACTTCCTCTCACTTTTTTGTATCATTTTCAAAACTCCCGAAAAAATGCGATCTATGCGAAATAGTATGTTATATTTTCAATCCATGTGAGTCAGCCAGTCTCGAAAAAATTATAAATTCCAAGACTAATTTCAGCTGTGCTTTTAATGATATTTTATTTTCAATCTTTATGTGCCCATTCATATTTTACCCGTATTGTGCTGGTTTCACAATTGGACTTTTGAATGATCTAAATGTGCCGGTCTCTGTGCAATTTTGTTTCGGAGCTGGAGTTGTGACTTGTGAGTTGAAGCAAAGTTCGATCTTCTCAACAAAAAAAATATATATTTTCAGCAACAGGCCTGGCAATTCCAATAGTTCTCGAAAGTCAACATCACACTCTAGTCAAAAACTACCGACTCAGCGATTTTTCTCGCAAAATTTTCATTGGAATAAACATCTCAATGGCCTATATTCTATTGTTCCCAATGGTTCTTATAGCTCCAGACCAAGACTGGGGAAGACTGGAAATGCTCAAGAAGTTACCGTGTCCAGCAATAGAATTTTTCCAACATGATATCTTTGTTCTCGCCATTGACAACACCGCAATGGCTGCTTTTATGACAGTAGCCTGTCTTTTCGCAATATCTTCCGCGGTTTTTTTCACAAGTCATTCAATCTTCGAACTCACTAAAAAACGGGTGGATATTTCTACGGCGACTAGAAAACTTCAACAAAAATATTTCATCAAAGTTTTTATTCAAATCGCTACCCCAGTTTTTATTATGATTTTCCCACTAATTTATTTGATTACGGCGATGCGCAACAATTATTACAATCAAGGTAAGAAAGATCAAAGAATTTTTCTTGCAATTCAATTGTATTTTTCTAGCTGCCAATAATTTATGCGTTCTAATAATCCTATTCCATGGTGTAAGTGCCACAACAATCACAATATTTACCTACAAACCATACCGAAGATCAGTTCTCCGATTAATTTCTTGTGGCTATTATAGACCAGATGATCAAAGAAAACTATTCAAAGTTTCACTAAAGCTAGAAAAGTTACAAATATAAAATCGAAAAAAAGAATAAAAATTGGAATTGTGCATCAATAAATGCCTAGGCTCATTTCATCGACATGCTTATCATACAAAAATGCACATCATAATCATTCAAATCATCATCGTCCAACCCATTTTTCTTCTAAACACCTTATGTATAAAATGCAAACGAATAAACACATTTTTTTATCGAAAAACTTTTGATTTTATCATTTTTCGACTTTCAATGAAACGTCATTTTTTCGATCGTTTTTGTTAGCAAACAATTCTCATTTTTCGGCCAAACTTTTTTCTCGTTTCGTTTCCCAAAAAAGTTTCCATGGCAGTCTCTAATGAGTCACCTAGCAACATGTGTGTATTTTAATTTTTTGTGTTTGTCTGACAACAAAAACGAAATTTAACCTTGAAAGTTCGATGAGAGATAGAAATGGGTGAGGAAGAGTTTATTTATGAGAATTTGTTTTCGACGAGTTTTTGAGATTTGCGACTCTTCAGAGATCACGAGATTAAACCCTTTTTGTTAGATTTTTGTTGCCATATAATCAATTCATCCGCAGGTGCATAATTTTCCTCTATTTTCTCATTAAAAAACTCTCCTTTATTTATCTTTCTTTGTGTAAGAATTTATTGTTTTTGTCCGAAAAAAAAAATAAATAAAAAATGTGGCCTAGAAAAACAATTTTCTCGGCCATATTTTTGTGTACTTCTCTCGAACAATTTATTTATTTTTTTTTTCATTTTTTATTTCTCACAAAAAGTTTGTTGTTTCAGTAGTTTCTAAATGGCTAGAAAACGTGTGATAGAGAAAAAGAAGAAGTTAGTTGATGGCGCATTACTTCGTGCAATAAAAAGTGGAGTTATTCTAACTTCGCCACGTCGTCGTGTGCAAACAGTTTTGCATCAAGCACCAGTATCAAAAGTTCAAAAGATCGTGAAGAGAGGTGTGAAAATTGCAAAGATAGCGAAAGGTGTCGCGAAGCCAACGAAGAATAACAAGAAAGAGAAGACCAAAAAACAAGTGACAGAGAAGAAGGCGGCGAAAAAGGGAAACGACAGATTGGTGCCAAGAGACGGTGTGCCGAAATACAAGGAAAATCCGTTTTTCACAGATGCAAAACCTGCTGAATACATCAGCTCACACACCTATCATCGCTGGCTTATTCGTGCGATTCGGCGAGGAAATTTGAATGAAATCAAAGATTTTTATAAAAGTCAAAGGTATTTTTGCTATCAATTGTTATCGAAAACTGGAGCGTTTCTATCATTGCTGCGGTAGTCCTTACGCGTTATAACTGTGCAATCAGCAGATCCTTCTCCATCTGGAATTGATTGACTAGGCCCACGTTTTGGCCCCATTGGAACAACTATTGCATTATTTAGGGTTCCTTCATAATTCTTAGAGATATACGCTTTATCTCCAACTTTCAAATCATTCAACTTTTGAGCAGGCTTGTTGTCAGACATCTGCAAAAAACACATTATTCAGAATTTATCAAAATAAAACTGCTGTGTTTATTTCTTTCTTGAACACCCTTTTTATACCAAAACTTTTGGGCGGGCTAAGCAATTTTTTGAAGATAACTACGATAATAAAATGGGAAAATAATAAAATTAGTTCATTATCAAAAAAAGTCATTAACCGTCCTGAAAACTGAGTCATGTGAACCATCTGATAAGAAAAAACCTAAATTTTTGCAGAGCATCGCAAGCTTCTGCATACCAATCATTCTCCAAACACAGCTTGATCACTGCGCAATATGAAGCTTGCCGCGCAAAAGACATCAAAATCGCCAGTGAAGTTTTCAAAGCGGCCAAGAAGATCGAGCACAATCCAGAATACAAAAATTTCCCTGAGCCAAATCTATTGAAGCCAAGACATACGGGGAGATCGAATTTTTATATGATCGGAAGAGCGACTCGAGCCATCGAATGTTCACGGGGCGGGAAAGAAGGGAATAACGCGTTGTTGAATTATGATTATGAGACAAATTACCAAGATTTGCTTGATAAATTGGTTCAAGATAATACACCGTATACTAAGCTATATCAATTGTGTAAACTTGAAGAGTGTCGTGAGTGAAAACCCCCTTCTTATTCAAAATTCAATTCGACATTTTTTTCAGTTCTCAGCGAACCATCTTTGGAGAGCAAATTAGTTGTGGCGGTTCGTCGAGGACATCGCGAATTGGCTTCAGCTTTTGCTCAAGGCGCTGCTCGTAATCACACCAATGAGTTGCATCGTCAAACGTTGAGTGGCGACAAACTTGGTGCAAAAATCCTACCAGTCTCAGTCATCAAAAAATGTTTCATGAATCGCAACATCACTCCACTTCACACCGCAGCCATCGGAAAAACCAGCAAAAATCTCGAAACTCTTCGAGCCGTCTATCCAACCATTAATATTCCCGATCAAGATAATTGGTATACAATTCATTATGCGGCTGTTGCAGAGACTTCGGATAATTTGAAATTCTTGTTGAAGAACGGTGGAACTTGCACAATGGTGAATAAGAAACAGGAGACACCATTGCATGTGGCAGCGCGTGCTGGAAGAGGCGAAAATATCAAGATCATATTGAAAGAGATTCTAGATTTGGAGAAGGATGGAGGAGAGATTCGAGCAGATAGAAGCTTGGTAAATGCAAGAAATCGCACTGGAGTTGCAGCCATTCATTTGGCAGTTATTCATAATCATCCAGATGCAGTGGAAGCCCTTCTTACCGAGGAAACTGTTCTCGTTAATTTGCCCACTTCAACTACTACCAACAAAGCGACGCCATTGATGGTGAGTGAAGATCTTTCAGAATTTTCCAGCTATAATTATTTCCAGCTCGCCGCTGCTCACGGTCACCTCGAACTCGCTGAAAAACTCATCTCAAAAGGCGCGCTCATCGAAGGCAAAGACAAGAAGAAGCGAACTCCATTGATCTACGCGTTGATGAATGGACAAATCCACGTGGCGGCTATGTTATTGGCTCGCGGAGCAAATGTCTCAGCTGCTGATTCATCCGGAAATACTACCGCGCATTACGCCGCCGCCTATGGATTTTTGGATGGTTTGAAATTGTTGGCTGAAATTGATGCGGACATTCTCAGCGAGGATAATGATTGGGCACTTTACCCATTATCGGTTGCGTATTTAAAGGGACATTATGGAATTGTGACGTGGCTTTTGGATGGTGTATACAAGGATAAAGTGAATATCAATGCGAAAGATAATTCGGGAATGACGCTTTTATCATCACTTATCAGATATGCTGATGAAGACAATCATTTTCAACTTGTGGATCAGGTTAAATATCTGACAGATCGTGGAGCTAAGGCTGATTTGGAGGATAGTGATGGGAACACAACACTTCATCATTTCTCAGCAATGTTGGTGATTTTGAAAGGAAGCGGTGGAAATCCACGAAATGATCGATTCCAAATGGATGGCAAGCAATACAACAAGATTTTCGAATTACTTCTTGAAGCTGGCGGAAATGTTGAGGCGAAAAATGCGCAAGATCTCACACCAGTTCATCTCAGTTTATCATCAGGAAATCTTGATCTCTTCAAAATAATGCTCAAGAAAATCAAAGATCCGAAAACATTGTTCGAAAATTGGGCAAAAGAGAAGAACTTTTTACACGATATTCTTTGCTTGCCAATGAATGTCTACAATAATACGTTGTTATGGAAGGCGGAAACTTTGAACAAACCAGTTTATGATATTCTTCCGATTTTGAAAGATCTCTACAAGGTTTTTTTCAGTTTCTGCTTTGAATCTTGGAATCTTGGAATAATATTTTTTTCTAGAAAATCCCCGAACTCTTCCCAATCTGGGTCAATCAACCGGACAAATTCGGGGTTTCTCCAATCGTCGCGGCTGTCAAAGAATACGCAAAATTGCAAGCTTTCGAAGATGGAGGATTACAGCCAGCTCGGGTATGTTTTGTAGAATTAGGAAAAAAATTGAAATCCAAATATTCAGACTTTTGCGCAATCTAGAAATTGCGGTGGCAGACATCTCTTACATTCTAACTCGAGAGAACTCGTGGTAATATATTGATCTTGAAATTTCCCTTGTGTTGTGTTTGAGGCTCTCCTTTCCCCACTACAAAATGATCTTGATTTTCCAAAAAAAATGATAATTTTCAGATCTTCATCGCTACTGTCAATGAGGCGTTTGAATGGGTGATTCGATTGGATCCCGAACAATTGATCAAGGATTTCAATCCAACTCCAGATCCTGAACAAGAACAAGAACAAGAAAATCAAGTGAAGATTCCCAAATCATCCCTAGCAATTCACTCAATGCAAATCGCCATTGAAGATTCGGGAAAAAATGCCGAAAATCATCTAGCATTCTTCAAACTTCTTGTAAAACTTTCGAAAGAGTTCAACAAACTTGGCGAATTTTTGAACAAGACCAATGATGAGGAATATTCGCTTGTTATTGCGGCGGCAGTTTTGATGAAGCCAACACTTGTTGAATATATTTTAGATGTTGCCATCGAGAATCATCTGGTTGAAATTCATCATGCGGTGAAGAAAATGGGAGTTTTTGAAGATGCCGAAAGAGTTGAAGTCAACAAAACTCTTCCAATGCATCTTATCGAATTCGGAATGGCTGATTTAGTTCCAAAAATCCAAGCATCATTGGAATTCTGGAATCGTTTTGATACACGTGGCAATAATATCTGGCATTATGCTGCTAAAGTTAATAGCCACAATACTGTCGCATTATTCAAATTCATTGAGGGAAAAGGTGTGCAAAGATGTGTGAATAACAAGGGAAGAACTCCGTTGCATGAGGCGACTTTGGCGAATGAAGGATCAGCAAATGCTGTGTTGGAACCGATTGCTTGGCTGTCGACTAGAGATGCTGTGGGACATGTTGATGAATTCCATCGAACCGCTTTGCATTATGCTTTTGGAAATGAGAAAGAATTCCGGAAAGATAAATTGGCTTCTGCGGAAAGCGATCCTATCGCTGTTGTCTCATTGTTATCTTCCGCTATGAATCCAGCAGATTTGGATATTGTAGATATTGATGGAAATACAGCTCTTCATTTGGCTGCAATGAGAAATGCAACAATTTGCACAATGGCATTGATCAGAAAGAAATGCGCGATTGATATCAAAAACCATGATGGAAATACTCCTCCTTGCTCTAGCTGTACTTCTTGGAAGACATTCTACAACTTTAACCTTGATTCAAGCAAACGCTGATGTTTTGAGTGAAGTTAATCAAAAATCGAAGAAGAAAGATGACGATTCGAAAAATCAAACCGAATGGTATTGGTATGGTGAAGAAGAGAAGGTGGAGAACGATTTGAAGAGCAGTATTCCGGCACAAGTTGTCAGCAAAGGTGGAAGTTGGGAAGCGATGGTGTATGTTTTGCTGGATGTTTTGGGAACAAATGTGAATTCGATGGCACAATTGATTGATGCGGCGATTCGAAGAAAACAGTGGAATTTGGCGAATCAATTGTTGAAATCGGTCGAAACTATTTTGGATGGCAAAGTTTTGAAAAGCGATTATGATTTGTTGAACACTTTTGCCGAATTTTGTTTTGGAGAATTGAAAGATGATTCAATCGAGAAATCAGTTCTCGATCGAATTGTTCAAACTCGTGGATTAAGTTTGAAATCGCCAGACACCGAGAAGCATGTGAAAACAGCATTGGAATATGGAAATTGGAATGTCTTGGAGTTTTTGAAGGTACTATTTTCATTATATTGAATTTTAGAAAAAATTTAAATTATTTTTAGGAAAGCCTTGCTGATCAATGGAAAAACCTCGGTGCGAGCTCACCAGAATCCAATCCAATCAGATCTTTGATTATTTACATGTCCAAATCTGGTTGTACCAATCAAGCAATCGAATATCTCAACAAATTAGCAAAACTCAAAAATTTGAGCCTTAACAGCCCATGCCTTTTTGAAATTCCAAAACTTTACAAAGATGTTGAAATCGGATTATTGACACCGCTTTCCTGGGCAGCACTGATTGGTAATATTGGAATAATCAAAGCGTTGCGGCAAGCATCGGCAGATTTGAAGACACAAGATGAATATGGAAGAACTGCGTTGATGTATGCATTGATGTCAAATAATCGAAGTGTTGTGATCTCAATTGTTGGAGATCTGAATGTTGTTAGCTTCGGGAACACTGTTGTGAAAATTGATGGTCCCAAAAAGACAAATGGATTTGGCGGATTGTTTGGAGCGAAAACCATGGCTGTTCCAATGAAACCACCGGGAGCTATGATGTCAGTCAAAGCTGTGATGAGCCCGTTTGCAAATGTTGATAATGAGTCGGAGAGTGAAGATAATAGTAGCGATGAATATTCAGAAGATGATGAACCTGTGGCAAAGAAATCCAAGATTGAAGAGGCAGTTATTAAAAATCAATGGTTGAATATCAAAGATCCAGCGGTAATTTTAAAAAAATTCTATCATTTTCTTTAAAAAATCCCAAAACTTTCCAGGTTTTCCGACAAAAAGACAATGATGGAAATAATGTTCTCCACTACATGATCGAACCATTTGCCTGGGAAAATATCGAACTTCTCAATGATCTAGCGGCTGCCAATAAGAAATTGATTCAGGATTTGATTTTGGATGGAACTCTTGAATTGGCTGCCCGAAATTTGAATCGCAAGATGAAGAATGAGATGTTGAAGATTGTCAAGGGTGTGAAGATTCAGAAAAATGTTCAAAAGTGAGTTCCAAAAAAAATTTGTATGAAGAATAAAAAAACATTTTTAGCATTCCATTAACTCTACCACCTGTGAATTTCGCTAAACCATTAAGCAATGTTGACGAAGATTGCGAAAAGTTTTTGGCAAAATGGGCGAAAGAAAATGACAAGAAATTGACGGCCGAAGTTCCGAAACCGCACCGAATCTCGACTTATGAAAAAACCGGATTGGTTGAATATTGCAATGATACAAAACAGTACTTCAATGTTCTGATGAATAAAACAGATCTCAATTATGGAAGATATGGATTCCACAATTTCTACAGAATGCAATTATTCAAGAGAAGAGATTGTGATTTATGGATTTTGTTCACAAATTGGGGAAGAATTGGAATGGGAAATGGAGAACATCAGACAACACCATTCAATAATCTTGATCTTGCGAAGAAGGAATTCAAATCGGTTTTCAAATCAAAAAGTGGAAATGAATGGTGTAACCTGGATTCATTTGTTGATCAACCTAAGAAATATCGATTAGTGAGATCTGATTCAACACCAACTTCATTGACTGAAATCGAGCTTCCGAAATCAGCAGATATGGAAAAGGAGAAAGATGTTATTAGAAGATTTATCGCAGATGTTAGTAATGCTGAAAAACTGAAAGAATCAATGAGAAATGTTGGAAAGAATCCGAAACAACCATTTGGAAGATTCACAAAAGATCGAATCGCAGAGGCTAGAAATGTGTTGGATAAATTGGAGAAAAATGCGGAGAAAATTCAAAAAATTGTTGGAGCAAATGCGATTGATGAGGCGAAATTGTTGGAACTCCATTTGATAACAGTGAGTTGTTTTTAATTTAGAGATTTCTAATTGTTACCTCAAAATTTTCAGAACGATCTCTCTAGCGAATTTTATTCCCTGATTCCAAGTGGAGAATTCGAATTCTCCGCCCTTACTCGCTTGGATCAAATCGACGATATCAATCGTCATCGCAAAAAGTTGAATCGCTTCGAAGAAATCGAAACAGCTACCAGATTTTTGTGTGGAGCAGCTTGGAAATCAAACGAAATTGATAGATTGGATTATATCAAATCAGCGATCGAATGCGATTTCAAGGAAACATCCCCAGATTCACCAATGAATCAGAAGATTCTTCAATGGATTTACAACAGTGGATTGAAGAATTCAACAATCCGAACAATTATTGAAATTGTTCCCAAAAAGGCTAGAGATGCTTTCGAACCATTTTTAAGTGATGACAATCAAAAATACCTTTTCCATGGAACCCAAGCCACAAATATCATGAGCATTTTGAAAAACGGATTTTTGATCGATCCACCAAGTGTATGCAGAAATGGAAGTTTATTCGGATCAGGAATCTATTTATCGGATAGTTTCGAAAAATCTGCACATTATTGTCATCAATCAGCTGGAAAGTTGAAATATATGCTGGTCTGCCAAACAGCTCTTGGAAAAGTTAAGCAAACTACAACTATTGGTTATCATGCTCAGCCAGCTAAAGAAGGGGTAAGCTAGTCTTTTCTGGAAGTTTGATAAAAATCAATAATTTTTCTAGGATGAAAACACCCTTCACTATATCGGCGAAAATGTTCCATCTGGAAGTTTGACTCACGAAGGAGTTGCTGTCCCACTTCTTCCACTCAAAAAACGCGAAGACGAAAATGAAACTCAAAATCGCTGGAATTATGGAAGTCTCGCGTATTCCGAATATATTGTTAGAGATCCAAATCGCGCACTTCCAAGATTTATAATTGTTTACAATTAGATAGGCGTCTAATTGTTGTTCTGTATTTTTTTTTTTTGATTTTTCTTCCTGCATCACCATGTAAATATGTTACCCTAATAAGTAAAATATTCAATAAACATGAATTTTCAATTTTTGCGAGATGTTATTCGTTTTTCAAATTATTTTCAGACTCAAAACTGGCATAGCCACGTTAAATGTCCGCAATGACACCATGACACAACCGTGCACACTTGCGACTTGCCAAGTGCAGCAAATGCGCTCTGTTGCACACTCATTTTCAATTTCTTTTTTTTTTCTTTGGGAACCCGGAAATCGGGATTTTCGGGACTCAATACGGGCCCGGATTGAATTTGTCTTACCTAAACAGTTATTACGTTTTTCATGGGCTTTTCCTCAAATTTCTTTGCCATCGAGGCACTAATGTTCCGTTTTTTCTTTGAAATGAGAGTTTTTCCGTGAACACAAAAAACTCACGTTGTTATTCAAAAATAAATAATTACGAGGTCACCTTTCTTATCTTGATCAGATCTCTCTTCACGTCAGTCAGACTTGAGAATGTTCAGCCACTTCTCGATTTCACTCAAGCCCTAATCGGCAGGAAAAATTGATTGAAAACAAGGTGGGTTGAACTGCTGGAGATTTTCATTCATTGTATTTGAAATTCAGATGAGAAATGATGATCAAGCAATGCTTTTTGAACTGAATTGATGATTTTGCCGTGAGTTTCGGTTGTACTGATGGGGAACTCGGTGAAAACTGGGATGAATGGGCAGTTCGAGTAGAGAACTCATGACACCGGGCAATTCGATGCCTGAGCGTAGCAAATTGTTGCGAATTGCATGATTTCAGCTCAAGTATGCTTATGCTCAAGTAGGTTATGCAGGCGGAAACTTGCGTCTTGAAACCACAAACCATTTTCAGCCGGGAAAACGCTTTGTCAATAAACTAACTTCGGGATTTATTTTTGTTATTTTTTTCTTTGTTTTCCTATTTTCAAGTTTTCTACGGTTCATCTAGGGAAATTTCTGATCAGGGACATAGTCCTAGACATAGGCTTCTAACTGGCTGTTTTTAGTGATTTGAGAAGTTCGAGCATAGTTCATGTGGTGGAAATTAAGATAATTCATCCTCTTTTTTCTGTTTTCTTAGGAGTTCTAGGTTTAGAAATAGGAAATGGAAACCCTTGTAAACTTACTAACTGTCTCTGTTCAATATAAGAGGGTCCAGAGTCAAAGTTATAGACAAACTATAGATCATTTTCCTAACCCATAATCTGAACCAATTTCCTTTAATATGGTCACATTTTGGTATGGTATTGTCAGTTTCTCAAAAAATGACCAATGGAAGAGCTTGCCCGTAGGTCGAAAATGGTTCTTCCAGCAGTCATTTTTTCTTGCAAAACTGACAATAATGGTTTAAAGAGTCATGGACATAGGCTCGTAAGGGGCTCTTTTCACGGATTTGAGAAGTTCCAGCATAGTTCATGTGGTGAAAATTAAGATGAATCTAATTCATCCTCTTTATTTTTTCTTTTTTTTTTAGGAATTTTAAGTTTAGAAATAGGAAATGGAATTTCTTATACTTCTTTTTTTAGGGATTTTAGGTTAAGAAATAGGAAATGGAAACCCTTGTAAACTTACTAACTGTCTCTGTTCAATATAAGAGGGTCCAGAGTCAAAGTTATAGACAAACTATAGATCATTTTCCTAACCCATAATTTGAACCAATTTCCTTGAATATGGTCACATTTTGGTATGGTATTGTCAGTTTCTTAAAAAATGACCAATGGAAGAGCTTGCCCGAGGTCGAAAATGGTTCTTCCAGCAGTCATTTTTTTTGCAAAACTGACAATAATGGTTTAAAGAGTCATGGACATAGGCTCGTAAGGGGCTCTTTTCACGGATTTGAGAAGTTCCAGCATAGTTCATGTGGTGGAAATTAAGATGAATCTAATTCATCCTCTTTATTTTTTTCTGTTTTTTTTAGGAATTTTAAGTTTAGAAATAGAAAATGGAATTTCTTATACTTCTTTTTTTTAGGAATTTTAAGTTTAGAAATAGGAAATGGAATTTCTTATACTTCTTTTTTATAGGGATTTTAGGTTAAGAAATAGGAAATGGAAACCCTTGTAAACTTACTAACTGTCTCTGTTCAATATAAGAGGGTCCAGAGTCAAAGTTATAGACAAACTATAGATCATTTTCCTAACCCATAATCTGAACCAATTTCCTTGAATATGGTCACATTTTGGTATGGTATTGTCAGTTTCTCAAAAAATGACTAATGGATGAGCTTGCCCGAGGTCGAAAATGGTTTTTCCAGCAGTCATTTTTTTTGTAAAACTGACAATAATGGTTTAAAGAGTCATGGACATAGGCTCGTAAGGGGCTCTTTTCACGGATTTGAGAAGTTCCAGCATAGTTCATGTGGTGAAAATTAAGATGAATCTAATTCATCCTCTTTATTTTTTTTTGTTTTTTTAGGGATTTTAAGTTTAGTACTAGGAAATGGAAACCCTTAAACTTCTTTTTTTTCTGTTTTTTTTTTAGAAATTCTATTCTAGATTTAGAAATAGGAAATGGAAACCCTTTAGTAAAGGTTCAGGGATTATAGATTCTCAGGTAAAAAAGAGAGAAAGACAACAAAAACATGAAATGACAAAACGAAAAAAAGTGAGTGATTTTTCACGTGGTTACGTGGCCAAATTGTCCGGAAAATCATTTCTCATTTCTGAGGTCCTCAGGAATGGTGCAATTTTCAATGTGAAATTGTTGAGTGGAAAAGTGGGCAAAAAATCATAAGATTTTCTAAAATCTGAGTCGCGAATACCGTTTAATAGAAACACTGAACAATTTTTCTCTGCAAATTGTTACTACCAGAAGGGCTCCGCCGGCTAACGCCGGCTCCTCCTTCTGGGTTGTCCTGGCTTCGCGCGTAGTGGTAATTAGGTGGTGTTTTTGATACGGTTTGATTCTTAAAAACCATACACAATGAAAAAGGGTGGAAACTGTTGGTGGGCATGCAGATGAGACTCAACAGTCGTGTTTTTTCCTTTACCGCCCGTTTTTCCTAATTCCGCAATGGGGCTGTTCAACGATTTTCTCAACACGCTGAGAAAACGGGAAAAATGCTGAGAAAAGCATTTTCTCAACAGTTTTCGTATTTTTTCACCCTACATAAGTTTTCTCAAACATTTCAGCGTTGAGAAAAGACGTTGAATAGTCCTATAACGACCAATTTTTCTGAAGCCTCCATTTTTCTCTTAAAATTATGCCGCTCCAAAGAATGTCATTTCTGAATTATGAAACAGTTTTTATCTTATCCTTTTTTTTCGAAAAATTAAATGAGAGCTCAAAAAATGCGAGGATGTTTTGTTTTCATGTTTTGGATAACTGTTCATAGAGTCTAGGATGACTATCAAAACATCTAGCTTGTACGCTAACTTTTTACAGTACAAAAATTTTAAATTTTTCAGTTTCTGTCCTCTAAAAATTGAGATTTTTCAATTTTTGACTTCTAAAAACTCAAATTCAGATATTTCAAAAAATTGTACTCTGGGTAGCCACGGCTTGGCCGAGTTGTGCTTGAAATTTCTGGCTCAAAAATTCTGAAACTTAGCTATTTATAAAAGTAGCTTTTGAATTAAATTTCAAGCTTTTTTGCCTAGAAATACAAATTTCCCCTTTCAATGAAAATGAAAAAAGGACGGCAAAGTCTATTGTTATGTTGGTTTTTCTTCCATGGCTCTAAAAAATTCGTATTGAAAACCTCAAAACCGCAATCCTCTTATTTTCAAAACTCTTTTTTTCTTCAAAAACACATTTCTCGCCTGTTCAAAGAAACGTTCTTTTCTCGTTCGGAGCTGTCTTTGTTCAACATTTCAAGAATTAACTAAATTTAGGTTATGGGGTTATTCAGGTTTTTCATACCTTTTTTTGGCCGAAGTGTTGGAATTTTCTAAACACGCTTAGAAAACAGAATTTTGATCACATACATTTTCTCAACCGTTTTCCTATTTTCTCATAGGACTATAAAAAAATAAAAATAAAAAAAACGGCAAAAAATGTGTTGCGAAACAAACGCAAAATACATTGAAAATGTCGAGAAACTGAGTTTCGCGACATTTTGTGCATTGTATTTTATGCTTCGAAACATGTTTTTTGACGTTTTTTTTCTTCGCGAATTGTCCCATCAGCTTTCCTGAACAGATTTGCTTCGTATTATCAACGTTAAGAAACTAACTCAAATATCCGAATTATTGAGAGACGTTTGAATTCAGATAAATTGCTGGAGCATTTGAAATATAGAATTGCTCATTAATTTCGATTCTGAAAAGATGGGTTCAGAGAAAAAAGTGTTTGAAAAAAAAAACAGAGTTTTCGGAAGAAAGAAGGTCTCAAACTCAAGCTTCAAAAATCAAAACCTCTTAACTTTTGAAAACCACACTTTTTTCATAACTTATCTTTCTTCCAAGAATTCATTTCTTTTTCCGAAAGCCTTTCCATTCCTAATCCTCCTGTTCAGAGCCTCAATTTCCGAGCTTGAAAAGAGAACCTAACAACAAATCATAACTCACAATCATCAATATAAACAGTAATCCCTTCTTCTAGTCAAATAAATTATTCCACATCTGGAAATTTGATAAATTTATCATTTCACCCTCTACAGTAGTTTGACTTACTTTTTGATGAATATTTTATTCCCTAGTTAGGCAAAGGGAAACATTGAGAAATGCCCAAAAATTGTTGACTTTTTCAGAGAATAGAAAGATCAGATAAGAAACGTGTCCTAATAATTTTTTCGAATAAAAACGTGATCATTCTTTTTTTCATGAAAAAAGTTTTGAATTTTAACGTGAAAACTCGCGCACTTTTTGAACAAATCAATATTAGCGCATCGATGGGAAAGAATTTGGGATAGAATGGTGAAGGTCCCATCAAAAATGGCCTTCTGGAAATTGAGTTATCGCGATGGACAGGTTTTATTTTCAAAAAATACATTGAGTTTTTCAAACTTTTACCGCTCCGCGCACCCCTGAGAGAGTCAAATTAAAAAGATTAGCTAGCCCACCAAGGTGCCAAAATTTGCAAACTTTTCATTTTTTGATCATCAATTTTCGTGATCGTTGAAGGTATAAACGGGGCCTGGACAAACTATTCAGTTTCCAATTAGTAGATAGTAGATAACAAAAAATCACCGTCAAATAACGACAAAAATCCTTTATTAGGAAAAAACGTAGACATTCCAAAAAAAAGTCTAGTGAGAATCAACGGGCTTTGAAAATTTTACAAAAAAAAACGAACACGAGAAGGTACTATGTACAACAGACCTATACAAAAAATGCTGCTTCGTATTAGAGAGAAAAATGACCTATATATAAAGACAAGCCCGAAAAGGGCCTACAAAAGTGGCCCGAGAGAAAAATATACAGAAAATTTACAGTTTTTTTTTCAAGATTAGATCAGTTCTCGACTATCGGCACAACATCTACAACCTCTCCCATGCCTTTAGTCTTTCCGTGTCTGAAAATAATCTGGTTTCCAGACCGGATGACTTCAGGCGCACAAGTCCAACGCATTTCCACTCGACACCATCGACCCTGTCGCATTAATCCGTCGTCGTAGATTTTTGTGATCGAAGCGGTTCCGCAGATGCTTCCGATGAATACGGTGGTTTGGAATCCTTCGTTGATTTGACGAGTCGGATGGTAGAGCAGAAAGAGATTGGCGCTGAACTCGAAACTGGCGATTGGTGGATGTTTGAGTGATGAGATGACCATTCCCTGGAAAATTGATGAATTTTTAGATCAATTTTCCTCCAAATCCCAAAAAAAAAACCAACCCTTCTCAATACAACATCTTTCCTTTCCACATTCAACGCAATCGACGCAGCTTCACCCGGATTTACACAAGCCACAGCTTGTCGACTTCGCCGAATACTTCCAATGCTCGCCTCGTGGAACATTCCATCTTTTGTTGGTCCCACCAAAACATTGGCGCCCTCATGAAGTTGTCCTTCCGACAACATTCCACCAACAACTTGTCCAACATGTGGCACTTGGAACAACTCTTCGATTTGGAAAAATGTGGGAAGACCGACGAGTTGTAAACGAGACTCGGCAGTTCCGGCGGTTGAGAGGAGGTTCATCAGGGTTCTGACGAGTCGAAACCCTTCGCCAGTCACTGAAGAGACGCAGATTATGGGCACTATTGAATTTGTGCATAATTGTTGAGCGGCTTTGACGGCGTCGCGTTTTGTTTTTACACGTTTTCCAAGTGTTGTCATGCCGGCTTTGTGGAGGAGAAGTGAAACATTTCGAATGACACTGAAAAATCATGGGTCTTCCCTAGAGTTCGAGAAAAATTTAGTACCTTTCAAGTTGTTGTTTATCCACCAAATCCTTCTTGGTAATCAGAACAAACATCGGAATATTCAGCGCGGCCACCAATCCCAAATGTTCCCTCGTAGCCGAAGTTGGTCCACAATCCGCCGCCACCACCAAACACGAAAAATGTGGAATATATCCGGACAGGCCGTGAATCGTTGTCTTCATATATTTATTATCACCAGCCAAATCGATGAGTGTGACGAGTTTTGTCGATTTTTCGACAAGTTCTTCGAGACTATTTTGCGAGTAGTTGACGAGTTTTCCACGATTATCAAACCCGACAACATCGATACATACAGAGCTCGTTTTTCCGGTGCGGACTTCGTGGGGGAAGCGGAAGAGATTGAGACGAGTTTTGCCGTTTCCGTCGTCGAGGGCTCCTTGGGTGAGCACGCCGCAAAGTGTCGATTTTCCGACGTCGGCAGCGCCGATGACTGCGAGCCTGCAAAAATTCAGAGGATTTAGGGTGCAGAAATATGGCAAACTGAACTTAATTCTAGATTTTGAAATTGCTTAGAAAATCTAATTTTTCACGTGGATTTGGGCTCCTAGACCACCCTCAAACTTTAAAAATGTCAGCAAATTTAAATGGCCCGCGAACCCAGAAATAAACATGATCTATAATGAAAGATATTCATCTCTAGATTGTCTGAATCTATATAAAAAGTTGCGAAAAAGCTTTCTCGATTATATAGAGCCAGAGGAGCCTTTCCTAGGAAAAGCTTTTGAGAAATGGAGGGACTAGGAAAATTCTAGTCCCCAAGGTTATTTTCTCCCAGTCCCTCCATTTCTCTGGTGTTTTCCTCGGGGTCTATAAAATCGAGAGAGCTTTTTCGCAACTTTTTATATAGATTCGGACAATCTTGAGATGAAAATCTTTCATTTTAGACCATGTTTATTTCCGAGTTGCCGGACCATTTGAATTTTCTGACATTTTTAAACCTAGGAGCTCAAATCCACGTGAAAAATTCATAATCTAGAATCAAGTTCACTGACAATTTTTCTCAAAAAAAAAAAAACAATTTGGCAATCATCCAAGTGTTTTCCCCGTCTTATCGCAATAATAAAATCTTTCATCGTGCGAAAAAACAACTCACCGCAACTCGATAAATTGCTGACTTTCGGGCACCTTCCTAACAAGCACCTCAACAACAGTTCTCCGCACGCCATCAATTTTCGTGACATCCTTCTCCGTCAAAATCACCATACTTGCGTCAAGCGCCTGCGCCATAGTCCGCAACGTGGTCAACGATGCGTTGAGCTCGTGATCCGTCAAACCCGTCATATGTCCACCATCCTCCACACCAACTTCGTATATCGCTTCGCCTTGACCTTCGCGAAGTCGCCATTTCATTTGAGTGATCAAATGTTGAATGCGCGAAGTTGTTGGGTTCACCAACTTTGCTTTGTATTCAATGTTTCCGAGCTCGGTTTCTGGTGGAAGACAATTCTCATTTTCCATATCGCTAAAATCATCAGGCAGTGAGGAGGATAAAAGTTTTGGTCGTGACCCGTCGGATAAAGATTGTTTTCTGCAAAAAAATCGATTTTTCCATGAAACAATGAAAATTAAATACCTTGTTTTGTATAAAGGTTGATGATTTTGCTCATCGCAAAAGTGTGATATCATAAAATCCATATTATTATGTGTATATTTGGTAGATTAATTCAGAGTTATAATATTGTAGTCGTTATAAAAAATCCAGCGATATTCGATCTATCATTCGCGGTGATTTTATCTGAAAAAAAAAACAAAGTAAACCGAAAGTTGGATTTCAAGAGCAAGAGCAGTTGTTAAACAGAAAACGAGAGAAAATAGAAATCACTTGACTTTTGAACGTCACAACAAAAAAAGAGGTGGAACACTAGTTGAAAACAAATTTTTCAAAGAATTTTAAGGTACGTAAGATTACATCAGGTTGCTAAAAATGGTAAAATATTGCGAAATCCCCCAGAAGAATAAAATATTCTTCCATGAGCAAACAGCTGGTCCGCGTCGCGCGTACGCGTTGCACTCGAAAAAATTGCCAACAGACAGAATGGCAGCAAGAAAATTGAAAGAAAACAGGTATTTTTTGAATGAAGTGAAGAGTACTGTTTTCTCTGGACCTTATCATTGTTTTTTCATGGAAAAACCAATAAAAATATTGTTATTTACTGGTTGATGAACAAAATCGATAAGTTTTGATGAAAACGACGATTGTAATAATAATAAAAAAGAAGACACATTCAAAATATACAACAATAATAAAAATATTGTTTTTGGGTCGAAGACCAGCTTTTTCACCACGGAAGTGTCTATGGTATTATCATGTGATAGGATAAGAGTGGTCTTTGAAGGTCAACAAGGCTGTGAAACATGCGCAAAAAATGAAAGTAAAAAATGAGGTGTGTAAACACGACGACGAAAAATTGCACACATCGTGACGTGACCTGTGAAAAATTGTTGTGTGCCTTTGAATACCGTATATAATTTTTTTTTAATATTTTTATTTCGTTTTCATTTTTATCTTTGGTATTTTGCTTCAAATATGAATTTAGCGACGTTCTTAGGGTTATCGAGGTATGTGCTATAAAAATAGAAATTAGTAAAATTCCTCCAATTAAAAATGTACCGGATGTTTATCACAAATCATTCTACATACAGTAATCCTCTCCCGGAAATTTCCCAAATAATTTCCTCGCCATCGAAAACAAAATAATAACCTCTGTGAGAACCAAAAAATTTTCGAATAAAATTTTATGGTTTTTGAGCATGTACAAAGGTGCGATTGATCAAACTATGGCTTTTCACACGCAATTTTGTCCCAATTTTCTTCGAATTGGTCGATTAGGCAAAACCACACCCATAACTTTTGAAGTTGATTTCATTTTTCATTTTGAACCGAACTTCGACTTCGAAAATAACTTCTAGAAGAAAAGAATATGAATGATACGTTGCTGACTAAGATTTGCAGTATCTATTGGCCGATTACTTTTATCATTGGTATTTCACTGAACACTGTTCTCTATTGGCTAATCTTCACGAAAACTACAAAAGTTTTCAAATCGATGAAATATTTCCTGGTCCCATCAAACACTGCGCAAACTTTTATCACCTTCATCGGATTCTTCTTCCAAGGCCGTCTGATTTATAACTCGCAAAGCTTGGCAACCCTCGGACAAGGCTGGTGTAGATCCTTCGGGCCTGTGGCTTGTCTCTATTCCTACAACTTGATTTTGGTGGTGTTGAGTGTGGTGATCATGGTGAACTTGCATACCTTGTATTATCGTATGATCTCGATTTATCACCAGGATAAATCGGCTGTTGCTAGGAGAAGTGGCGTGTTTGCCATACATTATTTGTTTTCGATATGCTCTTTGGTTTGTTATTTAGGCTGAACTTCAACAAGTAAATATTTTTGTAGATTATGAGTCATATAAGATCTGGAGATATGAGCTCCGCTAGCATGGCCTCGGTTTACAATGAAACTATCAATGAACATCCTGGCTATGACTTTGAGGCTTTTGCGCCGTTTGGAGGATATCGAGATGTTCACAGTGTTTGGAATAAAATAATGACATACTCCTATGCAACAATGGCATTCTACGCGCCAATTTTTGGATTCTACTGTAGACATCGCACGCTAAAAATTCTTGATCTACGCATCAATTCGCTTTCCGAAAAAACCATAGCACAATTCAAATCTGTTGTGCATGGCTTGACTTTGCAAGTGCTCCTTCCATTGTTTAATTATGTGCCAGCGGCAGTTTTCAACACTTATAATCAGGGTCATACAAATGATCCGTTTGTTTTTGCACAGTATACGTTGACAATCTTTTTCACGATTCCTGCGATTTTCGACCCGATTTTGAATATTTATTTCATCATTCCTTATCGGAATGCGATTAAGAGATTGGTGAAATTCAAAATTGTTATACAATCCACGTCAGCGCCGACCAGTGTTGCGAAACAGTCCTCGATTATCGTGACAAAGTCGACAAAAGTTGTTTGAATGTTTTTTGTTTGAATAAAGAAAGTGTGCTCTGTTGAAAACTTTATTTGTTTTTTTGAAATTTGAATAATTTTTTTAAATCTTGGAATGTGTTGATCAAATTGAAAAAAAAATCACCACTACCTGGTAAAACCTTTGACCTTTTTCTTCAAAAAAATAAAAATCTTCGCTCTAGAGGAGATTTGAACTTGTGACCGTTCTGTCGATAGTTTATCAACTAACCGATTGCGCCATTGTTTTTTTGATTTTCAATAGAGCGCGTTTGCAATAGTTCCGCCAATAAATTTCCATTTTTTCACCGAAGATAAAGAACACTCAATCAAAAACTAATAATTCATTTTTTCTGGTCCCGGTCAACAAAGGGAAACGCCTTTATTGTTCCCGAAAAATTTATGAAAATTTTGTTTTGTTTTATTTGGTATAAAAGAGAAATGGACATGCAAGATTTGTATCTAAAAATTTCTGGTTTAAATTCCAATTAGTTGTGTTTGGTAAATACAATATGGCTATGATCGATATTGGAGGATTTTGTAGAGTAAGTTCTTTATTTTTGTAATAATTTCTAGACATCTGAAATAATTTTCAGCGAAGGAAATTCTTCATAGTTCTTTTTGCTGCTTCAATTTTGGTTTATCTGTTGCTTTTCACACTTGGAGATGAAGCTTCAAAATCTGAGAAAATTAGAGAAAATTCTGAGGAACAGATAAAAATTCCACAAACCCACACATTCATCCATAATGTATACTACTATCCAAAATCCACATCGTGAGTTTTTCAAAAAAAAAAATTAGTTCCTTTTAACCCCAGGGAATTTTTCAGTTTGGGAGAAAATGCGTTGGCTTTTGTGATGGCGATGGATAAACGGGCGGCTCCGGATATCACAAAACATCGGATTTCAGTGATTGGCACAGATTCGCAGGGAAATGAGAGGAAGACTAATATGACTCTCACTGTGTAAGTAAAAAATAACTGGACTTATGTACGTTATATAATTTTTTTACAGCGAGGCCGTTGAAAACGCGAGATGTGATTATCAAATGACACTTGGCCAGACTAACACAATCAATGATTTGAGAATTTTGGAAATTGAATCGGATGAAAATGGCTCAAGAGTTCAGATCCCTTTCAAACTTCCCAAAAAACACGCGCCAAGCCCGGTGATTTTTTGTATTTCTCCGCAATTCGTAGCCGAGCAGTGGCAAGCATTTTTGGCCCAGGTTCATGTGTCGAAAAGGTTTTTTTCACTTTCAATCGGAACTTTTTCAAAAAATAGTTTTCTTCTCCAGATTTGGAGCTCATCTTCACATCTACATTGTCAGCATTCTTGATTCGTACTACAATCTTCTGAAACAATATGAAAAACGTGGATACATCACAATCGATCAGTGGCTGAACATTAAATTCGCGCATACATCTGGCGATTATTTGGAGCCGAATCGAAATGTGGAATTGAGAAATCAAGCAGCTGCGCAGACGGATTGTCTTCTTCAATACAAACAATCTGCTCACTATATCGCATTTTTGGACATGGATGATTTGATAATGCCGTCACGGGCTGGAAATTATTATGAAGAATTTGTGCGAGAATTCCAAGGAAACCCACTGATCAGTGCAATTTATTATGAAAAATATGACTTTGAAGTTGAAAAAGTGCCAAAAATGACAGATCAATCGATAAGCGCTATAGTTCGCTCGGCGAAATTGTTGAAAACCAAAGACTTGGGAAAACCTGTAGTGCGACCGATTCACTACAATTCCACGTGGCTACATTATTCGATGAATGCGAACACAAAAGAGAATAAAAGATGGACTCGTGGGGTGAAAAATGGGGTGTTCCATTTTAAGAAAATGAATATGGCCGAGCCAAAAGATGTGAGCCAGATGGAAATTCCAAAAGCTTTGGTCAGAGATGGGAGTTTGATCAGCGAAGAACATCTGAATGAGATTGATAGAGATCTAGAGAATCTGATGGAGGATCCAGAATTTCGTCGAGTTGCTACAAGTCTGCCAAATGAAGAATTCTACATGCCAATCGTATTTGATTGTTATAACAAATCTTTTTATCATAGGAGAGAACTGGGGCTTCTGGATACCACAAAATTGTGTATAAATGCATATGATTGTGTACTTCCACAAAGAGAGGATAAGAAATGTATACATTCCGATGCGATTTATCAATCCGGACCGCCCATGTACCCAATAACTTTTCATTTTGCTAAATTTTATACATTTTCTGAAAATATAGGATGTTATCAATGATTTTTAATAACTTTTGAGCAAGACGGGTTTATTTAATAAAGATTTATAGCAGAGTTAAAAATTGTTATACATATATTTTTTTTAAGAATTTGTCTTGCTCAAGAACATAAAAATCCAGTTTGTTTCTTTGCTCAACAATGAGCAACAATTAGGAGATCAGAAGCCGATGATTAGATTTGACTCGTTTTGCATCTGTCCAAAATAGAAACTGTGATTGTAGTTATTCGAAATCCACATTCAGGCAGGTGATTTGAGAAAACATTAAAGAACCTAATAAAGAAACGAGGTCTCGGGGCTTTCAAATTCAAAATCCCGTGTTCAAAAATCAATTATGGGTTTTTAGAAAGAAGACGAAGTACAAGAACAAACTCTGACAGCTATTATTAAATTTATTATTCTTCTAGCATTAAATTCGATTTTTTGAATATTTGAAAAATGAATTCGACATATGTCTGTACAGATTTTGTTCCCAAATATTATACGATAACTTTAACTTTGCTGGCTGGTATTTCATTTCCAATTAATTGTACTGGAGTTTGGCTTGTTTGGTTTCATTCTCCGCAAATGGGAAAATTCAAATATTGTTTGATGTATTTGCAGGTATTTTGAACACCAAATTTTGGACCCTAGAAATAGATAATATTTCTGTACACCCACTACTCTCAAAACAATAAATATGAGCAATAAGAATGTTCAAGATTGCAACATTTACATCGGAAAACTGGTGCTCTCTAGTCCCTGGCTATTATTTTTTTCCAATGATCGCCGGGCACAATCTCTCGTACATCGGTACAATAATCGGCGGCCAAATGACAATGGTGGTTTGGGCCTTCTTTTTCTGTTTTGAACTGCCCGCATTATTCAATTGTTTTATGTATCGACATGAGGCTGCAATTGGCATCAGTAATACCACAAATTCACTACGTTATCCGAACCTGTTCGTTTTATTTGTTGCTCATTTATTACCACCATTTACTGCAGTCACATTACAACTCTCATTATTGACGTACGATCAAAAATACAACTTGTTGAAATCGGTAAGGTGAAATTTGAGAACTGTACAGTGTAGGCCCCGGGGGATCTTATTTTTTTTACCCTAAAGTATTCTTAAAACGTGTTCTAATGTTCAGAAATATCCAAGTTGCATAAATTTTGCCAATGATACTTTATTCGAAATTTATGATTGGAATGTTAATCCTTGGATTGCAATAAGTGGAATTGGAATACTAACTTTTGTATTAGTTGTAGCTGCATATGGTTTTGGAATAGTCTTTCATACAATGCACATTCTTCACAAATTACGTGTTCATATGTCAGTTGAAACATTCAAAATGCATAAAAATGCATTGATAAGTCTATCAATGCAATGTCTTATTCCATCAATTTTTTTGATCGTACCAATCTGCACAGTTTTCATAATTATTGTGAATAATATGACCGAATTCCAAGGTTTTCCTTTTTTTCGAATTCCAATGAGAAATGTTTTTCTAGAATTGTCAAACTGTTCCTTTTTTGGATTCACTTCTCATTCTTGTGTATCGACAATTATTATGATTACGACAAATGCAAGATATTCAACAACGGTCAAGCACAAAATTAGCCAGGTTGTGTGTCAAGGAAAATCAAGTTCAGTTCCAGTTATCATACCTTTATCAATGACTAATGTTCAAAATTGAGGAATCAATTCATTCATTCATTCAATAAAAATTCAGCAGAGCCCCATATTTTTGCACATTTGTTCTGGTGAATTATTGAATTGATCGGTGAAGTTTGTATAGAAAATATCAAAATTAGTGTTGAGAGTTTGTCTGCAAGTTTGACGAGTTTGACGAACTGTGATTTGATCACATCCTTGTGAACTTTGAATTCCCATTTGAGCCTAAAAATCACAAAAGTTCCAGAATTTTTAAAGAAATAAACTAACTCTCATATCCGGTGTTGATTGGATTTTCGCGTTAATCTGAGCAAGGCCAGTAAGGCAAAATGCGCAAGAGAGTTGATTTTGGCCGAGTAAAAATATTGGGAATAATATGAGAAAGAGGAAAAATAGAAGTTTCAGCATTTTGTGAGGAAAAAATAATGATAAAGTCTTATCGAAAAATTGAAAAGTGTTATCGATTTTTCATGGTGGAATATTTAAATTATCAAACTTTTCTGAGAATTTTTTAAAACCCTGTTTACGCACACATCGGAAATTAAAAAAGACGCAGTCATTCGTGAAAGATTACTAATTAATGAGCCCCCATTATTTGAAGAAAAAATACGACTACACATGGTTATGATGTTTTGGCCGAATGATACTTGTCATGAAGGTTTAATAAGTTTCGATATATTTCTGAATGTCTACAAAGTCTCATCAGTTTTATCAAATTCGATTTATTTTACCGCAATCTTTGCATTGAAATATAAATGCCCAGATTATTTTCGAAAATATCAAAGACTATTATTTATTCATACTTTAGCAAATTTAATATTTGAAAATTATTTAACTAGTTTCGGAAAAATGATGATAATTCCACCTTGGATGAGTGCTTGTTTATTTGGCCCAATTTATGATTATCCAGCGATTGCAGTGGGTCTTTATGTGGTTTTTTTACTAGGAAGTTCTTCAACGATTGTTTATTTATTGGAATATCGAATGAAAGCCGTGGTCTCTTTGAACAATTTGAAAATTTCAAAAATTGCAAGTGCTTTGAAATATCTCTTCTTTCTAACAAATTTTGTAGTATTTGGATGTTTCTGTAACGCATATAATGATTTTCAATATCAAGAGGATTATAAACTTGAACTTGATAAGGTTAGAATAAAAAAACAACTTATGGAATTCATAAAATATTTAGACTGATGGTCCATTTCCCAATTTTATTTATTGCAATAATTGCATTCTTTACAAAATGGACTCTTATAAAACACTAGTCTTCGTCCTCTTCGCCATTTTTTCTACCACAATCGCCGCCAACGCGGGATTTTTGATGGCCTTTGTATCCTACCATGCGCTATCCTCCAACCCAACAATATTCTCCAAAAGAACAATGATCATACAAAAATCGTTCCTTCGTAGTCTTTTTCTTCAACTCGGCGTGCATTTCCTATTCCTAGTCATTCCACTAATCGCTTTCTTTCCCGCTTTTTTATTGCGACTTTCCATGGAAAAATGGCAATATTCTGTGCACTTTTTGACGATTTTATTCGTTCAACACGGATCGTTTTCGACTTTGACAATGTTGATGTCGAATAAACAATTGAGACATAATCGTAAGTATTGTATTTTATTTTTGAGTGAAGTTTTATGTACGTTTTCAGTGAACTTATTCACTCAGAATGTGAGAAGAGGACTCCGATTGAGTTCGATAAACGAATCGGACCACACTATGAATCAAACATCTATCGCACTTAACATAAGATAGACTGGAGTTTTTAAAAAAATAATTTTTCAAAACCTTGTATACATAAAACACGTCAGCGAGACATTTATTGACGCATTTTTTGCACACCGCAAATCAAGGTTTTTGATTAGTTGCTAATTAGAAAACCAATTTGGTATTTTTTGAAAAAAAAAACAAAAACATTATTTTCTCTTGATGTTTTGGCCGAATGATTCTTGTCACGATGGTTTAATAGCATTCGATATTTTCATGAATATCTACCGATTCTCCTCAATATTTTCAAATATAATCTATTTTTCCGCAATTTTCGCGTTACGTTACAAATGTCCCGAATCTTTCCGAAAATATCAAACCCTATTATGTGTTCATACTGTGGCGAATTTGATATTGGAAAATTATTTGACAACACTCTGGAAAATTATGATAACTACGCCTTGGATGAGTGTTTGTGGATTTGGATTGATTTATGATTATCCAGCGGTTAATATTGGAGTTTTTGTGATACTTTTACAAATTACAGCTTCGACAATTGTGGTTTTATTAGAATATCGGATGAAGGCGGTGGTCTCTTTGAATCATAGAAATATAGCGAAACTTGCAAGTGTTTTGAAACATTTTTACACTTTGACGCAAGTTGTAGTTTTCTTTAGTTTTCTGTATGCTTATGATGATTTTCGATATCAAAATGACTATAAATTGGAAGTCGATGAGGTTTTTTTTTTCAAATCAAAAACAATTGTTAACCCTCAAGTGTTTCAGGTCGATGGCCCTCTCCCTGAATTCGTTTTTTGCGACAATTGTATTATTTTCAACCTACATTCCTGGAAAACTATAGCCTTTGCATTGGCCGCCACGTTTTCCACAACTATTGCCGCAAATTCTGGACTCTTAATGGCTTTTGCATCCTATCACGCGTTAGCCCAAACTTCTACAATGTTTTCCAAAAGAACCATGCTTGTTCAAAGATCCTTTCTGCGAAGTCTTTTCATTCAACTCGCTGTTCATTTTTTGTTTTTAGTCGCCCCAATTTTCATATTCTTTGCCGCATTTTTGTTGAAACTTTCTATGGAAAAATGGCAGATTTTTGTGCACTCTTTGACAGTTTTATTCGCTCAACATGGTTCGTTTTCAACTCTAGCTATGTTAGGATCAAATAAGCAACTGCGACGCAATTGTAGGTTATACATTTTCTGAATGATTTTTTTAACGAGGAAATTTTTCAGTAAATTTGTTCACCCAGAAAGTCAGACGGGGACTTCAATTAAGCTCGAATATCGAATCGGATCGGAATCTAAATCAAACATCTTTCGCATTTCAGCAGTATAATCAGAACGCCACAAGACTTGCTACAAAAATTAATTAATTTTTATTTTCAAAGAACTAGTTTTTATGTTATAAAGGTTTTAAAATTTTTTACATTCACCTAGATTTTCTTGAAATTACATCATTACTGGAATCTTTTCGCTTCTTCATAAATGTCCAGAAAAAATAATTTACTAGCTTCGAAAAAACTGCTTTCAAAGACCGTGAAGATGAGCGGATTCTTGATCATTATTTTCAGCCAACACAGAGAAAAACATTCAACCCACTCTCTACTCTCAAAAAAAGAAAATAAGCCTAATCATGCGCAAATTTAATCATTTTTCGAAATAAAACTATTCTTATTACTTTTATTAGAGCTCAAAATATAATGTATTGGCCTAATGAAACTTGTCATGAAGGATTGATAGCTTTCGATGTTTTCTTAACAGTTTACGATGTCTCATCAATTTATTCAAATCTTATTTATCTCGCCGGACTTTTCGCACTAATCTATAGATGTCCAGATTATTTCCGACGCTATCAAATGCTATTAGGTTTCCATACTTTGGTCAACATGTTATTTGAGAATTATGTCACCAACATCTGGAAAATTCTAGTTACCCCACCGTGGCTTAGTATTTGTAGTTATGGTCCAATTTATCAATATCCAGAGTATGCTTTGGGTATATTTTTAACAATTATTGGAACAACCGCGTTCTCTATTATGTTGCTTTTCGAATATCGAATGAGAGCGGTTCTGTCTTCGGAACAGAAACAAATTTCACAAGTCGCCAGGTGTTTCAGATATTTGTTTTATGCTTTTCAATTATGTGTTGTTGGCACGTATATGAATGCGTATGACAGTTTCAAATATCAAAATGATTATAAAAATGAGATGAACATGGTGCGTAGTTTTACTAATTAAAATTAAAAATGCAAAATCTGTGTTTTGCGTCATCTATGATTAATACCAAAGTTAATGAAGTTCCTCATTTCAAACTACATTTTTCCGTCCCGCCGAGTAATTGATATTTTAATCAAAAAAAAACTTGAGTTAGACATTTGGTCTTTGTATTTTATTTTCTTCTAAAAACTTTGGAGGGATTGAGGTGGGCCTTAAAAATTGGGACAGACGTTTTAGGATTTCTGACTCCTAAAACCAGACTATGTTGGTGAAACAGTTCCAAAAAATGGTAGATCACTGAAATAGAAGCGAAACTCTACAGTAGTTTAGATTTTTAGGGTCTCGTAGAAACATTCCGAAAAAAATTGTAGATCAAAGTCTAAATCTACAGTAACCTCATTATTTCCAGATATCCGGGCCATTTCCAATGTTCATTTATTGCGACAATTGCATTTTATTCAACTTTGACTCCAAAAAATGCATAATTTTCGTGGTAACCGCAATTCTTTCCACATCAATTGCTGTAAACACAATTCTCCTAATGGCCTGGATTTCGTACAGTGGCCTAACTTCTCATCATACCGTATTCTCGAAAAGAACTATGCTCCTACAACGATCATTTTTGAGCAGTTTATTCATTCAAATCACAGTTCATTTAGGTTTATTAGCTTTTCCTATATTATTTTTCTTCGCCGCGTTTTTAATGAAATTAACCATGGAAAAATGGCAAGGTATTTTTGAATTTCGAATTTTTTTATTGTAGAAAATTTTATATTTCAGTGTTCACTCACATCCTTGCACTTTTATTTGCACAACACGGATCATTTTCCACGCTGGCAATGTTGATCTCAAATAAACAGTTACGACGGAATTGTGAGTTTTTGTCAAATTTTTTTTATTTCATAAATCAGATATAGTCATATTTTTCTAGTGTTCTCATTTGTCCTACGTCTTCGCCGGAAATTCAGCAAACATGCTGGAAATTCGGAGATGGAGAAAAACACATCATCGCTAGCTCTTCAACATTATCCAACTATAACGAGAGTTATCTAGGCTCAAACAAAATTGTGTCCTCAAAATGCACCCATATAAACTTTTTTCTTTTTTCCGTGCATGTGTTTTTTGCTCAATTCAATTCATATATACATTTATAGAAAAAGAGAGGGGAAATGTGTTTTTTTTTTGGATTTTATGTGGTCTTGAGACTAGGCAGATAATTGGAATCGGACACGCTAGCTTATCAATTTTTGTTTTGTTATGAAATTCTGCTGTTTGGTCTGAAAAATTATTTTTAAAAATTTAGAAAAAAAATAAAAGAAAAATTCCACGTGAAAACGTGACCTACTTTTCGAAAATGCATTTCTGGATTTTTTCGCCACCTGGACTTTTTCCCATTTTTTGAGTCTGCTGACCTTTTTTTGAAATTCGATATTTTTCACTAGAAAATTTGAACTCAATTTTCAAATGTGTAGTTTCAAGTACACTTTCAGAATTTTGTTTATTTATTTTTGAAATCTGATGACCTAATTGAAATTTGACTCCTCTAAAATTTGGCACTTCATTTTTTCGATGTTCTTTTGATCAAACTAAAAAAAACCCGATCTCCCAGATGTTCATAGCAGCTGCAATCTATACAAAAATGTCTACAGAAATTTTTCTCACATTTCTCATAAAAGTTCTTTCCTCTCTTCCTTTCTACTATTTGTACTCCAAAGAAACAATGACAAATCTTTCGAAAAAAGATGACAATGTTCTGGCCAAAATCTAGTTAGCAACAACTAAAAAGAGCCAAAAACATGTGCTCTCTGGTTTCCGGCCGATTTTAATTTTGCTGCATAAAAAAAGTGCAAAAATCTGTGTAGCCTTATCAACAACAAAAAAGTTTCATTTTTTCAAACATTCTAATTGATTTTTCCCCCCATATTTTTGAAAAATGAAATTTTTCTTTCCGATTTTTCTCCACCTTCTTATCATTGATTTATGTATGCAGGACTCATTTTTTTCTCGATGTATTTTTTTTGAAATAGCAAAAAAAAACCAGTCAGCAAAAAATGACATCATTTCAGAGCAAATTGTTTTTTTTCTGTGTTCTTCCCTTCTCAAATGTATGTATTTTATAGGGAGTGAGCTAAAAATAGAACAAACAAGGCTCATTTTCAGATTTCGCTCTCATTTTTTCCCCCGAACTAATTAATTACCAAGGTTCATTCAAACTACAAATTGATAAGAAGAAAAAGTGAAAAAAATATTTTTTATAATTTTTTTTTGCTCACTTTGCACTTTTTCTCCTGTCAATAATTAATTTTTTTGTAGATCGAAGCAAAAATGAAAGCTGCTGAGGAAAATGTGAAAATGGTTGAGAGCTTGGAACATCGTGAGTTTTTAAATTTAAAATTTTACCGTCTTTGTAAACCCGGAGCGTTGTTGCAAAATGTTCATTGAACTTTTCAAATTTTATTAGTTTTCTGATAAAATTCCATTGCTTTTTGAACTTTTATCTTTGCCTATTGAATATATTATAGTTAGGCAAATTGTTTTTGCACAAACCATAATTTTAAAAATTGCGTTATTTTTCGCAACGTCTTATCTTCTTTGATTTTACCACAATAATCCGCTCAATTCCGGTTTCAATTTTTTTTTTGGAAAAGTGAGAAAAATGTTGTGAACAAGTTTGGAAAAATAGGAAGAAATGTCCAAATCAAAGTCTACCAACCAACTCTAAAAATTCCAGCCTTCATCCACATCCGATCCCGCCGTCTCCATGTAGTCATCATGCTTATGTTCGCATTTTTCTGCCTTTGCCAAATGACAGCACCAATGGGAATGTCTCTATCCTGCATGCTAAACTCAACAGCAATCGCGGCTCAAACTTTGGAAACCAATCAGCATAATAACATCAGTTTCATGTCTGAAGCTGCTCAAGATCTATTGAATAACTCTACCGGAACTTGCGTGGCTCTCAAGGACGGCTTGGTTATGGATTATGGCGGAGAGTTTGTATGGTCGGTAGATTGGCAGGGTTATGTGGTAGTTTCGATGTTTATAGGTTTGTTCTAGATGATTATTTTTCAAATTCAAAATGGTGTTTAGGAGGCTTCATATTCTCTTATCCAGCTGGATTTGCTGTCGATCGTTATAGTGCCAGACATCTTCTATCATTTTCTATAGCTGTTTGCACATCGGCAACTTTGCTCCTCCCAATCTTGGTGTATTTTTTCGATGTGTACGGTGCAATTATTGCCAGATTTTTCATGGGGATTGGAGAAGCTTTCTTGGTGCCATCGCTTAATTCTATAGTCACCCGATGGATTCCTCTTCATGAAAAATCGCTAGCCGCCTCCTTGTTCACTGCAGGAAATCAGGTGTCAGGAATCATTGGAAACCCGTTGATCGCAAACATCTGTGCAAGTTCTTTGGGCTGGCAGGCGATTTTCTATATTTCTGGGTTGTTTGGAATTGTCTGGCTGATTTTGTGGCATACAACAGTTCGGAATTCGCCGCAGAATACAAAATGGATAAAAGATGTCGAACTTGATTATTTATCCTATCATGTTCCAATGAGTAGGAAAAGAACGATTGCTACCCAAAAAGAATCAATAACTCCCTGGGCAGATATGTTCAAATCCTCCGCTTTCTGGGCAATCATTTATAGCAGTATTATGGGAAACATGATGATTGCTATAATATTTGTCTATATTCCAGTCTACTTTAAAGATGTTCTTGGACTTCAGGTGAAAAATAATGGATTCTACAGTGCAATGCCAAGTTTGTCTAATTTGATTACCAAAATTTTCTGGGGATATCTTATGGATAAATTGAAGCAGAAGAAGATTTTGACAGCGAATGCTTCAGTGAAATTATCACAAGGTTTATCGATGTTTGGAATTGCTGCATCTTTTTATTTTTTGCGATTTATGGATTGTTCAACACCTATTACTTCATTGATCTTATTCAGTGGTAAGTCTCGGAGATTTTTCCGAAAAAAAACAGAAATTTCCAGCTGTCTCTGGATTCTTCGGCCTCTCCATATCAGGCTTCTACACATCCCTTCTATCAATCGCCCCTTCCCACATCGGAACTCTGACAAGCCTCGGAACCGTCATCGGCTTCCTCGGACGAGTCGGAACCCCTCTTCTCATCTCATTTTTCAAAACCACCGGAACCGCTGAGGAATGGTCCAATGTCTTGCTGGTCTATGTATTCGCCAGCGCGAGTTGTGGATTAATTTTTGTGCTGTGGGGCTCGGGCGATGTTCAACCGTGGGATCATTCGAGAAAATTCTCGTCGCAGGGTCAATGAAAATTTACTGTGAGAAAAAATAGTATACGGGTTGTCAATAAATTTTTTTTGAAAATGTTTTTTTTAATAAAACGTGACCTAGAAATTCCCAGAAAACGTGAAAATTCAAAATTGAAGAATCATTTTTGAATATTGCTAAAATGAAAACCAAAATCTGTATCAAAATAATATTCATATTTTTGTTCGGCTATGCAAGTGGGATATCCCCAGAATGTCAGAATACACCTATAAATGATCCGAAATACGAAAATACTTTGTTTTGGTTGATGTTCCCAAATGATCAAAGAAATGAGAGCGATGTAGGTTTTTTCTATTTTTCAGAAAGAGAGAGAGCAAATAGTAATTTCAGAGAGAAAGAGCATCGTATATTGTTGAACAATTATTGTGTGAATTGCCAGTAAATGCTCAGTTTGGGTATTCATTTGGTTATTTTATGCAAAATAATGGCCCTTATTCAAACACTAATCGCATATTTTCAAATGTAATTCACATAAACTACCCCAGAGTTGATCAATCTGGAAATCTATGTGATAAACTCATAGAAGGATTGAATCATTATAAAGCGAAAGAGCCATCTTACAATCCAATAATCTTTATTTTTTTGTTTCCCGCAGCTGACAATTGTTCCATTTATGAAAGCTTCAAAAATAAAAAGTTTTCCAAAAAGTACTCTTTTTTTGGAATTCATTTCGATAATACGAAAAGCGATGATTATGTCAGTTTGAATATTCAACACTTGAGAAACTTCGATATCAATCAAAAAATTGCGATTCCTCCTTTAGTACAAGAAATTAAAGAATTGTGAGTTTTTGTTTTACTCTGGTAAAAAGAAGAAACCTAAATATTCAGTGCTCGTCAAATTCTTGGATTGGAAGAAGAAAAACCGCCAGCTCCTCATGAAGAACACTGGACCGATCATTTATGGGCGCCATTGTATATCCTTATGTATTTGGCGGCTAATATTGGTCTTGTAGTTTTCATGATTTGTATTATTTCTTGTGTTTCTCGTCGAAAATGAATGAATTTCCTTTGTATTCAACTGAATTTTAGCGAGAAAAATAAATAAAAAGAAAAAATAAAAAGAAAAAGTACTGTGGAAGTGGAAGGCGCACATGCAAACTTCTTCCATCGTTTTGAGACCCACCCCGCGCTATTTATTGTTCAAAAAATAATTCTTCGCTTTTATTTCGTTTTTTTTCACTAGTGATAGATTTTTGGGCCTAGATTTTGATAAGTTAGTCTAACTTTTTTCATAATTTTCATATATTTTTCAAATTTTACAGAATTTTTTATCGATTTTTTCAATTTTCCCGAAATCCCTCCCCAAAAAACTCACCAATCGCTTCTCATCACCCAAAAATCATCGAAAATTCGAAATCCTCCAAGTTTTCCATTGATAGTGAAATCCAATTGTCCACCAATATTTCGAGCTGAAAACTCAAAAATTTTCTATCGAAACAGTGTTTCTCTAGAAAAAACCCACCTTTCTTCGATAATTCTCGGATTTTCTGTTGGTTTTTCAATTTCATCCTTGTAGAACATCTAAAAATTCAATTTTTGACTGAAATCCACTGATTGTCCCCGGAAACCTGAAAATCCATTGGAAAAAAAACGAAAAATGAAAATATTCTCGTGTTGCGCTAAACAGCGGGCAAGCGCTAGCGGAGTGTCGTTGTAAAAGTCAATAATTATTGACGCATATTTTTTCTTTGAAGGTTTCGTTTTTTTCTCCGCTTCCAAATATTGTGCACAACAAAATAATGGGGTTTTGCAGGAAAAATGAAACGTGACCTTGATTCGCCCCAGAAAAAACCGAGAAGAACACGTCACTTCACAACCATTTCAATATTTATGAGCAATTAAAAAACGTCTTGATATTATAGCTGTGATTTTGTTTGAAATGAATCAGAAAGCATTGTCGCCAATCAAAAAGAAGGAGGACAAAAAATTCAAAACCAAACCCGGTGGCACGAAGGAGAGAAGTATGTCGAGTGTGGTGAAGACGGGTGAGAAGAAGCCGTTGAGCGGTAGGAAACATGCTAAAATATCGAGCAGGGAAAATAATGAGAATAATTCGGTTGAAAAGGATGAAGGAGAGCAGAAGAATAAAACGACGACAAAGACGAAGAAGAAGGATATGTCGTTGAAAGCTCAAGTCAAGAGATCAAGTATAAAGAAGCATGCGCCGACAAAACCTGAGAATAAAAAGAAAGATCAGAGTATAAAGAAAGATTCAAGCGTGAAAAAGGAAATAAGTGTGAGCAAACCTGTGGAAGTTGTTGTCAAAAAAGAGTTATCCCCACAAAAGAAGGAGGAACCAAAGAAAGAGGAACCAAAGAAAGAGGAACCTGACTCAACGGTTTCACCACCTCCTACACCACCTCCGCCGCAAGTTTCAACTCCAGCAGCACAAGCTACACCAGCGCCACCTTTGATTCCTTACGATCCAGCGAATCCCGATCAAGTGAAAATCAGTGAAACTGAAACACCGGTAGGTTTAATATCTTCAGAACATTTTCAAATAAAAAAATTGAATTTTTACAGCCCCTCGAACTACTTCCCGCTGATCGCGAAAAAAACATTGAAGATCGAAAAGCGGGCTTCGAATATAAAATCGTGGACGTGCCAATGAAACCGGGTTGCAAGTTTGGTCTCGGCGTCAAAAGCATCTATCGAACGGTTTATGTGCAAAAAGTTGAGGATGGCTCGATTGTTAGCGGGTTGTTTTTTGTGGCTGATCGCATAATTGATGTGGATGGTGTGAAGATTCAGGATAATGTTACTTGTAAAACCCTTCTTGTCAAGGGGTTGAAGGAGAAAGCGTTGGCGACGGTTTTGGTTGAGCGAGGAGTAACGGATGAGGCGAAAAAAATTGCAATGGTAAGTATCTGTTGCCAATGCCACGTCATAACAACTAATCAATTTCAGGACGAGCTGAACGAAGAGCACAATCAATCGATAATGGTTGCACCCGATGTACAGTCTATCATGAAGAAAATGGCGAATAAGATTCAAGATAAGCCAGCAGCCAGTGCTCTTAAAGGAAATGCCCCACTGAAACCTGTGATTTTTGAAAAGAAGCCGATTGTCGTCGAAGAGGGACATAAATCGGTGATGATTCAGATGGATAATGAGGAGAAGTTGGCGAAACTGCAGAAAGTTGTGAAAGGAGGTGGAACTTGAATTGTGCTACTCGAGAAATGAAGGTATTTTTTTGTTGTTGTTGAGAAAGTATTCATCTCTGATTTTCTAAAAAAAAACATTGTTATGAGATCAAACGAAAACAAGAATCGTGAGAAAACTTGCTAATTACATCAGATATAATTTGTAGTCTTATTTTTATAATACCCATTAATCTAGTCATTCTGAAAAACAACTGACTAAAAATGATACTCTCCACAGATGTTCAACATTTTTTTCAATTTTTATCCGCAATTTTTGCGTTTCTATGGAATTGTCTGTTGATTTTTTTGGTTCTCACGAAATCGCCAAAAACTGTGGGAGTTTATAGGTATTTTTTGATCTACACGTCAGTTTTTGAGATTTTCTTTTCAATTATTGATTATATCGTTTCACCGGTAAGGAGCATCTGAGAAATTGGAAATTCAAAATACAATTTCAATAGATTTTCTACTCTTACGGATCAGCCTTGATTCTCTTCGTCAGACTAGATAATTCTTTATTCCCCGCAAGTGTCATGAATTTTCTGAATTGTATTTATTGTGGATGTGTTGGCGCATCACTTGGATTCTATTCGATTCAGTTTTTCTACAGATATCTGGTCTCAAATAATCTCTCCTCAATGAATTATTCACAAAATAATAAAACCACTATAATATTTTTGATTCCATTACTCTTTGGAACAATGTGGACACTTTGCCCATATTTTCTAGCGCCAATGAGTGAAGCGAAGAGTAATTATGTTAGAGAAGACATGCTGGATCAACTAGGCATCGATGTTTTGCATACAATTTATGTTGGTTTCTTTTTCTACCCTAAAGATAGAAACGGTAATCGATTTCTTCATATCAATTCACTTATTGTGAATATTTTGGAGTCTAGCTCATTGGTCAGTTTGATTTTGAAAAATAACTACAAATTGTTTTTCTATAATTCATAATTCAGACGGCTTCGTTATTCTCAATATTTTATTACGGCTATCAATGCTATAAAAATATGAATGAGAATTTAGCGATGTCTATCTCACATCGAAACTTGCAAAAACAACTTTTTCTTGCATTAGTTATTCAAACATCAGTTCCCATCATTTTGTTGCATTTTCCAGTTGCGATAGCCTATATTCTTGTGGTTTTAGAGAAGGCTCTTGGACCATGGAGTGGGTTTCTAACAATTACAATTGCATTGTATCCCGCAGTTGATCCACTCCCAAATATTTTGATTATTAAAAGTTATCGAAATGCAATCAAAGAGTTTATTTGTAAATTTATTCATGTCGGAAAATCCGCGCAAGTCGCTGATGTTAGTAGAGAAGTGACGCGTGTCACTTCCTAAATTTTTCATTGATATTTTTTTACAATCATAAATTCTGAAACATTGCGTGTGGGACAATCATCCCAATAACTGACGATTGTTCCCGATCGAATATAATTTTTCTGACAGCCTTCCGATATGGCACAGTGAAATATATAGTGCACATTGGATCTAGAACAGATGGAAGGGTTAGAAATATTCCAACTAGATATTGGGTTATTAGAAGAGGCTCAAAACCACTATATTTGTTGAAAATGTAGAGGGAACCGACTGACACGTAGCAAATTGATGGGAAAAGGATTTGTAGTGTCAAACCCATTATAAATGTTTTGAATTGTTCAACAGTTTTTGCTGATAACGCATTTCTACTCGTATTTAGCACTTTGATGGTCTTTTTTCTACAATAAATTCCAAAAATTGGGACTGAAAGAGTTAGAGCGGCTAGAATTAATGTGTTCAATGTTTGATAAATATTGTGAGAATCTGCATAGCCTCCGAAGATGCCGAATGGCTCGAAATAATATTCTGGATGTTGTGTAACTGTTTCGTTGTAGACTGAGATCATATCCATTTTCGGGATGTACGTGAAAATCTGAAAATTGTTACCTCTTTTTTTTCAGAATAAAATTATACATAATTCAAGTAACTAGCAATTAGGCAATGTTACTTACAAAAACACCAAGTGGAATTGAATAATGATAGAAAAATATAAGAGTTTTCTTCTTGACAACAGAGCGGTTTTGGTCTTTCAGCGAAATCATACGGTAGAATATTGTATGGGCGTTTATTGCGCAAACTGTTGTTGCGATTATCTAGTTGAAAAATTGTTCAAAACATATTTAATAAAACTCACCAGCAAGAGATTATAGGTGTGAAAACAGACCTCGGCTCCAAAATGTTTGCAATACCCTAAACCCATAACTGCAGTACTTTTGACATTATTCACAATTCGAACTTGAATAAAAAATGAGACAAATGAAAGAAGCATTGTTGAAGTGTTTGATGGGATTAGAAAAATTATCATTGATTTGAAAACATTTGTTGTTTTCTTGAAGATCAGAAAATACAAGAGAATATTGACTGAAATTCCTGTTGTGAAATATATTGGGTAGTAGAAGGCGATTAGTTTGTTGAGAGTTTTATCAAACATTTTGCCAGACTGAAGGCTTTCAAAAGGGCGTGATTTTGAAATGTATATTTTTAATTTTATGTTTCATATTTTCTACTTATAGCCATGACTAGAGAGTAGTTGACATTTTTATGATGCGTTTTTCACCTGCCAAAGATGCGAAGACGGATCAAGAAAGAACTCTAAGATCAGCGTATCCTGATGCCAAAAATTGTGTTTATGCAGATCATTCGCTACGGTTCTTTGAACATTGAAAGTTGAAAAATAAATTCTTGATCTCTGACTAAGTACAAAAATTTGTCACCGGCTAAAAAAACTGATTCATTTTGTCTGCACTTTGAACGAAAAAGTTGATCAAAACGACATGTTCTGTGTTCTATATTCTAATTAGTTCAGTCCTCTGAAGAATTGCTCGTTGAACTAAAAACAATCGTCAATAAAAAAACAAGCAAGCGGAAAAATCAAATTCAAGAAAAAATGAGCGACTGGACTCGGCTTCAACATTTTATTCAACTCTCATCAGCCGGATTTTCGATGTTCTCGAATTCGCTGTTGATATTTCTAGTCATCAAAAAATCACCAAAAGCCCTTGGTGTTTATAAATATTTTATCATCTACACTGCGTTTTTCGAAATGTTCTACTCGATTATTGACATCATTGTCTCACCGGTAAGGTTTAGGTAGGGATATTCCGATTTTCTTTGATTCCTCTAGATTTTCTACTCCTATGGTTCTGCCTTGATCCTCTTTGTGAATATTCAAGATGCTCTTTTCGACTCATACATTATGAATTTGTTAATTTGCATCTACTGCGGAACATTTGGCGTGTCTCTTGGATTATTTTCAATCCAGTTTTTCCATAGATATTCTGTCTCTGTAAAGTAAGAATCTTTTTTTCTTTATACCTCTATCCTACTCTCAAAATTATTCAGCGGCAATGGTAAATTCCAATTGGGCAAAACTATTGTCATGTTCCTAGTCCCCTTGCTTTTGGGATTACTGTGGACTCTATGCCCATATTTTCTAGCCTCAATGAGTGAATTGAAAAGCAATCACGTGCGCGAAAATATGCTGGATCAATTAGGAATTGATGTTGTGGAGACTGTCTATGTTGGTTTTCTGTTCTATCTCAAGGATGAGTTTGGTGCCCGGCATTTGAATAGCGAGACTGTTTTTCTGAATTTGTTGGAGATGGGATCACTGGTAATCTAATTGTTGATAGAAAAAGTTTCAATTTTTCTAGTTCCAGGCTTTGACAATGTGCGCAATTATTTACTTTGGTGTGAGATGCTATAAAAATATTCAAAAAAGTTTGACAATTTCCACAGCTCATCGGAACTTGCAAAAACAATTATTTCTTGCACTAGTTATCCAAACTCTAATTCCTATTCTTTTGCTCAATCTTCCAGTAATGATCACATACATATTTGTGATTTTCGAGCGAGCTCTTGGAGCATGGAGTGGTATTTTGACTATCACAATTGCTATTTATCCAGCAATTGACCCACTTCCCAATATTTTCATCATTCAAAGTTATCGAAAAGCTTTCAAAGAGTATTTACAGAAATTCTTACGATGTGGAAAGAATAATCGAATTTCTGATATCAGTATAGAAGTAACAGCAATAACATGTTAAAAATTTATTCAAAAAATTCCCGTAGATGTTAAGTACATAAAAATATAAAAATATTCCCTGCGTTTATTGAAATTAAGCCACGTTTGGGATCATTATTGAGCTTTTATGAAAGACAATATTCTCAGTCTCAACGGCTGAACTTTGACGATGTTTGAAAATGTTGAACAGCGCGTTTCGATAAGGCACAATAAAATAAATTGTTAGTAATGGGTCTAGAACTGCTGGCAAAGTGGATAGCATTCCGATTAAATATTGGGAGAATAGTAATTGGCCATATCCACTGTATTTATTGTAGACGAAGAAAGTTGCGACTGGTACGTAGCAAATTAGTGGAAGCATTATTTGTAAGGTTAGACCCTGGAATGAGAAAGGTTTTGAGAAGTGCTGGAACTGATTCAGGAGTTCTAGAAGCCTATAAGGCTTCTAGAAGCCCATAAGGCCCTTTATCTTCGATAAAAAAGTCAGACAGAATGTAAAAACGATGTTTTATTTTCAAATCGTTCCTACCTGTATCAGTGACTTGAATTGCATAATACTTTTCTCGGACAACGATTTTTTGGTAGAATTTAGTATTTTTAACGCATTCCTCCTACAATAATAGCCAAAAATTGGAGCGTAAATCGTCATTATTGCCAGGCACAAAGTAACCATTGTCTGATAAATACTATGTGAATTCACAAATCCTCCAAATTCCCCAAAAGGCTCGAAATGATAATCATTGTGCTCATTAAGTGTTTCTTTATAGACAGCAGTCATGTCCATTTTTGGAATATATGAAAGCACCTGAATATGATTAAATTACGCGTAAGTGGGTTGTAAATTATTGTTTTTCTCTTACTAAAACTAATAGTGGAACTAAATAATGAAAGCAAAATAGAGTTATTTTTCTTCGGATATATTTTCGATCTTGGTACTTCATTGAGATCATTCGATAATAAATTGTGTGCAAATTCATTATTCCAACGATGCTTGTGAAGGTCTGAAAAATCAAATTTGTCTCTTTCGATCTATTGAACAATTTTTCATTTCCGCTAGAATAGCATCATTTTTTTCGTTTCCAATAAAAAACCTATGTAATTTCCCTGACTCACTAATAATAAAATATAGGAATGGAAACAGGCTTCAGGCCCGATATATTTGCAAAAACCTTGTCCCATCACAGCCAAACTCTTTTCATTATTCACTGTTCGAACTTGTAGGGAGAAGGTTAGAATCGAGAGAATCATTGTTGATGTGTTGGCTGGGATCAGAAAGAGTTTCATTGATTTGAAGACTCGGGTGGTTTTGGTGAAGATTAGATAATATAGAAGAAGATTTAGAGTTATCCCAAGTCCGAAATATATTGGATAATAATATGCGGTGATTTGGTTGAGAGTTTCGTCAAGCATCTCTGGAAATTTGAGAAATGATTGAAAATAATAAGGGTTTTTAATTGGAAAAGGAAATTTTTTTCTCGTGCTCACAAAGAGTTGCTATATTTTTTCTTATTCGTCAAGCGAGACACGAAATAATAAATAAAAAATAAAAAAAAGGGCGTGGTGAATTCTTCAGACTCGTATGTATGTATTATGCGAGAAAAAAAACGGAGATTAGCAAAAAGTTTCGGAAATCTCATGAATAATTGTATACGTTCAATGAGCAATTTTTGAAAATTGAAAATTGGAAATAACTTTTTGCACAAACCCCTCAAAAATAAGGCGGAACGTGATTTTGTGAGCTTGTGAAATCGACCGTGAAAAACTTTTACTTATGTTTTATTGCTCAAAATTTTACACACAAAAAAAAACTAAAATTAACCCGTTTATTTCGATAATTATAATAATCTATCCTGATCAAGTTATATTTCTATTTAATTATACATTTTTCATAATCTCGTCTAAAATTGGAATTTTGCATCTATTTGGTCTGGCTATATTGATAAGTACGCCCAAATCGCGTTGAGCTTTTTGTTGATGCTCCAAAATGTCGACGAATCCTAGAATGTTGGCGAATCTTGCGGGACCATTGACACCGTGTTTGGCAAGCACGTAACGAAGAAGTGCGATGTTGTATTTTTGGCGTTCACGGGTTAGGATATTTCGGGCATCTTCGGATATCTCGGGAACGGCTGGAAATGGAATATTGAATGTTGTAGGACAGAATTTTAAAAAAAAATTCTTACCTGGATTCGAGAGAACTAACGCGCGGAGTAGAACAAATTCAACACGATCAATGCCAACTCGTAGAATCGCATTCAAACATCGCATTCCGATATCTACACGAAGTGGATGATTACCAAGTGGAAATGGTAAATCAAACCATCGTACACCATCCGGCCTCAATAAACTATCACTCTTCTGTTCGAAACTATAGAAAGATTTGGTCAAATTTGCACCCATCAATGTTGTATCCTGCATCAAATGATATCTGTCAGCTTCGGAAAGTATTGCGAAAAACGGAAGGGCTTTCGATATCTCGATCTGTGTGAGCAGCTCGTAGACCAGCCATCGCTTCATTATTGGATTATGTCGTTGGCCTGGCGGTTTTTTGAATTGTTCCTCTACGATTTCTTTGTTCAGTGGCCATCCTGGCATTGGCTGAAAATATATGATTTATTAATTAGATTTGTGGGTGGATATATTAATCCTAATCCCTAATAAGTTATTCATGACTTATGTACTTTATCAAGGATTAGAAAGTTTTTGATATCAATAGAGTTTTCTCAGAAATTTTGTGACGTGGCTTTTGAAACGATCTACTGTTTTTGAAATGATGAATTCGAATTATTCGAAAAAATAATCCGTTTCTAGTTTCGATCCTTGTACAACTTTGTTGTTGATGTTGAATCAGACTACAGATTTTTAGTTCAAAACTCACCCCATAAGTGTCTGCGACTGTCAAAATCGAATTCTCTTGTTTGATACATTCTTTGAGTGTTGGATATTTGTTGGGATTAAAAGCGCAATCTCGGAATTTCACAGTCTGAACATCTAGTCGAATCATCTTATCAATCAGATCGCCCACTTGAGATTCTACAGTTTGAAAGGGTTTCTCGATCTTGACCACTGGAAGTTCCTTTTCCTTCTCTTTCTCTTTCTCTTTCTCCAACTCTTGTTTGAGTTCTGAATGTATTCCGAGATTGTTCATTCCGGCTTCGACGCATTTTTTGAAGCGGCACGAACGACATTTTGGTGGCGGATCGCCGGGTGTTAGATTTTCGAAACATTTGTCAACGAATTTACATGTGTAGTGGAGTTTCTCGATTGTGACGCGGCGGAAAAATGATTTACAACCGTTGCACGAGGCGACCTAGAAGATAATTTTCCATACTTCAAAATTAAAATTTTTTTTCTTCATTTTCCAAAAAAAAAAACTCACATCATAATGGTGTCCCGTCGCTTTTCCCAAACAAATTGCACAAGTCTCTGGCGCTTTTTTCAGCAATTTTTTACTCGTCGACGCCAAAATTTTACCGCTCTTCGATTTTTCCAAACCAGGAGAATTTTCCGAAAAACTCGGCAATTCTAAATCCATCTCTAAAATAGCGAAAAATTATTATGTTTTAGAATAGAAATGATGAAACACAACACGACGAAAAAACGGGATAATCTCTAGCAGCAGATGAAAAAAATTTTGAAACAGGAATGAAAAAAATTGAATCTCGCAGAGACCACAAAAAATACGAAAATCGATATTTTTTATTTGTCATCGTGATCTTTGCGCCCAAAAAATATTTTTCACAATTTTTTTGTTCGAAAAAAAAAATGAAAAATCAATACAAATTGATAAGATCAAGTGTAACTAAGTTCATATTGAAACACATGCAAATGAATATTTTTCGCAACGAAAAATCGATAGTTATATGTTGTAGGGTAGGAGTTATCGCAGAAAAAATATGATCAGCGAAACAAAAATTGTTTGCATAAGAAATGTTTTGCAAAGGCAAAGGGCATAAAATAATAATTTCAAATGAAAAGGGAAAGGTTTCCAAGACTACATAATTTATGTTATGTTCATCAAAAAATGTGATTTCTGCCCAGAAAATCTTCAATTGGAAACATAGAAGAAAAAGAAAAGAAACTGTTGTTTTCCGACCTCTATTCATTATCTGCGTCTCTCAATCTCTCGGCCCTAGAATAATGGGAAATTGTTCCCTTTTTGTTGTTGTGTGATAATGAGTGTTTGTGTCTAGTTATGACGTGGTGAACAATTTGGGAATGAAAATTCAGAGAATGTTCTAGATTGAAAGAGACGCGTTTTGCAAAGACCACCCACATTTTTCTTTAAAAAAAGCTATCTTTAAATCTAGAGATCTAGCACGTTTTGGATCGCTGAAAGATCTACAGTAAAATTGGATTCTGAATTTGAAAGATATAGAAGAACGCGATCTATGACGTGGCGATTTTCAAAATGAAGTTGAGAATTAAAATTTTGGGAAACATTTGAATTCCAAAAGTTTCCGAAAATTGAAAATTAGGAGATTGACTTTGAAAAAGATCTGGATTGCGCAGCACTTGCTAATTAAAAGTTTCAATAACCTATACCAGACTATTTTTTTTCCGCGTCTGTCAATTATTCCACATCATAGCTCACAACATCTACTGGGTTTACTGGATGCCACACAAATAACACAAATTGATCAAATTTTGAGATAACAAACTGTTCAATGATGTAAATTTTTGATGCTGGACTCCTAAACCAATCGTAATCTTGATATTTTTCGAAGATTTTTTTTTGAAAACAAATATGAAGATTTTTCACGTGGAAAAATACCATTTTTGGTTCAAAGTTCATCTGATCCTTTGTAAGCTATCTAGATTTTCATCCAAGGATCAAAAATTCCAGAGTTTTCCACGTCATAGCCACATTTCGCCGCGCTACAACAAATGCGTTCGAAATTTTGATCGTTTTCCAAGATTATTCAAATAATGTCCTCAAACCTTTTATTTTACTTTCATTCTAAAAAAACACCTTAAAAGATCGTATCTTAAGAAAACGTTCCCATTTGAAAGTTTTGTTTATTCAAAAGTATATCAAAAAAGTTTTGTTGATGAAATAGAAATTCGAGAATTAATATAAACATGGGGTTATCAAATATCATAGGAAGGGTTGGAAATAAAATAAAATAAAATAAACATTTAATTGGCTCATTTGATGATGAAGGTGCTAATATTTCTAGCAGGTGAAATCTTATTCCTAGAAATGCTCCCTGATTTTACAAAATAAAATTTTTTCAGGCTTAATAGTTGTGCTAACTCAATGTGAAAGCTTGGATGAGTTGCGCAATCGAATAACCGATGAAAAACATGGCTATAGTCGCAAACATCGACCAGTTCATAAAGAAGAAACAAGAATTGATGTGGATGTTTACTTGTCTATAAGTCATATTGAAAGAATTGATGAGAATGAGCAAACTATGGTGGTTCATGGCAAAATGAGTGCCACGTGGAAGGATGAATTGTTGAAGTGGAATGCGGCGGATTATAATGATACGAAGGTTTTGAAGATTTCTTCTAGCAAATTGTGGATTCCTTCCTTCGCACTTTATAATACGTGGGTTTTTTTGAAGCTTGGAATTTAAATATAGAACTAGAAAAACTTCTGATCTACAGAATTCAATAAATTGTACTGTAGCTGATTTTTTTTCATCTCATTGAGAATTTTTAGCTACCCTGCTTTTTTGATCCACGTTGGGTGGCAAGTTCTAGCTGCATCAAAATTCTTTTTGCCCACCACCTTGATATTTTTTCGAGCCCTTGAAATCAAGATAATTTTCTCCGAGTACAATTTTTTCTCAATTCGTTCCCTGATCTTTATCTAAATTTGGAAATTAATGTGATTTTTTTGTGTTAGTTCAAAGCCAAAAACTTTGTTCGCAAGAAAAGATACGCATCGCGAATGCCCTCATTCGCCCCAATATTTTATCTCAAAACGTTCATCGGGGTGAATCGAAATAGTTTGTAGCCTACAAACTATTCCCAATTTCAGAGCTCGAAGCAATCGCTGGAATTTGAATTTCTACGAAAACCCGGCTTCGGTGACCAACGAGGGACAGATTTATATCTTGGGATCGTTTTCGTTCCACGTCACTTGTCTTTTCGATTTCACCGCCTGGCCGTTTGACAGTCAACAATGTCCGATTCTCATCACTGATTGGGTTTATAGCTATAATCAAGTGCATATGAATGATCCGGAAGGAGATGATCCGAGTAAAGAGAAGCCACAACTTCGATTGAGTTATGATCCGATTAATGGGCAGAATAAGAAACATGTTGGAGGATGGGAGATTACAGGTACTTAAATCAATGATTTTTGTGTAGGAGTACCCAGAAATTTGCAGACACGTGGCGTCGTCACTGCCTCTGGGGATCCAACGGTTGTCAAGACGAACAAGATGTCACGGACACTGCACTACACTGGTCACTTCTAGAATTTGGCATCAAATTCAAACGCCATATTCCATATTTCGGAGTCACCCTCTTCCTTCCAATGTTCATTACCACAATCATTTTACTCTCCTCATTCTGGATTGATACATTCAATGTGTCTCTCGGAATTTTGATCTTCAACACAATTTTGCAAGGTTTGTATGGTTATGAGATGATTTCGAAAATGCCGCCTGGAAGTGGAGGAGTTCCGAAGATTGTGCAGATTTATTCGATGAATTTGATGTTGACTGCACTGACTTTTATTGTTGTTGTGATTGAGAAGTTCATCACTGATAACTTGCCATCCGATTATTCATTCAAATTAGGATTCGATATAACGGAATTGCCTAAGAAGATCCATCTCAACAAACTTTTCGAAACCAAAGGTTTATCTTTCGACCCACAAAGTCTTCTAGAAGGTCCGAAAAATGATATGGATGTTTTGGAATCCGGTGGAATTGGTGTCAACTCAATTGGCAATTCAGAACTCTTCGATACTCGCTCAGGAAGATCAGTCGATGAAGATGTTGTGGTTCTTGAAGATGCTGACACGATGGTGGCGATTAATCTCCCGGATAACTCATCTCCACCACCTGCACCATCACCAAAACCCACCAAAGATATTCCATCTGGTCCAGGATTCGGAAAACTTCAACATCAACTTCATATCATCAAGAGATCTGTTTTCTTGATAATTGTTGTAACTTATATTGCGGTTCTTGCGTATTTCACATTTTTCTGAGCAATGAAAAGGTAAATTTAGAGAATACATTAGATACTCAGTCAAGTACGCAGCTAAATTTTGGATCAAAAAATTGAACAAAAACAATCAAAGAAATTCATTTTTTTTGGGTAAATTATTGATTTTTTGCACATCGATCAACTGAAAATCGAGAAATCAGGATTGAAATTCTGTCGTTTCTGATGTTGTTGTTGTAATGTGGGAATATCTTGCCAGTCATACCTAAAGAAGAAAAGGAGTTGGAAAAAGTAATCTTAATAATGAAAATCAATAATTCATGAGTTCCATAGAGAGCAAAAATATACTTTTTGTGTGTGTGGAGAACTTTAATTTTTTTTGAAATAAGGAAGTTTGAATTTTGGAAAGACATAGGATTCTCAATGGGGCGCACTTGCAAAAAATGTTCTCTCACCATTTTTTCGCCACCTCGATCTCGTTTCCCCAACTATACCATTTCTTCAGACGATTTGCACCTCTGAAAATGTTTTTTTTTTGAAGATTTTCTGGAATTTCAGGCTGAAACTCACTGAACATTGAAACAGGTGGCTTGAAATATGACGAAAAACAGCAGGGTGACCAAGTTGAGTAGTCGAGCCATATTATTTTCTAATAAAAAAAATACTTTTTTTTCGAAATATTTTTTAGTCAGACTAGAAAAGTTATGACAACAAGATGACAAAAAAAAGAAGTTTTAATGAGCCCAGATTTTCTGAAAATTTCAGATTTTCACACGAAAAAAAGCCCCCAAAGCCAACGCAAAACGAACCAACCGAATGACTGAAAAAAGGTGGGCGTGGCCGGGGGAATTTTTCCAGAATTAATTTTTTTTCTTGATGTGTTTTTTTCGTGGGGCCCCCCGAGATGGGATTATCTGGCAGGGGCACTTTGCAACACAAAAATAACACATAATTTTTTTGTGGCGGATGGAAAATAGATAGGATACCAAGAATTTTGGGGTGAGAATTTTAATGGAATATTTTTTTGAGACAGTGTTTGATGATTTTCAGTGTTTGATGATTTTGAGACAGTGTTTGATGATTTTGAGACAGTGTTTGATGATTTTGAGACAGTGTTTGATGACAGAAATAATTTGAATTTTATTTTCCGAAACTAGAAAATCCACGTGGCAAAAATTTATCAAACCTCCAGAAAAACCAATGAATTTTTTTGTAAGAAAATTTTACAAAATTTGAAACTGGCTTAACATTTTCGAAAAAATGATGAGGAAAAATGATCAATGATGAGGAATGAGATTTTTCATGATTTTTGTTGCTCCGAAATTCCACGTGACAAAAATTGAGCTGATTTCTTGAAAGCTGGAATCCACGTGGCAAAAATTAGGTTTTTTTTCATGTGAAGCTAAAAATCCATGTGGAAAACATTCATAAAATTTCGGTATTCTGAAATTCCACGTGGCTCCGGATTTTTTTATGATTTAAAAAAATGTTGCTCAAAATATTTCTGATAATAAGCCACGTGGAACGAAATTCAAGCGTTTCATAATTTCAAAAAGTTCAAAAAATCCACGTGGCAAATTCTAAGCTTTCTAAAAAAAAATTTTCCTACGAAAACGTCAGATTCTATCGTAATTTCTAGAAACATCAGAAAAATTGTGGTGTCCAAGTTTGACCAAACAGAAAAAATTGGATTATTTGTTGTGCTCGTCACAAAAAACAAATGTTTTGTGATCTTTCACTTATTTGTATTTTGTTTTGTTTTGCTTTAGCTTTTCTTGGATAGCAGTGAAAATATACAGAAAAAAATATTGGAAATAAAAATAAAAATAAATTTGTAATGGTAAATAATAATAATAACGGGTATTTATTATGGGATTTGTGTGTCTGAACAACAAAGAGAAGAAAATTTGTTGCGAAAATTCTGAAAATTTTTGAGAGAGAAAGCTGTAATTTTGTCACATTTACCAATGAGTTGGGCTAAATGCTGAACTTTAGCTGAAAAATCTTAATTTTAAGACAAAGCTGTAATTTTTCACATTTATTTTTGAGTTAGGCTAAATGCCAATAGTTTGAAAAATTGAGAAACTCTTGAATTTCAGTAGGACTGCCACGTGGATTTCAAAGGCTTTGGTTTATTGATTTTTATGCCACGTGGTTTGATCTTTCTCTTGATTCTTCTGAAATCCTGAATTTTCAACCTGAAATTTTTTGATCTGAAATCTGCTCCTCCTTCAAAAAAATGTGTTCATTGCGAGAAAAAATGGGATTTACAGGAAAACAAAGAATAATGTCATTTTTCGTCATCATCAGAAAATTGGAGAAACCCGATTAAGTGCACGTCGGTGTGTTTTACAACAAAAAGAAAAAAACATAATGGACTACTAATGAATGATGGGGGAAAGGGCGAAAAATGAATGAAGAAATACCGGTTCAAAAAATTGTGATCTATTTTTTTTTCTTACATTTATCAGATTTTTGGAAAGGGTCCAAAAAGGCACGTGTGAAATGGGGAACTTTTTCAGAAAGATACGAAAAAGTTCAGAAAATTACAGCATATCGGTGGTACAACTCGAGCCATTAGAAAGCGTCTGTTGAAGATCTTGGCGGATTAGAAGCGGACGGGAGCAAGTCGTGTAGCTGGATCCCTCGGAATCCAGTACCACCTGTTTTCTTCGAGCTCTGCAAAAATTAGATTTTTACTGAGATTACTGTAGTTTTGGTCAAGGTTACTGTATGTTAGTTACAATTTTTAAATTTGGAATTGAAAAATTTATTAATTTGGAATTCTGATTTATTAAAAATTAAAAATTAGATCAAATTTGGAAAATTATTATATTCACCAGAAATCCACGTGGAAAAAGTTACTGTAGGTTTTTGAAGAATTGAATTTCAAATTTTTCAGAATCCAAAACCTCATTAGAAATTCCACGTGGCAAAGGACACTGTAGGTTTTTTTTTTTAAATTCACAATTTCCAAAATTCAAAAAAAAATGTTCCAAATGCAACGTGGCAAAAGTAACTGTAGGTTTTTTTTTGAAATTCACTGAAATTACTGAAGGTTTTTTTTTTCGAAATTCACAATTTCCAAAATTCAGAAAAAGCTGTTGGAAACGCCACGTGGCAAAAAATAATTTGAATTCAATTTTTCGAAAATCCACGTGGAAAAAATATAACGAAACTCCAAAAAAATCAATAAATTCGAAACTGGCTAAAAATTTAAAAAATAACAGTTTGCAAAGCCACGTGGCAAAAAGTACTGTGAGATCTTATTTTTTGAAAATCTAGGTTTTTGTTCCAAATGTTCACAAAACTTCAAGAAGAGTTACGTCATCTCAACTAAAACATTCCACGTACGTGTCATATCGATTTCTACACAGAAAAACGAGTTAAAGAAACTAAATTTTGACATGTTAGTAGAGAGAAGAAGTCTAACCAAATGTGCTTGACATAGAAGCGACAAAAACCAAAAGACAGATTCTACATAGTTTTATACAAAGCCATGGCCTAGAGATGGATTTCTAGGCCACAGATTTACAAGAAACCCTTACCGATCAATTTTCCTCTCGTGTCTTCGCAACGTGGATCTCCTCACCGAATTACTCAAGCGATTCGCAAACGATGCAACAATCTACAAAAGAGAAACGACTACTGTAGAAGTAGAAGTGGGAGAGGAGAACAAAGGGGAGACATTCATTCGTCCAAACATAACCATTAACGTGGAACTTAGAAGAAGTCTAGATGAAAAAGCTTACCTCGGTGGAATTTAGGATTTTCGAAAGACCCGAACGTTTTTGTTTTCTGGTTAGCCAGAAGAAGAGAATTGGATTCCAGACAACTATTGACATTGCTATAATATGAGCAATGAGGGAGGAGAAGAAGGGTTGTTGAGCGATGAAGTCGAAACTGATGTCTGGAAAAATTTTGGAGATCAAACAAAATTGTATGATCCGAACGGCTTCTAGATTTAGAAGCTCTTCACCCCAATCCTAAAAACTCACCAAAATCCTTCAACAAATTCACCAACGTCAACGGAAACCAGCATCCAATAAACGTAACAACCATCGCAATCAAAATATAATTCACCTTCTTCTTCCGCGTCGTCGCATCACTTCTCTGTTTTTGCGTCAGCGATTGACAAAACTGCGCATTTTGAATGATCATATCTTTGCTGACTTTTTGCAGAATTTTGAAATAACAATAGGTGATAACGATCATTGGAATGACGAATTGCAAAATCATGACACTTGTTCCATAAGCTCTTCTCGAATATATTGAATTCCAGTTGGTTTCGTCGCAAAAATAGCCACAGAATGGGATGTTATTGCCAGTGTGATTACGGTAGAATTCGCCACTGACATGATTGTAGGAAAAAACGAGGGGAAGATTGATGAAAGTTGAGGCTGACCAGATAAATGTTGTGATGGCGAGAGCTTGACGGATCTGGAAATTAAATTAGAAATTGATTTTTGTTTAAAAAAAATGACAATCCACGTGGAGATTTTCAGCTTCAGCAGTTAGGCCTAATCTGAGCCTAATCTGAGCCTAACCTGAGCCTCACTTTAGCCTGAGCCTAATCTAAATCTAACCTAAGCCTTACTAAGCCTAACTCAAGCCTAACATTAGCCAAACCTTAGCTTCACATTAGCTTAACATTAGCCTAGCCTCAACCTCACCTTAGTTTGAGTCTAACATGCCTGAGCCTTAGCCTAATCAGTAAGCTTCCGCAAAGTGGCCAAGTCTGCTCTGATCTTTTTTTTCCGGAAAATTTCCCACTCAAAAAGTTCAAACTCACTGAAACCGGCGATTTTGTCGGATCAATAATATGCATAAATTTATCCAACGCAATCGCTGCCAAACTCCAACTCGTCACAAAAACCGAGCAAGAGTTGGGCAACGGTAGTAGATGACAAATCAGTTCGCCAAAAATCCACGTCTTCGACAGCGCATAGATTGGAGTTATCGGAATTGCGGTGAACACGAGCACCAGATCGGTGAAGATGAGATTCAGCAGGAACACGTTTCTGGCCGATTGGAGACGTTTATTTTGAGCCACTGTCCAGATGACTCCGCCATTTCCGATTAGACCGACTACGAATAAGAGGATGTAGCAGAGGATGAAGAGAAGGCGGATCGATAGGTGTCTGAAATTTTGGAAATGAGTTGGGAACCCTAAAAATGCTGGGAATGTCACGCGAAAAAAAATAATTTTTCAAAATTTTAATATTAAAATAGTTGTGTTCATTAGAGCGCACTTGTTCGCTTGACATTTTTTTTCAGTTTTTTGATGTTTGCACTTCTATCTATCTAATTTCTCACATCAACCACCGGAAAATCAAATGAACCACTGAAATGTATTTATGTCAAAAAGAACATGACAGATATCTCTCTCTCGATCCACCGACACCTGTCTTGATGCCAAATCAACAACTGACAATATTGATTTGGCGGGCAAAAAATACGACATTTTTGTGCTCTTGGGAGAAAAAGGTCTCGATGTTTATGTGAAAATGATGAAGTGATCGAGTGACATTTGGGACAAGCCTTGAGCAAAACACAGAACAGTTTTATTGTGTACACAATTTCCCCCGGGGTTGAATGCGACACGCGTGGCTCAGTGGTAGAGGCTCTGTTTTAGAAGCGAAAGGTTTTTGGTTTAAACCCCACTGCCCGCAATATTTTTTAAATTTTTAAATTGTCACCCCCAAGAACTCACTCGGTCAAATCTTCGATGTGAAAGACATGCCGCATAGCATAGCTCGGGCTCATACATTCTTCGGTTGTGTTGTTCATTCATACGCGCATTCCAACTGACTCGAAACTCTTTGAACTCTTCTTGTGTGTATGTTTTTGTGGCTGAAAAAGAAAATTAATGAGATCATGAGGATGATTTTGCGAAAATGTCGAAAAAGTCATGAGATAAGTGAACTAGAAGCAAATGAAAATGATTTTGATTTTGATTAAGAAAAAAAAGTAACTTTTTTATCAGCCATAAAAAATGGCACAAAAACAAAACATAAAAATAGTGTTCTCAAAAAGTTCTACTTCGTCATATGATTTTCTTTTTGATATCTAACAATAAGCTTAAGTTCATCTTTCTGACTTCTGATAAATCGCATCAAAAAACGAATTTAGTAGAACAATACACAAAAAAGCTCCAGACAAAATTGTGCAAAAAAAAAACACGAAGAAGTTACCTAATCCCCAATGAACACTAAAAAAAGAAGATGAACTCGTGAGCAGCACAAATAATACATTTCTAATTTTCAATTCTTTATGCACAAAAGCTACATGAGATATGATGTGGTTTGATTTTTTCGAATTCAATGAATCAGATTTGTAAAGAGCGGTAATTGAATGGGGTAAATTTATGTGCGGGGTTTATTTTGTTTGATCTTGACTAGAAGAATAGACCACCAAGGATTGAAAATTGAATTCGAGAGAAAGAAAAACGATTACGTGGCATCTCGGGGAAAGTTTCTGGATCAGGCTGAATTTGGGCTTTCAAATTGGGCCTGACCCGAAGTCTGTGCTGATTGAGAATTCAAAAGAAAAAAATTGGATCTCTAGTAGTATAATTTGGATACCATACAATTTTTTTTAGAAAAAAATGCACCAGACCCGCTTCTGGTCCGGTTTAAATACTTCCAATTTTTTTCCGAACAATCACGAGACATGATTGAAAAAAATCACATTTTTATTATTATTAAGCTCCAAAATTATGTTGCCAAACATCGGAGTTCCCAAAAGACCAACAGAAAAAAGTTCAAAAAATTTTTGTCTCGCGGCGAGCACAAAAAATCCGAGAAAAGCTGAAAATAAACAGAAAAATTTGCATCCGAAATTTGTTTTTTCTTCTTCTGTTAACTCGTTTTTTTTCTCGTATTTTTATTTTGTGTCGACGAGAAAAGTACGAAAAAAACTTGAATAACAAAGCGTTTTTCTAGATTTTTTGGGAAAACCTATGATTAACGAAAAAAATCAAGAAAAAAAAAGTATTTTCACGAGCGAGAAAAAAAACAAAACAAAAAACATTCCTCAAATTTCCGGCAACCAGAAAAAAATTTTTTTTCGAGTTCGCCGCCAAAAAGGAAATGAGATTTTTTGATTTTTTTATTGACGGGGTACAAAGATTTGAGAAAGAAAATTCGAAAAAAATATAAACTTGAAGAATTTTCGTGCTATCATGTTGTTAATTTATTCAAGTTGCTATAGCAATTCTCATTTCGGATGACTTATTACGTAATTTTGGGAATTTGAGAACTATTGTTTCATTGGGAACAGAATGTCAATAATCTAGAAAGCTTCTGGGGTTCGGAACATATATAAATGAACAATCACAAAATTGTTTTATTAGGCTTATCAAATGATCTAGGCTTAGGCATAGGTTTATACAGAATACGTTCAGGGTCATCAAGTGACTCAGGCCTATTTTTAGATCAAGTCTGAAGCTTCACGATTCAGGATGAGACTTACTTGAAAAAGTTAGGCTTACACTCATTAGGCCTATAAATTTTTGCATTTCAATCAAATATTTATGACGAAGTTTGATGAATAGTCAAGCTTATGATCGACATATATTGTTGTTTTAGGCTTATCAATATATCTAGGCTTAACTTAGGCTTATCAAACATCTTCAGGGTCATGAAGTGACTCAGGCCTATTTTTAGATCAGTTATGAATTTCAGCTAGGCTAAAATTTATGACGAACAAAATTCCGAAGAGGTTTTTTTTCCGAAGAATTCCGAAGAATATAGTCAGAAGTGTCAGAAAATAGTCTTGTTTCAGGCTAATCAACTCAAATAGGCTTAAGGCTTATCAAGTTCTGGAGATATTTGCTGATTGTGAAGGTCACATGATTCAGAAAAATCAAGTTTGATCAGGAAAAAATTAGGCATAGGATTGTCGGAGCTGATAATAAAGTCCAGAAAAAGAAGTTAGGCGAACTATTATTTCAGGATGTCAAAAATCTAAAAAACATACATATTTTTTCCAAAAAAAAAAATGGAGATAAAGAGATGGAAAGAAACTCGAAAGGGGTTTTTTCAAAAAAAAAAAGCAACTGTTGCCGATTAATTTCATCTCTATCTTTCTCAATTTTCTTCCCGTCTAAAAAAATCCAGGAACAAAAAAATCTGATGTTTAAAAATGCGACGCAAAAAGTTCTGCATAGCCACAAAAAAATCCAATTTTGATTTGAAGTACTCTAGTTTCGAGTGAGCAGAAGGGAAAAACCTAATTTCTGATCACAGAATTTTTTTTTTGAAATAAAAAAAAATCTTGGAAGAAGAAGAAGCGTTTTTGATTTCCGTAAACACACGGCGCGCAAAAAATCTAACTATAAAAAAAAACAACGAAAAAATGGAGAGGGTAAATGGATTTTGGGCACTTTTCTTGTTGAAAGCATGGATGAGAAAATAAAGGAAAACAATAACAAAAAATATCTTGAAAGACGAGATAAATGGAACATTTTTTTGAACTGAACTTTTTTAAAAGAAAAAAGCGCAAGCTTGTGAGAATAAGAAGAATAACAACTCACATCAAAAACAAAACAAGTGGAATGTGAAAAAAATAGAGAAAAGAAAGTGCATTGAGTTTGAGAGAACAAAGTGCATACTGTAGTTGTTTTTTGATAAGATTGAGATTTCGGAGGAAAATTTAAGAGTTTCCTGAACTCGGAACAATACGTTTCAGAAATTATTTGTGAAAAAAAAATGAATCGGAAAAAATCTGATCCCAAAAAACTTCCAAATATAAAAAAATACGCAAAAAAATTGAAGAAAAATTATTTTCAGAAACTTTTCTTAGAATCTGAAGAATCTTTGACCTTCCCGAAAAAAATTGTGAAAAATTCAGATTTCGTGGAATTTTTTTTCGGAATCTGAATTCCAAAATTCTTTTTCTCAAATCAGCCTTTAATCATTCTAATGTTTCCAGAATTTTTGTTCAGACAAAAAAATTTCAATTCATTTAAACTTATAAAAAATCGCGGCTAATCATGAAAATCGGATTTATAAGTTTAATAAAATCAAAATTTTTCAAAAATTGCTCTTGAACTTTGTTTCACTGAACTGAAATTTGTGAAAAAATTTTTTATTTTTGAAATTAGAATCTCATCAGAAAGCAGGTGATCTTAAAAAATCTTTGGAAGTTTTTTTTCTGCGAAACCTTTTTTTGTTTCAAAGTTCAAAAATCCCCAATTAGCCAAAAATTACCTAATTTTTGGCTAATGCACCTTCAAAAATTAAAGATCAGTTCCAGAAAAAAAATGAAATAATTTTGAACTCAAAATAACATAGAGAGCAAAAAAGAGAATTCCGAGAACCCGGAAAAACATGTCAAAAACGTGATACGATATGCATGAATACAGCCAAAAAAGCTCATCAACGCCAAAATTTGACATTTATTTATCCCTCCCTATGATGACGATTTTTCTTGGGCTTTACCAGAGAATATTTTGGATGACTCAGTCAAAACAATATAGAGTAAGTAATCTGTGAACTAGGCGCGCCTAATTTGTTTGCGCAAGAATTGCTGATGAGCATTCACAAAACTCTTTTAGCAAGGAAAGCAGCTAGACACTTTTTTTATAAACACATAAGGAATTTTTGAATAGGTCAGGAAGGCATCGAAAATCTTATATCCACAGAAGAAATGTTGTTCAAAATAAATCTCAACACATTTCGCCTGGAGGCAAGACCAAAACATTAGTCCCAGATTAATCGGAACACAAACATTTTTTTTCTGATTTTTAGAAATACAGAGGTTTTTCAGAAGAGGATTTGTGTCCACGTGGATTTTCAGATAAAACATTCAAGATTTAAAACGTGGAATTTCAGATTTCCAGAAATTTAGTAGTACAGTTTGCCACGTGGATTTTCAAGAGAAAAATTCTCATTTCTTGAAAATGTGGAATAGTTTTTTGAATTTACAAAATTCCACGTGGCAAAATTTATGTTCTCCTAAAATCAACATGTCTGAAATTTGATCTCTTTGTCGAACCTCTGAAATCCACGTGGCGAAAATTGAGCTCAAGTTTTGAGGCTTTCAAAATTCACGTGGAAAACATTACGCGCAATTTTTTGTAGTCCAAAAACCCCATAGCAAAAATTATACCAAATTTTGAGCTCCTAAAATCCACGTGACAAAAATTATACCAAATTTTCAAGCTGGAATTCAAGAATTCAAAAAAAAGAGCATCACTCATCATAATGCAAAAAAATGAGAGCACTGGATGAAAAAAGTCAATTCGATTCGCACAGGAATCAAGTATTCAACTCGGATTTCCGGGAAGTGACATTTCTTCTTCTCCGAGAGGAATATTTCTTATTTAATGCCTTTTTTCAGACAAGCTTTTCAGCAGCAAAAGAAAATTGATAATGAGAAGAAAATTTATCATGCTTGATGTCCAAACATCAATCTTGCATCCCAAGAAATTCTACTACTATCAGTTGATTTTCTTGGGAATTTTTAATTGATGTTAGATGAGGGATTTTAGACGGAGAGAGGTTAGAGGGATAATGAATACACCGTGATTGGAGGTTGCAGGAAATCAGGAATCAAAAAATCAGAAATTGAGTTCGAGAAGTTAAAAATCAAATGGAGAATTGAAAACGTCTCACTTCAATTTTCTCATGTGAAAAAAACACACCTCCCAAAAAATGTCAGCTCCAGAAATATTTTCTCATCTCAAAATTATTTAATGACGAAATTCTAGTCCAAAAACCAACAATGTACAATTTCAAATTTTTTTCGTAGCGCTAACCGAACTCTTTTCATTCAAAACAAATCCC